TAAAAGTTATAAACTATAAATTAAATAAAAAAAAATATTATTAAAAAAATCTTATTAGCGTTGCAAAAGTCTATAAAATTAGTAATAAAGTAGCTACTATAGCTATTAAAAATAAAAATTTTATAATTTGCCTGCGCTTTACTTTTTATATACTAATTAAAAACTTATTTAAGCTAGGCTAAACTAATATTATTATTAAATTATTTAAAAAAATTTATTATAAAAAAAATTTAGTATTTTTTAGCTTTTACGTTGCGTAATTAAGTATTGCAAATTTTTTTTTTTTTTTTAAAAACTATATTTAGATTTACTGCGCTTTTATCTGCACAAATATATACTAAAATTATTATTTACTTTTAGTTGCTATCCTGCAAGGCTGCTATAATTTATTTTTACTTTTAAAATTGCTTTAAAAAAACTTATTTAAAATATAAAGTAATACTAATAAAAAAATTTTTTTTATTTATATTATAAATATAGCGCGCGTTAACGTTGTACTTTTAAATTTTTAAATAAAAAAAATTAAAATATAATTTATAGCTATACTTAATATTAGTAAAGAGCTATTTGCAATTAATCTTAATAATATATTTAAAAATAAAAATATTATAATATTTTTTTAAAAATTGCAAAATTTATATATTAGAAACTTCCTATTTTAAAACTTTAAAGGCAAAAATTTTTATTATAATTTTTATAAGTGCAAGCTTATATTTAAATAAACTTTATATATACTATATAAGTTTTAATTTTTATTATAGGTTAAAATATATTTATTATTAAGCTTTTTTTGCATTTAATTGTGTTTTCCCTTAATATTAGTATGCTAAAGTAATTTAATTAATACTAAATATTTTTATAGCTGCGTAGTACAAAAGTTATTTTTTAAAATTTTATAAATTAATTACTATAATTATATTTAAAATTAAATTATTAGTAGTAAATATATTGCGGTTTAAAAAAGTTGTGTTTAGTTTATTTTAATATTAAGGTGGCTTATCAGGTGGAGTGGCTTATCGGCTAATAAGCCTTGGTATATGCCCAGGTGACGTTAAGCACCCGCCAGGCCATTCCCCACAACCTCACCAGAGGCATCGCAACATTCCTGGGGTTTATTGATACAAGAAGAATCAAAGACGGGAGGACTGGCTGCACAGATACGCCCTTGCGCCCACGTGTGTTGCGCCCGGGCCTCTGGAGGATCTTTTGTGGGCCGAAAGCTGGGCGCCATGCTCTTTACGGCGGCGTCCATCCTTCGAGATAAGATATTAGCTTGATCCTTCTCGCCACATTTCCTTATTCTTGTTCCTCTTCTCTTCTTCTAGTCGTTTCAAGATGCCTAGTATTGGGACTACTTTGTATCTCGCGCTCGTCGTCGCGTGGGGCGCATCTTTCTACCAGTGGTATGTGAACGACTTCTTCGCAGTCACTTTGGGTATTGGTCGCGTAATTCAAACCATCGATGAGTTTCCCTACACGTGCCGACGTATTGAGCATCCTAGATTGGAAGCATGTGAAGACATATGGCTTGACAATGAGGCAAAAACTCTTTACGCGGCATGTGCGGGAACAGAGGGACGACTGCAATGGAGTCCGGCGTAAGTGCTAGATACCGACACAGCGACGAAGGCGTGATCTGAATAGTATGAGATGAGTTGACATATATTAGGATGAAGCATCTAAATGCTACCGGAAGAAGACCCGGTGGCTCAGAGCTGATAGCGCTGGACATTGACTACCCCGGCGCAGATGGCCTCTACAACCTACGTGCTATCAAGCCAGCTGGCTATAATGGAGCTACTGGTGATGAGTCCCTTGATTTCGTCGGCTTCGATGCTCAAATATTGGATGGAGACACTATTCGATTTTACCTAATCAACCTCCGCCCGCCAGTTGGAGCCTTCAACAACATCATCGATGCTACAAAGTTGGGTGCCAATGCCACGATCGAAGTTTTTGAAACGAGAAGAGGCGAGGATCAAATGCGGCATCTTCGAACAGTGTGGTCCCCCGCCGTTTGGTCACCCAATCGTGTTGCTGCTGTTGGGGGAGGCGCATTCTTTGTGACGAACGATCACTCGGGCAAAATTGGCTGGGTGAGCGATGACTGTTGGAACGTGGGTTATTCGAGAATGCTAACTTTCGGCAGCGAAGAGAACTCGACGACTTCATTGGCGGAGGAAACGTTGCATACTGCGACGGTAATGGCGAATGCCATGCTGCATTCAATGGCGATGAGGAAGATGAGGATCTACCACAGGCCTCGATGAACGAGCCGAAGTACAAGGCTTTGGTCAACAGGGCATTGAAACTCATTCCAAAAACAAAGCTCAAATTTCCGAATGGTCTCACCAGAGGCTTCGACGGCCTCATATATGTGCCGAGTAGCGTGGATGGTCAAATTCGCGTTTTCTCTATCAATGACGACAATACCTTGAAGCAACTCGATACTATCCACGTCCGCATGCCACTCGATAACGTTTCGCCCGATGCGAAGGGTGATTTGTACGTGCCCGGGTTCCCAAGTGGCATTCAGAGCGCGAAGGGTCTGGCAAACCCCTATGAGGAGATCTCTCCAGTCAGTATCTGGCGTATTAGGAAGACGGTCGATTTAGGCCCGGACGGTGTCAGGTCTGTTGACTATCGCGTAGAGAAGGTGATTGAGGATCGAGACGCGAAGGTCCTCAGTGGAGCTACAACGATTAGACATGACGTGAAGACTGGGCGCCTTTTCATTTCAGGTGAGTTACATACCCGCATCGAAGTCCAAACTAGTGCAGTGCTGACATCTCATAGCTGCAGTACACCCGTTCCTTGCCGTATGCGAGCCGCGTTGATAGCTTGTGTGGAAGTAGTCCGTAACGAAATGCAGCAACAATGCCACTAGCATGAACTCTCAAAAGCGTCGATTAACAAATCTATAGTAAACGAAAGAAGACATCTTTGCATAACGCATAATACAAGCTCTAATATCGGATACATCGTGAAAACTGACATTTAGACGTCCAGGCCCTCCTTGGCCGTTCGTACCCGTATAGGGTGCTCCTCGTTCTGTCGTCCACCATATGTATCCGCCCCACCAAGGCTCTCATATCCTGTTCTGTTACTATACTTCTTGCCCGAAACGTTATCTTCGCTTTGTAATAGCGGCGATACTGGTACCCCAATCCCCAAAGCCTCGACTGGAGTGTTCTGGTATGAGAAATCCAGGTTACCGCCACCATCAACATCTCCATCCAAGGTGACACCACTGGCGCTATATGGACTTGGACTATGCGTTCTTGTTGCACTATAAGTCGTGCGAACGGCGAAGTCTCGCTCCTGCGGTAGTGGTGAGTCGTAGGGCCCGTATGTGGTGCGTACTATGTTCAATGGTACCGTCGGTGGATTTTGGATTGGTGTAGGTGAGCTGCTCGGATACTTCGATATAAGATCCGTTGTATCGTTATCATCAGAGGCGTTATTGACAGTCGAGGAGCCCCAAGAGCCGCCGCGGTGAAGCGAAGAGTGACGGGACTTATAATTTGAGATCGCAATAAGAGCATTGTCTAGAACGAGTACTGGATGATCTGTAAGCCTGGAGACCTTGCAATACCAACGGCTTGTACTCACTAGCGACAAAAAGCAACACCACAATCGGGATGACCCAGTGGCTCGCCTGGAACTTGAGTCCCCTAGTCGTCTTATTCCCAATCACAGCTGCTACGCCCACGATCATCAGTGTAAAGCCCACCACGACCCTATTAATCATCTCGCCGAACTCATACTTGGTCTTGTGCAACTTGTTGAACCAGTACATCAACGCCAGGATGAGGAGCATGGCACCACCGCCGATATAGAACTGCATTACAGTCACGTTGAAAACATCGAAGACGCGATCGAGTTTGTATCGTGGACCATTCGACGGTGCAGTGACAGCATTAAGCTTCGCAAGCGAATCAGCATGTGCCTCGAACACGAATACTTGCGCGTTGTCGAAGAGATACCGAACAACGTCGCCGGTGCGATTGTTCCACTGCTCAGTGCGAAACCCATATGTTGCCGTGTAGTTCTCAATAGCAGTAAAGTTGCGTTCCCAGTCATACATTGCGTTCCAGTATTTGCTCTTGAATCGTGCATTGATACTATACATACTTTCGTTGAGGTAAATAAGGTACTCGCTTGTGTTGTCAAAGCCGGAGGCAGGGTCGGAGTAATCGTTCGGTTCGAGGCTCCACATCCACTTCAAGGCCTGGACGGCAGAGTTCCATACTATCAGGGATGTATTGCCTTCTACGCAGAGCAGGATAGCCATATGTAAAGGGTAGTGGAGAAGGGACCAGATTTGCTGGCGCACAGTGCCGAAGCGGTCGGAGGAGAGCTGATCAAAGTACAGCATCCAAAGAAGATACTGTTGCGCTCTTAGTCAGTGACTGTGACTTCCATCTCAGAAAAATATACGCACTAGGATGACGACAGCTGCAGCCACCGTACCAACCTCTTTCGAGTTATTATTTGATTGACCCTTCGTGATGCACGCAACGCTTTTGATCAGGCCAATGACACCTTCACCGATGATGATCAGAGTGAGAAGTTGCAGCCGCTCGACTAAATGTGTATACTTGAAGCTGACGATACGCCAGATCATGGCGATGAGGAAGATGCACAGACCCTCGACGATAGAAATAGCGAACCTGTGTCCTTTGGTCAGTCACGGCTAGGGGACTCAAGGGATGCGTAGTAATCACCAAGTAACCTGCTCGTCAAGCCCAACTGCTCCTTTTGGGAATACGACCAAGGTAACTGCGTAACCGACAGCCGCAGTTGCATGTACTGCAGCACTAAGGCCCAGAGGCACCAAGGTTTGTCGAAACATTCTGCCTTGCCACATAACGACAGCATATTGAATGGCGATCGCCACCCTGCTTACGACGAGCACGATAGCGAAGTGCTTATACGACATCGCGTCTCCGCTGTTGTTATACCTGTCGAATATAGGACCTGCGAAGACGAAGCCAGTAAAGACACCAAATTGGATGGCTTTGTGGACTCGATTCCACACGCAATCGATGCTGAAACGGACATCGAAGAGGGTAGTGGAGAGCCAAGTGAACCACATCATAGTGAAGAGTTTGAGATAGTTAATCAGTGCTGTGAACGATTAGACGGCAATATACATGGTAGTGCTGGAGTAACGTACATTGCGCATCTGTATGCTGATACATAGCGGTGAAATATGCTGGACTAGGTCAGCAAAGCCCTCCTCAGAGATTTGATACGTACCAAGGTTCGCGACGAAAAACATGTCGTAAAGCAGCTCAATAGTGCTAGCCTCATGATGCTGCTTGTAGATGACCAGGTTTCCTCGGCTCGTCCGTCCGTTACCAGCGAATGTTGTTGTTGCGTCTGATGAAATGGCTGTACTAGTCGCGGTTTGCACCTTTTCTAGGTCTAGCAAACTGGTTGATAAGACCTCACGAACATCTTTGTTGATGGGGTTCGCTAGCAAAGGTAGATAGCCCCTTCCCTCTCTAGGGTCATCGGATTGTTGAGCTCCCCCATGAAGAGATTGCCCTTTCTGTCTTACGCTGAAGTATCTTGTAAGGTCCATAGCAAAGAGCAATAGGAAGAGTTGTTGAAAGCGGAATACTGTCTACGTTGAAAATGAGATGCAATAGCTTGGCATATTTGTGGGCTGATAGCCATGCCAAGTAGTGATATATAAACTGTATCTGCTCTTGAGTGTGGGAGCCACAGGTTGTGTGATGTGTGGCAAGCGCATCGGACCGCAACTAAGTGCAGGTAGTAGTCATCTAGTATGTACGTGGTAAGCAAACGCCCGAAACGTGGACGGTTTAAGCACAGTGCCCAATCACAGACCATTCCACACAGCCCATAGAGGCTGACCGACCGGTTAGACTTGTCGATTCGGAGATCTATGTTCTAGTTGCAAGATTTGCAGAAATAGAGCTAATAGTGATAGATATGACGTAGACCGTAGTACAAGAGCTTGCGAAGTGGGAGTTAATAGATCTGCATGCATATCAGGTCGCTCACTATGAAGATTGGAGGATATTTTGGGTATGGTGCACCACAGCTCGTCCATGCTGTTGGTAAGCGTAGTCTATCGTGAGCTTTGCAGTGCTGATCGCAGCGTAAGCAGTGATGGAAGCAAGTTGGGGCCAAAACCTGCTACCACATCCAATGGTATCGTGGTTTTGCAGTCGATCGCTGCAGGGAAAAATAAGTCGTGACGATCTTTGGGAGTCGTGGCGTAAGAAAGCGAATGAGCATTCACAACCAAGCTTTAGCTAAGCTCACAGAACATTAGCTTGACTCGCACAAGATGCTGCGCTTTTGGGCTGATTGTGTTTCAGTCTAGACGAAGCCGAACCGGAACCCGGTAAGGGCTCGAAGATGTCCCTCAAGCGGTAGCCTAGATTAGTTCAGTAAACTTTGCATCCAATATAGCTCAGACAGTAGCAGCAAAAGTATGTTGCACCAGAAGACATATCGAAAGCGATGGGAACCTTGGTGTGACACAACTGGGACGCAGGTAGTCTGCAGCATTGGGTCGCTTGTAAATGCAGTGGCAACAAGCACAACTTACTCGAGACCTCTGGACCCTCAATGTGAGTAAAATGGAAATGTAACTCTTGTTCAAGGCCCTTTGTTTTGCTTAGTTCGTCACAACTTACCGAAAATCCCTCCACAGTGCTTTAGAATAGCAAGGAATACGCTGCAGAGCTTTACAGCGTATAAGATGAAGTAAAGACTGAAATGTGCCGTTGAATACGAAGCTGTGTGCCGATAGCCAGTTATAGACGCTTGCTCGCTATCTTCGAGGCGGTGTGTTGATGTATTCGCTCACATCTTCCTCCTCGTCATGGTCTGATGTGCTTTCTTCGTCATCTTCGACTACCTCATAATCATCGTCCTCATCCTCAAGATCTGGCCCATTTGCGGGCGACTGTGTTGGTACGCCGGGAGCATCGACCGGATTAGCCTCGAATCGCTTCACCTTGGTCCTGACTCGCCCTTGCCGACCCCTTCCCTCGAAGTCTAGTGTCCAAGTAAGTTCAAGGCCCGATTGCCGCGTACCAGCGTTGTCTATGATCCAGCTATATGGCTCTTTAAGGACAATCTCAGCTTCACTGGTGAACCAACCCCATCCTGAACGTCGTACCTCGTAAGGTGGATTGCGGAGGGTGAGACGCGGTGGCCGAAAGGTAGGGTGCTAAATTTGTTGATGTTAGCATAGCAAAAGAACCGAGATGCCTCATGCGCAGCAGGAATTCCTTTGTTAGCGACTTTGCTGGTGAATACAGTGCAGTGAGTTCCTCCCCTGAAAGAGGTTTAATGTCGTTAAAAAAAACTGGGAGGACCACATAGGCATCCAGCCCCAGCACCTGAGGTACCTTCTAGCCCAAAATAGACTACCGGTACGGAAAAGGTGTGCCTTACCAGATAGATACGCACTTCCTGCACAATGTCCGGTCGCGATGTACGCACGAAGAAAGTCCAATCGTGCTCATTGGCGTCTTCAGAACCTCTAATCAGCCTATGCTTATTCCCTATCAGGATCATAACACCCTCCACACCACCCTCCCCGATTCGACTTCCCCTCTCAACCTCCTCCTCCACGCGTCTCTCCGCGTAAGTAGCGGGGTACTTTCGTTCGAGCTGCCTAGCCAGCGCTTGATCGAGTGACGCAGTTGTATGAGTACGACACATAGGACAGTTTGCCTCGAGGTCATAGGAAGGGTCGTAGTTGGGGTCGAAGTCGGCGAGATTGATGTCTAGGGAAGAGTGCTCGATGTTATTCGTGGAGGAAGCATCAGCCCATTGCGCCATGCAGGAAGTGCAGAGCAGATGGTTGCATTGTGTTCGGACGGGCGTGAACAAGAGGAGTTGGCAGATCTACCAAAGATCAGACGACCTTCAAAAGTTGTTCCTGTTCCATCCCAGGACTCACAGGACAGAGGTCATCGTGCGCAATATCCTCTAGGAGCACGTCTGCTTCGGCCATCGCGAGAGGGAACACAACGGAAAAGAGCGGGGAAGACTATTCCAGTGATGGCGGTAGAACCGTAATAAATAGCTGCCATGCTAGCGAATTCGGACTGCGCCTCAATGTGTTGAAGGAGCGGTGCTGGTCAGCCAGGCATCAGTCTCGCGCACGAGCATCGCGGGCAAGTCTGCACGTGACAGCGCGTCAAAGGCCTTTCCTTCACAACATGTATGCAAGAACCCATCAACTACCCATTTCATCTTAAGCGTGCAAATGACCGCGGGCACACGCCTACCCCTCTACCGCGGAAAGACCATTTCTGTTACTATGTCGCGATGCCACCGCACAGTCTATAGAGATCGCAACCCGTCGTGTGCATCTCCTACCGCATTTACATTAACTTTCCGCATCGTATGTACGGTAAACTCGAAATTTATAAGGAAATCCGAGTACTTTGTCTTGAGCCCGGATTGTAATTCGACGCATACGCAGAGAGTCCTAAATGCATGTCAGCTCACGCACATAAGCTTCATCGCGTAGCCACTCACACTGCCAAGTAAGCACAGCTTATCAGACGCCAAGGCCTTTATAGGAAGTTGCAGGGACATTCGGCATATGGGAACTGACCGGTTAATTGAGTACACTACCAACTGCCTAGCATGGCCACTGAGCGTCAACGGAGAGTTACACAAGATCATCGGTCTCGGACCTTTCCTACTGAAAGAGCAAGGCGCGTGAGACGACTACCACAACCTGGGAACAATCGTGAACTAGTAGCAGTCTGGACCTGGTTATGTTGCACTAGAATTGCAAACCGCCCCCACAAGGCTTGAATGTTGGCAGTCAGCACCAAAGAAGAGTTGTTTATATTCAGTGCTCTTGCCTGTGTAATGTACCCGTCATTAGCTTTCAGTTGTTGTATTTCGAGTCATCATGGCGGAGGAGAAAGTACCCAGCGACGCTACTAGCACTGCATCTCCTAATATCTTAGCGGGAGATGTTGAACCACAGGGTTTCGATCAAGCAGCGACGAAGAAGCTTTTGCGCAGGCTAGACTGGCACATCATTCCTTTCATGTCGCTCATTTACCTGTAAGTTGACGTGTCCTTCGAATCCACCCCTGCATCAAAGTAACCGAGATACTCCCAGCCTCTGCTTCCTGGACCGCACAAATATTGGGAATGCCAGGCTCGACCATCTGGAGAAGGACCTCAAACTCCACGGACTACAATATAATGATTGTCTAGCGATCCTCTTCCCGTTCTACATCGCTGCTGAGATCCCCTCGAACATGATGATGAAGCGCACACGGCCTTCTATCTGGCTTACATTCATCATGTTCTTCTGGTCCCTAGCGATGATCTGCCAGGGCTTTGTAACCAACTACTCTGGGTTGATGGCTACGCGCGTCTTTCTGGGTGTATTCGAAGGCGGCCTATTTCCCGGGGTAAACTACTACATCACGCAATGGTACGTGAGGAACGAGTGTGGCTTTCGCATGGCCCTCTTCTTCTCGGCCGCGACTTTAGCTGGAGCCTTTGGTGGTATCCTAGCAAGGGGCATTGCAGAAATGAATGGCGTCGGCGGTAAGGCGGCTTGGGCTTGGATCTTCATCCTTGAGGGCTTAATGAGTATCCTGGTGTCGATTGTAGCGTATTGGTGCATCTACGACTACCCTGCGACGTAAGTACTACTTCCACTTCCTAGCAATGTACTCAAATGCCGTACTCATTCCCGTTAGCGCACGCTTTCTTACCTCGAAGGAGCGATCCGAAGTCGAACGCCGCCTGACCGCAGACCACGGCCACCTCTCCAACGACTTCGACATGAAATATGTCTGGCAAGCCATCACCGACTGGAAGATATACATCTTCATGCTCATCTGCATGGCAGGCTTCTGTCCCATTTACTCATTTGCCCTCTTCCTTCCCACAATCGTCAAAGGCATGGGATACACAGCAAATGAAGCGCAACTCATGACTGTTCCACCCTACGTCTGCGCTTGCTTCTTCACAATTGGGGCAAGCTGGTACGCAGATAGGATTCGTAAGCGTGGTATATTCCTCATGGGCTTTCAGCTCGTGGCTATTGCGGGATTCTCAATGCTTGCTGCAACGGCGAAGCCAAGCGTACAATATGCAGGGACTGTGCTGGCGGCGATTGGCATCTATCCGCAGATACCACTAGGGATGGCATGGAACAGCGGGAACATCGGGGGCAGTTTAAAACGTGGCACTGGCATTGCGATGCAGGTCATGGGCGGAAACTGCGGAGGTATCATTGCTTCGTATGTGTATCTCACCCGTGACGGTCCGAGGTTCATCACTGGACATAGCATCTTGATTGGAATTGTGGGGTAAGGCGTCCCCGAGTCAAAGCTCTCTACCAGGTTCTATACTTCGAGACACTGACATTTGGCAGTATGGCGTTCTTCTTGACGTTCTTCATGTCGACCTGGTGCCGACTGGAGAATGCGAGGCGGGACAAGATAGCGTTGGAGGTTGGAATGGACGAGTTGACCGAGGAGCAAAAGCAACTGGAGGGGGAGCTCGCTGATAATGTACCCTGGTTCAGGTACACTACTTAAATGGAAGTTGCCCCATATAAATGTTGTTACTTTACTGCACGATTGGTCATGGTGTACCATATCCAATGGCAACTAGCGCAGCTGCAGCCATAGAGGGAAGATAGATCAAACGTACCAAAGAATCATTATATCATTATATCAATTAAAGGGTACGACTCGAGCCAAGTTGCAATCGGCCCTGCACTATACGATCCGAGTAGGTTGTGTTGGCGCCATCGTCCATTCCCGGGGCTCCTCATCATACCTCCTCTCAAACGCATCGCTAACACTCGGCACCAGTTGTGCCCCCTCCGTCTTCTTCACTCTCCTCATCTCCTGCTCATCCAGCAATACTTTCTTGACTTTCCGCATCTTCAAATAAATCCAGACTCCCATCGCAACCGTAATCACGAACACCGCACCAAACATGACCGTCTTGATCACATTGGCGTTACCCTGCTGTATCAAAAGGACGCCGAGGTAGACCAAGAAGATTTGCTTAGGTAAAGAGGCGAAAGTAGCGACGACAAAGTGCCAGAATTTGACGTCACAGGTTGAAAACACGGCGGTAGAGAAATGCGCTGGGATGGCGGAGAGACGGATAACGAGGACGATGATAAAACCACCGTCACGGGTAAGGCGAGCCATGGCGCCATAGTTGAGGTTTGTGCGCTCCAGTTTGATGGCTTTGCGCCGGAAAAAATATTTAAAAGCAAACCATGTGCCGACTGATATTTGGTCAGCATATGTCATTTGAAGAAGAGGGGCTTGGCGGGGTAAGGGGCAAATTGCGTACTTTCTCCAATAAAAGTGCCTGCGCCAACAATCAGGAATCCGATCCAGAGGCCATATACAACACCGCATAGTAGTGCGACAATTTCGTGACCAAAGAGTGGGGGAAAGGATATGATGATTAGAATAGCGATGGGGATAAGCCAGCCTGCTGGGAGGTTTCTGACTCCCTCTGAGAACGGTCGTAGTTTCTGCGCCTTTGCGTTAGCCAAATCATCCATGAATGAGAGTTTGAATCGCGAACTCACCTCAACAACTTGATCATGGCGTATGGTTATGAAAATAGTCGCGATAGCGATGAGTATGCCCAGGATGTGCCATGCTAGATGCAGGTCAGAAAAGTACGTCATTAGGTGCTGTTCGCGACGCCTTACGTATGTACTTGGGCGACAAAAAGACCTTCTTCCAGTTGACCGGTCTATAGTCCGTGTCTGCAAGCTCCTCCTCCTTCGTTCGCACCCTCATGTTTTCCATCTCAAGATCATCTTTGCGCTTTCGGAACCACATCAAGTGGACTGGCGTGGAGGAGCGGATATTCCTCCGGGCGGAATAGCAACGTGGCGTAAATATTCAATATTTACTACCGTGTAGTTATCGCAAAGAGCAGAGGGTGATGGGGGCCGGAAACGTATATGAATTGAAGGCGCGAGGGAGTGGCAATCAGGGGCTTGTTGTATGCGATTCGCCTTTGAAACCGGCATAGCCACTGCCGCGTAATTGTGGGTTCGGCCAATCACAGCGCGCCGACAAATTAAGATGCGAGACGCTGGCGCGGAAGATCTGCGCTTGCGATGGGAATTTCAAAACCTATCAAGCCTCTAGGTATGCATCAATCTCCCATAGTCCCGGGAAGTAAGCGTGGTGTTGATGTTTGGAATGCAACACCGTTGTCGCCTTGGCGCCCGCATTGCAATCAAACGACATTCGAAGGGCGCCCTTGCAGGCTTGCAGGGCTTAGGACAGCTGTTTGAACAGTCTAGAGCCGATTCTGCCTTCTTCCGGCGATTATTCAGAATGATCGCTTGCAAGGAGTACGATGATTCGTGGCGACGGAGAGTGCAACTTTACCTATTGATGGGCTCTCTCCCGAGCGGTGATATTTATACTCGCTACCGTGAAGCTTTGAACACAGCTGAACTGTATGTGGGACACCTACATTGACATTGATGGCGAGACGAGGCCATCTTGACAGCGCGATCATGCCTCGCGTCGAAAACGCGAGCGCTCAGACTCAGTAGGTGGATAAGACGCGAGGAAAGTGGCATATGCGTCATGGACACAGGCACGACAGGGCACCATGCATTGCTTAGTCACTTGGCTCAAAAGCTCGGTACGCACTTGTTTGCTTTAGTTGCTTCCTTTCTCTCTATCATCTTTAGTAAACCAATTCGAGCGATGCTCTTTCTCCCAGCGCCTCATATCCTTTCCTCCTGCGCTGATATGCTCGTCCTGTCGACTTCTTCTGTCACTCGGCCTGCCCAGGCTTGTCCCGCAGGCAAGATACCTATTGAGAGGGATAATTCTTCGATATCGGCATATTCCTTCATCTTCTTCGACATCTAGCGATTTCTCCCTGTCTTTCTTAGAGTCTGGTCAATACGGAAGGATCGAAGACGACTTACAGCTGAAAGCTTTCTCGGGGCGATAATACAGTATGAGTTGTGCATGATCTATTAATCTTATCAGTCTCTAATTCAACTCATAAGGTTTGGCGACGGGGAGCGACACAACTCACGTAGATGTCGTATGACCCTGCACCAAATTTGACTCTCAGAAGCATGGTCAACTTCGCTGGATCGATATTGCTTCCTGAAATCGATTGAGCATCATCCAGGTCTGGAAATTCGACATGATGCTCGTTCAGGGAAAGACGCTCTGTACCAATGGACGAGGTCGCGCTTGAGACCGTCATTGACAATATTTTGCAGTTGCGTTTTGAGCGAGTTGGTCCAACTATTCAAGACGGAATGTATTGTTTATCGTTGTGTGGCATAATGAAGAGCAGGCTGCAACGAGTATATCTTATATCTGGAAGCTGACTGCGTGGCGCTTCAGCTGAGGGGCGGGGGCCATGCTGCGCCACGGTTTTGCCTGCTTCAAGGAGTGGCCGGCTGATTACTTTTGTATCACCAATTGTACTTCGAGGCACCCAAAAGAAGGCAACTGCAGGCACTTTCGAAGCCTCCGGTCACTAATTCGAGGGGCATGGTGGTCATGTTGCGCAAATATAGGCACAGCCTTGTACAGCTAGAGGTCCTTCAATGAGGCAGCCACATATAATACAGCACGACGCTGCATCTGCTGTCTCAAAATCTAGGCCGTTTTCTTCGTGCACTGGAAAACAGCTTGTTGTTCATTATGCACGTGTCCGAGGCAGAAGCTTTAGTCAGTCATTCGCGCATGAGTCCGGTCAAGAGCTCAGCCTACCACAGCCTCCCGGGCACAGAAGCATCGACACCTCGATCCGAAGTCCGTGAACCTCGAACCTCGACTCTAGGTATATCGGATCTCGGGGTATTTGATTTTTCTTTAGTCAAATCAACCATTAAAGCCACCCCGGCAGATGATGTGCGACTACCATCATACAGCTTAGCGCAAACTCGACCTCAGCCGCAGCAAGAAACTCATTTGAAAGCTTCTGACCTCAGCTTTGGCGGTGTCAAGTCTAATCATCAATTGCGATATTCAGGAGACCTAAGGTCTCAGCGCGATTCAGTCTTCAGGTCGTCTTTAAGCAGTGTACATGATAACGGCTGTCCCCATGGCAATAAAAACCTATCCGATCAGGACTCCGATGCTGTGGGAAAGTGTGAGCACGTCAATGCGGACCTGGAAGCCCAGCAATGGGACTTTCCATCTCTAGGGTCAACGGCCTTCGCATTTCCCTACACGCCTCCTACGGATGTAGGCGAGGATACCGCTGCAGAGGCTGGGTATACGCTCGAACCAGCGAATAACAAAGTACGTCCCATTCAAGCACTGGCCATTCTCACTCCGATTCTGTTTCATTGGGCTGACATGTCACCTACTCTCAGCGCGCCTCATCCGATTGCGCTGACTCATCTCTCAAGGAGACATGGAATTTAGAGCGACCTTTCACATCTTCGCTGGGCGTTCCACATCAATGGCCTCATAGTGTGTCACCGAAATTAAGCATCATCTCTGATGCTGGAGACCAACAGCAATTACGTCTGAAACGAACTCTTGCTCAGCCAGAGGAATCGTTCGATGAGAATTATGACATCGAACAGTCCCTAGCTTCCTTACCACCACTGGGGCCTACACACGAGCTTCAAGAGCAAATTTTGGATGCCCGACAACGTACACGGAACAACGAGGGACAAATAAGGAAGTTCATTCCCAAAGAGGACTTGTGTCGTGTTGTAAACACAGACTCTGTTACTAGAGCGCTGATGAAAGAGTTATCGCAAGTTCACTCGCATGAGCAGATCAGGTCTTATGCCAAAGTCATATGCACAGAGCTTGAGACCAATGAGATACAAAGAGGCAAAGCGAAGATCAAATCCTTTCGGAAAATCTTTGCATTACTAGTTCTGGTTGAAGCGGCATCATCAATTGTACGCTTTCTAGACGAAGACGTGAGTGACCAAGATTTACCTCTTACCTTGGTGAGACGTCAAGGAACCGATGAGTTGTACCGTAAAGGCAATCGGAACAAGAAACCCTTACGATGTTTCAAGCTGTCACCGGTCAAACTTGAAAACTTCCAGGAGTATCAATGGTGGATGCTGGCACCTTACTTTTCACCGGGCGAGGATGGCGTCATGAAACATTACATCCTTCAAGACGATCACATCCTCCCATTTGTCGACCCGGATGATGCGGATGAAGGAGGAGTCGTTATCAAAACGGGGGGGTATGGCCGGGTTCTCATGGTACGCATACACCCAGATCATCATAATTTTCGAGATCGACAGCTCTGTGAACGTGGCTTTGCGATCAAGCAGCAGATCTACGATTCCGATCGCGATACCTTCAAGAGGGAAGTGAGGGTCCTAAAAGAATTCAGTGGGGACCGAAGTCACCCACACGTGGTTTCCCTTCTAGCTACTTACGAGCAATTCCGAAAGTTTCATCTCATCTTTTATCGCGCTGAGGGTGATCTTTTCGACCACTGGAAGAAGATGAAGCCGCGTCCGGACCTAACATACAGCAATGTTGTCTGGGTCGCCACACAGTGTACAGGGATCGCTGAAGGGTTATTGAAGCTTCATAAGCTATTGTCTTTCCACAAAGTACAAGCTGAAATGGTGGAGTCTCAGTCAGAAGATAACAACAGTACGTCCCACTCAGAATCAAGCGGGGGATACATTCGGTTTCGACGAGCATTCGCAACTCTGAAACAATATTACCTCGCGCGTGGGGACTTGCTAAAACTTGTGCAGTTACAGCAGATCAGAGTGCAGTTTCAACCGAAAAGCGCGTCAGAATAATTGAACCGATCCACGATCGCGTAGGAACAGACTCTTCCATCCTCTCGAATGGGGTGAAGGAGCGAGCCGCCAGTCCTATCAAGTGGCCCAATCAAAAGGACGGTCATAGGTTCGACAGTAACGAAGATGCTCGGTGCAAACAGTACGGTCGCCACGGCGATATTAATCCAGCGAATATCCTCTGGTACAATGGCAACGATGATGATGCAGGCTGCCTGCAAGGAACCCTCAAGATAGCAGATTTTGGTCAAGCCGAGCTTAACTCTCTACTGAGCAGAACGAAGCGACGAAGCGTTGCCAACACACTCACCTATCGGCCTCCGGAATGCGATCTACCATCATCAATAATACGACAGTCATACGATATATGGTGCTTAGGCTGCGTATACCTCGAATTCGTAACATGGCTACTCGGAGGGGAACAACTTCTTATGAAATTTGTACGGCTTAGAATGGCACCCGACGTTTTTCAACAGGGTCAGCTTTCCGACACTTTCTTCCAAGCTGTACGTAACCATGAAACGTTTCCTCCCGAGATAGAGATCAAACCAAAGGTCACCCAGGTATGTTACTGTTGTACATCAGGTCTTGTGAAATCGCTAATACTAGAAACAGTTCATTGATGACTTACATCGGAATCCTAAGTGCACTGTATATCTTCATGAATTCCTAAATATGATACAGAACGACATGCTAGTTGTGGAATCAAGCGAACGAAAACAATGCGCAAGCATTTGGAATAGACTTGATTCTATGACTCGTAAATGCCACCAGGATGAGGACTATGCAGCGACATACAATCCATGGTATTTCAAGCAGACGTCAGTGTCGCGCTCAGTAGAGCTTAAGATGACCCCCGATGTTAGGCAGGCTATCGAAAAGAACCTTCCCCTTCGCCCCGCTACTCCCGCTCGCGCTGGTCCTGTTAGTTCTCACGCACCGGAGGTTCAGCCTATTCCATTGAGACGACGACGGCCGAGCCGTATTCCTCGACGGAGCTGTCGCTGAGGACCCGAGCGACGAGATTTCGCTTGCACTATACCAGCTCCATTGTTCTGCCTGACCATGCGCTTTATCAGCGAACCTGAAATGAGAAAGTGGCGCATGACGAAAAGACTCGTGGTCTACATTTACTTCACTGGCGGAGTTTTCTAGGCAAATTCAAAGTCGGGGGAAAAACGAGATTCGGGTAGTGTTTGCATCCCAGTATTTAATTGCGTCAGTGATTCTTACGGTCTTCGCTTGTATGCTGCGCAACGACACAAAAGTTTTGACCTGGTATATCAGGAGAAGCATTAGGAGGTCTGTGTTCATGTTGAGGTCGAGTGTACCATCATTAATTTCTTTAGTGATCGTGCTGGAATCCCCGCAGTGTGTAAACCGCCCATTCCAAACAGCCCGGGGGAAGGGCAGGGTCCGCATGCAGCTCAGTCGTGGGGTCCGTTATTGGCGCCATGCAGCTGCATGTTTTGGGGTGATACCCCGTTCCGTGTACGCCGAGCTGAGCACCCATCGGCATAGGTTTCCCGACGTGTTATCGCCTCATTTGCTGGCTCTGTGAAATGGCTCACACCTTCACAACAGACACGGGACATGACATGTGCGGCTCTGCGGATCTATAATCGTCGAAAGCCCCATGAATAAGATGACTATCGGGGCTATCCTATGTTACTATCACACCTGTTACAAGGTTGGACAGATCCCGGCTTTGTTTGAGGACAGCATTCTTTTGCACTACTGCCCTTTAATTGCAATCACCGTGTATCCTGACACAGCTAGAGTCTGTACTTAACAATTGGATCCCCAGATGTTTCCCCAGCACTACACAATGCCGGACAGATATGAAACTCGAATAAAGGACTACAATGGAGGACATGGACAGAAGGTCATTGATACCGAATATCAAGCAATGGATAAAGAAGATGACTTGGCCTTTTTAGCTGAACTTGACGCTGTGGAACCGGATCAGTCATTGGCGAGCAGAATACTAGATTCGATGGTCGATGGAACATTCCATGATCCGGCTCGCTCCTATCTACCTGAAAGCGCTATCAATGATCTTATCGTTCAGGATACAGTAGAGCAAGAGCTAAGAAAAATTGAAGAAAATCCCACAAAAGAAACTCGCAACTTCAACGGCGAATTTCGATCAAAACTCGCCACGTGGATAGTGGAGAATGCTCGCAGGGTTTTTGCGGTTACCATACAGTGTGATCTTCAGCCTCGGTTTTTGTTCTTCTCGATGTTGTTGTTTCGAAGCCAAGATTTCACCGATAGTAAGCTAGCCGACCTTCAAAGTTCACGCCCCCCATCGCAAGAGTTCAGTAATAGGATATGGAAGCCTCTACAGCTTGACACTTTTTTCGATAAGCGATGGAAGTTCTTGGTGCCAGTCTTCTCTCAAGCTAAGTACGATTACGACCTTTGCGCGGAACGCATATTCCCCTTTACGTCGGATGGCGCAGTTCCTAAAGACGGAGCTTTTAGTTCGGTGTATCGAATCAAGATACATAAAGATCACCAGCAGCACCCAGGGCTGCAGGACGTGAGTCAACTTTCTGACTAGTCTATAAAGCATGCAACTGACTTATATTCTAGATTGCCCTCAAGGAGCTAAAAGTGCCCCGAGGCGATGAACAAAGCGGGACAGATAGGGCATGGGAGCTAGAAGCGAGCGCATTGGAGGCTATCAACAAACTTGATCATCCACACATTGTCAAGTGTATCGCAGCCATCCGGAGAGGCAATAGTCGGTATTTCATGTTCCCATGGGCCGACGGCGATAGCCTTCGAGACTTCTGGGACGAAACACCAAGACAAGCCCCGAATGCCAACATCATCGAACAGGCGATCGTTCAGCTAAGAGGCATAGCTGACGCTCTAGATCGACTTCACAATTTTGACGGTGGACGTTCAGATGACGATGCTATCGGACGTGGTATATCTATTAGACTGGAAACCCCGGTGGTTCAAGAAACGCAACTACACAACGAAACCAACGGTGAGCGGCAGGTCAAATTAGACAATGAGGTTGACGACTACAAGAACGCAGAGAAGGCAGAATCCATCAGGCATGGCGATCTGAAACCCGAGAATATCCTCAGATTTCTGGACAAACAGTCCGACTTGGGAACCCTGAAAATTGCCGATATGGGGCTTGCTAAACGCCATGTAGTCGCCACGCAGGAACGTGGAAAGGCCACAAGCACGAGATATGGCACTCGTCGCTACGAGGCTCCCGAAACAGTTACTGCTAAGAATGCCCGATCCCGACTCTACGACATCTGGTCTATGGGATGCATAACCTTCGAATTCATCATCTGGATCCTGTATGGAAATGTTGAGTTGAAAAATCTATACACACAAATCGAAGGGAATGCACAACAGGTCTGCCAATACTACGAGATTGTTGACACGAATGAGCTGCAAGGCGCCAGAATCCACCCGGTCGTACTTCGATGGCTGGAGCACGTTGAGAAGAATGATCCTGAATGTTCAGTGGACTTCAACTCAGCGATCAAAGACCTTCTAAGGCTCGTACGTGAGCAGCTTCTTATAGTCCCCTTGCCACCTAATCGTAAAAGCTCAACCGTTGGTGGTCGTGGCTTAGCACCTCCAGCTCTGGGTCAGACAGTCACACGGTATCGTGCTACTGCCGCGCAATTCCGCGATGCTCTTGATGGTATATTGTCGAAGGCGAAGGTACCTGGGTATATCTTCACGGGAAACGATCGTACGAATATCAATCCGCCAAGACCCAAATCCTCTACCTTACTCTCCCCACGCACGGCAAATCGAAGTGAATATTTTTCATTTCCAAAGCCGAATTCGCCTACACTCGGCCCACTCAAGAGCGGTGTTCTAGGTCGTCCTGTAGGAGCTGATTATACTCTCCCACCTCTGAAAGACTGGCAGTTCTACGTCGACAACACATTTGCGGAGAAAGTCACAACTGCAGCCGGAATAAAGACATTGTCACCCCAACTAGGTAAGCAGCAAAGGCTGTGCAACCAATGCTCGAATCTGAACTTCTGGAAAGGCGGTTTCAGTATCGAAGTCAAAGCTTCAGACTTGGCGGCTAAGGCCGCATCTTGCCAGTTTTGTAAGATGTTGAATGACTCCTTCAATGAGGCTGAAGATGCAAGAGGAGACAAGGCCCGGTTTACTCGAGACCAGTCTTCCATACTGATATCTGGAGACGCATTTCCTGTCCTTTCCATCGTGCGTAGTCCCGAACTGAACACTCCGTTACCCATCCAAGTGGGATTTCCTGAGTTACCTGAGCCTGGGACTAATGTATTCTTCAGTATCACTAGAATGTGGCTCGAGGATTGTGACTCAGTTCATGAACGTTGTCAGGGGTTTTCTGAAAGTCTTCCAACGAGGCTGATCGATGTCGGCACTATTGATGCACCTATGCTTCGCCTCACCGAAACGAATCGAGGCAAAATCTCAAGCAGGAAATACATTGCCCTGTCGCACCCTTGGGGCAACACACAGAAGTACCCCCCATTTAGTACCATGCGCAAAGACATGGACATGTTCAAAGAGGCAATACCTGAGGACAAGCTTCCGGCAACATTCAGAGATGCCGTCAAAGTCACCCGCGAGCTAAGCATCCGCTACCTGTGGATCGACTCCCTATGCATCATTCAAGGCCCAGACGGCGACTTCAACGATGAGGCAAAAAGAATGGAGGATGTCTTCAACGGAGCATTTTGCGTTCTCGCCGCGAGCAGAGCAAACAGCCAGCGTGACGGCTTCCTAGGTCCAAGACCAAAACGCGAATACGTTACCTTCCAGCACGATGCTGAAAAGCCCTTTTACGTTTGCAAGAACATCGACAACTTCAGTAAAGACGTCATTGAGGGCTCGTTAAATAAGCGCGGATGGGTACTGCAAGAGCGAGCCTTAGCGCGACGGACTATCTACTTTACGAAGAGTCAAACTTACTTTGAGTGTGGGGAAGGGGTACGCTGTGAGACACTGACAAGAATGCAGAAGTAAGTTTACTCCCATGTTCTACCTCTGTACTTGTGAACATTGTAATCATATCTTGCTTTGCACTTTGGTGTTAACATCAACTTCTAGTAACATGGCAGACTTCCTCGGCGACCCCAACTTCCCCGACAAAGCTATGCGAGCAAATCGCGCCGAGAAGATTGCTTATTTCCAAGGTCTGTACAAGCAATACTCCCGCCTAGATTTCACGAGGTACGAGGATCGCCCATTCGCTATTGCGGGTCTTGAAAAACGACTTCAAAGGGCTTTTGGCACGCGAGGTGCTTATGGCATCTTCGACGATGGCGATAAAACCGACGGCGGACTTTTCCACAGGAGCTTGCTTTGGCAGCGCGGCGAGGAGAAAGGAGATGCGGGGAACCTGACACCCATCGAATTCCCTCCAGAACGCAATGTACGAGTCCCCAGCTGGTCTTGGATGGCATATAAGGGGGGTATCGATTATATCGACCCTCCCTTCAATACTGCGGACTGGGAAATTGAAGAGGTCGTACCGCCTTGGACCCGCGGTGGCAACCGAGACACGGATACAGCCCCGCAAGATGGTGAAATAGCGATTATTGCTACGGTTAGGGACTTCAAAGTCGCGGGACGGCAGCCGGGAGAGGTCGAGCTTACTTATGATACCGAACGAATGAGGGGTTCTGATGGACAGCGCACGCAGTGTGTCGTTGTTGCAAAGACAAAAGGAGCAAGTTCAAATCAAACTAGGCGATACTATGTGTTGCTAGTGAACTCGATGAATGCTACCGCAGGGCGAGGGGAGAGGTTTTATAGACGAGTTGGGGCGGGCGTCATGCTAGGGAAGTTCATCACTTTCGACTCTCCTGGTATCGCAGCGAAGATTATTTGAGTAGGATTTTATTCCATGTATGCTTTCAAAGCTACTTGTTGTCGAAATTCACAAATCCGGATGAGCCTCCAGAAACTCTCGCAGAGACGTTCCCTTGACACCCACCCTCTCGTTATCCAGCTCTCCCATCGCCCACGTCCCATCCAACATATGCAGCGTGTAAAAGAACATGATATACTCCCACCACCTAGCCCTATCGCCCTTATCCCTCGCCTCATACGCCTTCTTCCTCAGATCCTCCACACTCCCCATCTGCTTGATAGTAATCTCGCACCCCCTCACCTCCCCGTAGACCCTCGCAATATCCGCAAAGCCATCAATACCAGACGTCAGTTTGAAAAATTGCTCACCATACAACGGCGACGTCTCAGGCAGACTAACAATCGCAGCCGTAAACTCTGCAGCATCAGCCTCGCTCGTCCACGCAAACTTGGTCGCTGGATTGCCCCAAACCTCCGCGACCCGACCCTTGGAATCCCACGCCCCGTTGCTGCGAGGCGTAAAGTCAACACGCCCGGGAGCAGAAAATAGGACCTCAGCTAGCACGCCCGTGAAGATCCAAATCGGCTTCAGGCTCGAACTGATCTCGACGTGGTGCCTGAAGCTGATGTCGGGATCGTAACTGTCCTGTTGCCCCAGTGACATGCGGCGCCAGTCGTAGCACCAGCTCGCAGCGACAAATCTCTTCACATTGGCTCTTTCTGCGGCCCTGAAGAGTAACAGTTGGCCTTCGAGGTGGAGTTCTGGAAAGCCGAGATAGGCGCAGATCACTGCGTCGGCGCCAGCGCAGGCCTTGTCGAGGGCGGGTATGTCGTGGTATGCTGTGCTTTCGACGAAAGACTCTAGTTGAGATGCGAGATGGGCGTCTAGCTTCGAGGGGCTGCGTCCTAGACCGCGGACTTGGTGGCCGTGTTTGAGAAGGCTGGTGACTAGCTTTTGGCCTAGGTTACCAGTTGCTCCGGCGACGAGGACAAGCATTTTTTGAGCTTGGAGATATGTTGAATGATCTGTGATAGATGATAGGGGTGAAGTGCTGAGTGAGCTTCCATGCAAATCATTCTTGAGCCTTTTATATTCTTTGTCTTCACTACATAATCTCAAACTTTTACATCGAGGCATGCAAAATAGTGAAGTCTCGCGCCGACATAGTCGCGAGGCGGTGCAAGAATCAAGCCGATGATCTACCAAAACTAGACCTAGACATGGTAGGGCGCAGTTGTAGCAATGTTCGATTGGTGTGAGACGTATCGGCAAGGCTTGGCTGTGGTGGATCTCTCGACTGCTTACACAGCTCGGTGTTAAGGAGCGAAAGAGGCCGAGCTCGAAATGCGACCGTTTCCCCGCTAACATGAAAGAAAGCCTGTCGCTTCATCGCCCATAACCTGAATGTGCTGGCTTAACGGAGCGGACTTTGGATATAAAAATTGATGTCATCTTTGGCTTTCCATACTAGCACCTTTAATGAAACTTGAAGTTTTCATTCCAATTGAACATGACAGGTTGCGCTACTCTACCCCCTCTCTCCCTTACTTACTCAAACCAGCTACCACCACCACAAAGGTCATCCATCCAACTCCGCCCCAATTCATTATACTTCACTCACCCACTCACACAAAACATCTCAACTCCAAGAAATAATCTAAAAAAGTGTATATCTATATACCGAATGCATTTTCATTATCCACATTATCTCATCCTTTATCAAGTCTTGATCATCAATCCATGTCCCGTCGAATTCATGACAAGAAAAAAGAGTCAACGTCAACCATAAAAAGAGAGAACCAAAACCAAAACCAAAAGGCGCTATACAAGCACACTCACACACCCGACACACACAATCTACCCCACTATGCAACTGGATCGCTTCACAGCGAAGGGTATAATGCAATCTCCCATCCCATGCGCGCGCGCGCAAACGCTAAAAGAGAGAAAAGAAAGAAAAACAAAAAACAAAACCAAGAGGCCGATTTCAAGAACCACCACCATAGCTGGAGGAGTAGACAGTCTTCCCGGTATTCACGTGAAGCGTTCGACTCTAAGCCTCAGCCGCCTTGGCCGCCTTGGTCAACTCCTTGACCTTGGCATCCTTCTCCTTCAACTTCTCCATGACACTCTTATTCAGCTTCTTAAGCCCCTCTTGATCGCTCTTGGCCTTCTCAAGCTCTGTTTTCAAGTTATCAAGCTCCGTCTTGCTCTCCTCGCCTGCCTTCTTGGCGGAGGTAAGCTCTTCTTCAAGAGCCGATTGCTTCTCTTCCTGGGCCTTGACGGCAGCTTGGGCGTCTTCGAGGGATTTCTGGCTGGTCTCTAGTTTGGCGTCCACTTCGGATTTGGAAGCCTCGAGGGCCTTCAGGCTGTCGGACAGCTTGGCCGACTCTTCGAGCTTGGCTTGGAGTTCCGTGAGCTCGGTGTCCTTGGCAGCCTTCTCCTTTGTGGCAGTCTCGACACTGGCTTCCAGTTCAGCGACCTTGGCGTCATGGGCGTTGATCTTCTCCTCTAGCTCGGCCTTGTCGGCAGACGCCTTATCAGCAGTTGCTTTCAGCTCCGCAAGCTCAGTCTCGAGAGATTCGGCCTTGCCTTGGGCTTCCTTGGACGCCGCAAGCTCATCATCGAGAGCTGCCTTGGCCTTCTGGGCTTCCGCCAAGTCGGCCTGTGTAGTTGAGAGGGTGGCTTTGGTCTCTTCATGAGCAGCCTCTGCCGTCTTGACGGCATCGTCTTGTCCGCTCTTAGCGGCCTCCAGTTCCTTCTCAGCAGTTTCTTTGGCCTTCTGGAGCTCTGACAGCTCAGCCTGAGCGGTAGAGAGCGACGCCTTGGTCTCCTCATGCGAAGACTCCACCTTCTTGAGGGCCTCGTCGTGGTCGACGGTGACCTTGTCAAGCTGGCTTTGCAGATCGGCGACCTTGGTTGAGTGTTCTGTCGAGGCACTTGCGGCACTTTCAAGTTGTTCCTTGGCTTCGGTTTCCGCCTGCTTGGATGCCTTGAGCTCACTGTCAAGAGTATCGTGTGCAGTCTTGACCTCAGCCAACTCAGCTTGGACGGTTGACAGAGTCGTCTCATGGCCGGATGCGGTCTCCTTGAGCTCGGCCAAAGCCTTCTCTGCAGACGCCTTGGCCTCTTCGGCAGCAGCGAGCTGGCTCTTGGTGGCTTCGTGTTCCTTCTCCAACGCGGCAACCTTCTCGGTAGCTTCCGTACCGGATGATTTAGCAGCCTGAAGATTCTCGGAGTGTTCAGCCTCCTGAGCTGCCAGCTTGCTCTCAGCCTCCTTGAGCGATGCCTCAACTTCCGCCACCTTACCAGCTTCCGCCTTAGCGTCAGCCAACTCCTTCTCCAGCGTCTCGATTTTGGTCGTCAGTTCGCCGCTCTCACCCTTCGATGACTCGGTAGCTTGGAGAGCTTCGGCGAGCTTCTCGTCAGATGCCTTGAGCGATGCCTCGAGTTCCGCAATCTTGGCGCTCGATTCGTCGGCGCTGCCTTTTGCCGCATCGCCTGCCTTTGTGACTTCTGCAAGCTCCGTGTCCTTCGCCTCAAGCTTCTGTGATGACTCCTTGAGAGATGCCTCCAGCTCCTCAATCTTCGCCTTCAGCTCGTCCGCGCTGCCCTGAGCTACATCAGTGGCTTTGGCTGCCTCAGCAAGCTCCGCCTCCTTTGCCTCTAGCTTTTGTGTAGACTCCTTGAGGGAGGCCTCCACCTCAGCGATTTGCTTCTGAAGGCCTTCCACCTCTTCCTTGGCCGACTCAGTAGACTTGGTGGCCTCCTCCTCGGCATCGGCGACCTTCTTCTGCGCGGCCTCGAGCTCCGACTTGGTGGTAGCCAGAGACTGCTCCAACTCGGTGACCTTGGCAGTGGAGGTTTCAGTAGCCTTACCAGTCTCGCTCTTGGCGGCCTCTAGCTCAGACTCTTTCTCTGCTAGGCTGTCCTTTGCCTCCTTGAGCGCTGTCTCAAGCTCGGTGATCTTCGTGTTTGAGGATTCGGTGGCCTTGCTTGCATCGCCCTTGGCAGCCTCAAGCTCAGCGTCCTTTGCAGCCAGGCTGTCCTGTGCCTCCTTCAATGAAGTCTCGAGACCAGTAATCTTTGTGTTCGAAGACTCCGAGGCGGAATTGACATCGCCCTTGGCGGCCTCCAACTCAGACTCCAGCTTGCTAATGGTACTGCGAAGTCCTTCGGCCTCTTCTTGGGCAGATGTGGATGCGGTGTTGGCATCGGCCTTTGCAGCCTCTAGTTCTGCTTCCTTCTTTGCGAGGCTGTCCTGTGACTGCTTGAGAGACGCTTCGAGCTCTGCCAATTTTGTCGTAGATGCCTCGGAGCCCGTACTAGCGTCGTCCTTTGCAGCTTGTAGGTCAGCCTCAAGCTTGCTAATGGTGGTGCGCAGACCTTCAGCATCCTCTTTCGCGGAGGTAGTAGCCTGGTCAGCAGCGCTCTTGGCGCTCTCAATCTCTGCGTCCTTTGCTGAGAGCTTCTCCTCAGACTCCTTTAGGGAGGCTTCAAGATCAGTGATTTTGGCAGTCAGAGTGTCGACGTTGGCTTTTGCCTCTTCTGCCGCCTTGGTGGCAGCCTCCTTCTCGGAAGCAAGGGAAGACAACGAAGCCTCGAGCTCGGATGTCTTTGCAGCCAATTCGTCTTGCGCCTCCTTGAGCGAGGCCTTGAGCTCGCTGATAGTAGTGTGCAGGCCTTCAGCGTCACCCTTCGACACGTCAGCAGCCTGGAGCTTCTCCTCCAGATCGCTGATTTGTGACTTCAAACCATCGACCTCGGTCTTGCTCGACTCGGCGAGAGAGTCGAGTTTTTCCTGTGCGTCCTTGAGAGCGGTTTCCAGCTCTTGGGTCTTGGTCGTAGCTTCACCATGAGCGGATGTCTCCGCCGCAGCTGACGCTTCGAGCTTGTTGATGGTTGCGCGAAGGTTCTCAGCCTCCTCTGAGATCTTGCTGTGCTCGTCGCTCTTGGCGGTGAGCTGAGTAGTGGCCTCATCGTGCTTTGCTTGGAGGTCGTTGACAGTGCTACGAAGGCCTTCAACCTCCTCGGATAGCTTGCCGTGTTCATCAGTCTTGGCGGTGAGCTGCGTGGTGGCTTCATCGTGCTTCGCTTGCAGCTCTTTGATGTGGGCGCCCTTGGCCTCCTCCAACTCTTCAAGCTGCGACTTGAGCGAAGTGACCTCGGCCATGAGCTCCTGCACCTTCTCCTTTGAGCTGTCCCTCTCCGAAGTGAGAGCAGCAATAGCCTCTTCCTTGGCCTCGACGTCGGTCTGGGGCACCAAGGCAGTATTCTGGCTCTTCAACTCCTCGAGCTCAGCATTCGCCTTGGACAGCGAAGCCTCGGCGGTGCTCTTCGCGGTGGTAAGCTCATCCAGCTCCGCCTTCGCCTTAGCAAGTGACTCCTCGGCGGCGGCCTTCTCTTCCGACAGGACTTTGAGGTCGCCGTCCTTGGCCTCGAGGTCCGCCTTGGGTATCGCCTCGCCCTTGTCAGCCTCGAGCTTGGCGACGGTGCTCTTCAGTGTCTCAATCTCGGCCTTGAGGGCCTCAATCTCCTGCTGCAGCTCGGTGACGCGAGCCTCGTGCTCTTGGGTGACTTGGGCCATCTTGGCGTTGAACTCGGTCTCGCACTCGTCGAGGACGATACTCCTCTCCTTGGTTTTAGCTTCGCGCACTTGCTGTACGACGACGCTTACCATGTGCTCCTCGAGATCCTTTTTATCCTGCTGCAGCGTTGCCTCTCGCTCCTCGAAGCCCCGCTCACGCTCTTTGTGGTCCTCCTCAAGCACCTTGACGTGCTCGTCCTGCGACTGTGCCACCTTCTGGGCTTCGTCGAGATCGGCTTCGGCGTGGGCAAGCTTGGTTTTGAGCTTTTCGATTTGCACTTCGATCGAGTCGTTGGCTTGCGGTGAGGGGGGCTCGCTAGCTGGGAGGCGGCGGGTTAGTATTGCGGAGGCAGGCGCGTAGCGCAGTCCAACGTGATGTGAAGATGGGTGGTGAACAGGAACATGTCCTGTGCAAGAGTTCGTTACTGGGCAGGTGGATGGAAAAAGAGCTTCAAACTTACCAGCTTCGTCTTCACTTAGCGGTGCCTCGCGGGGTGTCCTAGGCGGGGTGTCGACGCCATTTTCACGTGGCGTCTGCTGATCCTCACTTGGTGCTGTGATATCGGTTGTAGTCAACGGCGTTGTTGGGGAAGCCGGGGCGGGCACAGGCTGGGCCCCACCAAAGAAGTAGTTGTAAGCTCTCTTCATACTGCTGGTACGTTTGGGAAGTCCTGGGCGGGTCGAATTGGAAGATTTCCGTCCTCTTCTCTCTTCGTGCTGAGCTCCTTCACCTAGTACAGTGACAGGGATGAGAGTATCTCCGCTCTTCTCTCTCTTGTGGCTGGAGGTTCTTTGGGTAAGCCTCCGGGTGAATTTCTGAGACCCCGACTGGATGTCAGCGAGGATCTGTTTCTGCTCTCTGGTCGATCCACTATGGAAGAATATCAGTAAAAGCTCAATGGGTTGTATACAGATGGCGGTAGGACCACCCAAGGTGAGCCGGATGCTGTAGCCGAGTAACAGAGTCAAAAGAAAACCAAAAGTTGGAGGGTAGAAGCTACACAGCGTAACACAGTAGGCAAGAAGCTTCCTTACCAAAAGGGATTATTCGTAAATCGTAAAGCGCGATGGGCAAAGGTCGGTGTCGAGGGGAGACGATTGCAGTAAGAAAAAAAGAAAAAAACTCGGTGAGAGATGACGGAAAGAGGAACTCACTCATAGCTTTCTTTTCTGCCCCAACTAGGCATGATTCAGTCACGTCAAGCCTGCTATCAGCGGGCTCACTAGCGAATTAAAATTGGTTAAGAGAATGCGGGTGCCGCCTTGAGCACGGCGTCGCCAGCGGTAGGTATTGGACCTTTATGTACAAGCACAACACGTCGATGGTGCAGGGCTGCAGGAGATGGACAGTGCCTCTACCAATGGCAAAGTAGCACGTCAGAACCACCACGTCGCGAGGAAAAGTCGTGCGTGAGCTCCGGGGAGGGAATAGGAAGAGAGCAATGTGATGCAGATGCAAGTGGTATCAACAATGGCAGGAAAAAAGCCTGTTGCGCAGTTGATCAAGTCGCAGCGCGTGGGATATGTGCAGCGGTCCTCCTCATGCCGTGTCGTGCCAGCGTGCACAACATGTCGACGACAAGAGACAGCTTGAGCACGGATGCGGATGCGGATGGGGCGCATCGACGACCAGGGAGAGCCCTGGAGTAGGCGCTGGCGTCTTGCTTTGCTGGACTCGGCTTCATGCGAACTATCCAATTGCTCTGCAGGAACAATAGGCGTTTCGTCCCATTCGTCTCATCCATCTCGAGACGACCTCTCCAAAGCCAGGTAATTTGCATGGCCAGCGACAAGGTCCAAGGGGCCGGCCCTGAGATGAGACACGTACAGTCTATATCAAGGCAGGCCCTTTTTTCGCGCCCAACAAAGCTGGCGGGTTGCGGTGTGTGAGCAGGGTATTCTTTCGCGGGCGGTTGATGCGTTGTCGGATCCGCAAGAGGGTTGGCGAGTGGAAACATGGGATGGGCGGCGACGGACGGACCGCATGCTTGGTAAGACAGTACATTGTTCGCTGCCACATCATGTCCCTTCTATCTAACTACACCATCTCCATCGTTCATGCATGCCACTTTGATCACACTCTGATCAATCTACCACGATCCCCCATCTTGCCTTTGCGCACCACACGATTCCCCCAAGCTGCCCAGCTGCTCAATTTCCACGTTGCAAAGTCTTCACCGCCAATAATGCACCCCAGAGATGCCCTGCATAATCGCACCCGTTAGCGCTAGCCAATGCTCAAGCTCAAGCCCCCCAGCTCCACTGCCATGGCCATGACCGCTCAATTGCAGATCAGATCGTGGCTCGTGAGGCACGGCAGAATTCTTCTCGTTGTCTAGGTGACCCTTGAGCATCATGCGACGACATGTGAAGGTTCGAAAAAATTCTCATCTCCTGATTACGCTCAAGCATCTAGCTTGCAAATCACGTAGATGAATATAGTGATATCATTGAATCGCAAAAAGCAGACGTGTACACGCCTGTTTACGTGCCCACTTCCCAATCATAAACGCCGCGACAATGCTATCCAAATCATTGCTCTCCACGGGCGATTCCACACACACACACCAGGGGTAGAAGGGGGAATATGAACACCATGCTGCACCAAAGACAAAAAACGCCAATAACTCAAACTGCTGAACCTGGCCTTCTATACCTCGAACTAGCTGCTGAACCTCGCATTGCAGGAGGGACCGTAGACGAGCGATAGCGCGGGACACTAATGATGAACGCTGGAGGACCAGCCTCAGAAGTACCCGAGAGACGGCGCCTGTGCCTCACCTCTCGCAGTCTTTCTCTGCTTCGCCTAATCCGATCGCGTCCTAGAAAAGAAAAAGAGTCGTGTCAGCTTGATCCCAATCCAGATGAGGCGGTCCCCATTATGACTGAGGACCAAACAAACCCCTGCGGATTCGATCGCTAATGCCTCCGTTCCCAGATCCCGAGTTCTGATCGCCCTGGTTCGTTGATGAACTCGTTGGTCCACCATCTCCAGGCAGGACGAATGGGTCGTTGGAGGTACCTGCGCCAGAGCCGTGGAACGCTCCCGGCATCTGTGAGGTCCTATCCACCTCCTCCGATGTGGCTTGTCCGCTCGACGCTTGATTTGACTCTGCTTGTTGCTGTTTCGTGATTCCCTTTCGACAATGTGGACAAGTATCATGCTCCGCCAACCATGCAGATACGCACTGGTGGTGGAACCAGTGCTTACAAGGCAGCACCGTGACTTGCTCGCCAACGTTGACGTCATCCATGCAGATACTACATTCGGCAGTGTGTTCGGGGCCCAGCATATCTTCGGTAATATTCTTCCTCGGTAGCGCATCGATATCGTTCTGCGTGGCGGGCCCTGGCGCGTTGCTCGTTGCCGTCTGCTCCATGAGCTGCGACACAATGCGGTCGAGACCTTCTTGTGAGTACACAAAGTCGCCCATTTGGCCGCCCGCGCCGCCCAACAAACCCATCGAGGTGAATAGTTGGAGGAAGGGGTGGGCGGCTCGTTGCGTTTCGTCGGGGTTGTGCTCGCCACGTAATGTGGCTCCGGGGCCGCCTTGGTGTTGGTGTTGGTCGTGGAGGCTGCCAGGTGGTGCGCCCAGTGCTGCCAAAAGGCCGGCCATGACGCTATGAAATTTGTTAGCAGCATTCTCGCCATGCTTAACTTGCCAAGTCTTACTTGGTTATATCATCCACAGGTTCTATTCGCGGTTCTGGGTTGTTGGCGTCTCGTGGAAATAACCGTGCTCCGCCATGGTATGTGAACCTTCCCGTTCGGACCTCAGGCTGTCCTGCCGCCCCTTGAGCCCTCGACTCTTGGAATGCAGACTGGTTCTGGGTTTGATTCGGTCCTGAGAACAGCCCCTCGCCCTGACCTTGTGTTTGGCCCTGTGGTCGTCCTGCAACCCCAGCCAATCCATTCAACATGGACATGAATCCACCTATTGATGCGGGTGCCATGCCGGCTTGTAGGCCCTGTGGGGACACAGATCGTGTTATCGTAGCGTGAAGGTTGATTCTGCCCGGCGTGGTCTGAGTAAAGTTGAAGTTGCTGATATCAGCCTCTTCCGGGTCGTCTGTCTGTCTTGGATTGAAATGCCCGAATGGGAGGGACGAGCCTTCGACGAGGTCGGGCAGGGAATCGGAGTCGTCACCGTACATGACGCTGTCCCGGGGGTCATTGTCTCCTTCAATCTGGGTGGGGTTAGCGGTGCTGGCGGGGTATGCTTGCTTTCGCCCCAGGTTCCGCGGCGCGTCAACTCACGATTTCTGTGAAGTCTGAGTGGCACTCTGGGCAGGTCAGACCATGTTCATCCCGGTACCATTCATCGTTGCACTCATGGCAGAACATCATATCGCGGTGGGCCGGCCTCGGTTGGTTGCTTGATTGGTCCATGGTTGCGGTGTATAAGAGGTAGGCTAGGCGGAAGTAAACAGGGTAATGTCTAGGCTGTGTGAGTAAGGCATAACCAGGGGATGAAATGAACTCACGAGGTTATGTCAGAAGGAGTGAGCTCGGCGCGGAAGTCGACGAGTTCAGACCTCTGTCATGCGCTGTACTGCACTAGCTGGCAAAGGCGCTGTAGCTCGGGAGGCTAATACGGGTATGGAGAGTTTCGTCGGATGTGAATAGACCAAAAGGGACGTAGGTTGGCGTGGAGAAGAGTAACCACGAAGGTTGGCGGCGAATTTTGTCTCTCGGAACTGTTCCAGATTGGCCGGTGACGTTATTCTGGGAGATCGCGAGGCCGAGGCAGGGGTCCAACCGTCGTCCCGCCCGCACAGCTTCAAGCTTTCAGATGTAGTTTGGTCGAGCGCGTTGCCTCTCGAAAAAAAGAAGAAAAAGCGCAGAGGAGCCGCCTAAATGCAAAAAGGTCTTCCTTTGTGACTCTGAGAAGATTCGTGTCTTGGTCTGACTCCGCGTTTGTTCGAACACTTGTCACTCTCGCTTGCTTCGACGTTCTATTTGCTTCTATGGCTGTCTGTCAACGAGATGGAACAAAGACACTGTGCAGTTATGGCAGTTCTTGAATATATAGTTTTGAAGCAGATAATCTTGATACGCAAATCCTGGAGAGTATAATCAAAATAATATACAGACTCAGGTAAAGGTAGAGGTTCCACCAACAAACGCCTATGCAAGCGCTTCAACAAGCATGATATCCCAAAACGATTCATCATTTCGTCAGCTGTATCCCAACGCACCCCCTGCTGAGCTACTTCATCTTTTCTTCCCAGCCCCTCTGAGGAGCAAACTTCCCAACACTCCCGCCGCAACCACTACACCGCCTACAATCGCCGCACCAACCAACCCCTCCTTCGCAACCTTCTCGTCAATCAGTCCCTTCAAACTCCCCGACTGTAAATTTGCCGGCTCCAGCTCCAACAGTAGCTCATTGTATCGTCGGGCTTCGGCGTAGTTACCGAGTTTGTAGTTGCCCAAGGCGAGGTAGTAGAGGCATTCGCGGCGTCGCTCGCGGGAGTTGCGGAAGATCTCGGAGAGGAGGCGGACGCCTTCTTGTTGATCAGGGCGGGAGTTGGATTTTATGAGGCCCTGAGAGTAAAGTCAGCTGGCGCTGGGTGGAGACGATGCAGAATAGCAGAGTATGTGTAATCATAACGTACCCATGCATAGTTGAACTTTGTCTGTAAACCAACATACTCGCCTTCTTTCTCGTATTGCGCCCGCAAGACCTGGAGTTCTTCTGGCTTCAGCGGCGACTCAACGTCTGCGGCATCTGTTTGACACTTAGCCTCACGCCACTCGAACAGATTTACATGTCTACTCACATGGTAACGACGGAGACATGGCTCAATCTGTGATGTTTGGAGTATTCGTAGGAAGAGGATGTAAAAGCCCAGGATCAACGGCAAGAGGCGAGAAATGCGCAGGCAGATGTCCAGGCCTTGTCTCGTGAAAACGATGTGTGACGTACGCCTCGTGTGGCTTGCCGCCGCTCCAGCTTCCGCCACATCTCTGACTTCAGTCGTTGCCACACGCGACCGTGCACGGATCAAGACAACACTGAAACATCAACACCACGACACTATCGCGAAATCGCTACTTTACATCTCGAGATACCCACGATTGCGCATACCATTAGCCTCGAACTGGGAACCAAAATTTAACCCAAAATACCGCCGCGACAACGAGACAATTGTCAAAATGCTTCTCGACGAAGATCCCGCTGCTGTATGTTACCTTTCCATGCTCCCCTGCACACAACATTGCGTATACTAACACCCTCCCAGCTTATCGCGCAATGCACCTCGCACTTCAAAATCTCAAACGACACCGCCTCCCTCCTCCGCATCGGCGACAGCCTCTCTACGCTCTCCACCTTCCGCACCCAACATCTCCAATCCATCCAATCCTCCCTGTCCGCCCTGAACCGGACACACCAAACCCTCTCAGCGAACCACAACCACACGCTAGCGCAGCACAACCCAACAAACCACGCAGCTGAGATTTTAAGACTGGACACGGCAAAGTTCAAAATTGCGAAGCAGGCGAGTGATCTTGAAATCGAGGGGGAGAGGTTGCAGCAGGATCTCGGACGGCTTGGGGGAGTAGCGAGCGAGCTGGAGGAAGAAGGTGTAGAAGGAGGGGCGGTGGAAAGGCCCGGGGATGATGCTACAGTGTACGTTGCACGAATCGTAGAGCTTGTCGCATCAAGATGCAACCAATTGAAGCAAAATGTGCTAACGAAAATCTCTAGACTGAAGCTGAAACTCTACCGCACGCTCGGCATCGACGTCGAAGCTGATCCCACAACCGGTGAATATAACAAAGCCATTATCCGTAATGCGGCAAAGGGCGACGTCCATGTTGTCAATATCGATCCGAAATTCTCGCGGCACTTTTACACGAATTATTTTTGGCGGACGATGTAAGTCGTTCAGTCTGCTGGATAGGATGCAGGGCGTAAGAAGCATGTCTCCTTCGGATGAGTAATTGAAGCCTTCCCAAGGACTGGAAGCGGCGTTGTGGATACAAGTCCTATTTTGAGATACCTTTTGTACTTGCGGCGTTTCCGGGGGTTAATGTCCATGACATGACCATCATGCAGATTTATTACTTGAGGCGAACTTACTCCCCCTTGGCCGTTCTTTTCATTAAATATACCATGGCTCATGATTGTGGGAATAGCAATCGAATAGCTGAAGACTTGGTTTGCACTAGGAGATTGTATGATCTATAATGATGTGAATTACACACTTATGATGTCGCAAGGCATACTTCGCAATGGGGGGAGCATCGCACATCATTCGGCAGCAACAGCTCGTATTGCACTGACCCTATCAATAGCCTCGTAGTGCTCGTAACACATCAGCATCTCGTGACTAGTTCCATCATGCCTACTCCCACCTACTCCCTCCCAACACTCTCCCTGGCATGCAGCCAGAACACAAACACAAAAGCACTCACAACAAGCGTAAACACCCACAATTCACTCCCCATTCTGCTCATTCGTCATCACCAACTCCCATCGAGACATTCAGACCACCAGGCGTTTATCGCTTAGTCTTCTTCTTCGATGACACAACCTTGAAGTCGCCCGTCACAAGAGAAGAAGCACTTTGCTGCTGGACGGTGCTCGCACCACCCTTCTTCGCGACTTCAGACCAGCCGCTGCCTCCAGACTTGTTCTCAGCGGGAGACGATGTACTACGCTCATCGACGATGCCTTTGTCGGCCAATTTGCGGCGGCGCAAGAACTCTTCGGCGAAATGGCGGGAATCGAGCGTGTAGGATGCAGAGTGTACACATTCGGTAATGAGTTCGACGTCAGCGGGGAATGTGAGCAGGGATGAAACAAAGTCCTCGGCTGTTCTAGCGTTAGTAGATAGTTCGTATCGAAGGTGTGAGCGGATACATACCATTGATACCCTTGTTTAGATCGTGGCGAACTTCATTTACTGCCCACTTGGTGAACTCCTCTTGCGCATTGGCCTTGCCCGCTCCTCCTCCTCCCATTATAGTGCTGCGCGTAACAGTAGGCTTCTTTACCACAGGCGGCACGATAGTGCTGCTAGTTGAACGAACCGGAACTGGTGCAGGAGTCGTCGTACCGCCAGGAGTCTTTACCTTTCCGCTTGCACCCACAGTAGTCCAGGCGCTGCTACCAGCGGGTACGGGTGGTAATGCCGGACTGCTTTTGCCAGCTAGATCAGCGTAACGCTTACCAGCAGATGTGACTGGGGTTACAACGCTGAATGCTCCGGCAGTAGCGGCAGCGGCAGTGGCGGCAGCAGCTTTTTGCTTGCGAGCCTCCTCTTCCCTCTGGATCTGCTGAAGCGTCTTCTTGGAGTTCGACGTCGGCACTGGAGCGGTTTTTCCTGCCAGTGGCTTGGCCCAAACTGAAGCTCCAGTTGCGTTCGGGGTAACGGGAGAAGCACCGCTTGCCCAAGTTGAGCTCGACGGAAGGCCGGGTTGGATGGCAGGTGATTGCACTTGAGACAGCAGCTCTTTCTCGAAAGCCTCGCGACGGGCTGCTGCTGCGATGGCTTCACGCTCGGCAGCCTTCTTAGCCTCGGCCTCTTGAATTTCCCTTAGAGAAGGTCCTCTGGAGGCTTCGGCAGGCTCCTTCGCCCATGGTGCGATCGAGGCGCTTGGGGTATCGGCAGCAGGGGTCGCTGCACCTGAACGAGATTCGTTCGTCAAGTTCTCAGCAACAATAGGCTTCCTCTGCGCAGCTGGTGCAGGAAGAGGGGACTGGGAAGGCGGTGGGGGGAATGGGAAGATAGCAGGCTCTACTTTGTTCCACGCTGATGGGGGCTGAGGTGAGTGCTTAGCAGAAGCTGCTTTTTGAACTTGCTCGGTGAGTGACAGTGGTTCCTGGCTGGCATGCGACACGTTAACCTTAGGTTCAAGAGCTTGATTGTGAGCCTCAAACTGATCGGGTATCGTAGGCTCAGATTGTCCCTGTGACTCTGCCGCGGGTGCTGAGGGCTTTCCTATAACCCCTTCTGGTGGGGGAGCGACTCTGGTCGGTTGGTCCAGGTCTGTCTGAACCCTCAAATCATTGAACTGCTGCAGACGATCAGCGAAAGCTTGAGCGTTTTGTTGCTCGTTTGGGGCATGTCGCTGCACATTGTCATGGTCGGCTTGCTCCCTTTGGAGGCGAGCACGATCACTCAGCATGGAGACAACCTGTTGGGCATGTGTGTTTGGCTCAGGTTGCTGCCCAAAGGCTGTTGGTGCAGTGCCAAACGTCGGCTGACCAGTGCGTCCGAGGTTAAGACGGTCCATCATGGCCGGTACATCTTCGTCTCGCAAGTTGCTTAGCATATCCATACCTGGACCGATCGGACCCAAACCTGGAACAGGGCCCGGTCCAGATCTGAACGCATTGTCCAGCAGGCCTGGAACAGATGCTCCAGGGGCAGGTGCTTGGGTAGGTGATGGCTGGTAACCGCCCGGAGATGTAATGCTTCCGAAACTTGGTTGGCTGTGTAGACTGTGCGCGCTAGAATGGTGATTTAGTTGATTCGGGAGCATGCCACCCAGTTGAACCGATCTGGCAAGCGCTTGCTGTTGTGCAGCCAAATGCTCCTTCTGACGAGCCATAAGATACTGCTCCTCTTGTTTCCGACGCTCAAGGGCATTTTGTTGCTCGGCAGTCAACGTTGTTCCAAAGCTGGGAAAGCTATTCGCAAAAGGAGGTTGAGCACCGGGAGCGGCACCAGGAGTGGGACCAGCACCTGCCCATGTATTGCCTGGCTGAGCGGTGGGCGGGCCGTGTGGAATGCCAATCTGAGGAACTAAGAACGGCTCTCGCGAGTTTCCAATACGACGAATAAGTTGAGCAAGAGGCTCATAATCAGGCTCTTCCTGTTTCTTGACCAAGAGCTCTGGGGAGAAGAACCCAGCTTTGTACCAGTCGTGCATTTCGAGGCCAGAGAACGGTCCCTGAGTGTTTCCTGAAGGGTCACGGTAGATCCATCTCATCCGATCCGGCATGACCATGGTACGTTGCTGTGGTGCTGGGGGCTGGCTTGAGGCAGGGCTACTGATGCCGGGTGTCGACGCCTGAGCAGTCCGTGTGTGATTCAGGGCAGCCATGGATAGCGAGGTGGTAGCTAAAGTTGAAGATGGGGCAGCTCCAGAGGCCTGTCCAAATGCAGAACCACCATGATCGTCCCCAGATGCGCCAGAAAAGTCATCGAACAAGTTGCGGTTCGCGCGGAATGGACTTTCGGTCTCGCGGGTAGGAATTCCGCCGCCAGGGGCTTGGTTACCGAATGCATTTCGTCCAAAAGTGCCAGTCATGCTCTGTTGTCTATCCCCGTGTGAGGAGCTGTCATCAGCATGTGGGCGATTTGGGTCATTGGATCGCAGCTGGTCTTGCATTGAAGTTGGAAAGAGCGAGCCCAGTCTGCTAGATCGGCCAACTGTTCCGTGTCCGAGGCCTGAGGCTGCCCCAAACAATGAGCTGCTTCCTAAGCCAGCCAAGGAAGGCGACTGGGCTTCTCCTACGTTTCCGAAAGCATTGTCGAAGCCTCCCAAGCCACGTTCCCGGATCGGAGTACCCAGATTTTGTTGTCCAGATGACCACGCTGCAGAGCCGCCAAGACCAGGAAGACCACCGAGACCAGGGAGTGTGGGAAATCCTCGAGCAGGTCCGACGCTGGATGTCTGGCTGCGATCGCTCGCTGCAGTTTCAAATGGTGCAGATACCCTGCCGAGGCCAGTAAGCCCACCGAAAGCGTTGTGGATACTAGGGTTGACGGACTGATCGACCTGGAAGCTACCCATACCAGGGTAATTACCGTGTTGAGCATTAGAGTCGTCTGAATCGTCATCGTGGTCGTCTCTCGCGTGGTCGGGACTTCGATATGGATTGGTGTCTGTAGGGCTCATTGGATCGTTGCCTCCATCGCCTGCACGGTGTGGCGTGTGATGTGCAAAGTTTTCCCGGCCATGAAACATATCGCGAAGGCCGGCGTTATCGGCAGTCATCCCAAATGCAGAAAATCCGGTGTCGTCTCGATGGTGTGGCCGTTGTGGAGTGCCGAAGGCGCCCAAGTTTTGAGATCGGGGCGGACTAACATCTTCGCCGCGAAGTGCGGCACTACCCGTTGGGCCATCGTCGTCTGGAAATGGATCGGTATCGTTACTGGTTGGCCTATTGGAACGAGCTTCCATCCAAGAACCCGCCGATTTGGGAGGCTCTGCTTCGTTGAGGATCCCCAGGTTACTGATGGAAGCCTTCTCTTTTGGAGCCTTCTCGAAGTCCTCGGTACTGGTTTTACCCATCAATCCCTTGAACCTGCTCTCTCCACGCATGCTACCATATCCGGGCTTTTTCTCTGGCTGTGGATTTCCGAAGCTACCAAAAGCGCCGAAGCCACCACCTGGAGTAGCAGACCACGGTGAAGTGGCACCGCCCGGGCTAAAAGGCGCAGTCGTTGTACGCTTGAGCGAGCCAAACGGGCCAGCGTTTTCAGCTGCACCCTTTTCTCTGTCACGCTCCTCGCTCGGGCGACCCTCTACAGGTTCCTTGTAGTCAGTCCGACGGCGTACAAGTGCAGGGGGCGGAGTCACGGCACTGGATTCTTCCCGTGCGAACCGTGAGGTTGCAGGCGATGAGGGAAAGGGATACGCTTCTCCAGTATCGCGGCGACGTACGCCTGGTCGCGCGGCTGTGGGCGACGACATGCCATAGGGAGTGCCCGCACCTTGGGAGACGGACGTCTTGCGCAAGGAGAGGCCTTCTTTAGGGGTGCCATCCTTATTGGCGTTCTGAGTAGGCGGTTTGAGCGGCGAGTTGACGGACGAGAGGAAGATCTAAGCGAGAAAATGAACATTAGGCCACAATTACAACGTGAAGGCGCAATGGGGAAGGACATACCTCTTTCTCGTCGTCAGTCATATCTGCTAAGCTGAGGGGCAATACACTGCCGTCTCTGTCCCAACACTGGTCGACCCCGCTCTGGGCCTCCCTGCCGTGGTCCTCCTTGCGACCCCACGACGCGCCCGAGGCCCCGTTTGTGGCATGCGGCTCCCACGCACCCATGTACAGACTCGATGGTGCATCAGTGAGGTCCCCCGAGTCTTGCTGCGTCCTGAAGAGGTGCGTGAGCTGATCTCGAGAATAGCGGCCGTCGACTGAGCTGCCATTGCGCCCTGGTTGTGCGTGCGGTGGGACGTATACGCCAGGATTCGACGAGTTCTGGGGTGCGGATGCATCTCTCGAAGACGAGTGGGTAGTCGATCCAGAGAGTGTCGTCGCGTGTGAGGGCCGCCGAAATGTTTGTGTGGCACCATTGGTACGTCGAGCCCTGCGTGTTTTAGTATACGGGAAATCGGAAGGGAGCCTAGTCATGGTGGGAGCGATCGATGTAATTATTGGAGGGGAATGTGTGCTTGTGTATCTTGTTGCGACAAGGAAGAATGCTTATGGCTGCAAAGCTAGGGCGCTATATGCATGCCATGTACACGATGCAAAGAATGGCTGCACTCACCAGTCGGCGCCCGAGTCTGCACGCGCTGGGTTTGCGTTGTTTCCCGCAGCTGCTGAAGCAAAGGAAGGAGGAGCCATTGTGGAGGTGGTGGGGTGGAAGTGGCTATCGAGCGAGCGTGCTGTTGGAGGCCAGAAGTTTTAGTGGCTACGTGTGGGAGGCAGGTGGTGGATGCAGGTGCGGTGGAGACGATAGATGTATGGCTGCAGCTGATTCGATGTAGGCGAGTGAGAAGAATGGCACGGGGACGAGTGTGATGGGGTTTGGTGCGAGGAGTTGCAGTCGTGTTGCGGCGACAAAAGAAGAGCTCGAACAACTGAAGAACATTTGAGGTTGGCCATCCACAGCCGAGATGGGTCACGTGCGCCATGTTTTCTCCGACGCCGTTTTGGACGAGTCGGCCTGGGAACGCGTTGGACGCGTCTTGCATCAATCCGAACTGCATCTCAAACTCCTGCGTAGGGCCTCTATCAAGACATTGCCTTGCCTGCCTATCCAATGTTTGGCCTCACAACGCGCATATTGTCCCTTCCCCGCTGTACCACCTGCACGCAAGGAACGCTGTTGATGCGCGCCTCCCATTCTTTGCCTGCAGTACAACACCACCCAAGAGACGCGACCCCCCGCTTTCTCTCATAGTCGCTTTTCTCACGCAGAGAGCTCGTTACGATGTTGTCAGCTTCTTCAGAGATGTATTCGCCTATCCTCATGTTTGCTTGTTCAGTCTAGACTGGAACATGCGGCCGCCACCGCGGTTTGCTCTCGCTGTCGCCGCTCCACGTTTGCTCCTCACTTTAGACTGCATCTTGTGTGCCCGCTGGACACCAATCTTCTGTCGTCTTACATCAATATTACATAGATCCAGCCCGTTAGCATCTCGACTACCACGCTACAAGCAGGATTCTTCGTTGACTTGTCCTTAATCCAGCCTAGGCGTCGACTGCTAGTATCGCACAGAGTCCGCGACCAAAGTAGCTACTACAGTTGTGCACTTGACCTGTTCTGGTGACAGGCGAACTCCACTATAAGGAGAACGTCGCAGCCTGCCCATATTCCCGAATTTGCCGAATCTCTTTTGCTTCCTGTGTAACGAACCCATCACTAGCACACCCTGAGGATCCGCCATTCGCTCATTGTTTGTTTGCTTGCTACTTACTCAGCAGGTTCTCCTTCACGGTTCGCTTGTTCACATCAGGCTCAGGCTTGCCGACACTTATCACCTTCTCCCAGTCACTCATACAACTCGGCTTGACTACAATATCCACAACTCCGTTTCAAGTTCACGGTATTGATGGCTGGACCACTTGGCTTCCCCGGCCTTGGTTACAAGCACCATCATAGACCTCATGATCCATATACTGGCGGCAATGAGTACTATCGTGGGAACCGAGATACGCTATTTGGAGATTTTGCAACCCACCAAAGGCACGCGCATGTGCGTATGTTTAGCGGTAATTCGTCGCCATATGGACGCATGGGAGGGTATCAATCCCCATTTACAGGTCTAGGAGGGGTGAATCCTATGATGGGAGGATACCCATCGCCTGGCTTTTCTTCACCACTAGGTATGGGCATGGGTATGGGCATGGGCATGGGTCCTCATGGTCGGCGCCCTGTCATCGGGCACGGATATCAACAGCCTTCACCGTTTGGCATGGGCACTCTACCTCGAGGGAATTCTACTTTCCCTCATCGCCAGCGTGGATACTCATCATGGCCTAGGGCCCAACGCAGTCCCTTCTCATCGCGCTTCGTCGACGAAGATGGCTCGGAAGACGACGACGATTACAGTATGTTGCCCATGTACAGCTTCCCGAGACGGAGAAGAGGCGGCTTTAGGCATTATCGGCAAGCACCACATGGGAGGTCTTTCAGAGGCACTTTATTGGACGACTATGACGAAGACTACGATGGTTACGAAAACTTTGACGAGGAAGACGACGATGATGATTTCGACGACTTTTTCCCACCTCGCCGATGGCAAAGATACTAACCGCATACAATGAGGGTCATATTATCGGCGTCCTCGTTCTACTCTATACTTTCGAGTTAAGCGTGCTTGGATACAATTCCTTCTAATTTCAGCTCAACGTTCTTTATTCGGCACAGAAAACTTGCTTAATCGTCGCAGATGTTATGTTAGATAGATGGCGGAACGGCGGCATGTCGAGAATTCGTAATTTTCCTCGTGCTCGATTCCCTCTAAATATGCGTTCTCCATATGATTAACCTTTCTACTAAAATAATTTTTCTACTTTCAATTTTAATTATTGTTCGGCTACCTAGCCAGTCCGAAGTTTTAATATTCCTCAACCTCTTTACAGCTATTTATCGGCTTCACCAGATGCAGACGAACGTGATGGGTAGTTCTCATCTACAAAGCGCGTGATCTTCTCTATAGCGAAATACCCGTAGGTAGGCTCTAGGGTAATTCCACGGAACCGGATTGTTTGCTTTAGTAGTAGGAATGGAGCACGGGTGTAGGCCATTGGACAGGGGCAAACTCACTCGGGTACTATCGACCTGCCTATATTGCCGTTCCTTTAGGGCGGTTTGCCTTTAATCGCAAGCGCGGGTAGTGACCTATTAACAGCAGGGCTCCGTGTGTTTGCACAATCCACGAGGAATTCCCGTTTAGGACCATCGATTACACCTAGCTTACACAGTCATGCGGATCATCTTCTAATTCTACACCAATCAGGAGCAGGATCTCCTGTTTGGGAAACATTCAAGATGCTGAGGTCCTGTTTAATGTCCGCGATCTTGTCGCTTAATGGGCGAACAATGCGGGTAGAGATGTCAATCTGATTCTAGGAGTATCCATCGGAGCTTGTGATGATCCCACAGTTTGGGAACAACAGGAGATTGAAGCGAGGACAGATATTATGAGACCTAAGCTTGTCTTCAATTAATCTTAATTGTTTGCACCCACCGTCTCAACTTAATGACATTTCCCTGAATAACTCGACTGGCCATATTGGGGAAAAAGGCATCTAGTTACGTTCATTGTGCAAACAAACACCAAAAATAGAACGCACTTTGACTAATGCTCATCAAAGAACACTTCACACATTATCCTCTATTGAATACATTCTCGACTCTCAAGCTTTCATGTGTCTCCTCTTCCATTACACTTATGCCTGTCACCCTACAGAGTCTGAGACGATCTTTCAACCTTGTTACCTCCGTTCTCGACAAGTGAGCTTGTACCAATACCACCACACAAGCTGGAAAAGGCTGTCCATGCTGGAAAGCAACAATCCTTTTTTGAAGACGTGTCCACGGTTGTGGGAGAAGCGGGTTACGCCTCCTCTGTGCAATAGTTGTACGCTAAGACAAAGTCTAAGGGGTAGAAAGCAAGAAGAAGCAGATTGGTAGAACAATGGAGCATGTTGGACTAATGGGTAAGATGGCGAGGGTATTAATAGACAATGTCGATTGGGATCATAAATGATAACCACACGTTCCTTTCTTGTATAATATTCCACGATATTGCTTTGTTTTCTTGTAGGGTGGGCTGAAGAACATCAAATTTTCTCAGGCAGTGGCAGACACCTGAGTGCTAACCCATTATAATACAAGATAACCATTCAACCACTAGTCAGACGCAAAGGTTCGCTTCTTACATGCTGTCATATCAGCAGCTTTGTAGCGATTCACTTCACATAGTGCTCTTAGTCCGATCTTTTCGACAAATTGGAATGCAGCAATCTTTTAGGTAGTCTTCCAGAAAGAAAACAAGAAAGCTTGATTCTTCTCTTACTCTTCCGTCAATCTGCAGCCTTGGAAGCAGATGAGTGTAACATGCAGAAGTATAGTGGCGTGAGTAGTTACACTTAGCAGAGAGGGGCGAATCAGAGCGCTAGCTTCCCCGCAACGCACAGACCACAGAATTTGCTTTGCAACTTCGCCACCTTGTTCAGAATTCAATTTGAGAAACGACAACTCTTTCCAATCGTGCTTTAGTGAAACTTCTCATCCCAAGTACAATTTTCGACACACAGACTTGTAATAGTGCGTGGATAGCGTGGACCGGCTATCAAATATGGCGAAGCGAAAGCGAAACAGCGCACACACGAATGCAGTGAAGAAGCCGACTACAACAGGGATCCCAAGTCCGCCAAATGATACGCCTGCTTTTGAGCCAGTGAGCGTGCACTCATTGATCTCGACCGAGGAGATTGAAGTCACCGTGGAAACACTCCAGACGTTGTCCGAGCATCCCGCCCTCATCAAGTCAAAAGCATGCAAAGATCTGAGGACAGCGGTATATACCTTTCGTCAGGCATGCACAACGGGACTGAACTCAGCCGGTGAGGATTGAGCCTCCATTTGAATGGAAAAGAGCTAATTGATTTAGCGGAGGGCAGCAATCTTACTGCGCGCATATCGGGAGCACTCACAGATGCCAAGTACATGGATGCACTCATCTTATTGGCAGAGATGCGAATTAGAAAGGATACGCCAACATTAGGTGCTCTCTGTCGATGGGTCCGCACTCTTGATGTCGTCTCTGGGCTGTCAATCCACGTCCAAGTGCCTAGCCAGACTGTTGTGGGACGTAGTTCCCACAACAATGAGCTGATTCGAGTACTGGACGCCATTCTTAGAGTGACCGGTCCAACCGACACCACTTCTCACGGGACAGACTCCATTTCAGGCCCGGTCGCGCTGCAAGAGACTTGGAACCTGCGAGGCGGAAGTGAGCCGACGCGGCAATTGCGTCGCACCATCGAAGATAAGACCATCTTCGCATCTTGCTCTGCCGACCTCAAGGAACGCTTCAGAATAATCGAGACTACCGCTGGTTTACAGCGAAAGCCACCGAATCTCCACCCTGCCATCTTATACGCCTCTCAAGATGACACGGTGCTTCTTGGCGAAGGACCCAAAACAGAGTGCTACAAACACCCCATAGTACCAGATCTGCGATTGATAAAGGACGTCCTGTCGCCTGAGGAGTGCTCTTCCATTATAGCAGCCGGAGAGACGATTGGCTTCATTCCTGACGCGCCAATGCGGCCGCAAGGTGAAGACACTAGTATATTAGCGCACAACTTCTACTGGATAGTCGATCAAGCTTTCCACGACAAGCTTTGGAACCGGGTGAAGGCATTTGTTCCGGAAGCCGTGGCAGGAAAACAGGTTCGAGGCATCAATCGGCGGTTCAGAGTGTACCGATACGTCCCCGGCGCCGAGTATCGATGTCACATCGGTCAGTACCATGCGCATATCTCCCATACGTATGTACTAGTCTTGCTAACTCATGCGCAGATGGAGCATGGCCGCCCTCCGGCATCGATCCCACAACAGACGCTTATCAATACGACTCCTCGCCTTCCCACGCTCGCCAGTCTTCCCTCTTCACCTTCCTCATCTACCTCAATGACGACTTCCGGGGCGGCGAGACGACCTTCTTCATCCCAAGCGTGAAGGAAGGCGTCATCAATGCGTATCCCGTCAAGCCGATCATGGGTAGCGTTGCTGTATTTCCGCATGGCGAGGCACAAGGGGCGCTGTTACATGAGGGCACGGGTGTTGTTGAGGGTGCAAAGTATGTCATTAGGACGGATGTCGAATATGACGTTAACCCTACTGTATAACTCAAGCAAAAAAAAAGCCTTGAAGTAGACAATCAATTCAAGAAATCGCTACCACCGCATGAGGTGTACTCTTGTCTTCCAGACGAAAAGTAAAAATCTATCGTAAGACGTGTATACAGGCTTGCTACTGCAATACACATTAAACTGCCACCATCAGAGAATATATTTTTTCAGCCGGCCAACCGTCTCTCCGCCTGACGCCTTCTCCTCACCTTTTACCAACTACTAAGCATCCCTATCTATAGGTATACATCAGATATTACTCTTAGTCTTGAAACCGCCCAAGTCCGTCCCAATCAACCTCTGCATCTCCATTCCACGTTGCACACCTCTTATTTATGCCTCGATTCATCCGTCCCACGTAGCACATATACCATGAGGTGAGGTGAGGTGAGGTGAGATAAGCCCAAACCAGGCGAAAAAAAACGAATATTCCAATGCGGGTAAGACGATTAGGCCCACCTTCCCCCCTCCTAGAAAATACGTACGATGGATGGGCTTACTTGCGGGGAGAGCGCACAGTTATTTCTATTTGCTTCCGACCTTGCTCCCGGTGATTTAATTTGCCGGATTGAACGAATGGAATGTTTGACTATATCAAGATGCGATTTACGCGCCACGTGGAGTCTTACCCGGATCTTTTATCCTGTCAGCGATCGATCTGTCAGCGAGACGGCGTTGGAGTTAGAAATAGACATCTACAGCTATAGAGATATTGAGAGAGAGAGATCCTATTATGGGACGGATGTGGTCTAGAGTCGAGGCATGCGCGGTTCTTTCCGGGCAGACGATTCATGCACTAAATCTAGGTCTAGGCTTGAGGGCCCTACCTATCCTATCAGGCAAAAGGCACAGTCAGTCAGTCAGTCATCCATCAAATCTGCCTTCTACATCTGACACCCTACGGGGCAAACTGTAGAACTGAAGAAAGGTGATCGTATTGATGAGGTTCTATGTGGGGGGAAACTATGTTTATATACAGAGGGGAGTGAAACCAGAGTAAGCTAGTCCGTATGTGGGCTAGCGTGTCGGGCACATGATGAATCACGTGTTGGGAATCCAAACCAACACAAACAGGTGGTCGCAGCTGCGGGCCTACCCCATGCCTTATTAGCGATGCTCGGACCGCTCGTAAAGAAACAGTAGTTGATCATCCACCTTTCACCAGGTAGCCATGTCGTCTATTTCTTGCACGAGGCACAAACATATGACCCCATGCGGATGCTTGCTGGAGCATGTAGATACGGTGTAACACGAGTCCTCGGTACCGAGTTCACGGCTTTTGATCATGTGGCCAAGCGGTCTTGAATCGACGCCATGATCATGGCTAGTTGGGGGTAGGACGAATAGCAGGTAAGATAGGGTAAGCTGATGCCTAATTACGCGCAGCGGGACTGCGGTTATGGGAGTTAGTCTTGGCTGGGTTAGGCAGTCGCACGTAGGCTGGGGCCAAAGAAAGAGTATTGCGCCCTGGGTGTGGCGAAGCTCGCAAGCTTTGCCGTGCGCGGCAAAAGAGCTTCGACGCATGTCATAGCAGAAGTACGATATATGTGTGCATGTGTGAAAGAACTTGCTAGAACTATATTGCGCTTGCGTACGATCGGTTGATTGGAGAAGGAAATGGGGAATCTCAAGAAACAAAACCACCACCAAGATCAACGCCGAATTTCCGCCATACAAGACTAGAGTGCCCACCGTCCCGTATGCAGTCCGAATCCCCGAATCCGCTCTAATGCAAATATAGGAAAGGTTGCGTAGTCATATTTTGAACCGCCGTACAGAAAGCATCAAATCTCGTGCCCAAACATGATCCAAATATGATTAAAGCGAGTGTGAGAAAGTAAGTCCGTAAGAATATGAACGATTAGGGAGAAGTTATTGAACCGACCAAAAATAACAAAAAAACACCAGAGAAGCGCGAAGTCATCCCAGCCTGTAAGGTGGTCGTAATCGAGGCGCATGCTCGAGTGCACCGCATGACTATTTGTATCGTACGCCGTGAACCTGTATATGCATGAAGCCTTGATAAGAGAGTCGATCACATCGAATAAACCTCAAACGCCGCCTGTCCAGGGTATTGTGTAGATGCTGTCCAGCACCGGAGAATGAAAGACCCGAGAACGACGAATGCGTTTGACGCCGTATAGACTTGCCGGGGATCGGCAACGAATAGATCCAGATAAAAGAACGAGCCAAGTATGGTTTGCGCGTCGTACAAGGCAGACTTGATGTCGAGTGGTGTGGAGGAGGATTGGTGCGACACCAGATGCGGTTAGAGACCCATGGATCATGCGGACCTTGACTGGATCACCCGACACACATCCTTGTCCTTCATGCATTACCGCGACAATGATTTCCAGCGTGCGGTCTCCTTCGGACATTATTCTCCCTACACTCTCGTGGTACGTTCACCGTACTGCGGGTATGTGTTGTCTGCTGGCATCTGGCTCATGTCGGGCGTGATGTCCGCGCGTTGCATCTGTAGCGATCCTACGACATTCGGTACTCCTGCCGTCGAAGAAACATTGAGATAGCCGTAATCCCAGGACGGCCGTCCTCCTTGAGCTAGTGTCCCTGGGTATTGCGACATCTGATGAGCAGGAGCACCCCATTGAGTCATACCTTGCCCTGAGGGTGTCCTCTGAGAAACTGACATACCGTGAGCTGCTGATCCCTCGAGACCTGCTGATAGCTTCATATGGGGAGACAGACTCGATGAGGTCAGGTTGGGTGTGTACGTAGTTGAAGCAGTCGAAGCGGCGACCGATTGTGGCGAAGCATTGCGATGGGCGTCTAGTGCCGCCTGCGACATGATGCCCGGGACATAAGCCGATGTTGATGCGATGGGAAGAGATCCGATACCAGCCGTCGAAGAGTAGCTCGCAGACTATGGAGTATTAGTTTCATGCCGTGCTTCATTGTCAGAGAACGTACATATTTGCTGATGATCTTCTTCAACGCATGCGACAAAATCTTCCAAGGGAACACCTTGACATCCTTCTCGATGTTTCGTGGTTTTGGGTTCGGAAATCCCATAATAACCTTGAAGAACTCCTCGCTGTCTGGCTTGGCCTTTGACACTGTAAGTGGACGGAATCCTTCTAGATTGCGTCGAATTCGATTCTTCTCTTCGACTGTAAAGCGAACGTTTACGAGTTGCTCCAGGAGATAGATGGTATCCACGCTTGTGATGAAACACTCATCTTTCTCTTCCCACCATATGCAGCTGACACATATGCTCCGGGTTGGCCGAGCTTCTGGGGCAATGGGCGCGAACGAGGTCGAAATCGTGCTTCCGTGCTGGGATCTCTTGAACTCTACGAGCCGTCGCTTCGAGTCCAGCTCCTCTTGCGTCCACTCGTCGCTCATCTTGTCAAGATCACCTTCAATCTTCAAGACAGCTTTAGTTTGGTACATGGAATACGGATTGAATGGCTGAGCCGAAGAGGTGCTACCCGCTTGCGGAAGCGTTGTAGCCCGGACTAAGACAGGTGCTGCAAGTGATGAGGGCGAAGGAAGAACAGAAGCCCCAGAAGGAGTTACGCCAATCGAGCCAGGATTTCGGCCTGTGTGTGCAAGCGAGTTGTAGCTGCCGTACGAATGCAGGCTCGGCGACATCTGCGGAAGCTTATAATCCCCCTGGGTTATGTTCATACCCGAAGGAACGGCATACAACCCCTTCTGTGAGAGCTGAGAAGCATAACTTGGTTGCTTTGGCAAGTCGTATCCGCTACTGTGTCCATACGCGCTGGACAGTGTAGACTGAGCCGGAAGTGGTGATACTTGGGCTGCTGAGTACGCTCCAGAGATCGAGCGTGGCTTGGCTTGAAAGCGGAGGGTGTTTGCTCGCTTTGCGGCAGTGCTATCGGAGTAGTCTTGAGATTCCCCAAACTCGGCTGAGTACTTTCGCTTTCTGGAAAACTCGGGAGAAGACTGGTAGGCGAGATTTGGCGACATATCAGTGAAGGTAAACTTGCCGGCATCTGTCTGAGATCGCAAATGCCCCATTTTATCCTCGATCTGGAGCTTCAACATCATGGTTGGATCCCATGAGTTTGTCAAGGGGAATGGAGGTACCTCGACGTTGAGAACATAATTATACCACTCGTCATCATAATCCACCTTCTGCAGTGCGGCAACGCACTTCTTGGAGCCAAACATTAGGATAAACGTGTGTTGATTCGTAGCGAGGTCGTAATTCGTCCGGAGTTGGAGGGAAACAGTAGATCCAGCGGTGCCTTGTGGGGGCGTAACAGATTCGGTGATTTCCGTCTCAGTCGCTGTGTGAGATGCGGGATGACGAGACCTTGCATCAATAAATGGAGGTTCAGGCTGGTGTTCTCCTGCACCGCGTGACTCGTACGCTGCACTGGTAATGTAGGGCATATCTGCACCTGAAGACTCGTGGGTGAGCCGCGCGGGCGCATCCGTGTATTGCGAGGCGAATGAAGGCTGTGCAACGCCTGAATAGCTCGGGATCTGATTCGATCTTGTGGCTTCGGCATCTGGGAAGTGGGTGGTCAGTCAAACTAGCTAATCACCCTCACGTGGGCCCCAACCGGGTTCATCCGAGCCAGCTTTGGCAGCTGCCCTTCCAAACCCGTCAGATGAGCCGCATGCCAACTTACCATACACGTATTGTTGGTTCTTTCCGTATCCAGACATGGACAACAATTTTTCACCTCGTACCGCTTGCACAGTCGGCAGCCCGCTACTGAGGCCTTGACTGCGCTGGGCTAGGAAATACTCGGGTATGTCCAGATCGACGCCTACAGCAAAGGGCGCTCGGTAGCTATCAGGCTGAGTCGATGAACAGGTTAGCAGGCAAACCCGCGTTTGGGGTCGATGCGCAGGCAGCAACGGAGGGGTACCGGCTGAGCGCCCAAGGACACACCTTGAGAACTTGCGACGTACGAGGAGGGTAGACGCACCTGATAGCTTTGCTCTACGGTGCAGGCCAGCTTGACGGTGTTGTGAGAATTTCCAATCGAGATAGGAAACTCTTGTTTGTGTCTTGTCGACGGTAGATTGATCCTCGATAGGATCTCCAGTGCACCCGCGGGTGTGGTGTGAGCCTTGTGCGCAAGTATAGAAACAATGTGTCCTTGTTGGATGCAAAAGCTGCGACAAATGGGCTTGACAGGCAGGTGAAGTTGTGACGAACGGCAGGTTTGGAGACAAGTTGAGTGAGCCTTGTGACCAGCGAAGTCAACACAAGTAGGCTACCCAGAGACAGACGGTCAGGGTATTCAGAAGGTCGATTCATACGGGGATCAGGGGGACTTTGAGTGTCGGTGTGGAACACGGTGAGTCCTGCTCTTCGCCTACTGCAGCTCAGACAATAACAGCTCCCTGTCGACGCAACAGGGAAGAAAGAGGGTCGCTCTGGCAGCAAGCAAGACTGATTCAGAGTGAATGCCAGGTCCTGGAAATGACAGTGAGCTACTTGGTACAGAATGTCGCATACCACGACCCGCATTTCGATGTGACAGACGGGTTGACTTACATGACGAACAAAGGAGCAGAAACATGGACCCGGGGCTGGCCAGTATGATGGGGGCTAGGCAGCCTTGCCGTGCGGGTAGGGAAAAAGAACAGCGGAGCTATGAAGCTATGACAGTGGAGATAGGCGGCAGTTAATACACGGGTAGAAGTTGAAGAGGGTAAGAAGTGGACGAAGGAATCCAGGGCAGCGGGATAGGGTAGGATTGGCCAGCGTATATGGCGAAGGATAGGCGGACATGCAAGGAAGAGCGAGCACAGTGAGCTCTGGAGGGTTCGGATGACTCTTGGTGATTACCGGTCCCGTCCACCTGGTAGACTAGCAGCCCCAGTGAGTGCTAAGGCACGCCCCCTCCAAGGGCTAGTAGTCTGACCGTTGGACACGACGTCGTGCAAAGCCTGACAGCTCTCAGAAGGGTATAAAAAGGTACGAATGAGAGGATGGAGCGGGTTAGTTACTGGAGCCTACGTGGGTTGAGGCTCTGTTGGGTGGCCCCAAGATGGCGCAGCTCTGCTAGCTAGGCAGTAAGCTGCACGGCTGCCTGTGAGTGGTTGATGGCGCCAGACAGCTGTGGCTGCGAGCGGCGGGCAGGACGAGACAGCTCCAGAATGCAGTGCCAAAAGCAACAATGCAGCAATTCCAGAGGGTGCTGGGTTTGGCCGGTACCTGAGATGTGGAGTGGGGCTCTAAGACCTGGGTAGTGGTGGGAAGCGCGGATGCGGAGGGCCAAGGCCAATGCTTCGAAACACAATCCGTGAGGCGTCGAAATGTGGAGAAGGTGAAATTGAGCAGAAATGCAAACGAGGGACGGTGACGGCGAGCAGCTGGGCGAGAGGGGAGGGGAGGGGGAATGGGCGGGGGGGGGTTGACTGTTGAGGGAGATGGGGGTAAGTGGTGCTGAAGATGGGCGTCCAGGTTGACGTAGGTGCCCAGCGCGGCCGGTGACGTGCAAGATGATATACATACGGCCCAGCATGGCCGTGAGCATCAGCAGTGTGTTTTCCATGGGCTACTCATTGGGATTGGGGGGGGGTAAGGGACATAGGTCAGGGCTCGCCATGATGAGCCTGTAGGCTAGACGATATGGTGGTCTTGAGGGCCATGAGTGGCCGAGATGACGGCAGACGGCCGTCTCAAAGCAGCCAATGCGCGGTAATGCAAAAGCATGGCCCCATCTGAGCGCCGTCCGTGGTGGTTGCGGTGCTTTGGACTTTGCAGAAAGGGAGGGCATGTGTAGGAGTGTGGTGAGCAATGAGGGATGGGATGCATGCATGGGCACCAACGGCCAAGCGAGTTTGATCCGACTTCTATTCCTGGCGTGGCTTGCAGTCAACCTTAATCCGCCCATCCCTGCCCCACCGCCGTCTGCGCATCGCCAGAAAGCCACCCCCAAGCAAGCCGGCCGCTGCTCAGGCACAGCACCGCGACCTCTCCCACGGCGAGCGAGCGAGAATGCGCGGCCAAAGGGAGCCGTGTCTGTCCCACGCTGGCGCTTTTGTGGTCGAGAATGCCATCCATGGACGCTCCTGCGGCATGAGGACCGCGCCTTCTCCTCCGCTGCTGCTCCATCGCGCCTGCCTCGGTCGCGTCGCAGCTGCTCTGTTGGTAACTTTGTAACTATACGCAGCCGCCGCTTCGGGAAACAAGCAACGACTCCCCGTCCTGGAGCGAGATGAGGCTGACAGCCCACGGCCCCGGAGATTGAACCGATGGATGGACCCTTTCACTGCTCGTGTACCCTTTGCAAACGCCGCATTACCATGACTGCCCGTCGCCAGCCAACGACTAGGCTCCCATGGTGGACAGCAGCTGGAGCTGGGCTGTTGTTGCCAGCTGCCTACAGCGCGTCCAACAAGAACCACGACGCTCCCTTGCGCGCACTGCTCGGGCGACTACCCCCTCCCCTCAGCAGCAGAAGACGTCGGTGTGTGGCCTGTATAGGTATTCTTAGAAAGCTGATGCCGTATCACTCAACCCTCTTGTCCCGAACAGGACCGCTGGCGGTCTGTTGTGGCTGTGTGTCAGCCGCCCCGTCACTAGAAGCAGAGCATTAGCACCCTCAGCGCTGCCGCCAAACCCGCCCTAATTTCTCCACTTCGAGCCAGTATGGCTAATAATTAATGATGACGTCTTGCTCGCGTTCTCGACCCGGCCTCCAAGATGGCTAAAGGTAAAGGTCGGAACGAGATGAGATACGACCGTACCTCGTGGTGCGCACGGGTCCCTTACCATACACCATCATCTCATCTTCGCACTCCAGCAAGCGGCCGCTTCATCATGTGTATAGGTTGCCCGTGTAGCTTCGTTCCTTCTTCAGGACTGCCATTACCCTTGCCATGGCAACCGCTTGTTTGACAATCCCACGGCATCTAATCTTATCTCTGCGCGATCAACGCATCCACCACACTTGGAGAGATCGCAAGACATGACACCTTGCAGGCCACAAGTAGCCCGAGAATATACGTGCGATCAACAGGCGCAGCTATTATTCGGCATCATCGATTCGACTTCGCGCCTATTCACGCAGCTCACGCCTTCCGACGCTTGGACAAGATGGGCCCTCAGCTGCCGTGACTGTCCAAAGGGGACCGTCGTGCACATTGCAACGCGACGCGTCTTCGTGCGAGATGGCTCCAGGGCTAATCTATCTTGTGAACCCGACCTCCAGCTTCGACCTTTGCGCTGCTGGAATGGCTTTAGTCGCGCATGCATGACCCGACGTCACTGCTCTAGCTGTGGGCAGGCCGCTTGGGAACGTACCATGGCTTGAAGGCTTGTTCATAGCTAGGATGATGTCCCCACGAGGAGAGATGCCATGGCCCCGGGTCTTTCGCCTCTTGCACCTGAAACGCCCCTGGCGTATGTTGTGGTTGTACATACCGAGGAACACGCTGCAACTAGCCGCTTCGCAGAGTGGATACTGATTCTGAGAGCTCTTCTGAAAACCCGAGCCAAAGCCTTTGGCTAATCGACCCCAAACCCTACTCTAAACATATCACCGTTTACACTGGCCCCTAATCATCGGGCGCCAGCTTGTGCTACTTTGCCAACGGGCTTTGTACTCGGAGCCATCTCGGGTCATTGATCGCCTTCTGTCCAGGTTTCACAAAGCAAACACAGTTTCCTTTCATCGTTACATCTGCTACCCCAAAAGGAGATTTACCTGCTTTAGCTACTGTTCCTGGAGCTTTATTCTAGCGCCTCCGATTTCCGCCTGGATCGGTCCCCTGCGCAAACTCATTTTACTCGTCCTGCTCCGATCGGTAAGCCTAGCCTTGAATATGACTGGCAATCTTCGCAAATATAGGCGCCCTGGAAACGACCTGTGAATACCCTCCTACCTTGAGGTTTCATCGAGTGCAGCAGCCGACGATATCAACAGTTGTTTGGCGCTACGATTCAATGTCGGCAAGGACATCCGCAGGTCTAGATAACCATCGATTTTCTCGCTCATACGATAAGCTGCTGTCAGATGTACTGACAAAGTGACGATAAGGCTGCTTGAGTAATCGTGTCTCGGTCGAAGCCGAAAACCCTGTGGCGGCACTCGGCTTGCAACGCAGCCTTCAATGACCGGGTTGCTGGATGCCTCCTGCAGCTTGTTACACAATCTCTCAACTACGCTCGACACAAGCAAGGGCAAAAATCCCAGCTACCCGGATCAAGGTCGACGATAAGACCCATCGGAAGCACCATTGTGGGGTAAAAGATCGTTCTCTGATCATGCACCTACACGGGTATCCTGCATGGCACTAAGGAACATTCAGTCGCTTGGTAGAAGCCACCGACGCTGATGTCACAGAGTGTCCGACAACGCAAAACGTGACACACCGCGAAACCTCGATATGCCACCATGGTATACGACCGAGCTTCTTGCCACTCAGGGCCTGCTTTCAACGCATTTCAAATACAAGACACTTCACCTGTCAATGACCGACGTGCGACATCACCAACGGTTCTGTTTCACGCAGTCGCTTGCCTCCCTCGAGCATCAGCCAAGAGCCGCAGAGACCTCCTTACATTCCGACCGAATTCGGTGGTACCACACAGTACGTACAACACATCCTGCACCATGCTTGCCCCATGCGGACACGTGACTAATAACTGGATTGGGATTTCCGTGAGCATTCCTATGTAAGCCATGAACGACTCTGACAATGCCCATCGAATGCGTAGCGATGGCAATTAGACATTCTGAACGCGAACAAACGCGTACATGTTTAGGAGAAGAATGTGAGTCTTGGAGGTGCGGAGTGTCTTATGGATGAACGCAGTTGGACTGACGTGTGCATGACCAACTGATCGCATTTGTAAAAGCTGGCATGGAAGGCTGCAAGTATACACAGAAGACTGAGGAGTAGCAAACACCAGTCACGCACTTCTCTTCACTCACGCACTCTTCTCTTCTATCCGACCATATCATCGTCTGAGCATAACTCGTGCACGCACAGCATACCACAAAGTGAGAGGATCTAATTGTGATCAGATAATATAGAGAATACGACACGATAATACTTGTAACCTCTCCAAACAAGAAAAGGTGCGACTCACGTTGTTCGCACTCCATGCGCCCCCAGCGTTCATCTAGACGAAAGTGAGCAGCGATAGCTCGAAGACCTCCGATACGATATACCTGCAACGCTAGATTTGGTCGCAATTAGCTCAAACTTTACGCAATTACCCCATGACGAGAAAGTTGTTAGAAAGTGCATTAGCCCACTTCATCAACGACCATGGACCAAGCAGTGAGGAGCTCAATATACCTTCCATGCACGCTCTTAGCTCCAATGGTTCGGTTTTAATCAACTCCCATCACATCGCACGCAGAACACGACTTTCTTGACTAGAAGATTAGAAGCACGTCGTAAACTCGTATTGATGTCTATCAGAGTAACACGCAAGTCACTGTCTTGCCAATGACAAGGGTAGGCCATCACTACTTACCGTTGATTTCTCACGCCATGTCCAGGTCTCGCACCACGCCCCTGCCTGCGACTGGCGACTGGCTGAAGCATGAATCAAGCTTCCCTTCACAGAACTCACACATAACAAATCTCACATAGTAAATCCCACATGAACAAACACACTTTATGCGAAAACCATCCCCGTTTTAAATTTCACCAGCCCGCCCATTACTAGATTTGACATCGCCAAGGCTTTCTCGCTTCAAAAGGGTATATAGAGTAGAAGGGTAATTAGAAAACTAGAAAAAAAAAGACGCAAAGGAGAGTGCACCGGGCATCCGGGCTCCCACAATAGCGAGATGCGGCTTGCGGGAGCTTGTCGGAGGGTATATGCCTGGTCACTGAAAGAAGTCCCATTTCCCCCCTAACCTAACCCAACCCAGCCCAGATTTTCTGTTCCTATTCCACCTTGACCCATGTGAAATACCTGAAAATTCCAACCCAAATCTCTCATCATCTTTCCTCTTTCCTCGTTAGTGGTAGTGATAAGTATTCAGAATGTGTTTGTGTATGCCGTGCGTCTAAAAAGCCATGCCGACGGCCGAGGGACTCGGTGCAAGCAAAGCGCTCCTCCTCTCCCCATTAACACCAACATCCCTCGCGCTAATCTCCATTCCCCTTAGAAGCGCAAAGTTCGGGCTCATGGGCGGCTTCGCATTCATGACGCTGCGAGTGCTGCGTGCGCTTGCCAGGGCAGCCTCGATGGCGATTTCCTTCTCCTTGGCCAGGTTGAGAGGAGCAGGAACGCGCTTGGCCTTGTGGGGAGGTGAGTTGTTCTTGTCAGAAGAAGGGGAGGTGGAACGTGTCGAGGAGGTGTAGGAGGAAAAGAGCGTCACGGTCGCGGTACCGTTGCTTTCTTGGGATTCCTGGCGTGTGTGGGTGATGGTGCGGGATCCTGCTGTGGAGGGCCGTGAGGCTGTAGTGGGTAGAGCGGGCTCGTACTGGTAGAATGACTCTGCCGTCTTTGGCGTAGCGGGGCGAGAGGCGGATTTGATGGTAGAGGTAGAGCGCTTGATCCATGCTCCGAGACGGGAGATGGGTGTAGTTGGTGTATGAGGCGCTGGCGGTGTGATGGGGTTAGAAGTCAAGGGACCAGTATAGGAACGTGTTGGCGGAGCTAGTGTGAGGCCCATAGTCGCCCTCCTAGCCGGCGCATTCTCAGTCATTGGGAGGTGGGGCAACGGCTTCCCTAACGGTGCAGAGAATGCAGACCCAATATCCGAAAGCGTCTCAGACCTGACATGCATCCGCATCGAAGGTGCGATGTACGGAACGTGATGACTTGATGAGGTTGGAGGGGGATTGACTAGAGATGGGGACTGGGTTTGAGAGCGATATGCACTGGCGCGACGTTCTTCGACGATGGTATTCAGTTCACGGATTGCATCGTCGACGTCCGTCCTGGTGCGGCGGAGACTTCCGGGGCGAGAAGGCGCAGTGTTGGCACGGTTGCGGGATGGAGAAGGAAGGCGGGAGATGACACGTGCTGGTGATAGCGTGCCGGAAGTACGGGAGCGTTGGATCATGGGACGGTCATTGAACGATCCAGCAGACGATTTTGGTTCTTCTGCAAGTAATGGGAGAGTGGGTGTTGCCATTGTCGCCATCGTGGTACCACTCAACCTCCTCTCTTGTGTCGACGTACTCGTGCTCAACTGGCTCTGCACACTGCTCCGTCGTGAACCGCTGCCAACAGCCTTCCGTTGAATAAGATACGAAGAAGAAGAAGGATTTGAGGATAATGAATCTGTCCGTGAATCTCTCACACGAACAAGCGCCTGCGCAGGAACCTCGATCTCTTCAAAGTCAGGCAATGGAGAAAGACGACCACAGCCGTCAGGGAGGTAGATTGAAAGCTCCAGAGGTCGGAAGCTGCGACGGCGACGAACAGGCATAGGCGCATCATCAACCATGGACTGGATGCCATCGACGCCATCGAAGCGTCTGAAATCCGTAGGGTGGCTGATGCTAGGCCTCGACTGCGAGCGTCTTGGTCGCGTCACTGTCGAAATGCTAGCGCGAGATGAAGCACGTGTAGCAAAATCGCGACTACTGGATACCCATTGCGAGACGTGGCGGCCCATGGACTGACTGGTTGGCGGGCGGGTATATTGTGGCTCAGCGCGAGGCTGGGGTATGCATTGCGGCTGCTCGAAGCAGATGCGCATATCGGACTCCCCTGGAGAGAATCGTTAGCATATTGAACGATCGAAATAACGCGATTTGGCTCAGATAGATTGGAAGGATGCTGGGTATATTGATCGGACATGGTCGATGATCAACCAGATTAAGGAGAGTATAAGCGAGGTGCGTCGTGCAGCTCAACAGGAAAAGGTGGGATGGTGGGCTCGATCGAGCATGACAAGTATAGGAGTCTCAAGGCGACGGAATGACAGAATTACGGCAAGAAAGAACGAAGCAAACGTGAAAATAAGAGAAGACATGAAGAAGATCGAACATACCGGTAGCCCTCAGCGCTGCCCTTCCCTCGTCAACATCCCCTTTCGATGCACAGCATCCATACTGCATGGCCACCCATGAACTCCTCTGCTCTTTCTCCGTTCTTTCATAAGCCATCTTTTTTCAAGCTGCAAACCGGGCAGCTAGTCATCCATCATCAAATAAAGTCGTACAAAGGTGTAAGAGAATGTCGAGCCTGCAGTAGGCAGAAGCTAGCAAAAAGCAGAAAGCGGAGAAGAAAGTAAGACAGGAAAGAGAGCAAGGCAAGCGAGAAGGAAGAAAGACGAACGCTTCCGCTTAATCTAGCCTTCTTGCTTGACTGATGAGCTGTCTTCGCTTCTGGAATTGCAAGTGCATACAGCCCGCAGATCCGGCTTCAGGAACAGCAAACCTCTCTCAGTCCACTGGACTGCAGGAAGTGGGTGTTATACATGAGAACCGCTTAATGGGCAAATGCTACGCGCCCAATGACAGCCCACGCAGGCCATAGTGGTCGTCAACTTGTGGAGTAGTCCAAGTCATGGCTGGCGCGCATTAATGGTGGAGAACGGGCTGCGGAGTCTGATTGGGCGCGACGGAGAGTAAGCGCCAGCGGACCAGCAGATCGTGGACCAGTGACAAGGCAATAGCGCTTGCATTTCGAAACTGGCAGCTAGCAGTCTGGCTGTGGCGTGCTGTCATGTCTTTCGTTGGTGAGTCGAATATCGGGACTTTCTGCCTTGTCACGATCGTTGTTGGAGGATGCGCCCTGCTTCGCGGACTTCATCGTGTGCTCCACCACTGGGGCGATCTCGTTCGCACAGTGCGGGGATGCTTGTCTTACATCTTCTATGCAACAATAAGGGCAGCGTCAAATGAGACAATGTAAATCAATGCGCAAGGCTGCTTCAGATGGTGACGCCTCGAACATGTCAGAAAAGTCACAGGGCAAGCGGATAGTGTGCGCCTTCATGGATGGCCGGCGAAAGATGCCCCAGCTGTCGGGATCTTCTGTTGCATCGTCTTGCAAGCCAATCGGTCGCAACCCTTCAGCATTTAGATAAATCTCGCGGCCGCTTTGAGTTCTTATTGGTGAGTCGTGGACAAGCTGAAACACTGAGCGAACTTTTCATTCCCATGTCACAACCAATTAGGACCTGAAGGTGCCTATTTCTCAAAAGGCCTGTTACGAGCCTCTTCATCTTGGCCTGGATTTGCTGGTGCCAACACATCCGCACAGGTGGTTTAAAAAACGCTGTCAAGAGCCGCGACGACATGATCGAATCTAGACGCAGCTAGACGTTTCTATACCGCTCCCAAATAGGAAGCTAATGGTGAGGTGTGCGGGAAGTCCGAATTGATTGGGGATGTTTGGGTTTGATAATACGCTTTCGGGGAAAATTGCATTGCGCTCTGGACCAACGTCACCTATTTCGATTATTCGTCCGACAATGACGATGACGATGATTGCTCAGGGTTGCTTCGGACTGGGAGGGGAAAGATTGCTGTCATTCCAACGTTCAATGCTTTAACGCCCCCGACCTGGAATTTTTCACTGCGAAAAGAATATCATGTACACTAAACATGGGTATAGAGCCGACCATAGACAGCTTGACAACATAAGGCAGGTTGATGCTGACTGGCGGAAGACCAAAGAGGAACATCAAATTGAATCCTCTGAAATCCCGCCAATTTTGAAAACGCTTATATAAGAGGTGGAACATGGCGTTCGGCATCACCTGTCGTTCCAAACGTCTCGTTCCTCGCTGAAACTGCCATATTGCGGGCTTGGACGATCATCCTTACCTTGGTCTGGGGCATCAGTGTGATCACGCGTCTCCCAATGCTCGGCTTTCTTAGACGCCGGTGGCTTGATGTCGTTCTTCTTTTGCTCCTCTTCGGATTCGTCGACAGTGAAGGGGTAGTCGAGGTTGTGCACCTGCTCCGGGTTGTGCGCCTCCGGCTCATCTGGGTTGAACCCCTCTCTCACAGCCTCTTCCGCACCTTCCCCAGAATATGTACGACTATACCAAGGTGTCAGTAGGGGTATGCCGAAGCAAGTGGATCGTGACAACTTACACGAAGTGCTTTGCGGGAGCTTCATTCCACCCAGGTCCGCCCTCCTTCCGCGCTCTTACGACATCCACCTCCTCTGCCTGGTGATCTTCAACAACTAGGTCCACTAATTGGCTCCTCTCTGACTTTGCGGAGCTTGACGAGGATGATTTCTGTCGTAGTAGCTTGCTGATCGGGCCGCGTGACCTTGAGCGTGATGACTCTCCGTTACTAGAGTCACTTCTTTGCTTGCCTTTATTATGGGAAGCCTGTATACCCTTGATCTGACTTTTACGTCTTCGCTCATTATCCTTGGTGGGCTGCAGCAGGTTTCGATTGGTTGATGCTGTGAGAATATTAGGATTCGCGTACAGGCGGTCTTCACGGGATGCCCGATGAGCCTCAATGACAGGGTACTGCAACTTTGTCAGTTCAGGTACAGCACTTGAAGTTTGAAACTTACGTTCCAATCGCCAAATTCCAAGGATCGCGCGTTTCCGAACAATTGCTCGTCCTCAGCATCCAACGTCGGATCCTCGTCAGCCTCAGGTGTGCCATACTTGGCACCTTCAAGCGCTCGATGTGGTCCGGGGCTCATAGCCCGAGCTCGGCTCGACGTGACCTTTGAGAGTAGTGGCTCATTCTCGGACCCTTGACCAGGCTTTGGAATCCAATATTTGCCCTTTCCTCCTCTTTCGTACCTCATACCCTCTGCCATGCGGGCGGCGCGGGAAGACGACTCTTCGTGCGCGAGTACATTGTCACGCGCATCAAAGTATCGGTACTCGTAATGTTTACCAGCAAATGTTTCCTTGGTGTCCTGGATAAGGTCCAGCGGGCCAAAGGCATCGCGCAAGGCGTATTTGACGGGTAAGCGTGCGGCGGAGATGGTGTCGTCTGCATAGTCGTGCCATGAGAAGGCATACCAGTGTGCCAAGGCGAAAAGCGGCATTTCGAAACAGATCAGGGCGTCTTGAATGGCAGCGGCCAGATTGTCAGGGCTGTAGCCAGGGACATCATCGGGAATAGCGCCTAGCCATACGAGAATGGAGAGGAAGAAGCCTTGCCAGTACGAGGCAAAAATGATACCCTTGATACAGAGGAACTTGGGCATCGGTCGGAATGGTTTCAGATCTGATGACATGCATACCCAGAACATGGCGAGAGCGTACAGGCTGATGGTTATACTGATGTTGTAGATGATGCCGCTCCAAAAGTAACCGGACGTCACGCCAATGTAACCCTCCTGATATGTTCCTGTGGCCTTCATCGCGATGGTAGCCACCGAGAGGAGTGGCTTGACCCACGTATACTGCAGAATGCCCCGCTTGATGGCGAGGAATGTGTGTGGGTCTGATATGTCGATTTTAGAGAAGACGAGGTTCAAGGGCCAGGGGTGTGCCACGGGTGCTCGACCGGTCATGAGGATGATGAGGGCGCGTTCGCCTCCAATGAAGTTTATGAGTAGTTGGAGGAAGGTATATATGGTGAAGGCCTGCATCGATCAGCGGCCCATATCTTGGGAGGATAGAGTGTTTAGTCACCTCGTAGACATCTCGGAAAGGTTCTACATAGGATGCTGCCGTGATCGAGACCAGACTTGCCCAGGAGGCAGCCGAGTATATCGGCACCCTACGTAATCGTGAGCAGAGGCATGCAGGTAGCAGTCGTATGCACGCACATGAGCAGGATCCGTACGACATAGCGCTGCAGTACTGGCTTCCGGTAGTTCTTCCTAAACTGGTTCAACTTGAGTATGCGATAATCGAAGGTGCTTGCTCACGTCTGTAACCACACGGCACTGCAACTACGTCAGTGGAATTCAAACACCATGGACATCGACAATACTCACACAAAAGTAACGAGACTGGCTACCAGGGCGCAGACACCAGCTACAATAATGACAGCGCGGGCAAATCGAGCACCAGTGCCCCCAGGCGCGTAGTTGTCCGTCTGGTAGTCTGTTTGGAGGATGCCTGCAGCCATAGTCGAGGCGTGCAGCGATAAGAGGCGGCGAGGCGGTGTTGAAGAGGGTTCCCGTAGGTGGTTGCGTAGAATACACTGTCAGCAAGCGAGAGTAGCCATGGTAGTCTTATCACAGACACCAGACGTTGTGGTCTTGTGCTCGTTTGGCCTTTGCAGTCTCGATGCTTTGCGGAGGAGTAGGCCCAAGCTCGCGTCGTAATCTAACCCATGACGCGCATCCCGCTGGTCGCGACCCCGGACCCTGGGCGAACGAACGGGCGCAAGCTTCAACCGCGCGCAATTGTGCATCCGGCACATATTCTCCTCGGGCCACTATCAACAACCCTACAGACGCTTGGTGAAGACGACCTGCTCAAGCAAGAGCAGTTCCAGCGCTCGTTCCCGCCCAAGCACACGACCATGCGCGCCTTCCCCGCGGAGCCATGATGCACAACACACAGCTCCATACATCGACCTGTAGCCATGGCCCGGTCAATCGTTGCAGAACCCTTGGATCCACGCGCCGGCTTCAATTGGTGTGTATACAACATCTGCCGTAGCCTCTCCAGCCCAAGCTAATACACGGTAGGGTGTTCCTGGTTGAGCTGTTGATATGTAGCATCCTAACCGTCTTCTTCCTCTTCTACTTCAACCGCCTCTTTGCTACCCTCATCTCCTACGGCATACGCGCATACACATGGCGTACCTTTCACGCCTACATCGACATCACCTCCCTCCAGATCTCCCCGCTCGGTGGCCGCATCTTCTTCAAGGACATTCGCTACCACGGCCACAATGAGACGATACTGGTGCATGGCGGCCACATTACCTGGAATTACTGGCTGCGCCGGGTAAGGAATGCGAGCGTGTATAGTGACGACAACCCTCCCGGAGATGACGCAAGCCACCAATCGCCCAGTACACCAGACAGCCGGTCTGCCAGCCGAAGTAGGAATGTGGATAGGGCTGAGAAGGGAGGCAAGCAGACGCCGAAGCAGCTGCCATGTCGTATCTCAATCAAGGTCTCGGGCGTCGAGGCCTTCATGTACAACCGCAGCCCCGGCTACGATGCCATCATTGAGGCAGTCCAGCGCAAGGCCGAGCACGCTGCTAAGCAAGAAGAGGCTCACCCTGGCACTGGCACTGGCACTGCGTCGGTTGCCGAATCGGCCACGATGCACAAGGAAGAAGAACATCATCATCATAACAAATTGAGGAAAGCGCCAACGGAGAGCGACAAGAACTTCACACGAGCCGACACAGGTCGCTCGACTACCTCAACGCCAAAGAAAGCTGAGCTTCCGGCCTTTCTTAACCTGCTTCCCATTCACGTCGACATCACAAAGGGCGCCATTGTTGTTGGAAACGAACACACATTGGCTGTCATAACTGCCCAATTCGAAAAGGCAACAGGGACTTTGGATGCAGGGCCTAGTGGCCCGTTGGACGTATACCAGCAGCTCTTCAATTTCCAGGTTGTGCATCCTGTTGTGCACATGAAGCCAAATCCAGACTACAAGGCCGGCCAGCTCGACACCGCCGCACACTACAAGCAAGAAGCGAGTCAAGGCACTGTCGAAGAGAGCATCATCGAGGAAGACGCCGGGCGCAAGAGACCGAGCCGCTGGTTGAAAAAGCTCTCGAGCTTTTCGGGTCTGTTTTCCAAATCATCCGACTCTATCCACACCCATTCAAAGTCTAGTCGAGGGGCAGATAGTAAGATGTTTGCCCCTCAATGGCACTTTCCAGGACAGGAACGCTGGAAAGGACTGGCCCGGTACCTCGATGACAGTGTAAACGATGGTCATGGCGAATGGGATGGAGTGGAATATGCAAAGACCTCGCTGATCGCCGATGTACCAAGCGTCAATGTTTCTTTCTATTGGGACGTGGCTGGTCCAGTGCTGCGCGAGATTGACAACAGCATGTACATTGACCCTGCCCGCCCTCATGACATTAATGGCAGTCTTCCCCCCGACTATGGCATGGATATTCAGGTATTTGGCGGTACAATAAACTACGGGCCGTGGGCGGACCGGCATCGAGGCATCTTTCAGTCCATGTTCTTCCCCGGGTCACACGTCGATGCTGTCCCCACAGAGCCCTTGAAGCCAGGTGATACTCGTGTCCTATCCATCTTCAAGTTATATCTAGGGATCGAAGAAGATACGGTACTTCGCATACCCATTCGGGAACCATCAAAAGACTGGAAATGGAAAGGAAAAGCCCACACATTGGCGGCACACGACAAGCACGGGGTTGATAAGAACAAAGGCAAAGCCAAATCCCGCAGGAAACGAGGAAAACATCGGGATGCTACTGCTGCGCAAAATGTACGCCCGTTCGCCTGGATCGACGTTAAAGTCGCCGGCGACTCATCCGTCAACTATGTCATGGACATGTACGCTACCGAGCTAGGATATCAAAGTAAAGTGGACGTTGATATCAAGAAAACCGAAATCTCATCTAGTGTCAACCACGGTTTGCTGTGGCGCTCCGGTGCCATTGCGCTTGACTGCGACCTCTCGAATCCTATCGGCTGGAACGCACTGCGAAAGTGGCTGTTCAACATCAAATGCCAGGATTTGGAACTGTTCCTACTCAGAGATCATCTATTCCTTCTGACGGATCTTGTCGCCGATTGGGGCTCTGGTCCACCGCCTGACTACTTCCTCTTCGTGCCTTTTCAATACCTCCTCAACATTGATTTTGCGGACTTCAAGCTGTATATAAACACAAACGACTCCAACATCGTCAACAATCCCGCGGATCTCGACGACAACAATTTCATCATCCTGTCCGGAAAACGCTTGCAAGGAGACGTTGTTATACCGCTAGACAAATTTCGGCCACTTCAAAATGAGATCAAGTTCGACGTCAAGGGTCATGATCTAGGCCTCGGAGTCCTCATGCACCAGAAAAACACGCTAAAAACATTTCTTAAATCATCGAACGTGGCTCAGCTTGGCGGCCTGACCCTAACCGGCACTCACGCGTATATGACCGAAACCTCCTCGATGAACACCGACAGACTCTTCATGGACATTCAAGGTCACAAATTGAATCTTGAGCTGTATGGGTGGCTCGTATTCCACTTCATGAAAATCAAAGACAACTATTTCGGCGACGACATGCACTTCAAAACTCTTGAGGAGTTTCAAGGCCTTCCAAGCGCGACTCTTGCAGCGGATGGTACGAAGCCAGACGAACAGCCTCCTCAAGTTTCAAATGATTTAGATGTCATTCTTTCCGTTTCGGCAGATCAAGTCAGCGTCCTTTTGCCTGCAAACCTGTATTCGGCCGAACGCAGCCTCCGCGCTGACCTTCCTTACGCTTCTGCAGATCTTAGATTCACCAATTACTATATGGACCTTATGGTAAATTTTAGCCCTATCAGCATCTCTCTTGGTGGTTCTATGACAAGCCCGGATCACCCCAATGAGTTCACAAGCGGTGGTACGGAGCTCTTCATCGAGTCTACGATTATATTTGGACACCGTCTCTTCGGACTGCCTCCAGCCGAGCCTACATATGTCTGCAGTTGGGACTTCGAGGTGGGAAGAATATCAGGAGAGTGCACGTCAGACTTTATCGAAACCGCGGCCGGAGCAGCACGTTCCTTTGCGTTCACTTTGGATGATGATGAAAATTCTCTTCCTCTCACAGAGGTTGAAGTGATACATGATTCAACCTTTCTAAGATTGAAGACGGGAGAAGTCCATGTCTGGTTGCATGTCGTGCAGGAAGCCCTGCTTGTCAGGACTAATCCTGTGAGTCTAGACTTCAACGACCTAGCAGGTAGCACCTTCTCGCAGCGACTCCACGCCCACATTCCGGACCTTATCATCAGTGCTGTGGACTCGAAGTCTGCATTGCGCCATAGAACGCGTTCTGGGGAGCAGCATGTCATCGAGACTCATGCCTTTCTCCAGACGACATTGTCATTTGATATGCTGAATCGCAAATTGGATTTTTCCGACAATCGCAGCAAACAACAGGTTCACATGCAAATGCATGACCAGCGAACAAATCGCACAGCTTTCATGTTTGCTGACGATCCCACATCCTCCTACCGTCCAAGCGCTAGGAGTCAGGACGTAAGACCACCAGCTATGCAATATCCAGATATTCCGCACCCAATCTTTTTGTTTCAGCCACCTAGTCAGCACAAGGACTCTTCCAACTCGTCAAAGTACTCTTTGGAAACTCTGTCAACAAGAGGACGGCCATTGCGCACCACTAATTCACAATCTTCGTCAAGCGCTTCCCTGGCCAGCAGCATTCGATCCACAACTAGACACAAAGGCACTAGCAAAACTGCGGAGTCTAGCAGAAGTCGAACGCTTCTTGGAGGCTCACCAAATCGAGCTGATAGTGAAGCTCGCTTTTACACGCCACTTAAAGAAGAAGAGCGTGCGAAGCGCAACTTGGCTCCGTCATCTGTTGCACTATCGAGCTCTTTGGCCACCCCACACTTTCCATTAGATCAGGTGGCCCCTGACTTGTCCGATGTTCCTCTCTTCCCAACTTTGCCTCCATCTCTTGAGGATCGAGACGTCGAGGACATCGAGTTCAACGATGTGTCAACCAAGCACCTGGATGAAGGCTTCAACCATACTAGCCTATTGGTCAGCGCAGAACCAGGCATACGAGTGCACTGTACGCCAGAGTTCATCAGAAGCGTAGCTGATCTTATTGAACTCGTCCAGCCTCGTCGCCCTGAGGACATGTTAGACGACTTCCAAGTCAAAGTCATGACAAAGATCCTTGATAACAGGAATCGACTTGAGGGGAAAGGAAGCTCAATCGAACTCAGCGTCCGCATACCTTTTACCCATTTTCGGTTTCAACATGGGTTTGACCCACACTCAGCAGGCGAATCTGGCAAAGATCAATACGATGTTATTTTCAACCGATTGAAGTCTGCTGCGCGAGTCAAGAAATATCCGGGTGAACGAGCCGGCGAGAATTCGCTAGCGTTGCATACCACATTGGGCTCCCTTGGAGTCTCAATGACGGAGCGCACTCGTCATGGATCGAACGAGGACGTCGCAATTCAGGCCGAAGTCAAAGACGTTCTTGTCTGGATGTTACAGAACAAAGAGACGTCTGTCAACGTTTCTTTTCGATCCTTTGAGACTGCCACTGCAAGCAGGAAGATCGATTATCTTGCGTCGCTCATTCATCGAACAACGCTTCTAGCCGATGGGTTGGCGGCCAAATTCATTGAAGTCGAGCAAAAACAACAACATCGACTGCGCTATTTAGCATGGTATCTCACCAGTATACAAAGTCAGTATCCAGATCCTACTTTTCTGACGAAAGCATCATATGCTCTCCGCGCTGCGAGGGACCATTTGCGTAGTCACGACTCATGGAAGATTATTTCTCGTTTTCGTTATACGTGGCAATGTCTCCCACAGAACGAGCAGGTCAAGCTGTTGAGTGATTGTTCACAACAGTCGGTTCAATGTCCAGCAAATGTCGAAGAGAAGATCATTGCGATGTGGGACGAGTGGCGCACGTGGGATCTGGCACATGTGAAGAAGAGCCTTGCAATGCGACTCTTGTTTGGCCATGTCACAGAGAAGCTGCCCACGCCTCAATCTGCGCCGCTACATCTCGATATCAAATCCGCGGGCATCAAGCTGATCGTTGACCCTGGCCCACGACAGAGCGAAGTCGTTTTACGCATGTTAGCGATCAACGTCGTGCTACTACCTCCAACAGAGCCAACTGGCCTCATGCTGGTGGGAACTGATACCCCCAAAAAGTGTGCAACCGTTCAAGTTAGTTCGAGGGAAAGTATTCTGCACATCCAATGGGAAATTTGCGAACTCGCGGATGCGTTGTTGAAGCTGTTCCAAAAGGAAAATCTTCAAGCCACAGAGAGAGCTTCGTCGAGGGTCCTAGAAACTATGCAAGTTACGGCTCCGCTCTATGACCAAGATATTCAAGTGGTTTTCGCCACAGACAAGGCTCAGCTTATATTAGACACTATCAACTTACGTAGCACAACCACAGGGCGACGTCTGCAGTTTTCTTTCATCGATGCCGATAGAAAGGCCTCCGGTCTTGGGGAGATCTTAACAGCGCATTTACACGCGGACTTATCGGTTAGCGAGCTCTCCTTTCGATCACGGTCGTTAGCCAAAACGCAGTTCGAACAGCCCACTCTTTCTTTTGCCCAGGTCCAGCATGGTAACGATAGCGACATTCCTGATGAGATCAAAGCTGCTGCTGCAAGTCGCAAGATTGTCGTCAAGGTCGAAGAAGATCTTCTCGGTCTCATCGAAGTTGTTGACACCGTGCTTAAGGATGAGGTAGCATACTTCCACCGACAGTTCGAAGTCATCCAAGAGGTCATGAAAGAAACGACAAAGGAGGCCAAGCCCAAAGAACATGCTACCCAACTGCCAAATGTCACACTTGCTCTTTTTATGGACGCATATCAAGTCGAATTAGCCCTGCTTCACCCACTCTGCTGGTCGGTTACAGGGTCATCCGGGCGCATTGCAGTCATCCCCGCTCTTGGCCGAAACATCTCGCTGCAAGTTGATTATGACCTGGAGGCCAATCTTCATAGATTATACAGCAATGCTTCGGAGCGATCCAACATCATCAGCTCGTTCGAGTTGCCTCCAATCAATGGGCGACTGACTGTTACACAAAGTGAAAAGGAGACTAAGATCTTCGCTTCAGGTACCGTTGAGAAGATCCAATTCCAGGCGTCGGAAATACAAGCACTTGCCACTACACTCAACAAACCGGAAATGTCACATATGCTACAAGCCGTTCAAGATGATGTTGAGGTCTTGAAAACTCACATTGAAGAGATATTCCCAGCTTCATCGGACTCACCAGTGGTGAAGGCTCCCCGCACATCAAGAGATATCTTGTTTGGTGTCCAAATGACGCTATCTGGGATGGACATATCGGCAAACGCCCCAGGGCAACATCCAGACTCACCTACAGCAAATCTAGCTCTCAGGCTATCATCTGTGCAGCTGAAGGCTACAAACATCCAATCTGATCAAAGCATAATGGAATATCTGGAAGCCGTCATCCGAATTCACGAAGTCACCGTCGATCTGAGCCTGACCGACTCGGAAACCGTCCGCCGATGTGGCAATCTTACTTTCGGTGCAACATTTCAAGCGACTACTGAGAAGGACTCTGAGCCTACACGTAGAGTATATCGTCTTCGCAGTTCAGGCCTAGAGGTGAACGTCTTTGCGGACACTGCCTCAGCCGTTGTAGACGTCCTGAACCACCTACAAGATAAGATCAAAGACCTCGACCTATCCAAGGAGAAAAAGTATTTGCAGAGGCTTCGACATACGAAGAGTAGGATAACCCAAAATCGTGATAAGAGCATCAAGAGTGATGTCAATAGCGACTCCGAGACCATCGACTCTGGGGCCTTGTTCACATCGACGTATTCTCTAGAGCTTCTCGATGTCCAGGTCAGTTGGGTCGTAGGAAACTCAGTTACCGCCTTTCCCCGAAGCGAGATCGAGGATCTCGTGCTATCATTTGGGAATATTGACCTGTCCACGCAAAAAGATGATGCAGCACGTCTAATGATCGAGAATATGCGGCTGCAGATGGTCCCAGTATCGGCTAACAAGAGGCCGCGATCGCTAAACTCAGCCCTACTGCCCAAAATGGTATTCAACGTGGCGTATGCATCTACGAAGGACACCCGAAAAGTTGCCTTCAACGCTGCAGGCAAGTCGCTTGACCTCCAACTAGATTCTCATTTCATCCTACCAGCAAATGTCATCGAAAGATCTATCGCTCTCGCCGGCAAGAAGTTCCGCAAAGCATCTGCGAACTGGAGCATGACACCAACCACGACTGGTGCTCAGCGTAAGAGTCCATTTGGTAACAAGCGTTTGGCATCGTTGACCGTCGATGCCAACTTCGCTGGTGCTGTTGTACATATCAATGGAAACGAAACTGCGCCGGTGCAGGGCTCGTCAAATAAAGCGCAACAGAAAGGTAGGTATAGCCAGTTTGTAGGCGATGGATCTAAGAGCAGCATGGCCCTACGAGCACCAGGTGTGGCTGTGCGTGTGGAGTATCAAGACGACGGGAACGACCCCTATTTGAATGGTGAGCTTCGCGTTGATGGCTCCACTAACACCCTGCTGCCGACGGTTGTGCCTATCATAATTGATATCTCTGAGAGCGTCAAAGCAGTTGTCCGCGAAAAGGATGGTCATGAATCACCCAGCTCTCCAGAAGATTCAAATGTCGAGACGAAACCTGCTGCTAAACTGCTCGAGGAAGACAACATCATCACGGCCGATCCGGCAACTCTCTTGGGCCGAACAAGGCTCAATCTTGGTCTCCGAATCTGCAAGCAAGAGTTCAGTCTCAGTTGTCAGCCCATCGCGCGCGTCACTGCCATTGCTAAGGTTGACGACATATACATCACTGTCAACAGCGTCAAGTCACAGGAGCATGGACATTTCTTCGCTGCATCCGCTGCCTTTGAAAAGCTTGAAGCTACTGTGCAACATGTGTACTCGCGAGAGTCTACATTTGGCTTGGATGTTGAATCAATCGTTCTATCCTTAATGAACAGCAAACACGTCAGCGGAACCAGTGGCATCTCAGCTATACTCAAGATCAATCCAACAGCACTTCAGATCAACGCTCGTCAACTTCAAGATTTCTTGCTCTTCAGAGAGATATGGGTACCACCAGAGATCCGACGAGCTTCGAAGTCCCCAACGGAAAATCCGAATCAGGAACCACAGGAGTACCTTATGCAACGCTACCAGCAAGTCACTGCCGCGACTGCGTTTCCTTGGAACGCTAACGTGACAATTGCGGATGTCAAGGTCGATTTGGATCTTGGGCAGGCCATTGGAAGGTCATCGCTACATATCCACAATATGTGGGCCTCGTCCAAGAAGAGCACTACTTGGGAGCAAAACTTATGCATTGGTGTTGAGAAGATAGGTGTTGAAAGCACGGGTCGCACAAGTGGCTTCATCGAGCTTCATGGGATCAAAGTTCGAACATCGATCGGTTGGCCACTACAAGAAACCGGTGCTCGTCGGTCGCCACTGATTCAGGCATCAATCGCTTTCCAGCAGTTGCGTGTCAAGACTGGATTTGACTATCAGGCTTTTGTCATGGCGGATGTTGCGAACTTCGGATTCCTGATGTACAATGCCCGGGAAGAAGGCAAGGATGCGAAAGACCGCCTCGTTGCTATCCTTGACGGTGACAAGGTACACGTTTTCTGCCACGCTACAAGCGCTGCCCAGGGTCTCGCACTATGGCAGGCCATCGAAAGACTCATTCAGGAAAATCAACAAGCGTATAGGCAGTCGCTGAAGGATATCGAAAAGTTTCTCCGGCGCAAATCCTCCGTATCAACACCCTTCGGTCGCTCGCCATCTCAAAGTCAGATCATTGCCAAACCGAATGACGACACTTTCAAGGCGCCAATTTCGCTGCACACGGACGTTGTAGTCACGTTACGTTCCATTAAATTTGGCGTCTTCCCGTCGACCTTTATCGATCATCAAATCCTTATGCTGGAAGCTGGTGACATGCAAGCGCGCTTCGCCGTCGCTCTCGAGAAACACAAGATCCACTCCAGCCTCGGCATGACTCTTGGTCAACTCTCCGTCGCACTATCATCTGTCCCAACACCCAAGAAGAGCATTTCAGTCACAGAGCTTACGGTCGAAGACGTCGTAGAATTTGCGCGCTCAGCACGAGGTGGCACAATTTTGCGAGTACCGAAAGTCATTGCAACAATGCACACATGGCAGGTACCTACGAGCAACCACATTGACTACCTATTCAGGAGCTCGCTGGAGGGTAAAGTGGATGTAGGTTGGAACTATTCACGCATCTCCTACATCCGGACAATGTGGTCAAATCACTCACGCACCCTCGCATCTCGTCTTGGCAAGCCTCTACCAGAATCAAACATCAAGATCAGCACTTCACAAGCCTTGCAAGATGATGATCCTAGCACTCCGACCACCACTCGTCCCCGCGCCCCCTCTCTACCCAGCTCAGACCCTCAACAGCAAGAAAAAATCACAGCCGTGGTCAACGTGCCCCAGTCGAAATACGAATATACGCCCCTTGAACCCCCGCTTATCGAGACTCCGCAGTTGAGGGATATGGGTGAGGCGACGCCTCCGTTGGAGTGGATTGGGCTGCATCGCGATCGATTGCCGAACGTTACGCATCAGATTGTTATTGTAAGTTTGCTTGAGCTAGCGAGGGAGGTCGAGGAGGCGTATGAGAGAATTTTGGGGAGTAGCTAGAGGAACGGGAAGTGGAGAGTGAAGGGGTGACTGGAAAATTAGATTCTACAAATGGGAAGCTGAATGGTGTAGGTGGAGGTGTATATTAGGCTCTATTTTCAAAGAGGCGTTTTTGGGATCCAAAAAGGATATTGGGTGCATAACATGGCGTTGCTCAGCAGGCTCATTCTATGCAAGTGTAGTCATAGCATTGGAGAACTAATATATCTCTCTTTATAAGCTTCTAGAGCAGTGAGGTCGTGCTAGCCTAGGCTTTTCCAACTGCATTCTCCCAAGACGTGTTATAATGGACGAGCGAGGGGGAATTTTCAAGGGGTACGAGGCGAAGTGGTATGAGGATATAACCGACTGTAATAAAAATCCTGAGACTCTGGAGGAGGGTGGGGCGGAGGGAAAGAGATATGAACAGCTGATGCGAAGAATGGAAGATAATGATTACCTAGATAAGTGGAAGATGAGTCTGTAAACGATGCTAAACGGACGTTTGAGAATATATGGAGACTACATCGATTTTAGGTTCTTCTTTACTGGCACTCCGAAGGGGAATCTTCAAGGACGGGAAGGGCTGTCCAGCCAGTCCTCTACTACCCGCTTCTCTTCTTCATAGTCTTTGTTCCCTGGGTACAGCTCGACTGCCATTTTAATATTGTAAAGTGCTTTGTTTCCAGCGACGACTGCTGCATACCGATCATCACATAAGCGTAGGGCGTAGGCCATCAAATAATGAGCTGAAGCTACTTCTTGGTCGGGATGCGTGTGGGCACGTGAAGAGACCATAATAGGAAACTTAGAAGGTATGGTAAACAGATAGTCCAGGATCCGAACAATTGAGGTACAAATATTGAAGATGTTGTCCTTGGCGTGGATTTGTTGGGGCGGTGGAGCGGATAGACTGGTGTGCAGACAGCGGGCCATACACAGGTGGAACTTGAAGTAGTGTCTTACAAGGGAGTCGCCGAAGTTGGGGACGGTTTCTTGGAAGCGTACAAGAGCTGTCCGAAGGACGCAAAGGCGAGCTATCGTGCTGATGCCGGCAGCGCAAAGGGTCACTCCCCGCACATGGTCACCTTGAAGCCAAGCTTCTGTCGAAGCATCTTCTTGACTTTTCAGCTTATCCATTGTAGCATTAGGTTCCGGGTATACAAGCGCTTCCACCGCTTGTATCGTCTTTTGCGTCAGTGTCTCATCAGTGCAGCCTTTTATCGTGATATCCTGGAATCCGCGAAGTCCTTCCTGCACTGGCATCAACAACTGCTTCTGTATACCCTCATTCAAAACTCCCTTTATACCCGTCTTTTCCTCCCCACAGGGCCCAATTTCAACCAATATCCTCACACCGCTCTGCGTTTCTGGCACCCTCTCTATTTCCAACCTCTTACAAAACTCTCCTAAATCTTCTCGCAAAAGCACAATATCCCAGTACCCTTGTTTGCCAAATCTCTGTTCACTTACCAAATAATGACCACGAATCCACACACGCATCGCATACCACGGGAACTTGTTCACCCTCTCCAACCTGGCCTCATCCGGGCGCTCATAAAACTCCAAGACATGAATCGGCGGTGCATGACCGTGTAGGAAGTACTTAATATTCACGCCGCGGCTTTCTACCCGAACAAAAAGATTTGTTTTGAGCATATAGGAATAGGCTTCGTAATGAATCTGCCTATTAGCCAGGAGTAAGTTGATAGTGCCGAGAAACCGACGGCGTCGTAGAGGGGCTTGCACATGGACGCGGGAGTGTTGTTCGACGGTATACTTGTAGTGGCTGAAGGAACATAGTGCGTAGTCGTATATTAGATCTCTGATCTCTCGAGGAAGATCTAGGAAGCGGAAGGGCGGTGCTGGGTTCGTCATCGTCTCGCTCCTTGGAACAGAAGCGACAACGATCCCTTGAAGGATATTGATTCGCAGCGTCGATGCTTTACCGTTGTGTTGGAGACGCAAAACGTCCTAGAAGCCGCTCTTGAGGGGTAAATTGACGGTTCGTGCCGCACTCCTTTGCACCAGGTAGGATGTGGAAGGTTCACACCGACCGTAGCGACTTTCCCCATTCGCGCTAGTGTGCTATAAATGGTGTGTTAGATCACCTGCAGCCCTGGAGCTAGAATAAACTTTGGAAGCTTGTGATGTCTAAGCTTCCTAGTGCGGTAAACTGGGCCAACAAGAACATGCAACGAGAGCGAAACTCAACACGAGCTGGCTCAAAGCGAGCAACTCTGGAGGACTTCTGACCCCTCTCGTCTTTTGATTTTATATCCCAGAAGTCTACACGCGATGCCTCTTGAAAGTCATGTTTGAAGAGGAGTGCTAGAATCAGGCAAGCAGCCACGGGCGTCCACGTTGAAACCGTCATGGCCTGGTTAGGGCGAGAGGGAAATTGGATACATCGCCACCCAATTGACAAACGGGACTTCAGCCCCTATCTACGCCACACCCGGGCAGTCTAGCTGATTACATATCTTTTATAAGTCAAGTTCGCATGATGATGGCACGGTACAAACTCAAAAATTTGATTTTTCCTCACTCTCACGTCGCTCGTTTAAGTTTGCATTATCCCTCAGGCAACGGTCAACATTCCAGCGGAAATCCTCCAGTACCCAACAAAGCAACCCAACAGAAGCATAACCTCGAAACCTCAAATTCTCTCAAAAATGGCCTCAAGACTCGTCCTCTTATCGCTTCTCGGACTTTCCATCGCCCAAACAACTACCCTGACCATCCCTCTTTTCGAGGGCGACGCAGAATCTCTTGACGCCTCCGTCGTATCTGTTAGTCCCGGAGCCACCACACTTCAACTCGCCTGCCCTCAAGCGCATCTGGACTGCGGACTGTTTCCCAAGCACATTCTCGTATTCGGCCCCTCAACCTACAATGTCGATATGTCAGACCCCAATACCGACTTCACGGCAACCCAGGACTGTGTAATAGCGCCTAGTAGCGCAGTGTGCAAGGAGACTGCTGGTGGTAGCGAGGCAAACTTCCCTGGGTCTAGCACCACCACATACGAGGCGAGTAGTAATGGGGGTCTGGTGGTGACGGTTACGGCTGGAGTGGAAAAGCTGAAAGGGGGCGCGCAGATGACTGCGACAGGTGGTGGGAGCAGTCCGACTGCGAGTGCGAGTACAGGGAGTGGAGCGAGCAAGACAACGGCGAGTGCCACACAAGCTACGGGCTCAAGCGTCGCGTCTGGATCGGCGAGTGCATCTCAATCTTCGTCGACGCCAGCATCAGCTTCGAAGGCTGCGGCTGCTGCCAATGTTGCGCTGGGAGGCGGTCTTGTTGGCGCTGCAGCAGGTTTGCTCGGCAGCTTGTTGCTGTAGAGGGGATTGGGTCTGTCCCTTTTAACCTAAGTATCGGTCTTTCAAGAAACCGTAGGGTGCGACCAGCCCAATGTATTATCCACCGTGTATTGAATAAGTTGAACAGACAAAAAAAACTTCGCAAGAGATTGAGATGTAGATTTACCATTGAACAATTGAATAGAGTGGGACACTGCCTTTTCAACTGCAGCGGTCAAGTTGCTGAAAATTGATGCTATATGAATGCTTGTTGATAGAGACGAAAGGAGACAATGGTAGGCACGTGTGTTAGTGTAGGCTGGAGAAAGTGGAGAGAGCATGTGGGTCAACAAAGGAGTCTACCCACATGTTTCGAATTTGGCGAGCGTCGTGTCGAGTAATTGGTTGCCGATCATACGCCTCTCTACGTAGGGCAAGTCTTCAAGCATCAAGCATTGCCAACATCTCCTCAACACTCACGAATTTCTCCCTCTCTTTCCCTTTGCTTCTTCCTCTTGCCCGCTCCACTTCATCAATTCGCTTCCAGTCCGCCCAACTAAGCGGCCTGATACCCTTAGCAATTACCTTCTCCTTAACACTATCCCAGCCTAGGCCTGTACTTCCACTCCCACCACTCACATCATTCAAGAATGGTACATCAGCCTGCCAATCGTGTGCGATCACATCAGCAGAAGTGAATGCATCTTGCATAGTACTGGCAATGACGCCGGTAGGCCCGCGCTTGACCCAGCCTGCACAGTAGAGACCGTGCATATGGCCAGCAGTTAGATTGCCCGGACCGAGTGAAGGTGAGATGACGCGTCCGTGGATGTCGTTTGGTATGATGCCCATTTTGGTATCGAAGGGGACACCGAAGTCTAAGAGACCGGCCAAGGGGGTTGATTTATAACCCACGGATCTGAAAGCGAGCGACGCTTTCATGGTTATCTCTTCATCCGTAGGCACGACCCGTGCTAAATTGTTGAATGGATCAGCGTCTTCGGCGAATTGTTGACGTCTGAATGTGACGGAGGAGAGGTGGGTAGATTCTGCATTCATAGAAATTGGCGCCTTGAGAAAGTCCAGGGCCCATGACTTTGGAGAATCCCGAGGACTGAGCTTGGTGCCTTTGAGTAGGACCTCTGCAATTCGTTTCTGAACCCGGGGCAGTTTCTTGATGTCTGGTGGGTATAGGGAGGGGTCGATAGGCTCGAAGGCAACAGGAGGTATGTGCATGAGTTCGCGTGCTTCTTTCACTGTGAATGCAGCCTATTTTATGTCAGTAATACGATCTCCAAGACGTCGAGATGAATGACGTACTTGCACGGGTCCACGTCTGCCAACAATTCTTACGGACCTGACTCTGCTGTCAGAGAGTGTTTGTATAGCGTGCTCTGTGATATCCGTATTTCGTAGGGCATCCACGGGCGTGAGCAGTATCCGAGCAACATCCAGTGCCACATTGCCCTGCCCAATGACAAGCGCCTGCTCGCCAGCCTGCAATTGCGGCCGCAAGCCTTGGAACTCGGGCAGTCCGTTGTACCATCCTACAAACTCTCTCGCAGAGTATACACCAGGCAGGTCTTCTCCAGGTATGCCCAACTTTCTATCCTCACTCGCGCCATACGAGAACAGCATGGCATCGTAATGCGGCTTCATCGTCGACAAGTCTATATCGCGTCCGACATGCACGTTGCCAACGTAATTGAACCGTGGCGATTGTGCAACCTCTTCAAACGTGTCCTGGCAGTTCTTGACTTCAGGGTGGTCGGGGGCCACGCCAAAACGAACGAGTCCGTAGGGTACGGGAAGCTGTTCGTACATATCGACGACGACATCTTGGACTTTGCTCAAGAGGCGATAGGCTGTGTAGAAGCCAGCAGGGCCCGAACCGATGATGGCAACACGGAGAGACCCTCGCGTAGTCTTTGCTGTGCTGTAATCATAGCTGCTTGGGCGCGATGGTATGTAGCGTCCTGGGGTGAATCGTGGTATTATGGATGGTCGTAGTCGCGCGGTGCTATAGAGTCGAGCTATAGCTGGCTGGGCTGAGCCAATGTCATGTCTTGATCGGACGAACGTAGCTGCTATACGTCGTGTGCAGCTAGCGCAGACATATGGCCTTTTGTGTTGTTGTCGGAGGATGTGCATGTTGTACAAAGACTACTTACTCACAGCTGGATGCCCCAATGCCGATCTGCGACGAGCTTTCAGATGACTAAGATATACACCACATATGCGCGAGGCTTGTGAAACATCAATACCGCGAATCCAATTACGATTCGATTTGAAATTTGCTCTTCGATATAATGCAATAATATCGTCTCCAAGTAAGAGTAAATTACCTCCCCAGCTTGCGTTCAAGTTGTCAAGATCCGGTGGATCTAACAGCCCAGACGCAGCCTGTCCAAAGGTCACAGTAATCAACCCTTTTGGTGCACTATCGAACCCCCTCCAGTTCCAAACCATTTCTAGTTTCAGCCGCAGAGGCCATTTTAGTCGAATGCACATACCATGCCGTCTCATCCGCAAATCCTCACGTCATGGCGTTTCTGGACGTGCATTGGTCGATATTGATTGTTGTCATAGCAACCATTATTTACTACTTCAACCCTTTAGATACCCTAGATCCCCGCGACCCCATGCCACTCATCATCAGCATTCTTTGTTAAGCGAGAGTACTTCACCTTCGTTCCTGCTGGCCGTGTTAGCAAGGCCTCCTACATTCATTAAGAGATGGACCGCGGGCAGCCCTACCTCTACCAACCCTCAAGGGATTCGATGGATCCAACCTTCAATCCCAAACGCGTCACCATGGCGAGTCGCATGCCACCACCTTCGCCGAAGAAGAAACAGGACGGGCCTCTTATCAACTTCAACCAGCATCCAGACAGCTTCCTGTTTGTGCCATATGATAAAAGCGACGTCAAACCGATGCACAGGAAGACGAAGACGTTTGTCAAGGTCGCGCGATGGGCACAGCTCTTCCTTCGAGTATGTAGCATAGTGGGTGCTGTTGGCATCTTGCTATGCGGCATCTTCATTCGAGGTGTACAGGATACAGAAGGATACATCATGAGGATACCGGTATGTGCCCGTCAACAAACACCCGATGTATCACTAATCGTTACAGCCTGGTGTTGACATTGTGGTATGTCTATATGCCGTATATCACCTAGTTCGTAACTCGACATCGCGATCTCCTGCCAGCTCGGCCAGCTACCACTTCTTTGCGCTCATCACCGATGCTGGATTCATTCCGTTTTACATCTTCACGGTAGTGATGTCTCGACGTAACTCGGACATGGTACCTGGAACAGTAGGACGCTGGCGCACGATGTTCCCCACAGACGACGAGACAAACAAGGTCCTGACGACAACCTGGCTCACGGCTACTGCCGTCGCTGCTATGCATCTAGTGTCAATGTCTATGGATCTATACCTGGCCATTGTCTTCAAGATGATAGCAAACCTACCTGCGGATATGAATCCGCTCGAGGACAACTTGACATCGCGTAGGAAGTCGAAACACAAGCACAAGAACTCCTCAATCTCAGCTATTACCCACCTAACCGGTGACAACGAGAAGCGTTTCAGTGTTCAGAGCACGATTGCTGGAGACAGGAACTCGCCGACTGATCCGCTCATATCGAAAGATATCCCGAACCCGAGCATGCATCAAGTCGCTTTCCTGCACACTCGAGTGAACTCGGAAACCACCTATTCACCGCATACGCCGAATTCAGCCCGTCAGTCGAAGGAGAGGTTCTCTATGTACTCACAGCCGCCATCTACACGACAGTCTCGAAAGAGCCTCAATCACCGCGATGATCTTTACCGCCAGGAGGATATTTCAGACGGTGAGACCCTGGCCCAGCGCAAGTCTTTTCTTGCACAACAGGCGAACATCAAGAGACATTCCCGTAACGATTCTTCTGTCACGTTATCATCGTCTAAACAGGACTACTACACGCCTCCAACTACCGCCGGAGCAGAGAAGGCAGAGGTAGCAGGTGATCTCGCTCTTCAGCGCAACAGCCGTGGTGATTTGCAGAACGACAACTGGTTCATCCATCCCGATCAAGAGAATGAGCGAGAGCAAGAGCAAGATGGACATTACCCTGTGCCCGCCCCGAGGCAATCCATGTTTGGATCAAACCAAGGCTATAATACCTTATCGCCGTATGATGATGTCTCGGACGTCGAGGAGGAGCTCGAGAAACCCATGATTCCCCAACCACTCCGTATGAATCCACCAACTCCTCCTCCCGTCATGACCTTCAACGAGAAGAAGAACACGCCTCCTCCCCCGGCGGGTCTCAAGCGCACCCAAACCACAACCTCCGTCTCTACAGACGCAACATTCGACCGCTCGCACTCGCGCTCCGGTACCCCCAAATCGCGCTACTATGGCGATCTACGTGCCGCAACACAGAGCATTCGAAACGGCGGCTCACCCTCTAATTCCCCTCATACATCTCCCACCAAAGGTTCTTTCCGCAACCAACCTAATCAGCTGCCCAGCGCCACGAAACATTACGCTGTTAATACACCTTCGCCAGTAAAGAAGGACTTGGTATCAAACTCGCCGTTTACGCTGAATAAGAAAAGTTATACGAGTGTGCGGCGGACGGGCGAGGCGAATTACTCGCCTGTGAAGGGCCAGTCGCCGCGTGTCGTGAGCAGGTCTGGGGTCGACTACATCAACCCGTACGAGTTTGATGATTCGGATCTGGGGACGCCGGGGCGGAGGAGGGATGTTAGTGGGAAGATTGCTGAGGAGGGGAGAGGCGGCGTGTGGGGTGGGATGACGCAACGGAAAGTGAGCGGATTTGCGTAGGCTGCTGGTTTTTTTGGCGTTTGTGTGTCTGGGCGATACTGGATTTGCATTTGGAGTTAGATATCATATTTGGACATGCAGGGTGCATTTGGAGGGATCTGTATAGTGTGTTTGAGGGCAACATGGGAAATGAAATATTGATATCCTGCTACGAACGAATGGTGCCCTTCCACTACTTGGTCTAGATGCATCGTTTGTGACATTTGATCAAAGTGCTACCTACGTCCAGCACCAAGACTAAAATTACTCAAGACACCATTGCATCGTATTGTATCTTCCAAGGACGTACCGTGGTGTGTTTTGGAGAACGATTAATCGACACTTCACTAGGTTTACCCTATCTAAAGAGGTCATTAGTATGTTTGCTGCACAAACAATTAACTACCGGTTCTGCGATTGATGTAGGCTGTCGTAGTGATGACTGCAGTAGATGTCACAATGTCTAATCAGTCCGTGGGCTCGCCCTGCATATTGCAATCCCGTGTGGGATGCAGGCCTGTGGGAATGTTGGGATCTCAGTGCCTCCCGCTAATGAGCACGCGCGTTCTCGTGCGCAAGCAACACATGACTTCGCGGCTCCCTCGCTGACAGCTCCAGACATACTCGAGCTACGTCTGGCTTTGGCTCTACACCTCTCTACGCGACGCGCATTCCAAGTCGCCAAGACACCCTGACTGCTCTTCGCGCCGTCTCGCGACTATTGCCACTGATTGTCTTGAACAATTGGAGGTGCTCGTCTCCGCCGTTCGCGTCTGTGACACGGAACACGTCCGCCAAACACCATCGCCCGGCCGTCTTTCTTTATCATTGACTCCTACCATCACTCGCAGAGCCCTCTACACCTTGACCCGCCGGCGCCAGCACGAGTAATATATTTGTTTTGGCTCAAAAGGGTGCTGTTTCCTCATGATACAAGTTGGGACCTACCCCGCCACGGTTCCCATGATGCGTAAGTCGCCTCGGGCGCGTCTGCCCCAGCCGATCAATCGCGAAGACTATCGTGACTTACCAATTGCGCCATCAGACAACGCCAACGTGGGCCACACAGCAATGGTTGCTGCTGTGCACAATCCAGCTCTACCAGGCTCGCAGGACTCAATCCTGTCCTCCGTGTCCAACACCTTCTCCGCGCCAGCACAGCCGTCGTCTTCGAGTAACCTGTCCACTTCAGAAACCGAATTCATACCTCCCTTGCCGACCAATGTGGCCTCGAGTCAAGACGATCCTACAGAGGTAGCGATGCCAAAATTGCAGAGCCAAGCCCTTGGTCCGCATGTGCAAGCAAATGCAACGCGAACCGATGCAGCTGCCGCGAACGCGCTGCGAACTGGTGACACAACAGCTAGCTCCATGTTACTCGGCTCCCCGATGCCTCAAGGGTCCAAGAGAACGGCAGATGGCACAGTGAAGAGTGTTGGGTTGGGGATAGGCGGCGTAGTACGTTCTGCCCCTGCACACAAAAGAAACAAAAGCATGGATACACATTCGGGGACACGGATCGGAGAGGTGCGTGACCTGCATGGACACCAAGTATGCGTTTCACTGACGCATAGGCAGCTTTCCGCACAGCTAAAGACGCGATTGTCTTACGCTATGGTCAAGGTCCAGAATGGTTGGGAGAAGCAATCGCTCGAAGAGCTAGAGGAGGTTCACTCGCAGCGTGGCTCTCCCAACTCTGCTCCTAGCAGGAGTGATCGCCTAGTATTCGACTCACCATCCATGAACGACGGTCGACGCAGACCAAGTGGTGTCTCTGACATCTCCGATCCAATGATAATATCCCCAGCGTCGGATCCAGCGCGATCTCTTGCTGCCACTCCATCCAGTCAGTCATTCCGTATAGTGTCTCGTGCACGGTACTGATTACTCCGTAGCATACTGGCGTCCAGGTACTAAGCCAGCCATGAACGCTGCCGTAAGCCTCATCTCTATCACGGGCGCGCAATCTGGACCTGGTCTTGCCCCAGCGCCCGACATTCAGGCTGGAAGAAGACGCAGATCTACCGTTTCGCATGTACCGCCGCCTCTTCTGGGGTCGATACCGAGAAAGCACTTCAGTGATTTGGGTGCAGCGCCACACGTACCAACAACACCTCGGGCAGGCATACTTCGAATGCCAAGTCAGCAAGCTGAAAAGGACGCCGTCGACACCTTGCTATTTATGAGCAGCCCAAATGGGTCACAGCGCTTTCCACAAAGCACACAAAGCACGCAAACGGCGCCCAGCCCGCTCAGGGCTGAAGCACCTCAACGGCGCGTCATGTTTGAGACATACCCTCCACAAGAGAGGCGTGTAGTATACCAGCCTCCTATGCCCGCCCCGCCTCAACATCAATATGGACCGTACCCTGCGTATCCGACAAGGTGATATCAGGGGTCATTGAGGCCAAATTTGGCGTCAGTAAATATCCCTATGGCTTGACAATTGCATTGCATTGCATGGTTGGTGTTGTGGAGATACCCAATGGCCCTCTTTTGTTGTTAGTGTGCAAGCTCCCGCTTGTTTGGGAGGTTGTATTGATGTCTTGTTGGCCTTTGTGCCAGGTTTGCAATTCGACCATTTTGGGTTGATCAGGACTTTGCTCTCATTGTCGAAGCAAATCGCCCAGCGAAATACTACGGTAGATAACGACGATATGAATATCCTTTCTTTGCACTATAGAGATTGCTATCTTTATGCAATGCCAATGCTGAGCCGCTACCTCAAGCTTGACGATCTTCCACCTCAGCTTCCATCCATAAAGGCTTGAAAGGTATTCAGCACTAGTCCTGATTTTTAAAACTCGGTATATTTCTAACCATTACAATATATTTCTGGGCTCAACTGCCAAACCTTCAAGACTGTGATTGGGTTGTGGCTGTACATTCGATGTGGCGTGAGCTCCAACAGTTCACCCTGCATATTACGAGCCCAAAGCGCTACTAGCAACGGCTGGCTATGCACAATCCTTGAACTACACATGATCTCTCCAGCAAATGCCTCAATAGATTCCAACACTTTTGTCACGTCTTTGAACAATGGACAAACGAGAAATCGATAGCGGAAAACATACATGTCAATGCCTACGTAGGCTTGAGCTGAGACGTGCAAAGCTTGCCAGCTCGGATTCTAACCAGAACCGCGATTATTATCCATCTTAAGTCATGACAGCTACCAGCATCGTCGTATAGACAAAATAATCAGTTCGACGTGCGAACATTCCCCGTTCCTGCATGGACCCCCCCTCCCCTCTTCCGCAGCTCTCCGACAGGGGTGTGAGCCAACAAAACGTCATGCCAATGTGGATCCAGCGCACAGCTTCAAGACCTCGGGGGGGTCTTGGAACCACTTAGTCAGAACTCTGCATGATTTAAATACTTCCCTTGTGCCCCAGACTTTGAACTCCATCCCCCTTGGGCAAATCTCCACTCTACCACTTTGTTTTTTTCCCTGTTGTGTACCTTGCTTGCGTCGAGCTCTACCCTCAAAGCTTGTCGGCGCAGCTAATTTTTTGATCGATTGGAAGATAAGATAACGCGTCGTAGAGGACTTTGGAGAAATACCAAGGCACCATGTCTGTTTCAGCAGCACTCAAGAGCAGGGTTAGGAGGCCGAGTTATCTGAAGAAGATTGCCAAAGCTGAGGACTTGCTTCATCACTTTCCCAATGGCGCGTACGTTGGCTGGAGTGGCTTCACAGGTGTTGGATATCCCAAGTAAGTTTCCACTATCCTTGACACCCAACCTCAACCCTTCGAGCTTGAAATTTGGAGTCTCCAAGCATCGGAGGAGCATGCTTCACGATTTTGAGAGCTCGGCTTGTGGAACTGGTCGTGGTCTGAGATCCCGAGGTCGGACGGAAGTATGGAAGAGGTGGATGGCCGAGTTATCTCCGGCTCCACAATTCGAGGTATCAGATCGACTGATCGGCCTTCACACAAGGGCCTATGCTGCCCATGTCTTGGACCGATCCTATTGAAGCAGAACTAGCTCTCGTCAAGATATTGTGGAAGTGCTGCTGCTAACGCAACAATTAGGAAGATCCCCACCGCCTTGGCGGACCATGTTGAGAAGAACAACCTCCAAGGACAACTCAAGTACAATCTATTTGTCGGCGCGTCCTCAGGCGCGGAAACGGAGAACCGATGGGCGCGTCTAAATATGATTGAGCGCCGGTCGCCGCATCAGGTTGGCAAGGAGATTGCAAAGGGCATCAACAACGGTAACATCAACTTCTTCGACAAGCATTTGAGCATGTTTCCCGTGGACTTGATGTACGGGTGAGTAAAATTGTAAAAGATCTTGTGAAGACAACTTTGAGACTAATTTAGCATAGGTTCTATACGCTCAACAAACCCAATAACAAACTGGATGTTACTATTGTAGAAGCATCCGCCATTACAGAAGATGGTGGAATCATTCCCGGAGCCAGTGTCGGCGCATCACCAGAACTCATCCAAATGGCCGACAAGATCATCATCGAAGTCAACACTGCAGCTCCGTCCTTCGAAGGCCTACATGATATTACTATGACGGATCTCCCACCTCGCCGAAAGCCGTATCTCATCATGTCTCCTGAGGATCGAATTGGCACCCCGCACATCCCCGTTGACCCTGAGAAGGTCATTGCAATCGTGGAAAGCGACTACCCTGATCAAACGCAGCCCAACGCAGCTGAAGACGATACCTCGAGGGCTATTGCATCGAATCTGATTGAGTTCTTGAAACACGAAGTGAAGCATGGCCGATTGCCAGAAAACCTCCTGCCCCTCCAGAGTGGCATCGGAAACATTGCCAACGCGGTCGTTGGAGGCCTCGCGGTATATATATCTCCCCATACTAAACGTGAGATCATATTCTGACATGAACAGTCCGGTGGCGCAAACTTCAAGAACCTCAAAGTATGGACAGAGGTCCTCCAGGACTCCTTCCTTGATCTCTTCGACTCTGGCAACCTCGATTTCGCCACTGCAACATCGATTCGCTTCTCACCTGATGGGTTTGAGCGTTTCTACAAGAATTGGGACCAGTATGCGCCGAAGCTCCTTCTACGCTCGCAACAAGTTTCCAATAGTCCGGAGATTATCAGACGGTTGGGCGTTATTGGTATGAACACGCCGGTCGAGGTGGATATCTATGCGCATGCAAACTCGACTTGTGTGATGGGCAGCCGTATGCTGAACGGCCTCGGTGGATCTGCCGACTTCTTGCGATCGGCCAAGTACTCAATCATGCATACGCCGTCGACGCGCCCCTCCAAGACCGACCCCACAGGTGTATCCTGCATCGTGCCCATGTGCACACATATCGACCAGACGGAGCACGACCTCGACGTCGTCGTTACGGAGCAAGGACTCGCCGATGTTCGTGGTTTGAGTCCGAGGGAAAGGGCCAGGGTGATTATCGCGAAATGCGCGCATCCTGACTACAGGCCTATCCTTGAGGATTACTTCAACAAGGCCGAGTTTGAGTGCTTGAGGAAGGGATGGGGACATGAGCCACACTTGCTGTGGAACAGCTTCGACATGCACAAGCACCTCAACGAGAAGGGCACCATGAAACTGCCGAGCTGGGATTGGAGGAGTAGCGAGGAGGGGATGAAGACTGAGAAGCTATAGATGAATAGCGGCAGAGGAAGTCACGCAACACTAGATAGGCCATTCTGATGTACACTAGTATATAGAAACTGAAGTTTGTTAAGGCCTTCCACGAGAGTATAGAGAAAGGAGCTATGACCTCTCTCGGCTACACTTGCCTCGGCCCTCGTGCTGACGACATGCATCCGGGGGCTTGCGCCTCCCAAACGCCTATGATGCTTCAACTTGCGCCTCATTACCTCCCACTCTCCATTCAACCAACACAACCGCCAAAATGCTGCACCTACTTCCACTCTCAACGCTCCTGCTAATTACATCGACCCTCGCCTCTCCCCTCTCGCGAACAGACTCGAAGCCACTCCCCCTTCTCATATGGCATGGCCTAGGCGACAACTACGCCGCCGATGGCCTCCACACGGTTGGCGACCTCGCAAACGAAACGAACCCAGACACATATGTATACTACATCCGTCTCGATGAGGATGCAGATTCAGACCGAACAGCAACCTTCCTCGGCAACGTCACGGCGCAAATAGCCCAAGTTTGCGAAGACATCGCAACGCACAAAGTCCTCTCCAAAGCCCCCGGGCTAAACGCGCTAGGCTTCTCGCAAGGTGGGCAGTTTCTCCGCGGCCTCATAGAACGCTGTGGCGACACCGTGAAGATTAAAAACCTCGTAACGTTTGGCAGCCAGCACGACGGCATTACCAAATACCAGATCTGCAAAGACGGGGACTGGCTATGTAAGAGCTATGTTGGCTTGTTGAAGGCGAATACGTGGGGTACATGGGTGCAGGGTCATCTCGTTCCAGCGCAGTACTTCAAGTCGACGAATGAAACCACGGGCGCGCCGACGGAGGAGTATCTGCACAACAGCAATTTCCTCGCCGATATCAACAATGAGCGTGTCCTCAAGAACGTCACGTATGCGAAGAATCTGGCGGAGCTGGATAACTTTGTCATGTATCTGTTCGAGGATGATACGACGGTCATTCCCAAGGAGAGCGGCTGGTTCGCTTATACGAATTCGACGAATGGTGAGGTTACTGGGCTGCGGGATCGCGCGATTTACAAGGAGGATTGGATTGGGCTTAAGAAGTTGGATGAGAGGGGTGCTCTGCACTTTGAGACGACCAAGGGTGGTCATATGCAGCTTAGTGATAAAGTGTTGAGGAATGTCTTCAAGACGCACTTTTCGCCCGAGAAGGCGAGCTGGAGCGGTCTTTGGGAGGAGCTGCAAGAAGTCATTGAGCTGTAAGATGATATATGATATATATTGTATTAGATGTGTTTAAGATAAAGTCATTCAACCCGGCGCATGTGGATGGACCAAGTTATACACGAATCACCTAGCAGTGCAACGGTCGGTGAATGGGACAACAAGTCTTTACATGACTAGTGTACGTGCGAGTGGTATACGACTCGCACGAAAAACCAGTTCTTTTGAGCACCTAAACGCCAACACCCAATGCGCCTGCTAATCTTCCCACTACCGTGCAAGCTAGCCAGCAATCAGCGGTGTCTGCACCGAGGCCAGCGCCTGCTTCTTCAAAGCCTTTCTCTTTTCCTTGCTAATAGAGGGCTTCTTCGCTGTCTTCTTGGCCTTCTTTGCCTCTTTGTACGCCTTCTTGGCCGCAAGCGCATCGTCGTCCAACAGCTCCTCTTCCCACTCATCCCACTTCCTCTTCTTTTCGGCGCTCTTGCCCTTCGCAGCTCCATCTGCTGCAATCGCACCATGGTATGGCCCATCGAGCACTTGGGTTGCATCAGTCCAAAGCTCCTCGGCAAGCCAGATGGGTAGGGCCTTGGTTGAAGGACCCTTGATGTGGAGTGAGCGGATGTTGCGCCAGCCTTGCGGGACGTGTTTGTCCATGAGGGCAGCGACGACGGCGGCAGTGTTTTCAGTGAGTTGTTGGGGTGTTTGGGAGAGTTTTCCGACTTTTATCGAGGTATTGGCTGAGGCGCTCATGCTGAGGTATGTAGAGTTCAACGCGGTTTCGATCTCCTTTGCTACGCCTAGGGGAGTTCCAACAACATTTTGAGGCTCCCTTGTCTCTTTCTTTGCGCTCTTGTCGATGTACGCGCCCGCGGTGAGGCGGACGGGAATCGGGCGCTTGGCTTTGCTCTGGTAGAAGGTCTTGCCTAGGAATTCGGCAACGATCTTGATGACGCGGTCGTCGACCATGAAGATATCGTATTCGGCCAACAGAGCGCGCTTCTGCTCGTACGACTTGTAACGCTTCTTCAGCTTGTCGACACCGAGTACACGCTGGACCTTTTCGCGAAGGGAAACAGGGAAAGCGTCTGAGGCAACGAGGTCCTTGTACGCCCGTTGGGGGTCTTTTGTGAAGATGCATATTCGGACATCATTGGGGATTATTGGATGTGGTAGCACACTGCTACACATTAACACATGACTCTCTGCGTAGTTTACGATGCCCAGACTGACATTTTGGTTGGCTTTAATCGGTTGCTGTCGCTGATGTGCTTCTTGGTAGAAACGCTGAGAAAGACGGGCTGGTCGTTCTCTTCCGCCTCGTCCTCGTCGTCTGCCAGATTCTGCACTGGAGCATCCTCGCCCTTTGCTTCAACGTGCTTCTTCATGTGCGCAACGAGCGCCTCGGCCGCGCGCTCAACTTGCGACGGATCCAGCTGGTAGGGCGTGCCATTCGCAACCTTGGTGGTGAGCGGCGCTTCGACCACCTTGGCCTCCTTTTCGGTTGCGGTCTTTGATCTTCTTGCCATTGTTGCTGAGTTCTAGTTGCTCGTTTCTCGCTGCTATGAAATTTTGGCTAGATCCCCGACCGAACTTTTTGCCCGGCGATAGGTTTTACCGATGTACCGATAGGCAGGTGCGGGGCTTGCCGCGACTTCTCCATGCGGCAGGTCTGTGGAATGACTCTAGCCAATCAGCGCGTCGCAGCTCGTGCAAGCACACGACCCCTTCATACACCCATGCACGCGATGCAGCAAAACCGCCGGCCGTGTTTCTCTTCACTCTTCGTCTCACTCGTGCTGCATGCGACAATCCTTGCCAAGAATACCGTCTTGGATCTAATTCGACATATGCGGTTTGTGTCGATTATCGTATCTTGGTCGACTCATTGTCACCGCACCCCGCCATAGACCGGGACAATCAATGCTAGGAGCTTTGAAAGAGGGCTGAAAGAGGTAGCTAATTTCAATACAGCCTTGTAAAAGGAGACATACAACCATGCTCAAAGGTGCTTTTCGCTCCCAGTTAACCGATCAATCGGGCTTCGTCCGATCTCAGTCAAGCCGAAACGCCGTCACCGTGCACTCGCCTCAGAGTTTCTCGACGCGTCTATACCGCTTCCTCGCGTCAGCCTCGTAGATCCACCTTGTTACAGATCAGCATGAAAACGTCTTAGTTCATGTGGATTGCTGCACGAAGATTTTCTTTTCACTTTGCGTGACGTCTTGTCTGATGTAGTGACCCGCGACTTGGCCGCTACACAATACTGTATCATACGGGAGCGTGGAAATGCGTTTGATGTAACAAGACGCGTTCGTGATTTTTAGCTCGACTACCTGGCGAACTGCATGCTGAATTAATTACTCGGTGACGAGATGACGGGCAGCTGTGGCCTATATGCTTCCACTGCCAGCCTGGAGCGTGAAAGAGGGCACCTCAGCGCGTAGGGTATTACCAATGGATGTGTGGAGTCAAATGCGATCACCTGCAGCGCAGAGGGGCTGGGACGGCATAGAAAATCAAGTTCGATATAACAGCCGAGCGAAGAATGCATGTCATAGGTGTGATATTTGTGCTCGTGCACAGAGGCTTATGAACGGCTATATGGCCGCCGAGGAGGAGCAGTGAACATTTATTAGATAGCAGCAGAGAGGGAACAGCGCCAGAAGTAAATATGCCGGGGAATTCAGGTTAAGTGCAAGACAGGATAGAGTAATAAGCACGCCTATTAAAGCATTTGCAAAACGGACCACATTGCCAGGGAGAAGTTATGCGTGGTGAATTCCGGTCCTGTGCTGAATCTAGGTCCTAGCTCCCTCCTCACGCGCTACCGTACCCACAACCGCGTACCGCGAACCACCTACCTCTCTTCCTTTGACCGTGTACGCGACCTGCAATTGACCTCATGGCCTCTTCTCTCTGACCTCGTCTCTCTCCTTACACCATCTCCCCTCCACGCTCGCTAGCCCAGCATCTGCACCTGCATCCGGCGCTTCAAACGTCTCCTACGAGACACGTCCGCGTTGCCCTCATAGACGTCGACACGCTGTGCTTCGCGTCCTAGGACCCCGAGACACACACCATGGACTTCAGTCCGGGCAAGACGCTGCAGCAGTCGCTGGTAGAGTCAACAGAATCACAGCCGGAGCTGGCTCGGAAGCCAACTCTGCTCCCCGCCTTCGACGACGGGGCCTTCTCCTCGTCGCCATTCCCGCGTCCGCGATCCTCGAAGCGCAAATTCGACCAAGACTCTCCCACCTTCCCCAAGCAAGAGCTCAAGTATTACTATCCAACACCAGTCCCTACCTCCTCCACGGGCATACTGCTGTCGTCGTCGCCACGCCACTCTCGACCGGGCTTCGATCGCCCCGTGTCTGCCCTATCAGAGCGGACCCCACTAGGGGCCGTACCGACTGTGGACCTTTCAGCAGACGGCACAATATGTCGTATGGGACGTTCATCGAATTCTGCTCACTACCAGCTCTCTACCAATCGCCTTATCTCACGCGTCCACGTCCAAGCCGCGTATCACGCGCCAAGCACGTCTTATCCCCATGGGTACATCGAGGTCGAGTGCTTGGGATGGAATGGAGCGAAGATCCACTGCAGAGGGCGTGTATTCGAGCTGAGCAAGGGCGACACGTACATGTCGGAGAATCCAGAGACGGAGATTATGTTGGATGTTCAGGATACCCGCGTCATGATCGCTTGGCCAGCCCTCTCCGCACGGAAGCTGTCGTGGGATTCGGAAGAGGAGGGCATGCCTACTCCTACACGCGCACGACCTCAGGACAATTTTGACTCCAGTCCTCCTATCGTGCCTCGTTCACCAGTATCGCAGAGCCCTATCCGCGCCCCTGTCTTCGCCGGTCTCGGGCTCACCGCCCAGTCAGGACCTGTTCAGGTATTTGAGGATGCAGACGCTAATGCGGAGGGTTCTCATGTGGAAAGCCCAGACGCAGCTGAAAACACTTTCATCCACCCTACCGTCCCAAGCTCTAGACCCAGTCAGGAGGCTGATGCTCTGGACCCCAAAATGAGTGTATTGTCCTCCTTCGCTGCGGACGACTTTTCGGACAACGATGAGGAGAACGACCCTGTTGTACACTCCTTTGGACCATTCGGCCAGAACCTGCTCAGTGGTCTCGCTTCGTTCAACACTGCCGCTACGCCTACCCAGTCCAATACTCCACGTCTCCGCGCACCCCTGTTATCGCCTTCGCCCAAACGGCCATCCACCGAATCTATACGCTTTAGAGAATCGCCAATCAAGAACCATGTCATCAATCAGCTAGCATTCTCTCGTATCCACTCCCAGCCTCTGTCCGTCATCCACAGCAACCTTCCCGCTGAACTGAGGGCATGTGCCGCCAAGAGCACCGAAGGCAAGAACTCGGATGATGGTGACTCGACACCAGTCCCTCAGCTCTCAAGAGCGGATCTCAAAAGGATCCTGGATGAAACCCCATGTGTTGGCGAGATTCCTCGCGCTGGCAAGGACGCTGCTGGCCAGCCGCTGGAGAATGAGTTCTATTATGTTCCAGAGATGGACGCCAATCAGATGAGGCGAGAGACCATCACTGCCGGCACGCGCAGCACTGGTCTGCGGTCTGTTAGGAAGACGCACAAGGTATGTCGTGTACCCACTTCTGCTCCAGCTTGGGGGAATACTGCTAACGAATCACAGCAATATTACTGGAAGAAGCCCCGCGTCTGAGTAGCTCTCGAGTTTCCAACGTACCAACGACCTCCGACAACCCCTATCGATATCTGCATCGCCGCCGCAGACATGCCCGAGGCCCTCCTCGCTACAGTATGAGGTTGTCTTCAGTCACCGTGAACGTCGCCGAAGACAACACCATAGTTCCATTTCAACCTTTCCTAGTATTTTTGCATTGCATAGCGAGGCGTAACGATACCATTTCACCAGCTTTCTCTCATACTCCAGAGTCTCGAACTTTCTTCTTCGTTGGATATATGTACTATCATCTTTCTCTAGTTGGGCAGGGTTATGATGCATTGTCCCTCTCTGTTGGGCCGAGACGGTGCATCTGATTGATGGAGCTTTTCGTAGCTATGCCCTTTATGGGCGCTGTTGGTAAGTGTTACTAACATTGGATCTTTTCATGCATTGTATTGACTGGGACAGGATCACTTCGATCCATGGCTATCGCCGCCTTCTTGCCGTCGAGCCGCTGTTTTGGAGATACTGGATAAGGAATGAGATGAATACCTGGTGGAAAAGCGATTTTTGGTTAAATGCCATGTGCCTGCGCATGAGCTGCGATATGAGGCATGGATATATGTCAGAGTAAATGTAGCGTTGTTTAGTGGCCAATATAAATGTTCTCGTCATGTGTATAGTATCATTGCTTCGTTGTTGTAAACAATTTGATCAACTGAAGAGGTCATTTCACATCTCCAAATCCAGCCGTCTCGGTTCGATCCTCACGATGACTCTTGGCTACATCGAATATCGTACGCTGTTATAGGTTTATTCCATAAACGCTCAACATAATAAAAAAAGTGCTTGTTTGGTTCGACTTCGGGAGACGTGAAGAATGACGTAATGCAATCGCGATCATCGCACGCCATCACGTGATCCCGATCATCCCACTCAGAACGTACAGGTTGCATGACTGACAGGCACCGAGGTGGCGGTCTCAAAGTGGGTGGTGTTTGAACTTGAATCGATTCACTCTACATATCCGTTTCTTTCATGAAATGCCGAACCCGAGTGATAAGCACGCCAACCGTGGAAAGATGCACGTGCCGTTGAAGGTCCTTGCCCTCATATCCATCGCATGCATTCGTCCCATTCGTACCACCGACCCGACTCGCCAGACGCCAGTATGAGCGAATAGTTTACTTGAGCTTCTTCTTGGGGCGGAGCTGGTTGGTGTGACCGCACTTCTTCTTGCGCTGCTCATTGTTAGCCGAGTTCTCAACACTACCATTCATATTCCATCCACACTATATGTCGCCATCAGGTGGATGGGAATTACTGGGAAACGTACGCAGTTGACAGCCCTCGGTGGTAGGCGCGCATAGCACTTGCGGCAGATCATCTTGTCGCAGTTGTACTTGGAGGCAAGGGCCTTGAGCGATGGCTCGATGATACCACCACGGAGACGGAGGACCAAGTGGAGAGTCGACTCCTTCTGGATGTTGTAGTCGGAGAGAGTGCGGCCATCCTCGAGCTGCTTGCCGGCGAAGATTAGGCGCTGCTGGTCCGGGGGAATGCCTTCCTTGTCCTGGATCTTGGACTTGACGTTGTCTAATCAAGAAGTCAGCCTCCGTTTCTGATTCCCTGTGATGCCACGGTCGAGGGCATTGCGCAGCGTATGAATGCGGTGGCGGGTTGTGGAAAGCGTGTGCGTACCGATGGTGTCAGAGGACTCCACCTCGAGGGTGATAGTCTTGCCCGTCACTGCAGAAAATAATCAGTATCATGCCGGCGAGAGTGCATTTGTGTAGAGCAACATACGGGTCTTCACGAAGATCTGCATGTTTGCGGTGTTGCTGGATCCTGTGTCGAAGTTCGTCGTGGGTTGAGGTTGCCAAATTGAACGTGGTGTCGCTTAGCGAAGTGCGTCACGTGAACCATTGGCGCTAGCCACCTTCACCATTAATCCCTGCCCACCGTCGGCGCTAGCTCGGATGTAAGGGTACAATGAACAGTTCAGTTGGTAATGAGTAACTACGGCGGTGGTTGTCTACATAGTGCTGCACTAGTTTTGCCTCAGCTATCAATCTCCATATCGTTGGCCTTTTGCCGCCTCATCTGCTTCCTCCGCCATTGCTCGATCCTCGCCTCAGTAGAGAAGACTGCCATAACGAGCATACTCATCGACAGCCCTACTAGCTTCGCAGCCTCCTCGAAGAAGGCGTTCGCCTGCTCAGGGAGATCTTGCTCTTTCTTCCACACCCGATATCCTTGTCCCGGTCTCAGGGTTGCCATCTCGGCCGCTTCATTCCCCATGGTGGGCGCTGAAATCATAGCACCATGTACCGCCTTGACCACATCTAATTTATCCTGGAACGACAGTCCGTCAGACAGTTGATCCGCAGTGTGCTCTCTTTTGCCATCAATAGGAAACATCTCGTATAGCGCATTGCGAAATTCGTCATTATCCTTCGTTCGCTGTACCTCTGCATCGTCGAGATAGGTGTCGGCATAAAAGTCGAGGTACTGATCTAGGTGATCGGATCGCATAGAGAAGACGTCCTTATCTTCGAGCTTCATCAACTCGTTAGGTGTGAAGCGCTCGACACCCCCTCGCTGCTTCGCCTTGGCAAGCTCCATCTGCCTGCACCAAACCTTCCAATCCAAAACGGTCGAAGTGGGTTCCGAAGACGATATGGGGCAGCATTGTTCGCCGTCCAAAGGGTACAGTAGCTTGACGCATACAATGAGACACCCAATGAGCTGTCCCTCGGGTAGATATCGGATCCCAAGCCTCTTGTTGCCGTTTTGATGTAACACGAAGTCGTGATCTAGTATATGGCTCAGTCGAATCGTGGCATCGTACAGCTCCAGAGGTAAAGCAAGCTCTTTGAGGTAGCGGAAGAGAAGTAGCGGGACGTTAAGCGCCGGCCATAGAATCCCATGGTCTTTCTCGAAGCTAATCTGCAGATCTGTAACCGTAGTATAGAAGCGCTTGTATTTGAAAAACGTGTTCGGGTCCAAGACAGCATGATATGGTGGTGGTAATCGGTCTCTCATAGTGAGTGGAATATATTTTATCGCCCTCCTATAAGGCATCTTGCCGTCGGTAACCCATGCATAGATATCACCGGGCGTAATCGGGAGTCGCAGGGTCAGGATACCCAGATAGCATAGCGCAAGGCAGTCATTGAGATTGGGCGCGCCGGCGAGCTTCCTGTCTCTTCCTTGTGGCCTTTTATGTAGGCCGCGCTCGTTGTCCGTTGTTTCGCTGTCCTCGCTTTCCAAGGTACTGAAGACCTGGGACTGAGACTGCGAATCGGACTCTGCGTTGTTGCTTGCAATCTTGTCGCCAAATTGCGCAATGCGCAAAGCCCAGAGGTCGAAGACGACTGTCTCAAGTTCAGCCGGAAGACCCTTTTCTTGTACTAAAAACCAGATTTGATGTCTCAGGATAAGCTGTACGGACTTCAGATACAGATCGAAGGCTCGTCGGCCACTAAAATCTAGATTCCAGGTCAGCTTCGAATACAGTGGCAAGAAGTGTTCCAGTAATTTTCTGAGCGATTCCCGCCGAATATGAGGTCTGGAAGTCACACCGCCGCGCAAATTACAACAATGAACGTACTTTTAGCTACCCGCTTCTCGCTCTCACCGGCATCTCTCTTCTTGCGCGTGATCGTCCTGGAAGCATTCGTGGAGAAGTCATCGTCGTCATCTCCGCGCACCAATCCCTACTCCTATTAGTGACTGGGTTCTATTTCCACTTTTTTCAACTCTCACGTGCTGCCGATGTCCATTCTGGCAGTACAGAAATCCATCTTCGCCCTCCTCGTAGCTTCGCGATCGGCAGTTTTCGACGCCACAAATAGGGCCCTTGGTCGGCCGGTTCTCCATCTTGGTGGCTGCTGTTCACGTCTTCGTCTTCACTTGGCATGAACCCATGTTCAGCGCCTAGTGTTGATGATCGTCGCGCGATACAGTCTTCCAAGGTTGAAGGATCTGACAACTATTGGCAGATGAGTTGTTTAAAAGGTCAACTGGGTGGGAGATCTTCGCATTGAGCGACCAATAGGGAGTGACTGGGGCAGGGCTTATGGTTTGGTAAAGAACATCACGATGGCTCGAAGTTGCACAAAATTGAGGTTCGCCTTCCACTAGCGCGAAAACGGAAAATCGCACATTCACCGAGATTTTCGCCAATGAGGAACTCGGCATATGCCATAACATCATCATCGCCTTTATTCATTGCCGTTAGGGATATATCTAAAGGGAAACGAGTCGTAATACGTTTCCCACACATGGCAATGCAAAGAACCCAAAACCGTCCGAAGAACCTTGAGCATTAGTCGCCAGTAGTGCAGGCGAAACCGCGCTGGAGAATGCCGAATTGTCGCTTGAGCTGCAACTTCACATAAAAGAGTATGCAAAGAGTGTCACAGCCTTTCTCGTAGTCCATCAGCAGTGCGCGCCTTGCCTCTTGCTGACAGCCTACGTGTCCAACGGAACGAATCTAGACCTTAGGAGCCTCCTTAGCATCGATAGCGGACTCCTCGCCCATAGCAGTAAGGACGATGACGTCTAACGCGATGTTAGCAATGTTACCGAGCGTGATCTATGGGATTGACTCACTAATGTCCTTGCCGTCCTCGGTGAAGAGCTTGTGGATCTTCTCACCAACTTCACCATCGGGGATCTTGACATCGTCCTTGGTGGTGCCGTCGTCGGACATGAGGGAGAGGAAACCATCATCGGTGACGTCGAGCTAGTCCGCACTGTTAGCTGTGGCTGATTGCACAAGTATCGCGTTACTTACGAGCTGGTACTCCTGGCGGCGGACGTTGGGGACGTTCATGTTGTGGGTAGAAGGGCAGAGTTCTTCCAACTTCTTCGAGGTGAAGATGTCGATGGCAACCAAATGGACCTTGGCGTGGCCGTGCTTGCCGGTCTTGGAGGTGGTCATCTCGACGATCTTGCAAGGGCGGTTCTTGATGACGACGAAGCCGTTCTTCCTCAGAGCAGAGCACTGCATGGGGAAAGTGGTAGAGGCACCGGCATCGGCGCTCTCGAAGGTGTGCTCATGCTGCAGAATATATTGTCAGTTTATGCATTGACGGGAAGCGCAAAGTGTAGCATTTGACTTGATGCCTGGGCGCAAAGGGCAATGAGAATCGATAAGGTGGGGTAAGAGAGCACATGCGGGGCTATCATGCGAGAGACGTACCTGCGCGTCGTCCGCCATGGTGTTGAATGAGAGTAGGATGCGACGGTGAGGAGGTGCTGTATTCGGGTGGTTGGACAGGGAGCGCTGGCGTGGGAGACGGTCCTTAGAGGAGATGGAGAGAAGTCTGCGTGTCTGGATTTTGATTTTGGGTAGGCGCGAGGGGCAAAGCCGCGCTAGTATGCCCCTGTCTAGCGTCGGAGAAAACAAACGCCGAGGCTTCTTGTGTGCAGCGCCCGTCGTCGTCGACCTGTCCTCGAAGTCCATCTCGGTGTTTGATGTTCAAAATGCGCCCTTGAACTGACTGCGACTCTGACAGAAAGCATGTGGGGCCTAGACAGGCTTTCCGCCTACTCCACGCCCTCTGGAACGCCCCCGCCACGCCGCGACTCGTACTCCCCTGCTCCACGAAGGGGTTATCCGCCCTCAGGGCCTGGTCCTTTGCCTCAAAGACCAGGACTAAACCCACGATCATCTTCACTATCGCTTGTGTCGCCTAACTCCTCGAGTACAAGCTTGCCTAATACTGCACGGCCTCCTAATGGCGCACCACGCAGACGGCCGGCAGGAGGACCTTACTATAATGGCCCAAATCCCATACAGGTGTTAGAGTCGATAATGGGAGGACCGACTCGCAGACCTATCACTGCACATCGGGATGCGAAAGGTGACATACAACAAAAGCCAGAGGTAGTAGACGCGGACATTGATTTTGGAGGGCTGAGCTTGCACGACTTCATAGAAGAAGCACCCGAGCCACGGCAACACACATCTGTACATACATGTAGCGCGCAGTCAGTTGACGAATGTACGTCTTTATACATTTCCTCCACGCTTTTTGCTCATTCTTCTTGCAGATGATAACGAGAAAGACAAGTTTGAGGACCTTCACAAGTCGATATTAGCATGCGATGAGGTGTTGAAGTCGGTTGAAACGTACCTCACAAACTTCCAAGCAGATCTTGGCGCAGTATCAGCGGAAATTGAGTCTCTCCAAAACCGTTCCGTAGCACTGAACACGAAACTCGAGAATCGCAGAGTAGTAGAGAAGCTATTAGGCCCCGCGGTGGAAGATATCAGCATAGCACCAGCCGTCGTACGCAAGATTGCAGAAGGCCCCGTCGACGAGGGCTTTGTGCGCGCCCTTGCAGAAGTGGAGAAACGGTCCAAAACCATAAATGCGAAAGCAAAGGAACAACCCGATCTGAAAGCCATCAAAGACGTGAAGCCACTACTGGACGACCTCATACATCGAGCCGTCGAACGAATACGAGACTACATAGTAGCTCAAATTAAGGCTATCCGGTCACCCTCGATCAATGCACAGATTATCCAACAACAAGCTTTCCTTAAATACAAGGATCTCTATGCTTTCCTTGCGAAACACCAGCCCGACCTTGCGCAGCAGATCAGCCAGGCTTACATTTTCACTATGCGCTGGTATTACTTGAACCATTTCACCAGGTACCGAATGGCGCTCGAAAAGATCAAGGTCCATGCAATGGACAAGTATGATATACTAGGCGAGGATGCCAGTGCCAGAAGAGGTGGGAACTTACTGGGACAGTCACGCAATGCACCAGTAACCTATGATGCCTTTTCGCTTGGCCGACGGCTTGATGTTTTGAAGAGTCCCTCCGTCACCGCTTTAACAGCCCACGTTGCTGAAGAGGAGAAGTCTGCCCACTACCTCGAAGTCCCCTTCCGAAATTTCAACCTCGCTCTTATCGACAACGCGTGTTTTGAGTACACTTTCATCTCGACGTACTTCGCGCCGACGCAGAATTACCACGCCATATCTCGTACATTCGCATCAGTCTTCGAACCCACAATAGCAGTTGGTCAAGCGGTTACCAAGTCCCTTGTCGAGACGACTACAGATACACTCGGCATCCTTCTTTGTGTGCGTCTCAACCAGCACTTTGCATTCGAGCTGCAACGGAGGAAAGTCCCGACAGTAGAAGGCTACATCAACGCGACAAACATGCTACTCTGGCCACGCTTCCAGCAGGTGCTCGACATGCACTGCACCTCCCTACAAAAGCTCACCTCATCCCTCCCAAACCGACCATCAACCGGTGCAGCCCTCCTTTCTTCAGGCTCTCACAACGCAGCCTCGACAGCGCCGACGCCGCTAACGCAGAAATTCGCCAATCTACTTCAAGGGATCCTCGCGTTGTCGTCGGAGGCGGGCGACGATGAGCCCGTGAGTGTGTCGGTGGGAAGACTGAGGAGTGAATACGAAGCCTATCTTACGAAGCTGAGCAAGAGCATCAGCGATACGCGGAAACGGGAGCGGTTCCTCTGTAATAATTATAGTTTGATATGTACGATATTGGCGGATATCGAAGGCAAGCTTGGAGAGGATGTGAGGGATCATTTCGAGGCGCTGAGGGCTGCTTTTGACAAGTAGTTGGAACACGAGAGGTACTATGTAGGCTTTGAAATGCATTCCCAGCAAACTGGGGCTGATTTCCTTTTGCTCTAATCTCGCGTGGGCCTCAAACACACTATTACATCTAACTCCTACAAATCATGGACCTTTTGTTGCGTTCTCAGCGGCTTTCAAAATTCATTTCTGGTATTTTATCCTTTCGCAAGATGCTTGTTCGACTGACTTGAACATATTTCTGTGCCTTGCCTTGGTCGGCATTTGGCATAGGACTCCTAACGCACTACAAGGTCAAAGGTGGTGTTGTCGATGTTCGCCCCATGTCAACTACCAATCAACAATGGAGAAGCGATAAATATCGTGTTCTACCAGGCCGACAAACACAGCCACCATGCAAACCTAGCCGAGCGAAGCACATGCATGTGCATTCGAAAGGCGTCCTCGTGTCGCTTTCATGCTCATTGGACGCCCATGCTACTTGCACAGCCTTCAACACTCAGGCTCGCGGTCCGTGACCCTGGTCATCAAACACTATCGGTCCCACGGCTAGGAACCGTTTCATTATATGGTGGCCTACCGCCATCACCATAGTCCTTCTGACAGGGACTACGTACGCTGGAAAATTCTTTTTAACATAAATGCTCGCAAAAAAATCCTTGAGCTACTTTTCAAACCCTGTGATTCTCAAGTCGTTAAGATTCCAGTTACACAAATACTCCCTACTCCAGTATGGTGGGAACAAAGCAACCAGCAGACCAATACCGCCCGCCTCTAGATTCCCCTTCGAGCTCTGTCGACGACACTGGAGATGCAGATACCAGTGCTGGAGTTGGAATCCTAGCTGAAGCAGGTGGTGCGAGCGCCCGTAGTAGTGACAAGAGGCCACAAACGAGTATGGAGCATGCGGCTCGAGCTAAGCGTTTGACAATCAGTGCACATGCTCCTAGCAACCCCTCTGAGCTTGATGCGGTAGAGCTATCTGTGAGTGGTAGCTCAAAGGGGGGTGAGGACTTGTGCGAAGAATGCGCTACCATCTGCTTTGATGAGGAGACAATCATGTCGCAGATGTCCTCCCTCCAGTCGTCGAAATATATCCATGGGTTTGTAAAGCTGGATGAGAAGTGTATGCTTTGCGATTTGTTTCGGAAAACGTAAGTCCGCTCCGTCTCTGGATGCGGTTGTGCTAGCTAATTGATTTGCTTAGAATCGAACACTATAAAATTACAGGCCCCACCGGAAGCCATCCATTCTACTGCATCGAGGCCATAAGATTCGATGGCGTCCCGGGTGTCATGTTGAAATTGTCGCAATTAAAGGACTTGGGGAAATCTGGATGGCTCCTCTTCGGCTCCAACAGTGCCTTTCCTGGCGCTGAGCGGTTGTTCGCACGAGATATTCAGTCAGATAAAATCAATTGGGCCGCTGTGAAACAGTGGTTGCAGTACTGCGACACGGAGCACGAAGATAGCTGCGGATCGGTGAAAATGATGCAACTCCCTGGTTTTCGGGTAATTGATTGCACGACTCGGAGAATCGTGGAGGCGCCGAAGGAGTGCAAATTTGTTGCACTGAGCTATGTCTGGGGCTCTGATTCTTCACCAGGTTTGCGCCTGAAGCTTCCAACAAAGGTTCCGCTGTTGATCGAGGACGCTATAACATGTACAAAGGCGATTGGTCTCCGTTATCTCTGGATCGATCGGTACTGCATCGATCAGGAGTCCGGTGATTCCAAGCATACTTTGATCCGGAATATGGATCAGATATACTCGGGCGCAGCAGTGACAATCATCAATGTTGCAGGAACAAGCTCGCATAGTGGTCTGCCTGGGGTCTCGCACACAACTCGACGTCCACTTGCATCTGTCTCCGTTCACAACAAGAGCACAAGTCTCAGGTTGTTGCCGAACAGCAGAGCAGAAGTAGCAGAAAGTAAGTGGTCGACGCGCGGTTGGACTTACCAAGAAGGCCTTCTTCCTCGCCGTCGGTTGGTTTTCACTTCATCGCAGATCTATTTCCAACGTTTGGAAATGCATTCCTGTGAGGTGTTACCTATTCACTTTCTTACCAGAGATACAACAACAACATTCGGACGTGCGTTGGGGCGAAAAATGCGCGTGTTTCCTTCTCTAAGTCGAATGGCGTACGCTGACACAGTAGAACTGCGCATCGAGGAGTACCTACAGCGAGAGCTATCGTATGAGTCGGACGTGCTCAATGCGATCATGGGTATACTCCGGCACATATGTGTCCACTTCTGGGGCCTTCCTATCGATTCTCCAAGACGCTATTGTCCCCGAGCATTTGGTGCCAACGAAGGCTTCCTGGCAGCTCTGATGTGGATACCAGAGGCCGAGGGATCGAAGTTGGGAATCAGTAGGAGAGCAGGGTTCCCTTCGTGGAGCTGGGCTGCGTGGAAAGGTATCACAGGCATTGGAAAGACGTACTTGCTATACTAAAAACCTTGATGTCGAGGTAAAGATTCGAGATCAGACCGGTCGGACGTGGAGCATGGCCGAGTATAATGAAGAGATGACGCAAAAAATTAGTATATATCGCTTCGACCCTTGCGTGTACCTTACTGGCTGGATAACTCACGTGTATTTCCGGCCCATGCAACGGTACTTGAAGAAGGATGCTGCAATGTTAGCATCGGACAAGTGTATGTTGGTACACGCCTACGACAAGTCCAACAAGCACAAAGTTACGGATGCGACAATCTTGACGGGCTTACCGTTGAACGACTCCACCGGAAGCTTACAGTCAATCTTTGACCGCCCTTGGCCTGTTCTACTCTTCGTTGGCACAGAGAGTGATATTGCAGGTGGTCTTGTCTTGAAACCCCTCGAGGGCGATCGGTACGAGAGGCTGGGATTGCTTTCCTCCAGAGCCTGTAAAATCATGAGTTGGACGAGCACAAAACACAAAGCCCGTTTCATGTGCATAGAATATTCATCCTATGAGACTTGGGGGTTAGAATGCGATAGGCGCACTATCCGACTAGTTTGATCATCTCTGCAGTAGTTAGCAAAGCAATTTTGACCAAGTCATGGTAGTGAGCAACTTCACCTATCCCACGCTGAGGGAAAAGCAAGGCAAATCGTGAAGGTGGCCGTCGTCCGTGCAGCATCGAGGGGCGCCATGGTATGCAAGTCATTAGCTGGCAGACAGATGCGCACAAGCGTACTGTGGAGAAGTCTGAGGCGAACGAAGCGAACCTGGGGTATATCGATAAGTGATGAACAATTTACGGCGCCACTTGAATTGGTAACCCCGAGCGATGTCCAGCGGAAGGAAAATGGAATCTTCCGTGGCAGTCTCGACCATGGCCGATGCCGTCTTTGTCAGGTCCAGGGGCGGTGGCAAAGGTACCGCCAACAGAATCAGGTCGGCAAGTTGGGAATGGGAATGGGAACCAGTGTGGAGCCTCCGCTGGCAGCCGTAGCGTCATGGCGCGAATAGTGTCCGGCTTGAAGAGGTGGTGCCCAGGTGGTTCCGCTCTGTACGTGGGGTGGGCATGGAGTACTTGGGCCTCAAGTACACAGTTCAGTGGGAAGGTGCAGGTCAAGTAGACTACATGGGAAGGTGCAAGGCGTCCATGTACGGCAATGGCAAACTTGCCTTTAGATTGGTCTACATGTCTACCGTAGCAAGCCCTGATCTTCCGTGCTGCATAATGCGAGACGCCCAACTTGTTGCCTGTCCATGGCTAGAGACGAGAAGGCGGTCAGCGCGCATGTCGATTTCGCCACAAATAGACGCCCTTTTGCAACGTGGGTGCTCAACTACAAGTGTGCGAATAGAATCCGTGCGGAAGCAGGCGGCAAAGGGAATGAAAACTCTGGCCTCGGCTTCGACTGAAGTAATAATAATACAGCAAACGCAATTGAACGAATGGCCTCCCGTGGGACAAGGACGCTGAGGGCGAGGACTCGGCCCCTGCACAGGCGGCGCCAATCTTATCGGCTCTTACGCCCCTCCCCTGCCAAAAATTTCTGAAAGCCCACCAAAGAGTTAAAAAGCCCGCGCCCTCACGGTCGTTGCGCCCTCTCCTACCACTTTCCCCTCCTCTGGGCTATCCCAAGGTTCTTTCATTCACTGTCATTTGTCCCGGTCGCATACAGGCTGCGAGTCACGTTTCTCGCGGTTGTTGTGCATCAGAGATACCCCCGATAGATTTTCGTCTATCCTTCACCGAAAAGTTTTTAGACGTTAGGCCCCGCCTTTGTCCATTTAAGGACCTCCGCCCGCTTCTTCTCACCCTCGACACACAGAAATTCTCCCTCCCCCCAACAACCTGCAAAATGGCTCCCGCTGCTTTGCACGACGCTTCGGCCGTCAAGTCGGAGAACTCAAAGGCCCTCAAGGCCCTCGAGGAGCTCATGAGCAAGTTGACTGTGTCCAAGGCCCAGGACGAGATCAACGCTGCTGCCAGCTCCATCGCCACCTTTATCAACGGCGACATTGAGGAGGCTGACGCTCCCACAAAGTACGTCTACCAAGCTCACACTGCAGCACCCTTGCTAACAAACCCCCCCAGGGCCGTCGACCTGCTCAAGAAGCAGCTCGCCAGCAAGAAGGATGCCGTCGCCCGCGAGCGTGCGCTGGACGCCATCCGCGCCATTGCCCAGCACGCCCAGGTCTCCGCTGCCGTCGAGCCCTACCTCGTCTCCCTCCTGCCGAACGTGCTGGCCGCTGTCGGCGACAAGATGAGCGGTGTCAAGGTCGCTGCCCAGACGACTGCCGAGTCCATCGTCGCCGCTGCCAACCCCAACGCCGTCAAGGCCATCATCCCCCACATCATCTACTCGCTCGAGAACGCACAAAAGTGGCCCGAAAAGATGACGGACCTCAAGTGCATCGAGATCCTCACCAAGAGCGCTACCGCACAGATGGCTTTCCGCGTCCCAGACCTGATCCCCGTCATCTCGGGAGCCATGTGGGACACCAAGCCTGAAGTCAAGAAGGCTGCCTACACCACCATGGAGACCCTGTGCTCTCTCATCTCCAACAAGGATATTGAGCGCTTCATCCCCGAGCTGATCAAGTGTATCGCCAAGCCCGAGAACGTCCCCGAGACGATTCATTTGCTCGGTGCCACCACCTTCGTTACCGATGTCCACGAGCCCACTCTTGCCATCATGGTCCCCCTGCTCGAGCGTGGTCTCGTCGAGCGCGAGACGGCCATCAAGCGTAAGGCGGCCGTCATCATCGACAACATGTGCAAGCTTGTCGAGGACCCCCAGATTGTCGCTGCTTTCTTGCCCAGGCTGATGCCTGCTCTCGAGAAGAACCACGACAATCTTGCCGATCCCGAGGCTCGTGAGAAGACCCGCCAGGGTCTCGACACCCTCATCCGCGTTGGCCACGTCGAGAATGGCAAGATCCCCGAGATCGAGAAGATTGGAGATATTGCCACCATTGCCGGCCATCTCAAGGCTGCCCTTCCCTCCAAGTACAAGATCGACGAGCGTTTCACCCCTGTTGTCAACTACATTGGCGCCATCGGCGGTCAGCTGATCGACGAGAAGGACTACGAGTCGTTCAACTGGACGGCCAACGCTGGCCCCTTCGTTGCCGTCCTAGTTGGCGATGAGGAGTCCAAGGACGTCACCGAAGATATCCGCCAACGCTCCCTTCCCGGTGCTGCTCTGGAGAGGGCAGTGGAGCCCGATGAGGAGGAGGGCGAGGATCTCTGCAACTGCACCTTCAACTTGGCCTATGGTGCTAAGATCCTGCTCAACCAGACTCATCTCCGTCTGAAGCGTGGTCAGCGTTATGGCCTTCTCGGACCCAACGGTTCCGGAAAGACGACCCTCATGCGTGCTATCAACAACGAGCAGGTCGAGGGTTTCCCCAAGCAGAGCGAGGTCAAGACTGTCTACGTCGAGCACGACTTGGACTCTGCTGACACCGAGGAGACTGTCATTGGCTGGACCCAGAAGAAGCTCAAGTCTGTTGGCATTGAGAAGCCCCAGGAGGAGGTCGAGAAGACCCTCAACGAGTTCGGTTTCTCCGACGCCATGTACAGCGGTCCCATTGGTGCCCTTTCTGGTGGCTGGAAGATGAAGCTCGCGCTCGCTCGTGCCGTTTTCGAGGAGCCCGATATCCTACTCCTTGACGAGCCCACTAACCATCTGGACGTCAAGAACGTCAAGTGGCTCGAAGACTACCTGACCAACTCGCCTTGCACATCCATTGTCATTTCTCACGACAGCAAGTTCTTGAACCACATCATTCAGCACGTCATTCACTACGAGCGCTTCAAGCTTAAGCGTTACCGTGGTAACCTCGACGAGTTCGTCAAGCGTGTGCCTTCAGCTAGGTCGTACCACGAGCTCAGCGCCTCCGACATGGAGTTCAAGTTCCCCGAGCCCGGTTTCCTTGAGGGTGTCAAGACCAAGGCCAAGGCTATCCTCCGTGCTACCAACATGAGCTTCCAGTACGAGGGTACCTCCAAGCCCCAGATCACCGACATCACCTTCCAGTGCTCGCTTGGCTCTCGTATCGCCGTCATTGGCCCCAACGGTGCCGGAAAGTCGACTGTCGTCAACGTCTTGACTGGTGAGCTTGTCCCCACCAAGGGTGAGATCTACCACCACGAGAACATCCGTATCGCCTACATCAAGCAGCACGCTTTCGCCCATATCGATCACCACCTGGACAAGACTCCTTCCGAGTACATTCAGTGGCGTTTCCAGACTGGTGAGGACCGTGAGACCATGGACCGTGCCAACAAGATCGTCACCGAGGAGGACGAGAAGGCCATGGACAAGATCTACAGGATCGAGGGTTCGCAGCGTCGTGTCATTGGTATCAACTCGCGTAGGAAGTTCAAGAACTCGTACGAGTACGAGTGTTCGTTCGCGCTCGGTGACAACGTCGGTCTGAAGAACGAGAAGTGGACGCCTATGATGACTGCTGACAACGCCTGGATTCCTCGTTCCGAGATCATGGCTTCTCACGCCAAGATGGTTGCTGAGGTCGATCAGAAGGAGGCTCTTGCCAGCGGTCAGTTCCGTCCTCTGGTCCGTAAGGAGATTGAGGCTCACTGCGCCAACTTTGGTCTCGATGCCGAGCTTGTTTCTCACTCGCGTATGCGCGGTCTGTCTGGTGGCCAGCGTGTCAAGGTCGTCCTTGCCGCGTGCTCATGGCAGCGTCCCCATTTGATCGTCCTTGACGAGCCCACCAACTACCTCGACCGTGACTCTCTCGGTGCCTTGTCCAAGGCCATCAAGACCTTCGAGGGTGGTGTCATCATCATCACTCACTCGGCTGAGTTCACTGAGGGCCTCACTGAGGAAGTCTGGGCTGTCATGGACGGCAAGATGACGCCTTCCGGCCACAACTGGGTGCAGGGTCAGGGTGCTGGACCTCGTTTGGGCAAAGATGAAGGCGAAGAAGTTGAGGTATTTCCCCCACCCCCCCTTTTTATTCTGGCCTTTGCTAACCTGTATGACTAAGCAATTCGACGCAATGGGTAACAAGATCGCTTCCCAGGCAAAGAAGAAGAAGTTGACTTCGTAAGTATCCCCAGGAATATTTTTCCTCTAAAAAAAATCAACTGGGACCGAATGCTAATAATTGCCACAGAAGCGAGATGCGCAAGAAGAAGAAGGACCGCATGGCCCGCCGCAAGCGTGGTGAGGAGGTCTTCTCCGACGAGGATGATTAGATCATTCGCGGTTGAAAAGTTTCCTTCATTCTTGGTTTCACGGCATGACAGTTCAAGAGTTGCATGACAGGCTTATCTGATACCAGCCTATGAGTAATGCGGTAGTGATCACGGTCATGGTCGGCGTTGGGTACAAAATTAGCATGATTTGATCTCATCTGATTTCATCTCGTAGAAGATAGAGATAGAATACCATAAACACTTCATATTGTTCGTTGTGGATGGTGTGTGACGGTGTTTTCTGTAAACTTCCCAGTCCTTCGCTGCTGATCATGGCAGACAGGTTAGCATATGGTCGATATGCTCTTAGTGGTCATACCCGTTGGTATCTGGCAAGAGTTTTACCGCAAGGCCACCTTATTACCTGCTTATATTATACTTAAAAGGGTACCAAGCTAACAAAGCATTATAGCTAATAGTAGATAGATATTGAATTTGGTAACAAGTATAATAAAGCCTGTATAGCTTTAATGCTCTTTGTATCTTCGTTTGACGAACGTAAAGGTAGCTGAAACATTTCATGCGACATGATGAGGCTGTTCATTGTTGGCATTTGAGCCAGTGTACAAGCTTCGGGTTTTTTTTACACTTTGTAGTATGGATGTTTCACCACACGGGCCATCCAGCACATTTCGTGCCCTCATCATTCTCTACTAAGCAGTTGTAATCTACTAAGCACAATGTACTTTGATTTTGACTCGTTTCATCTTTCGCACGGGTACCCCGCGAGGTCGCTTTTGGGTGCAGGTATGACGTTATAAGATCGACCTTCTCACCGCTCGCTTGGAGCCGCATAAGCTTGGGGAAGCTTCGACTGCGACCCGCACCACGGAGTTGCTACCCCAGAGGTAGGCACTTATAACACGCCTCTCAAGAGCCTTTAGACGAATCTTCCGCCATCTGAGGATTACCCTGAATCGCGAGCGGACTCTTGGCTGAATGACGCTTTCCACCGGACAGTCATTTCCAAATCTCATCCAAGTTTCGAACGACGAAATTGTTCGCGCCCTGCTGTATAAGGAAATTGAGTAGACGAAACTTGTCGCGAAGATACAATGGCACAGGTTCAACGACCTCTGGTCATCCAATCGCACATCATCCGATCCTGCTGTCCACGCCCTACTCGGAGGACGACCAGGGCGCTCTTCGCAAGAGGGAACAAGCACCACAGTTTGCACACCAAGACGGTCACCGACAATGACATTTCTCGATTGGCCAGCTTGACACTGCATCCATTGACGCTTACAGATCTCGTCAAGTATGTTCTCTACATCTGCGTGTACATATTTTGGCTGACAACTGTCGCGTGATGACTAGACACGGAAAACCGCCGCTCACGACGCAACAACTGCTCACGTCGGCCAACTTCACACTGTCAATACTCCCAGCACGACTCGCGCATCGTATACAATCGCTCCGCAACCTGCCCTTTATTGTCGTATCGAACCCACACGTGTCTAAAATACACTCCAACTACATACACAGTCTCTCGACGCTGTTGCCATGGGCAGAGCACGAGATTACAACGTTAGAAGAGGAGGTCAAGTTTACGGAAGTTATGGCCGACCTTGTTCAAACGCACGCGAATACGATTAGCATACTAGCACGAGGGTTTCTGGAGGCTAGGAAGTACATCAGCCCCAAAAATGTAACTCGTTTCTTGGACGAGCATTTGCGGGCAAGGATAGGCACGCGACTGATTGCGGAGCAGCACTTGTCGCTGCATTTCTCAAGCCAGCCACATTGCGAGGTTATGCATGAGCAGGACGACAACCCGGGATACATCGGTGTCATTGACACGAGACTGAGGCCCGCGAGGATCATTGATCACTGCGCGAACGTAGTAGGCGAGATCTGCGAGCTCAAGTACGGTGTTCGACCTACCGTGGTGGTGAATGGAGAGCCGGACTACGAATTCGCACATATACCCGTCCACCTTGAATACATCATCACCGAACTCCTCAAGAATGCTTTTCGCGCAACGGTAGAAAGCGGCATGGAACGGGAGAGCATCGAAGTTACCATCGCCCCTCTTCCAGAACTGCTACCGGGGAGCACGGGTACCAGGGATGTCGACAACATTAGCAACCAGATGGTCGAAAACAAGGACCAAGGCAACACAGACATAGCATCCCAACGGTTCACTGGCAACACCACTACTGCGTCTCCGACGGCAGACTCAAACATCCTGCCCCTTAAACACTCGACACCCGGCGTAACGATCCGGATCCGCGACCGCGGCGGCGGCATTTCCCCCGAGAACCTTAAACAGATCTGGGACTATAGCTTCACTACCTTCAATGACGACCAAGCATCCTCGACGTTGACGGGCAACCACTCGGGCAACGGCATGGACGCGCTGAATGCCTTTTCAGGACCTGGAGGTGATGGAGCGAACAGCTTGGCGGGGCTAGGGTACGGACTCCCGTTGGGAAGGGCTTACGCGGAGTATTTTGGAGGAGGCATTGCGGTGCAGAGTTTGTGGGGGTGGGGGACAGACGTTTACTTGAGTTTGAGGGGGGTGGGGAGGGTGGAAGGGGAGGACCATGGGAAACCATGAGTGGAGAGTGGGGGGCAAGGAAGGGAAGAGCATTTGTTGTTGAAAGTTTATCATGATATACCCTGGTGTCCGCCTATCGAACACCTATATTAAGCCCATGCTCCGTCATATGCTATCATGCGATCATGCTATCATGTCGTGCAGTGCTCGTCTCAACGTTGTGTCCGCTATGCTAACGACTATGAGGCTCTATTGGGTCCTGACCTCTCCGTCGGCCTCGACAGTGATCTTATCGTTGCTCTGGAGCGTCGAGACGGCATCGTCGGGGATCTTGGCCCTGTTCTCACGAATCAGTATGATGTTGGGAGGGGTAGGAAGACTCGAGGGGATGTAAGAACGTACGTGAAGCCCTTGATCAAGCTGAATTCACTGACAATCTCGCCGCCCTGGTCCTTGACGTGCTGCTTCGCCTTCTCGAGGTCGTCCTTGGAGGCGTCCTTGTTGAGGGTGACCTAGCGAGTGTTAGCGGGCTGAGTGGGTAGCGGCGTTATGATGGGGGGATCTTACGTTGTACTGAGGCATGTTGATGGCTGGATCTTGGATCTTGGAGTTTAGTGTTAGGCGTGGGGGAGGAGTGGTGGTGTGTGAGTGTTGATGGGTTAGTGGTACGCGTGAAGAGGGGTCAAGGCGTGATTTATATACGTCGACGATGTCCAGACACCGAGATAACCCTGGCCCCTTCACTAAAGCCTTGGTTATGCGAGCGATAGCTGACGATGACGTGCGTGTTCCGGCCCAGCACACGGGGGGGGCATCTTCACAGCCCACCCTGTGCCCCACCACAGACGGAAGTCGCGCTGCGCTTATCGATAAGCATCCCTGCACCGAGAAGCTTAGCATGCCGGCTAGCGTCGAAAAAGTTCGTGAACCGCGAACCTCGAGAGTGCGCGCTGCTGATTCTCGTTTTGTAGGCACGACCATTGCATTGCTGTCGCCTTTTCTCGACTGCTCTTTGATCGTCTGGAAGACTGCTTTGCGAGAGCAAGGCACAGACACGGCAGATCGCAAATATGGCGGACACACAGGCAAACCGACCGCATAGGGCCACGAAGGAGAAGAAGCCGCATTCTGGAGGGCCAAACCCGAAAGCTTTCGCATATTCAGCACCAGGAAAACTGCGAAAGCAGGCGGCGCGCTCTACCGAAGTATGTCAAACACTAACTTTCTGTGCGAAGCTGTACTGACACCAGCAGGTCAAAGAAAAGCGCCTCCATGTCCCGCTCGTCGACCGCCTCCCCGAAGAAGCGCCCCCGATCATCGTAGGCGTCGTCGGCCCACCGGGCGTGGGAAAGACAACGCTCATCAAGAGCTTGATCAGACGATACACCAAGCAGACACTCTCCACACCAACCGGGCCTCTCACCGTCGTAACCTCGAAACGGCGGCGCCTCACGTTTATGGAATGTCCCGCCGACTCGCTCGCCAGCATGATCGACATTGCCAAAGTAGTAGACATAGTACTGCTCATGATTGACGGCAACTATGGCTTTGAAATGGAGACCATGGAGTTTTTGAACGTGCTCAGCGCAAGCGGTATGCCAGGAAACGTGTTTGGCATCCTTACACACTTGGATCTGTTCAGGAAACAGGAAACCCTCAAGCTGCAGAAGAAGCGGCTAAAGCACAGGTTTTGGAGCGAGCTGTACCAGGGCGCAAAGCTGTTTTACCTCAGTGGCGTGGTAAATGGGCGGTACCCAGACAGAGAAGTCATGAATCTTACTAGGTTCCTGAGTGTCATGAAGAACCCCAGACCACTGGTGTGGAGGAATTCGCATCCGTACTGCTTGGCTGATCGCTTTTTGGATATTACGCCGCCGACCGATATCGAAGAGAACGCGAAATGCGATCGATCGATAGCGTTGTACGGATACTTGCGGGGCACAAACTTCCCGGCCGGGGGGTCGCGAGTGCATATACCTGGTGTTGGCGATCTTACAGTTACGTCGACGGAAGCCCTACCAGATCCATGTCCTACACCATACGCAGAGAAGCAGCTCGAGAAGATTGGCGGAAAGAAGAAGCGCACAAGGCTAGGGGAGAGGCAGAAGATTCTGTATGCGCCCATGTCGGATGTCGGTGGTGTGCTGGTCGACAAGGACGCTGTTTATATTGATGTCAAATCGTCTACATTCGATCCGGAGGCGGATTACTCGGAACGGGGATTAGGCGAGCAGATGATGATCGGGCTGCAAGGTGGCAGGAAGCTGCTCGGTGAAGACGATCGAGGATTTAGGCTCTTCAGTGGCGGCGGGCTTGTCGACAACAAGATCATGGATGACGATGTTGAAGATACTGGCCGAAGATCCCATCGTGCTGCTAGAGCAGCAGATGCTGACGAGGTGGACGATGCAGATCTGGATGGCATCGACAGCGACGACGAGGAGCTTCAGCAGGACCACAGCGACGCAGAAGACGGCGAAGATGACACTGGCTTCCTGGATACTAGTCGACCTTCAAACGGCAAGCCAAATCTTGCGCGCAAAGAGAAGGATATCAATGGTGAAGAAGACGTGGCTTTCGCAGACAGTGATTCCGACCTAGGATCACTATCTGGAGATGACCTGGACCTGGACGAACTCGAGGACGGCGATCTTGTATCAGAGGAGTCGGAAGAGGATGAAGATGATGATGCTGCGTTGCGATGGAAAACCAACCTTCGAGAAAACGCAGCCAAGCTGCACGGAAAGAAGCGCCCATATCGTGTTATCGATCTTGCGAAGATGATGTACAACTTGGAACTCGCGCCAGAAGATGTCATCAAGAAGTGGACAGGAAACGATGAGGTCGAGATTGAAGAGGACGAAGAAGATGAAGGGGGCTTCTTCAAGAAGTCAAAAACCGAGGACTCCGCGAAAGCTGAAGATCGTTACATCCCCCAGTTTGACTATGCGGAGCTGGCGGAAAAGTGGGAAGACGAAGATAACGTTGAAGCTTTGAAGAGTCGCTTCGCTACTGGCCACATGAACGGCAAGGGAGGCAACGGTGAGGAAGACGGTGACGACTTCGAAGGCTTCGATGAAGAAGACGAAGGCGATGGAGAGTTTGAAGACTTGGAGACTGGCGAAAAGCATGGCGGCGAAGAACCAGCAAAAGCCGAACCAGATGACGAGGCCAGAACAATCGAGGAGGAGCGCGAGAAGAACGCCCGAAAGAAAGAAGAGCTCAAACTCCGCTTCGAGGAAGAGGACCGAGAAGGTTTCATGAACGACAAAGCAGACGCTCGGAAAGAAGGCGGACAAGAAGAGGAGTTCGGCGAAGACGACTGGTACGATGCGCAAAAAGCCATGATACAGAAACAGCTCGATATCAACCGCTCCGAATTCGACCAACTAGATGAGCTTTCTCGCGTACGCGTTGAAGGACACAAGGCAGGCACATATGCTCGCATTGTGCTCGAAAACGTCCCATACGAGTTCTCCGTACACTTCAACCCGCGCTTCCCTATTCTTATCGGCGGTCTCACGCCCACAGAAGAGCGATTCGGTTACGTACAGATCCGCATCAAGAGACACAGATGGCATAAGAAGATTCTGAAAACCAATGATCCGCTCATCTTTTCCCTCGGATGGCGGCGGTTCCAGACCACCCCTATCTACTCGATCTCTGATTCGAGAACGAGGAACCGTATGTTGAAGTATACACCCGAGCATATGCATTGCTTCGGCACGTTCTATGGTCCTCTCGTCGCGCCCAATACGGGTTTCGTGTGTATACAATCCCTCAGCAACAAGACGCCTGGGTTTAGGATATCAGCGACGGGTGTAGTACTCAACGTCGACGAATCCACCGAGATTGTCAAGAAACTCAAACTTACCGGCCATCCCTACAAGATCTTCAAAAACACCGCCTTCATCAAAGACATGTTCAAGTCATCTCTTGAGATTGCCAAGTTCGAGGGCGCAAGCATTAGAACCGTGTCTGGTGTCCGAGGCCAGATCAAGCGTGCGCTGAGCAAACCAGAAGGCAACTTCCGCGCAACCTTTGAAGACAAGATCCTCATGAGCGACATCGTCTTCCTGAGAGCCTGGTACCCCATCAAACCCCGCCGCTTCTACAACACCGTCACCAACCTCCTCGCCCCAGCAACATCAGACATGGACGGCGAAAGCACAAGTTGGACCGGCATGCGTCTGACCGGCCAAGTCCGGTACGAAAACGGCATCGCCACCCCCAGCGAGAAGAACAGCGCCTACCGCCCCATCGTGCGCGAAACCCGCGTCTTCAACCCCCTCCGCGTACCCCGCAAGCTCGCCGCAGACCTCCCCTTCAAATCGCAAATCGCCCAGATGAAGCCTCAGAAGAAGGAGACGTATCTACAGAAGCGCGCTGTGGTGCTGGGCGGCGAGGAGAAGAAGGCCCGCAGACTCATGGACCAGGTTGTTACTATTCGCAATGAGAAGGTCGAGAGACGCAGGCAGAAGCAGGAGGAGCGGAAGGACCCGTATAAGAAGAAGGTGGCGGAGAATGCAGAGAAGCGTTCGGAGAGGGAGAAGAGAGAGAAGCAAGAGTATTGGGAGCGTGAGGGTAAGAAGCGGAGACATCAGGATGGTGAGAGTGAGGGTGCTGGTGGAGGTAGAGGTAGAGGTGGCGCTGCTGGAGGCAAGAGGAGGAGGTGAGGAGACCTTGTGTCGTTATAGAAGAGGCGATAGAGTGGAGTATTTGCATAGATGCGTTTGTTTTCTTGTGTGTATGTCTGTGAAAAAGCATGTGACTAGCATAGCATTCAATGGCGCTGTCAACCCATTTACTATCTATATAGTGTAGTGCAAAATGAGTGAGCGAACTACTTTCGTGTGTTTTACTTCGAGGCACCTACCAATTTCATGCGAACTTTATCAATTTTCTCAGATGTTGATATTCTCTTTTTATAATGGTAAGTAAAATGTTTGAACATGCTGAATTCTAAGGATATTTTCTTATATCGTAAGAAAGGAAATTGAAATGAATGCTTGGACCGGTGTCGGAGCATTCACTGATTTACGTTCACTAATTCAAGTCTATATGCTTTCAGAAATCGTGCGTCTAGACTATACAGGCTGGCCGAAGGGACCTGGGTAAACTTTAAAATTACAATCAAGCTCGGTTTATCATGTACAGTAGGTTCTCAATCCCACGTGAACAAGATTGGTGACTGGCAAGACTGGACAAGTATAGCTTCACATTCGGTCACATATAGACATGTAACAGTACGTCATTTGAAGCTTGACGCTCTACTCTTCATCCGTCGTTGCTCCCTGCAGCACTGCTCGACTTGAGCTATGCAGCACCTTTTGTCTACATCGCTTCTTGAACATGCCCATCGTATTGCCAGCATTACCCAATCCCGCCATTATGGCAGTCGCCAATGTCCACCTTTCGTAGGGCGGTATCCGGTCGCAGGTAGAAAAGCGCCGTCAGTATGCAACAAGAAAATCTAGCCCGAAGGCGATCGTGGTCCAATAAGAAAGGTCTATGCACAGGCTACCGAAAATGCTCATCGTTTAATGTTGAAACGCTGGAATATGCTGGAAGAACATGTAGGAGGGAAGTAGACATTAGGTACCGAAGAGATGCGCGTAGTGCGCTGCATCAACAGTAGTGGAAGGAGACTCGTGCTGCGAGTGGAAGACTATGTAACACCCAGCGGCAGAAACCCTTCATGGTCGTTTCTTTGGCTCGCTATCTGAATTGCCATGCTCCAGCAGAGTGCCGATCCTCTCCGGTGACAAATTCGAAACATCGAAGTGCACAGCGACAAGCCATGCACAAAGTATGTTCGCAAGATGATGGAGAACATACGCGTATGTAACGCCGTAGACGGCAGCGTAGGCGCCAATCGAAAAAAGGAGGACATTGGTGAACAGCGACATGCGCAACTGCACGCGAGGAACCATGCGGCCGGTGCTGAGTGTCTCGACCAGGAAGATGAATGGCATGATCGACAGGATGTTATGGTGAGTTGAGAACGGTGTCAGCCAGTGAACAGCCAAATTGCGTACCCAGACGACGAGGACCGGAAGGTTGATCGGAAGGATCCAGAGCATGAGAATGAGGATCGAGTGTGCGTAGTTGTAGAAGTTGTAGTTCGAGTCAAGGCGTGTTTCTTTTGCTAACTGGAAGCTTCGGACACAAGTCGCAAGTTGGACAAGACAAAGAACCACGTATGCGAAATGATAGGGTATAACGGTCGAGACCAAGGACAGCAGAATACAGGTTGTGACGATGCGCCGGCGAGTCGATGTCACGGCGAAGGCTGATGGCAACCGCTTCGCCTCATTGTTTTCTCGCGTAGACGACTTGGCCAGGGAATATAAAAACGCAAAGATGTACTCAAGCAAAAGCGCAACGTAGTTGATTGCAACGCATATGCCGGTACACATCAGCCCAAACAGCGGGATGAGGAAACAGAAAAATGTATCGTCTAAACCGAGCAGTAGTTCGTGGCTGGTATCATCGAGTGTTGTAGTGACATTGCTAGGAGAATCATTGAGGGGCGACTGCTTTACTGACTGGTGTCGAGCACCGGCTAGGGCGATTGAAAGGCAAGTCAATGCGGCCAAGGAAAGAGGAAGCGAGGTGCTGAGGCACGTGTTCAGGCCCTGGGCGAAGCTCATGAACACTCCAGCTTCATCGTAAGTTCTGAACTGTTGGCGTAAGACTAGGGCGACAATAAGGAGTGGAAACGCCGCGAAGACGATGCGATAACGCATCCACAGCTTTCCGAGACTGCCCAATACATCCACCTTTAAGGTAAGCTCCACGCTGCTGTTGCAGGTAGGGTCCGACCAGATCTGTAGAGACAAGCCATTCGATGGCTGCTTGGAATGCAGAGCCGGTGGCATATACGGTGACACACCGTGGAGGTTGATGCTGGCATCCTTGACATTGACAAAGAATTTGCTCTCATAGACATCGGTAACGTACTGCCGCAGTAGAGGAGCATGAAGCTCCCCATTGGCGCACGATTGCTCGGTGATGTGGATGTTGTAAGCCAGGAGACTGGAATGCAAGGCTAAGACCTTGATATCCGTCATCAAAGGGCGCCCAGCGGGAAGGTGAAGTGAGAGCCCGGTTGTCAAGAGGCGCTGCAAGCTCATGTCAATATTGACTAGGGAGTCGGAAGCGGTGCTGAATTCCGCGACGACCCATCCCGAGCTATGTTCGCCAGCCTTGTCAACAATAGCTACAAACTGATACTCTGCAAGATCTTCAAGCGCGTACTGGAGATACGAGAATGGATGTTGCTCTGTGATGAAAGGATACGTGGACTGGCTTGTAGACGCAGGAAGAGCAATGACGTCGGACGCGGCATTTTTGCAAGCCAGCCTTGTTGCACCGGAGCTATCAGCTGAGAGATCCATATTCATCGCGAAAAGGGTCGTCGATTGCCCAGGTGCTGAGGGGAACACGCTGCATAAGAGCACCTCTAGCATGCCATGCTCGCCTGGTGAGTCCAATTTCTCATTCGTCAACAAAGTGAATTTGCTTGCCTGCGCATCATGCGGTGGTACGGCAAGTAGATACGCGTGCGGCCTTTGCTTAGCCTTTCCTAGACTTCTGAGTACAAGCCGATCGTCTTGAGAAACGATAGCACTATCCTCTTCTAAAGTGAGCAGCGTTTTTGCCTCCACTTGGGGCAAGGTCTTCTCTGTGATATCCTCAAGGCCGGTCAGGAACCATTTCTTGAAACCCCGCATGCGCTCTGCACGGGGGACAGTTTGCGTAGCGCGTGATACGTCAATCACATCGTAAAGCGCGCGTACAACACTCTTTCTATTCTGATCACACCAAGTGATTGCCAGATGATCCATGCCAGTCCACACATTTGGCATCGAAGAGGTGAAGACCGTGAAACCGTGAGTTTCTGGGACCAAAGACTCAATGCTTGCATAGTCGGAGGAGATCATGGTGTCCAGCCCTCCTCCCGCGATTGAGATGAGCGTGACATGCCAGAGCGGGTTGTCAACAGCCAATTCCTGTGCGTACGAGTGTCGCCAGTAGTCATTGACTCCCTTGTAGGTGCGGACAATATCGCCGTCAAACGAGACTGGCGGCCTTGCGTGTGGCGCCGCGAGAGTGATGATTGTGTTGATGGAATTGGCTTGGTAGTTGGGCATGGTGAGCATGGTACGGGCCACGACGCCTCCCATTGAGTGCCCGACTATGATGACCGAAGTGGGGTCAGGCAGATTCGGGTCGCGGAGGACGTGTCCCGGGGTGTGATATAGAGATAGGATATATCTGATGGCATCGTTGAGATAATCAGCCTGGTCTAGCAATGTCTGCCCATGAAATGCAGTGATATCCTCGTTGAAGTCGACTGCAAAGAAGTCCAGTGGTCTCTTTCCTGCTTGTCTCGCATCGACGTGTTCCCGAATGTTGTTGTGGTAGTGGTATGCTGCTTCAGATGCGAGGGACCGCACTTGCTTGTAGCTGCCCGCATTCCCGGGGATAAAAAGTACTGGCACACCTTTAACTCTGAAGTCCTCATCTATACCACCCTCTCGGTAAAGATATAAAGAGTACTTGGTTGCAAAGCGCGTGTACTCTGTGTCAAAGTCTTGGTATTTCGAGTAGGCGGGCCGCATATACGACATTTCGCAGCCCTTGACGTCAAGTTGCCTTGTCAAGAATGAGTATGCCATGAGAGACAGGGCAGCGAAGGCAGCCAGCGTCGTCACCAGCATGCGCGGCGAGCATGCCCACGGGTTGCGCAGTCGCTGCCGCCATTTGCTATTGTGACCCTCGAATGTGCTCCCCGGTATTATGCCCTTCGCTGGCGAGCCCGTGCTAGGGCCTGTCCTTTCGCTCGACATGTGTGGTTGCTGTGCGGCGGCGATTGCGGAGGTGCCGTACGTGTGTCGATTTGCGTTCGAAGGTCGCTGGCTCGGCACAGTCCCCGTCTCTTTCCCGCTCTTTACGCCGTGTGCTCTCAATTCTTTGCCCGCAAGTCGGCTGTCGAGCCTATCGTCATGCTCCGGAGAGAGGAGGGGTGAGATATCGGTGGTCAGGGTGGTTAGGTCTTGGTCGGAGTCCTGGCGTGGCAGTGGGCGCCGCTGCATGTAAACCCAGCACTGCCGCGGGTGCTCTTTCCTCTCAAGCCGTGCTTTTAATTGAGGTTGAGAAAGTTAAGGTGCTAAAAAAACCCACCGCGGCAGTACTTGTGTACGTGGGGACGTGGGAGTGTAAAAGCAACGCGTCAATGCATCAACACAAGGTGCCCACTGTGGCTAATGTTGGAGATGGCAACAGCAACTACCAAGACGACCGTGACCCACTAGAAGCACCAAGAAGCGAAATAGAGGGACAATGGGCTAGGTACACTCGTTAATCCTCCGTTATGTGTTGTAACTCACGCAGAGTGTCTGTCTGCACGTGTTATTAGTCTGCAAGGCTGTCGACAAGGATCCGCGAAAGCGATACGACATGGCGCCCGGCACGTGCTGAACATAGTCCTTGATCAGTCACCTAGTCAGCCACACCCATGCCCTGTCTCGGAAGCATTGACTATCATCGACATTTGTTTGATCTTGAACTTGATGCAATTCGAACAAAATCCATATCGTCACCATCAACCACGAGCTAATCAAGTACGAACCGCAATACATGTCTAGTCCTTACCCTTGAGCTCATCCAGCCTAGTCTTCAACCTCTCCCACCCGTCGCCATCCTCCCAGTTCTCTTTCCCTTTTCCCATGACGCTCCTCACCGCACTCCTTGCCTTGAACTTCCAATCCTTAGCCACCAGCTCGCCAGTACCCGCAGCCAAGCCTTCCGTCTTCTCCCTTGGTCCCAACGTCTCATACGCGTCTACCAAATCAATCGTCTGGTCCACAACCACGTTCCAGTCAGCTTCAGTACCAGACTCCCACTTCGGCTGCGACGTAACAGCGCGCCAAGCCTTCTCGTGGCATTCTAGTGCCGAAGCGGGACGGGAAGTATGCGTGAACAGCGTCGCCAAGATACTCCACAGCTTAGGTGAGAAAGTGATGAGAGGTTTGACGTGTTTCTCTATGAGCTCGTTGACCATGCGGGGCAGGCCAGGCCTTGAAATGTCGAATCCTTGCTCTGACCTGACGGTACCTTTGACAAGCATGTCTAGGATCTCGGCATCTACGCATTTCTCGCCATCTGTAGAACCGCGGATTTCGCAAATACGGCGCTGTGACGTAACGACGTCAGTCCAGGAAGGCGGGTCCGTGGATGCCGCAACGGCGAGCACGTTGTTCCAGATGCGGTAGTTGTCGTGCTTGAGGTTGGCGGCGCGCTTGAAAGCCTTCAGTGCATCCGTCCTTGGATGATTAGTGACCCTTGCCACGGGTTGCTCATCCTCGCCGTCTGCCTCTGTCTTAGCTTTTGGTCGAAGATGCAGTAATGAAGCAGCAAGATTCGACCATGCTTCTGCATCATGATCATCGAGCTGCACACAACGTGAAAAGGCTTCGACGGCATTTTTGAATTGTTGGAGCTCAAGATGTGCGCAGCCGAGCGCGAACCAAGCAGGGTGGTACAGAGCATTGATCTTGAGTGACAATGAATACGCTTCCGCAGCCTTTGCATAGTTTCTCTCTGTGATGTAGCGCTGGCCTAGGGAGCGTTGTGCGCGGGCGTACCGTTCTCCGGACACCTCCCATGCCTTCTCGTACATGGAAAGGTCTTGATTGATATCACCCAAGATGCAGTAGAAACGCGGGGCTTCAGCCGGTGGTGGATCCCGTGCCGGTCCTTCCCAAGTCTCCGCATCGAAATCGGCGTTATCATCGTCGCCATTTGTTGCATGGAAAAGCTGTCGTCGGATCATCTTGCGTGCTTTGTCTTCCTTCTCTGTGGCTGCATAGCATAATGCTGCTTCAGCCCACATCTCCAGCCTTTCGTATATCTCAAGCGCGGACCGTAGACCCCCAATGTGAACCCACCGAGCAGCTAGCTCAGCCTCCAACTCCCAGCGTGAGGGCGAGCAGAGGGGAAACACATACTGGAGGCGTTCTTCCACCGAAGCTGCCTCACCTTCTTTTGCTTGAGGCAGGAAGGACGTCACCTTCTCACCTGTTTCTGCATCTGTTGTAGCGTCCCCTGATGTTTCCGCTATGACTTGATCAACGAGTGCTTGTAGCTGAAGCAGTCCGCGCTCCATAGTCCTTGACCGGTGGCCTTCGATACGACTTCGTACGAGGAGAGCCTGTGTGTAGACCTGCCAGTTTGAGCTTCCGCCTTCCAAAACTCTTGTGGCATATGGGATCGTTTGTTCTCGTGTGAGTCCATCTACAGGGTTCGTATTCTTGATACTCTCTGCTAGCGAAAGCAGAATGACAGAGTCAAGCGGATCGAGTAATGGTTGATTTGAAGGGTCCATAGATTTCAGAGATACTGGTAGTGCCGACTCGTCCTTGATATCGGTGGTTGTAGTGTTCTCGGTGAAGGATATTGACTCCAGCAGCGTGTCGTCGTTCAGGTCTAGCGCCGTTGGTTTCGAAGCGCCATCCGCTGTGCCATTCGTCTCAGATCCTGCGCTTCGAGCCAGGACAAGTAGCTGACTTGTATCTTTCTCTTGGAACTTCGTTCTCTTGCCCATCAACCCAGTCAGCGCAAACTCAAAGTTCCGCTCCGTAGTCGCCTGGTCCAAATCTGCTCGAGCTTTCTTGTCGAAGCCATGATACGTATGGATAGATGCTCGTTCTAACAAAAAGCTCGTATGCAGGTCCGCCATCTTTTTGCTCTCCCCTGAGTTAAGGATTAAACCCTCAACGAGCTTCAAGTCATCGTAGATAGCAGACTGCAAACTTGGTGCTGGTTCGCTGAGCAATCTCTGGTGCACGAAATTGGTCCTCAATCGCGCCCAAGTCGATAGCTCAATATTCTTTTGTATAGGCGGACAAATCAAGATCGTCTCTGCAAGACATAGGAACTCAATGTTCGTTGTGAGCCTGTACGCGGCAATGCCATCTGCGCTTACAGATGCAATGAGGTCCGACCGAGTTTTGCTAAGCGTAGTGGCATTGCCTGACACGTCCTTTGGCAGTATTGTTTCCGCGGACTTGAAAGGAAGTGGCGGGCCTGTCACAGTCGATTGTATGAACGCGTATAGCGCTGCGACCGCAACAACGAAGAAGAAGTGTTGCTGATACGCCGCTTTTTCTCTTACTGGCGTTTCCTGTTCTTCATCCCTTTTGGATAATATTTGCCCAAGGCGGTGGAAAATGTAGTCGCTCCATAGTCCGAAATTTTCTCTCTTGGTTTCCTTTGTGGATTCGTTGTCTTGATGGCCTAGTAAAATCTGCACTTGTGGCAGCTCAAATACGGCTGCGAAGTCTCCAGATTCGGTAGCCTTGAGAATATCCTCCAAGACGGCGGCAAGCTCGTCCGGCAGAGAGCTGCGGAAGAACCGAAGAAGAACGTCTCCCATGTTGAAGCTATTGTCGTTGCGGGGTTATGTTAAAAATGTGACTCTGGCGATGAGTAACTTGGTGGAGAAAATTGGGCTGTGGCACGCTAGGCCGGATTAGGACATGGTAGGTTGATACTTTTTTGTACCGAAGGTCTACAATTCTAAAACCTAGCCGTCATACGATGGACGAGATTGAAGATTAAGAGACACACATTAACACATATCATTAATAAAAGGTTGAGATAGTTTAGGTGCATTGGTCTAAGGCCTCCAGGCAGTGTTCACGGACAAGACATCATAATCTGAAGGCCTCCTGGTAATTAGTTTGATAGTTATGACGAATGAGCCATCATAATCTGAGAGCCTCCCCACACTGTTTTGACAATCACGACGAATAACATGTAGGCATAGTTTCATTATTCTTAGCAGATACTGCTACTCCAACTACCGACCGAACAGAGTACCAGGCGCAGCCGTACAGACATACCAGATAGACTCAAAAAACTGCAGCAACAAAGAAAGGTCTTGACCGAAGTGTAGTGCACGCTCAGTCGGAATCGCTACTAGACGAAGAGCTGCTCTTCCCTCCCCGGCTGTGGCTCCTATGCTTCTTATGTTTCTTGTGCTTGCTATCAGCATATAACCCACCCAGGCCCGCAGACGAGCCTCCGTACGAAGAGCCGTGCTGCGAAGAGCCGTGGTTAGAGCTGTGGCCGCTGCTGTGTTTCTTGTGTTTGTGTTTCTTCTCTTTCCTGTTTAGGTTAGCGTCGCGTTCTTGCCTATGCTCTGGAGAGGAGAGAGGTGACGACTTACTTGTCACTCAGCATATTCGCACCGATCGCACCAGCAACCAGCCCTCCAATCGTGCCCAGCGCTCCACCGCCTAGCTTATTTCCCAGAAACGCGCCGCCAGCGCCTCCGACGAGCGTCGAACCCAAGCCGCGATCGCCTTCTGCAGGTCCACCGGGCTGACCAGGCTGACCAGGCACTCCATGCTGTTGAGCACCGTATCCTTGCTGTGGGTCGTGGTAGCCTTGTTGTTGCGGGGCTCCATACTGCTGGTTGGGGTCATGCTGTCCTACCTGCTGAGGCGGGTATGGAGAGGTGCTGCGGTTCGGATCATAATGGCCCTGGGTAGGAGCGCCGTATCCTTGCTGCTGGTACGGGTCGTGTGAAGGCGGTGGGTAAGGACTCTACGCGACGGTCAGTAGCTGAAGTTGCGCGAGATGGCGTATTCTCACTTGTCCCTGAGGGTAAGGGCTGGTTCCCTGGCCATACTGCTCATGCGACTGCTGTCCATATGCTTGACCTTGCGGTGGATAGTTCGAGTTGTATCCGTAGCCTTGCTGCTGATTTGCGCCATCGTAACCGTAACCTTGACCCTGGCCCTGGCCCTGGCCCTGGCCCTGACCTTGGCCGTGGTTTTGGCCGTAGTAATCGTGGCTTGCCATTCTGTCTCTTGGACACAAATAAGGGTGTTCAAGAATGAAGAGATTCGTAGGTAGGAGAGGGATACTAGGCAGAAGACAAAGGTCGGGAGAATGTTGTGATGTGCTTATTGCGGCGGGGGAGGGGCAGTTCAAGATGGTTGGATGGCGGGGGGGTTTGCGGCATCACACGCCTTTAAATGCGACACGCCCGGGTGCGCCACACGGTGCAAAGGGTCGGCCATGCCCAACGAACGACAAGACATGGGTGCAATTGCGGCTGAGCTGAGGCAGTAGTTTGGTGGAGTGTAGATCGGAAGGTGCAAGCAACCGTGGCCGATGGGGCGGAGCACACTACAAAGTAGCCCCTCACCGCAACAATCCCACCCATTTTGCTTTAAATAGGTAATAAAGACGCCGCGTCCTCGCGTTTGCATGCGGTGAACAGCGGTTCTCCACTACGTCATGTGGATACGTAGGGCCATTCCGCCACCGTTACGGTTAGTCAGTTGGAGGTCCTTGGAGCCTCTCAGGCAGCCTTTCTCTCACTTTTGCCTTTGCTTTTAGGTCAGGCCGAAGGCCTTCGCGGTACTTTGCAACGTCGATAACACTCTCTATAATACGTTCAATATCTGCAGGCTCTCGTGTGACGATGAGTTAAACGCTTGCCTGTACCTCATTATAGTCGCAACTACGGTACTCTTTTCCATCTACTACACATGATCGGCACTATAAAGCAATTTGGTGACATAACCTCGCAACCTGGTTAATTGACTAAAGCTAGACATATAAGCCTATCTCATAGACAGACCCACGATGGCCGTTAGCTTACGCCAAGTCAGAATAGCCCTCGTTGGACTCGTCCCCAAGTCATCTCAGAATGCAACCACGTTCCAATTTCGATGAAGTAGTCACGCCCAAGAGCCACCCCCCCTTCAAATCAACATCTCGCAGCGCACGCTCCGGATCTTCCGGTCAAACTCGGATGGCAGATACATGAACGTCTGATCATGCTTTTCCTTGTTACCAGCTTCCAACTTCTTGCCGTTCTCAGGACAGCCGTTCTCCCTACCCAAAGTCAATATCGATCCTTGCCATATATGCAATATCAGACAAGCCAAAGGAACGACAGTGACTTACGTGTAGAGTTGGCAGCGGTTGTACGCATACACGATGAAGCTCCGCACCTTGACCGCCCAATCAAAGCCCTCGTTCCACTCCTCGAGGTCGTAACACTGCTCGTTGGAAGGAATATCGGTCGATCGAGTGCCACGCAGGTTCTGCCCATCGGAAAGGCCGCAGGCGGCGTTCCATGTAGTGTCGGAGTCGGCGCGAGTGGTGAGAGCAGTTGACTGGTCCTCATTCAGGTTGCCGATAGTAGTGGAAGAAGTAGACTTCACATCGATCTTCGCGCAGTATGCGCTATGGATCTTTAGGTCAAAGTCTCCTGGGAGCTCTGCCATTGCAACTTCTCGGTTCACCATACCTTCATCAAGCTTCCTGCCGTTTGATGGGCATCGGTACTCTCTATTGGGAATCAGCTCAAATTCTATAATGTATCATACAGCCAAGGATGACTCACGTGTAGAACTGGCACTTGTAGCCACTCGCGACAACGATACTACGCGCCTTGCCGTCGAAGTCGCCGAAGAGGTTGTTCATGTCAGTACACCAGTTATTGGCCGGGATGGCGACTGAAGCGCCTTGGAAGCCGTGTGAGGTCCAGATGGTCGCGCCGCGGCCGTCACCGTTTGAGGTCTAGGAAAGGTCAGTAAGGTGAGAGCGAGCCTCCTGGACGAACAAGAAGTCAATGTCTAGAGATGCCGAGAGAATGCTAGATAGATGTACTCACGGCTGGCAGAGCGTTGATGAGGGCGCCCAGAAGAGCGAGAAGGAGGATGAAGATGTGCATGTTGAGTTCTAGTAGGCGCAATAGGTGTAGTCGTGTGATTGCTGTTACGTAGTGAGCAAAAGGGAAGGTCGAAGGTGAGGTCGAACAAGTATTGAGTTGAGTGGGCGAAGTGTATTATATCGGGAGTGGATTCTCAATGAACTCACCGTAGAAGCTCGGGCATTAAGGCTGATGCGCAACAAGTGAATGACCCATAGGTAAGGGGCTTTGACTAGCTTCGCATTTACATCAAGATATTGAGCGTGATCCCATTTATGGCACGCACACGGCCGACTACGTCAGCGAGATATCCCATGATGAAATCTCAAAGAGCATCTTTCACAGTTCACACTCGATGCAACCGTTCACTGTTGGAAGGGGGAGATGTTACCATGCTGCCTTTACTAAATGTAGAACGTGAAAGCACGAACGGAATGTAAAATCTTAGCCTGACACCTCAAGAGTGATATTTCCATTCGAGGAGTGACGAGGAAGTATCTAGAGTAGAGTATCCATTTGGGCATCATATTGAAGAAGCCATATAACCCCGTGTTCCCATGCGCTATGCAATAGTACCCTGATTCAAAACACCCACCCGATATACACAACAAAAGTCCTGGGTATTAGATACTATAAAAATATATTCTCATGCATGTAGACACAAAATGTGAAGAATATTCGGCTTTCACTGGCCCGTTTCTGTATCGCGCTGCACATCTAGTCCTCGCAGCCTCTGCGACAGAAGTCCTGCGCTAGGCTGGGCGTTTGGGCTGCCGATAGGAGAGAAGGCACTTCCTCCGTAGCCGACGTCGCCTTTGCTGAGCTTTTCAAATGTGCCCTCTCCCTGGCCGTCTAGATACATTTCGCTAGACTTCGGTGACGCAACAGGCGTTCTGAAGGGGCTCGTCGAGTCAATGTCCATATGGTCGCGGGAACCGGGGCGCGACTCAATGGCAGCCAGTCGAGTGAGGCTGAAAGGTATAGGTTGCAGATCAGGCATAAATGAGCTGAAGCCACTGGATGCTGATGAGCTGAGTGGGCCCCCAGTAAATGTAACAGCTGGAGGAGGCAACTCGGGGTATTGTCGTAAGCCATCGACCTGGTCGTATGTTTGCTGAGATTGGGACAGAGGCCATGCTGCACTTCGACGGCGAAACGTCTTCTCGGCGGTAAGATGGGTTCCCGTTGAGGATATGTTCTGTGATGCGATTGAATCGCGCGTTGGTTTGTACGCGCTGTATCTTGGCTCCGGCAGCTGAATCTCATTCCTTAGCTTCTCTTTCCCATCTGGCACTCGATTGGCGAAGACAACGCGAATGCTTTTATAGAGGTAGTATCGACCCTTCGAAGGCGAACAAATATGCAGGTGGACCAGATAACGCAGTATTGGACGATCGTTAGGGTCGTCCGAATTGCTTAGAGCAGCTTCGGGTCGATCTGTACCAAGATTCTTTCGTGTAGATGCTGGCATGTCGATAATGGGGCCAGCGGAGTAACTGCGCTGCCTTATGAAGGTTTTCTGGCCTGGTTCCATATCTGACAAGTCGTAGGGAACTAGGAAGAGTTTCACTGCGGTTTTATTTGGGTTCTTCAGCACGATCTGCAGCTGTCCTTGGGGCGGGATACGATATGATCCTCCAGGAGGCGCTTTGGGAGAGGCGGACCGCCGTTTCCTCTTCTCCTTTCGACGAAGATCTTCCTTTGCGTCTCGATCGGTTCCCTCTTCCCCGTGGTGTATCCGGAAGTCAAGGGCATCCTGCTCTGGTGGCGGTACAGTGTGCCGTCGCTTGCGTTTGCTAGGCTCGGTGCTCTCTTCAGGTGCAGGCAAAGAGTTTTCCAAATCTATGAGTCCGACATATGGACTTGGCTCGTTATCGGAAATCCTGCCATTGCCAGTGTTATAGCTGTAGAATACCGCAGGAAAGGGCACCGCCACATGAGGAGGACACTTGAGGCTCGACTTGCACTGTCCTCTCCCAAGCACGCCGATTTTGGCAACAAAGTTCAACGGCCGAGATGGTGTAGTCGACATCCGCCCCCGTAATATTGACTCTTCATATGAGCCCACCATGGGTGCGTGGTGAAGAGGCGATGCTTCCGAGGAGAAGGATGGCCGTCGTGAATTTAGGAACGGGGTTGATGGATTAGATTGAGGCTGAGCCTGATTGAATGTAGATACTCGCCTAGGCTGGTGGGCTTGGTAGGGAATTGAGCCTCCATGTCGTAGGTGACGTGCAGCTGGGGTACCCGAAGCCGAGCGAGATATTGAAGTCGGCTGGTAGCCATGGAAAGACATGGGAGAGTACGTATGCCGCCGATTGGTTCTTTCTGGACTTCTGGAACCTTGTCGAGAGCTTGGTCTTGAGGAAAAGTCCAAATCAGTGTTGTTTGCCTGCTGGACGAGCGGGCTTGTGGGAGGTAGAAACGCAAACGAGCTAAGTGATGAATGCGATATCGCCCGTGCTCGAGATATGGGACGCGCATCGTTATTGAGCGTATCGTGGAACGAGTACGATGGCTCCTCTTGATGTAACGGATAGGCAGTGGCTGGAAATGAGCGGTTCCATGGCGCTACGGGTGACGTTGCCAGGAAGCGCGATGAAGGGCCACTATCAGATGCTGCACTCTCTTTCTCCTCTCTAAAGTCCCCAGAGTGTAGGGCTGATCGTGGTCGTTCGATCTCTAAGCCTGCCGCTGCAAGGTCTCGTAGAGGTTCGGGAGTGGAAGTGCGTGAAGGTTTCGCTTCAGCGGAGGAAAGAAGAGGGGTCTTGGGCCGTTCTCGAGAGATAGGTCGGCTTCCAGGACTTTGGTCTGGTCGAGTGCCGTTCTGTAACTGTCTGTTAGCGTCTCTATTTCTGTACTGCAGAAGCGGGTCATGTCCAAGTTGTGTACATGTGTAGAAAGCTGCTGGTCACTCACACCCTGCCGCTGCTGCCACAGAGGACTATTTGATCTCTTAAGCCTCTCTATCAGCTCCATTCGGTCGAACATGGATGGTTTGCGTCCTTGGCTAGGTGACTCGGAGTTCATTTCGAAAGACAGATTTGATCCTACAACTTCCCCTGTTTGCAAGGCGTCTACCAACGGCCTCTCAAAGTTAGTCTCTGAGGTTCCTGCTCTTTGAAGCCTGGCGGACGATGCCTGATGAGAGGACGACCGCCTCGGCGGGCTTCCATGGGGATCATGAAAAATAGGCATAGTTGAAACAAATTTTGGCAAGAGACAGCATGAGTACAAAGCTTGATCGATACGAGGGAGGAGTTGCGGGCCTATGGAGGCGTGACGTGACAGTCGTGGAGCACCTGGGATGTCCGCTCGGTGCAACGGCGGGAGACAACTCAGATGGTTGGAGCACTTGCTAGCCCGGCGAATAGCACGAGTAAAAGAGTTTCAAGTATGAAAAATCAGAGGCGCGCTGGCTCCAGTAGCTGCTTCATTGCGTGGCCACTCTGCGCAGCTTTCAGACGAAACGCCGTAGAGCAGCAGCAGCGGCTGAAGGTGCGGAGAGGATTGCGGCAGGGTTCAGACGGATGACGCGCTGTGAAGTTTGATAAAGGCGGATCCTAATCGCTGCTGATAGAGTGCCGTAGCGCTGCAGACCGGTTTTGGCCGACGCTTTGGCGCTGCAAAGAGGTCACAGGACAAAATCAATTTGGCCGCGCAGAGTCATGATGGTGCTCAAAGCTGATGAAGCAACAGTCTCGCTCGCCCGCCGTGTAACAGACCGTGCATGTCACTGGCTCTTGACGGAGGTCCCCGCTCTTGCCAAGCCTGAGGAAACTCCGCTCGCCTGAAGCCCAGTCCACCAACAAGGGTTGCAAACTTTCTCGACAACCACAGCATCTTCCGACATGGCGCCTACGAGGCCACACGACGATTCAGAGAAAAGGGTGAAGAAGCAGAAGAAAGGCTTCAACATAGGACCCGCCAATCTGCCCGACGGCACACATAGGCGCAAAGGTTGGTAGTTCGTACTGCTTAACATTCGACGACTGCTGACTAGAATATAGTGCAGAAGATCAAAAAAGACCTCATTCACAAAGCAAAGGTCAAGAAGGAATATGCCAAGTTGAAGGCGCGAGACGAAGCCGAAGCGACGACGCCACACAAGTCCGTCTACGACCGCGAAAGCGAAGCCAACGATGAGAAGGACGAGCCTACCGAGCCGGCACCTGTGCCCAGCTTGGAGCCACACCCAGACCGAGTGAGGATGCTAGAGGAGGAGGAGACACCAACACCTAAGCACGACCAATCGACAGAGCGGCGAACGCGACGGCCTCGTCCACAGCCCTTCAAGAAGGAGACTGAATTGGCGCAGAAGAAGAAAGAGGAGGCTGAAGCGCGACAGAGGGCCAGGGAAGAGGCAGACAAGGAGCGCACCAAGAAGATTGCAGAACGGGAGCGCTTCAGGAAAACCATGGCCAAAGCTAGGGGAGGGCCGGGTGGCCAGAGGAAGCTGGGTCGCGAAAGCACGGTGCTGCTCGCAAAAGCACAGAGACTCATGGGCAAAACCTGAAGGGTGTTGGGGTAGACGGCAGCCACCGCTGTAAGAACGGCCACAAGCCTCTTCGCCAATGACATCGGCATCCAGCCATTGTGGCCTTATACCCGCAGCTGGGACAGCCAAACCAGTCATCCAACCCTATCAGCCCTGTCAAGCTATCGCTTTACTTAACCCTGCAACGAGCGGGCAGTACATATCCTATAGTCAGCTCGGGCTCCCTATTTCCGGTGCCCGTCAGCAGGAGCAGCCCGGGGACATTGATCGGTCAGGAAATCTTTCTATTGCCAGTTTTACCCTCTGGCGATATTTCCAGGGTTATGGCTCCGCGTATCGAAAGCATGACGTGACTCCGGGATTGTTAGATGTCTGTCGATTCATCGAGGCTACAGTGTTGCTATAGCTTCTGAGGCACGACCGAAATATGGGAGAGAGCTACAGGTCCACGAACGATGACTCGTATTGAACATGGCCATCCCAAAGGCCTGCATGAGGTTTAGGTGATTGTGCGTGATTGACCCTTCGGACTTTGGATAACCGGCTTTTGTGCTGACTTGATACGAAGTTGTCCCACGTTACACGAAGCCTTCATCTCAGGCTTAATGGAAAGAGCGGTGGGTTGTCATGTGTAAATTACCAAGTTACGATCCCATCGCGACTGAACACGAATGCGTCCAAAACGCAGTAACATCGATACTGAGTCATGTCGGAGCGTGGCACAGCAGTAGATTCGGACCGCCAATTGATTCGGGCGGGCCGTACAAGGCCGGCGTTGTTAGACTTGATGCCTTCCGCAGATACTCAGGGCAGGCAAGCAGATGATGTGAGGCATCTAGGTCCTAGTGTCGATCAGGCTTATCAAACGTGATTTGAAAATGTTCAATTGACGAACTAATAGGTGTCTGGTCTTCTCTCCACTTTGCCTCTTATCATACACCTCTCACCTCATCCTTGACCCCCACACATCGTCTCTACATAGGAACTCCATGAGCCATATTGAGTCTCGATTCTCAGTCACCGGACGCCATGTACCTTGTCCGTCTTCTCCGACGTCGTCCCTTGACCGCCCAAGTAATCCTCCTACAACCACCCGCGCGTCCCCAGCGTTCGGATACACCTTCTCAATCATACGTCGCGGCTTACTGTGCGCAAATACTTTCCAAAGTGTGCAGCACACCAGTCTTCCCATCTGCCATGTTCATTGGGTCACAGAGCGCTGACCTGGATTTACATGAAGTGTTTCACTATCAAGGATACAACTTCGCTTAGACATGTTCGCAAGTTCACCATTTCACTATGTGCATTTCCGCCTGTGAAGTGCTCCCATTTTTGGGGGTTGGCGTGGGCTGCCCAATTTGGAATATTAACCGCCTGTAGCTCAGCCACACCCGATAGCAACAGACCCACGGTTTTGGTCGTGCTACCGTTCAATCAACTTTTCCATTACTCGTCTACGTCCCCTTGTCCGGGTTGAACGACGCCTATGGCGCATATCTGCGGCTAATTCATATCGCACATCGATTCACACACCGACGAGCCGCTGTGCATGGTTGTAGAGCAACGTGCCCTGCTGCGGATCGATCTCCAGTTCCTACCCTTCTCGCGTGACAGTAGTTACAGCAACGATACGTCCTCAACCCTCTCTTACTAACAGAAATAAGCTTATTTCCCATTTACGAACAATCGATTGTGTTGATCAGCCGAGTTTTAGCGGTGTGTAGTCTGCAGCCCTACCTAAGCGGCAGGTGGCCTAACCCCTACCAACACGGACGGGGGCTGTACGCACCACCATCAACGGCCCGTCAGACCATACATTAGCTCGGGTCAAGTCCGGAAAGCCTCGTTGCAACATGGATCATGTCGGTCACTAGAAGCTGTGAGAAGTGCACTGTAGGTAAGCCCGCTCGCTAGCCAACCACGGGAAGGACGGTATGAAACCCCCCTTGGCGAATAGCTCCTTCGAACCAAGTGCTGCCTGTGTGCTGGACTAGGTATATGTGAAAGAGAGCTAAGGAGCTATACTTCTTTCGTGCCGACTTACACTTTAAGATCAGGACTAGCTCTATAGAAACTGTATTTGAGAACCCTGACAACCTTCACTCTTTTTACTTGACACTAATTTTCACCTATTTACTTTCACACGCCAATTGCCGATCCACCTGTCGTATTCCACTCTTGAAGACCCAGTCAGAACTACACACTATCTCTAGAGCTCATACTGGCTCTCATTCCGACACCTCGCACTCATTTTGTATTCTCCAGTGCCAAAGATGGATTCATCCAGTCGACAGCCTCGGAAATGGACCTTAGCAGAAGATCAAAAACTACGAGAAGAAGTAGAGGCTCAATGTAGGTTCTCCTTCGCTTATATCCTATGTTTTCTACCCACCTCATGTCCTGAACTGATCGCTAATCCACTGTCACAGTGATGGATGGTGATGTCAAAGACTGGTCCGTCCCCTGTACATCTTTCACGTCGATTCTGAACTCTATCTAACACACTGTGTACAGGTGTAGAATTGCTACAGAACTTCCTGGTAGAACAAACAAGGATTGTCGGAAGAGATGGCATAACTCTGTGGCCGGAGGCCTTAAGAAAGGGCAATGGTCAAAGAGTGAAGACCACTTGCTTTCCAAGGGAGTTGAGCAGTACGGCCAAAGGTACACCCTAGAGCCTTTAACAAAATGCCTTTACTAACTGTAATGCTTTCAGATGGACCCTAGTGGCGAACTGCGTTGAATCGAGGAGCGCAGACCGTGAGTGAGATCCAGTTCATTTGCCACACGATCTTTAAACTGACAGCGACATAGAATGTGCGAAGCGATGGCAACAGTCTCTTGATCCTGACTTGGATCGTAGTGAGTGGCGCGATGAAGAGGTCGGTCGCCATCTCCCTGGACACATTCATCAATTTTCCCGTCGACTGACCCAGCCATCAGGACAGTATCCTCATCGAAGCAACACAGCGTCTGGGTAGACACTGGAAGGATATTCAACGGGACCACTTCCCTGGCCGATCAAAGAATTGTATCAAGAACCGGTAAGTCACTTCTAGGTTATGCCCGATGTATCATATTGACGAATTCCAGCTACACAGTCCTCGTTCGGCGTTACCAGAACCAGGGCATAAGCCTTCCCAGTGCTGCCAGTTCGCCCTCCGAGTCCAGTACGCCAACACCACTTTCATCCTATCCTGACGACGACGACGAATACATCTCGCCTACCCCAACTATGTACGGCAATTTGCTGTCAACCCAATCACGGGCCACATCGTCAGAGATCAACCATTCATGGTCAAGTTTGGGCAGCGACGCGTACCCAACATGGTCATCTCCACAGGACTACAACATGCCCATGGCTATGACGGGCGCAGAAATTCATCACGCGATAACGCCCATGCAGAATTATGCTTTTGCTCAGCCACCGAGTTTAGGCTCTACTGTTCCTGCCGCGTCAACCTCTTGGAACTGGACAGCGACGTCGATGGATCCCTCGTCGGCAATGCACGCTATTTCACCTCCTGCAACCAGTCCAAGTGTGCCAGATCCTTCATTCTATGGATATAGCAACTATCCAGTTGTTCAGCAGCCAATGACTGGCCAATACCCTACCTACTCAACTTCACCGGTTCAAGGCACCTACCCTGCGATGCCGAATAGATCCCTCGCAGGCATGCATGGACCAGGAACAACGGCAGAGCAGCAAGCCTATGGCTCCAACAGCTCGGCGACGTACTCGGACCCTAGGCGACCACAAAACCCTAGGGATCCTCGGGATCGGTTTTGAGGCTATGCATATGTATGATACTTGGACTTGGCATGCCGTTGATAGGATGGATGGGAGGTTATTTTAGCACGTATATGATTTGTAACATGGTCCACTTCGGCAAGACCTAATGTGAGTGTTTCTATTGGGCAATCAAGGTTCTCTGAAGGATTCCGAACATGCGTGTTTGACTACTGCAAGTGCCCGGATCGCTCAATAGCGTCGGGTGAAGCGAGTTTAGCGGTTGATACACAGCCCCATATCCAATACGAAGAACGGTTCAGATCCAGAGTACGCGTCCTCAAACCAAGCCTTCCCTATCTCAGTCGTGTTTATGACATGGCAAAGCCTGCAAGCTGCAAGCTTGCAATCCAGTTCAGTCCCCGCGGAAAACACGTTAAGCCGCGGGTACCGCCCGCTGTCATGGTTTCAATGCCAAGCTTGTTGTCTGACCCGCTACCGCCCCCATGGACATCATCAACAGCACATACCGTCCCTGCCAAGAGAATCGACGCGAATCTGAACAACCCATGTGGTCGGAATAACTCGCGACATGCCACTAGATCTGGTATGCACGAGACAGGGCCGATAGCGGTGTAGTCACAAACGGTCCGGACACGTACACTTGCGTGACGTTGAGTCCCATAGCTCTTGCGCTGCTTCAGCGTGAAACATATGTAGATGTTTACGACAACGCGTATGACGTGGGGAAATACGGGAAGTCAATCACAAGGCCTTTTGTACGACTGGCTCGCTGGCTCGCTGAAACACATATCCCGGTATCAGGTGGACATGATGTTTCGACAAATGCCCTCCAGTTTCTGAATTCCTTGCTTTTGCCCTGACGCGTAGAGCTTGCCTCGTATCAAGCGGGTGGAATGCAAATTTGATCCCTCCATACGCCAAACTTGTCATTGAATGTTCTCAGAATGTGCAGTCATAGTGTCCTAACCCTCGCCTGTGCAGACGGATCCGACTTTAGATCTTGTTCCTAGTCTCTGTCTCCACACTTTCGTTTGCTTGCAAGGTTCATACCTTCGGACAACGACGATCGCGAGAGAATGCGGCCTTCCCGCGACTGTCTTTGTATTGGTAATCGCCGAGAGCCAGGGTCACAACTACTCCGAAGTCATGGAGAGCTAGGGCCGAAAGCTCAGAAGGATTCAAGGGTCGGAGCTTATTATCCGCATGGCCACACCGCGGATGAATTACTGTTTGAGGAAGGATGGGGAGAAGTGCATACAACGGTAATGTGAAAGCAGGGCGAGCAGGGAATGCTGCGTGACGTAGCAGCAACCAGACTTGAGATGGCCGCGTGTTGAAGGATGCTAGTTACAGATTATTTCGGTAGAATGGGGAATTGACACTGGGCATGCAAGGAGGTTTGTGCCTTGGGGTTTGCCTTGCAAAGGCTAGCGAGCGGACCTAACGCCACATCCAAAAATAAGCGTTGTGCCAAGACACGATGTTTTCTATCGGATATTGGAAAAAACCAGGTCGGACAAATGGCATGCTGCAGTTGAAAGCGCATCACACATCAAACCTGAAAGCTGAATGCCGACAATAGAATCCTCTCAGCCGGCAGACTTTTTGCCATATCCAAATATGTCACTCATCATTACACTATCCACCATCCTCGTATATGTCTACTCATCTTCCGGCAACCTTTAGTTTCATAGGCTGGAAATATTTATGTCTACTACATCTATATTTTGCACACGACCAACCTGGAGCTATAGGATGTCACGCCCCTTCGTAACGAGATCTTTGACGCGACCTTACCCTTTCCAGCTGGACCATCCCAATTTGCAAAAAAACAACCTGAAGAGCCTTGTCCATGCCACGAACCAGTGTTTGCTTGTCCCAGTCAGAGACAAGGCCCCGCCATCGTACGTTAGCGAACCAGCATGACCCTGGCCATGGCCCGCACGAAGATGTGGCACGCTTGAAGTGAACTCGTACCACCTCGGATGAACAGCATTGAGGTGCTCTATTGAGTTCTCTGGCGAGAAACTCTTGTAGGTAGCCTTGAAGTCTACCTTGCGCCTCTTTAAATTAAGAAGACATTGATAGTGTGCATATGGATTCCTATCCAGATTGGTTTCAGGCCTGCAGCCCGTAGTCCAAAGTCGAGATCGGTGTGGCGTCTGCATGTCGCTTTTTACGGTTACTCGGAACACTCGTGTCACGAGCGTTTGTTTCTGCCTTCCTAATTATCACGGGCTTCGAATTTGACTTCTCGTTACTTGTGCTTTGTGCTTTAGCCTCGGCTACCGTTTGGTGCAAAGTGGGTTTCTCTTCTGCTCGGTTAACTGTATGCGCGTCGGCAAAGAAAAACTGAGGTGGAAGTGATATAACGGAAAATTTATAGGCCTCCGAAACGGAGCATTGGCATAATTAATATAGTCACTTATTAGGAAGTTCAGCTTCACATCATACGAGTGCAGTTGTTTACTTTGGAAGGCCGACGCGACCAATCCGCGCTGATACGGAGCATTGTGTTCCTCTCTGCTCCCTATCGCACATTACGAAACGATTCACGGACACATGTCACTGTCACGGCGTCTCCGACGACTCGTCGATGTGCATTGCTAGTCTGCCTCGTAAAAGCAACGCGGCCGGCCAAAAATTCTCCTTTCGCACTCGTACTCGCCAAAACTCGCCAAAGCACAAGTCGTCACATTAAGATTTCACGCGACCTGCTGGGATTCGCTCTTAGTCTCTGGATCCTATCAGGGCCTGCAACGAGGAGCTTACTGCGTTAGCATATCCGTCCAGGCTATCGAAGATGCTCCGCCACAATGTTTCTGCTACCCGCTGCTCCAGGGATGACTGTGTGCGTGTCGCGGCATGGGCGGCCCTTAGTGGTTTCTGCATAGGGAAGAGTTGCCCCGTTGCCCTGCGCGCCGTTAGAGCACGAGGACTCCATGGTGTAGGTGTTGCAGATGCCTGGTCGGGTGTCTATGCCTTGCAAGGCAGACAAAAATTATAGTGCCAGTGATGCATTGCATTCGATAAATACCTCAGCTCTGCTTTCCAATTCGAGAGGTGGTGGCACTCCGCTTAGACACTGTTGGATAATCGCTTGATCATGAGTCTTGAATGCGATATGCAAGCAATATGTTGGCAGCTCATTTACGAGCAATGCTTGGAGTCGTGTTTGTCCAGGAAGTAGTGCTGCCAAGATGCCCATTGTTCTGTGAAAATAGTCGCTTGCTAATCTGCCGCCTGTTACCCGCCGCCGGCCACCAGCGGACCCACATCAAAATTTATTTCTTCAACCAAGCGTGCAACATGAATTCCCAATCAACTGATATCCTCATCGCCCTCGCCTGAACAGCTTCCTGGCGCTGAGTCGTTGACATAGATACGATTGCGAATATAAATCACAAGATTCGTCAGTCCTCCATCAATCAAGCAACAACAAGCCCGGCTGGCACAATCGGTAGCGCGTGAGACTCTTAATCTCAAGGTTGTGGGTTCGAGCCCCACGTCGGGCTGGTGTATTTCTTTTTGCTTCTGTAGAGTTGTGGTGGTGTTGGTGACTGTCTGGGCCGGGTTGGGTGAACGGCGGGTGCACGTGACCCCATTTCTCCACGTTTTCCTTCTGCGCACCTCCACGGCCTATTGGATTCATGTTTTTGAGCCAGTCGGATACTGAGTACTTACTACCGTCTACTTCCAAAGGCAATACGGGCGGTGCGCCTCCACCCTCGCACTGGTAGTTGGGCTATGTCCGCAGCCCGCGAGATAACAGAAGCCTCAAACCCAGACGGTGGGTTCACACGGCGACGGCTGAACAATGCAGAAAGACGACCAATCTTAGGTCTCTGAGGACATCTGTGGCGCATTGCATAGCGGTGCAACATCTCGCAACGCAGATCGCATATGCGTGGACCCGCGTAGTGCCATCACTGCCGCGCCCATGTTGACGATATCTGGCGCACGACAGAACCGAAGGCTCGGAACAAGGCTAAGTGAGACTGTGTTGAGGCGTCCAGCCTTTCTCACTAGCGGAACCAGGTGCAATCCCTATGGAGTAGTAAAGCAGTACCCGGATAGTAGCTAAACCGCACCTCCGCCTCTCGGAGTCGACAAGGCTGAATCTCTGGTACCAGAATTGTGTAGGTCCCTTAGATTCTCCTAAGTATCTGCTCTTTAATCGAAAATTGTGAAGGATGCTGACGCGTATAGGCTGGTTCTTCAGAGCCGCCAAAGAAGGCAGACCAAGAATGCGTGGTCACTCGGACAATACGGACGGAATTGGGGCCCACCCCGCATACCCCTCATGTGTAGTGTCGCGCAAATGGTTTACGGGCCTTCGGAGCCTTTACAACCAAATGTTCTGGGTCTTGAAGTATGTCTGCATGGATTCACGGCTTCCGTGCTCTTTATTTGCAATCTTCTAGACTCTTTTTGTACTCCTTCCACAAGTCCTTCACGCTCTTACCACAACAACTGTACCACAGACGATCAGCATCGTACTTGCACTCTTTAAGTGCCTGGTTAATTCTCCTGACTACATCTTCACCATGCTCGTTTTCCAACCACTCCAGGAAGTATCCCGTCCGCTCATAACCAGCGTCCCAATCGCAGTCCCCGTGTCGTTTCCAATGCGGCGGCGCGAAGCCGGCCTTCAAGCGCACCCAGTCCGCAACCCCTTCTGTTAGGCCCACGGGTGCAGTACCGAACGCACTGTGCTGCCAGCAGTGTACCATCTCATGTACTAATACACCTAGCATCTCTTCCTTTTGACGCGATTCAGATATCTGCGAGATGTACTTTGTATTGATGTGTATCTCCTTGTGGTCGTCATCGATGTCTCGGCCGGTCGTGTACGCCACGCCATCCATGTCCCGTAGCACTAACGTAACCGATCGCGTTGGTGGTATACATGACGTACTCAGCCCAGTATAGAGGTTCTTGAGTACTGTATCGACTGCATGTTCGAGGGATTTGGAGGCGTGTACGAGGCGGAGGAAAGCGCGGGTGCCTTCTGACGAGAGATCGCGGATTTCGAGGCGGAGGAGAGGTTTGCGTTGGGGTATGACTTTTGAAGTCAATATAGCCTGTTCGGCTCTTTCGACATGGGAAGTGTTGTGCTCGTTGTCGGTGTTGAATGGGTGGGATGGAGGTAACGCGGAGGACTGTGGGGCTGGTGGGGTAGAGCTTGAGGAGGGAGACATGGTTTGGAAGAACTTTGGCATCCTAGAAGTGTTTGAAGATCGAGAGTATCAAGCGTGAGAAAACACGTATGTTAAAAGGAAGCTAGAGTAGTGTTGCTACCTGGTTTAGAGGTGATTGAGGTGTCATGACGCTTCCTCGGGCTTAGCTCATCGATAAGATAAGCTAGCGCCGAAGGCATTCGTGCTTCTATAGTTTTGTTGAAGGAGAGAGACATCTATATGCTCTAACCGCGTATCTATGACCAGATTAAATCATTGAGACCATGAAACTGAAATCGTAAATGCGGTGTGTGTATCATCCCATCTATCTGGACAGCCCATGCTCTCCCACATTGTCCCCTCAACGTCCCCTGACTACTCTGAGCTTTTGAAGACCTCTGGGAAAATCGTTCGTAGTTCCTGTAAACTTCTGATCTGGTACTTGCTGGCTTGCTGAGGAGGTGGAGCATCGGCTTTATCCAGCAGATGCGCTACTTTCCAGCCGCGTTCGTCAGCTGCCTTGCAATTGATGTAGGAGTCGTCTAGTAATAGATTTAGCACAGGTGAATTACCATGTCAATTTCATCTCTTACCGACAAAGTAACAGTTCTGGTTCGATTTTATGCCAGCTTCTTGCATCGCCTTGTCAAACATCTCCACATGCGGTTTGCAATAGAACTTCTCCGATCCATAATCGCAGTACGTCATGCCTTCAAACAGATCATCGATCTTTAGCAGCTTGACGACCCGCTTTCCATGCGTGATGTAGGCATTCGTGAACAGCCACAACCGGACTTTGCTGGTGTCAATGTCCTCGATCAGCTTGCGCAATTCTTTGTCAGGCTTAATGACATTCTCAAGGGGAAGGGCGTCGTCGACCTTGCTGTTATATTCCAGGGCATTGACCTTGTGGTGCCGGACAAGCCCCTCGATAGCAAGACCATATTCGCGATAGTACTTGTAGTGAAGTTCGTTGGCATCCTGCTGAGATAGGCTTAAGTGATCCTCGAAGAATTTGTCTATAACTCTGTTAATGACTGCCAGGTTTACTGCTTTGCACCGAAAGTGATCCTATATGGCATGCGAGGATACCAAACATAGCACGTTCATTACGTACCTATCAATGTGGCCATCATGCGGTGGATGTCAAGGCCTGGTATCGTTAATGTCTCCTAAAGCAGATTGCCCTGTGAACACACTCTTAGGATAAAGCTGTTCGTGTTAATTAAATTCATGTTGTAAATTTCAAAATACCTACGCAGTTATCGATGTCAAAGAAGAAGACTGGCTTTTCACCCTCGCCCGCCATGTTGCTTAATGGTGTTGGGTTAAACGTTGGGTTCTTGGGGCGGCTTGTCTATAAATAATAGTTGTGTGGTATTCCAATGTCTTCGGTTTGATAGGGAGGGTTTCAGGCCGTATTAAATGCAGAGGGCGAAAGAGTTTATGGAAGGCGCGATGAGTACATCAGGACTATTTTGAGTCTAGTGTCTTGGCGTCCGACATCGATTTTCGAACGCGTTGGCTCGCTCTCCTGCCCCATCACTGGCACACCTGCGCCGCACCTCTTCTTCATCAACCTCAACCACAAAACAAGAGCGCGTGTTCCTTGTATTTGTATAATCACGACTTGGAATTGATATACTCTTCTAGTTGGTGTCTGTATTACGATCTAGCGTCGCGGAGCGTCGTAGGGTATACCAGTCGTTTCAATGTCGACAGCCGCAGTACCGTCGCCTTTGCTGAACGGCGCCAGCGTAGTACCCGCAGAGGTACTTCGCGAGGCCGATTTTCTACAACAGCTTTTGCAGATACGCGATCAAGTGCTTGCTAGCAAACACCCGCGCATCCACCTACCCGCGAAAGTAATTGAACAGGTTACACCGCGTTTCCCACAAACTACGTCTAGACCCACGATCAACGGCACATCAAATGGAGTCTCATCACAACTATTTCCTCCGCGCCCGGAGAGCTCGCTTCAGCACCCTACGTCTCCTGTCCCACCTACACAGCGACCCTATTCGGCAACCTCATCTTCCAGCATCGATCCAGTCTTGCTTACAAAGTCTGACCACCTTATCAGGGCAGAACTGCAGCTCAAGCGGCAACAGATAGAACGGCTTCTCAAGGACCAGTTTGACAAAAAGGGTCGTGGCAACGATGCAGAGGAGCGGGAAGCCCATATCAATGTGGAGCAGTGCCTTATTCAGGCTCATCTGCGTGTCCCACCTATATCTGGCTTACCTTCTACGACTAACAACAGCGATGGTGTGGAGTCCTTTGACGAAAATTCATATTACTCTAGCAAGGCCGACAGTTGGTCGTCAGAGGAGGTTGATCCCAATCAGATCACCAAAACTGATGCTGCAGGTCCACTCACGTCACAGGCCAAGCAAACTGTCAAGCCAGTCACTGCCCAATCCCATCCTACTGAGCCTACAGTGATTGATCTCGATGAAGAGGCTTACGAGCCTGCCGATGACATAGAGATCTATGAGCCTGAGTCTGTACTGCTGCATGAGGACCCAGAGGAGGAAGACTATTCACCCCCTCCGGCTGATACCGGCCCAAGTGAGCCTCTTAGGGGCCGAGCACGGGACCGTGGCATTGTAAATCAGGGCGGCACAAACGGGTATGAATTTGGCATTTTCTTTATCTTCTCCCTCTCCTTGCTTGAGCTCCTACATACAGGCTTCGAAAAGGTATTTCTTCTTAGTAATAAGAGGGAATTATCTCGCACCCGGAATCAAGCAAGTACCAGGGGACCTTCGAAATGACTCGACATCTTACATCAGGCACAGCTGGCCTGATCACATTTGGGATCTCTAGGCCATGCGGTAGCGATACTCCCCCATACATTGGAATCGCCTGACTTGGGCTGGTATTGATAAGTTCCAGAGTGCTAATAATTTTGTAGGTCGTCTCGTCGCCAAAGCCCGACTGGCCCCGCCCCTCCACTTCACAACCCTCGCAAGCGGAGAAGGGAGGAAAAGCAGGCGGAGAAGCGGCGGCAACAACAACAACAACAACAACAGCAACAGCAACAGCAACAACAACAAGCCAATAAGCGTACTGTCCACTCGCCGGAGCCTTATATAAAGGAGGAGCCCCAATCGCCGCCCCCATTCTCGGCTTATCCTGATTCGCAACCTAGTAAGCGGCGCGCTCTTCAACCCATCCCTACCGATGTGGAGGTCTTGTCTCCACGGGAGGATGCTAGGATACAGCCTGTCTACTACCGCGAGCCAGAAGCATCATCACGCCCGTATCGTGAGTACGAGGAGCCATCTTCGCCGTCCGTCATACGTGTACCGCAACGGAAAGCGCAGCGCGATGACCAAGATCTGAGACGAGTCGCAAGCCTGCAGTACGCTCGACGACCATACTCTCCAGACGGTGGAGGTGGAGAAGTGTACGCGGTACCCGAGCCTCGCCAAGTGCGTGCGGCATCCCACGCGTTTGTAGATCGCCCCGAGCCACCTATCTACCGAGAAGCTTCGACCCGCCCATCAGCCGCACCGCGATATGTACGCGATCGTTCCCGATCTCCTGTTCATGAGTATCTGCCTCGACAGCAGTCGCCCATGCTCATGGCCCCACCCCCTCGCCGTATCGTGGTGGATCAATATGGCCACAAATATTATGCAGCACCCGTGGATGCGAGAGAATCAATGGCACCACCTAGCCGTCGTGTGGAAGTTGACCCTTACTACGAGCGTGCTGTGACACGAGAGCCAACAATGCGTGCCCCTGCTCGCACTGAGGTGTACGAAGACGACGGTGTACCGAGGATGCCTCCACCACCTCGACGGTATATGGAAGCGTCGGACGTTGAAATGATTGAGAGCCCGTCCTTCCGCCAGCGAGAGTCGTCGCGCCGCCCTGTGGAGGTGGAATACCGGCCAGTGCCGCAATATGAAGAGATGGGACCGCCACGCGAGTATGCGCAGAACCGAGCCTACAGTATGCGTCCGGAAGTGGTTCGTCGAGAGGTTCCGGAAGGTTATGTTCGCCACGAGAGCATCCAGCCAGGTTCAGTGCGCGTCTCACAGCCTCGATACCGGGAAGTCAGCATTGTGCACCAGGAGCCGTTTGATGATCGTCGGTACATTAATGCACCGCAAAGTAGACGGTATGTTGAGGAAGGAGCTATTGAAGTTGGGCAGGAGTCATACCAAGCGGAGCCGCGACGGGTCTATACTCGCTACTAGCCATGGCGTAGAGGAGAGTTGTAATGTCCAGTTCAGCGCTGGAGGTGTAAGGATAGCTGTTTGATGCATTGGGTTGGGAAAGGGTGTTGATATTAGTGTAGTAGTTTGGGCCCGTAGTACCAGAGTGTGAGGGTTGGATAGCTCATGTTCACGCAATTATAGTATTCATAGCTAATGATATCCATGCCATGGTTGACAGCCTCGTGCAGGAGATGCTATTATTTGCGTCCTCAGTCGACCAAGTTCTCGACTTGTCTGTTCCAACAAGGAACCTTGTGAGCGGCTACCCGCCTTGCACGACATAGCCTGTGGTACCCACGGGACTCTCGAAGGCTACATGGGCGTACCAAGGCGATGGAGGGCCGGCCGCAGAAGAGCCAGTTGCTACTAACAAAGCATGGTGGAATGCTGGACGATGGTCTTATTTGAAAACAAGTGTTGCTATTCTTGCCCGGCAGTGCGCTTGGGCTGCCTAGAGCTTGAGCAGCGATGATGCGGTAATGCAGTCCAGTATGGAGCGCGTCGCCTGGGTCCAGCCAGCTATGCTGCTTTGGCGATAGAGGTGCAGTGTCCACGGACCCACACGGCACGACAGCGATGGTCAAGCCCGACTCAGCGCAGAGAGAAGCGGTCGAAACACGGTTGCGGGCATGGCGAGACTGAGACAGGACTCGAGCCTGGGCTGGCCGTTTCGGGGGCGTGTGCAAGACTGGAGTGTTTGGGGTGGCATCGGTTCAGGGCAGGATCGCCTGGTGGGTGCTTGTGCTTGGGTGCAACTGGGTGTGTGGTGCGTATTTTGCGCCGTCGGTGAGTGGGGCCCGTGCGAGAGGCCTGCGCCAATCCCAAGTCGTCCTCTCTTCGTCACCTTGGCTCGACGCTCGTCTGATGCTTTGCTCATCATCAGTGAACCTCCGCCCTTCTCTTCGTCGTTCTCTGCTTCCCTCTCCACCCTACACCCGCCCGCCATCTCCCAGGGCGCTCCTCCCCACCCCACCCCACTCCCCCAATGCACAAGATATCAAACTTCACGGGCTCGGCCCGGCACGGCTGGGAGAAGATGGCCCCCTCAACCGGCTTCCCGTTCTCGAGGTCAAACCACGACCTGCCCGTCACAGCAGCTCCTATAAAGCGGCCCTCGACAGCCACTTCGGCCCCGCCCGTCATCCCGCCTGGCACCCAGGTCAACCTGTCGTTCAATGTCCCCTTTTCGTCGAATCTCGCTGGCCCGGACCCCGACGACATCATGTGGGCGAGTCCTGGGGCAAAGGCACGATGGAGCCATCCGGAAGGCACGGCAGAGGCCACGCCCACGCACAAGCTGCCCGTACACGCCCAGAACGTCGAAAACCTGCGCAACTTGTGTCGGGACGTGAGCGACTCAACAGAGGGACGCGTCTCGGCCACGGTCACGTCCGCCGAATCGAAGCCGCTACCCGGTCTGCAGCGAGGGCCTTTGCGCGCCCTGGTGACGAATGTGTGCCTGTCGGGCGAGCTGGAGATTGTAAACTCGATGCGGTGTAAGATACTGAATTCGACGCCCATTTCTCTGGTAGGCTTTCCGCTGCAACTTGGCCATGGCGCTCACCACTTGCTGACTTCTTGGCACAGCGCTCCTCGTTTGTCGATATTGACTCGCAGCTCATCATTGACCCGCCCTCGCAGAATGTCAAGGGTGCCGTGCTCAATCAGCTCGACCTCATCTCCAAGACGACCAAAGCTGACATTTTCTTGTTGATGCCCAAGCAGCCCGACATCGAGACGGCCAGCTTTCATGGCAACATCGACTCGGGAATGGACCCGCGCCTGCGCTGCGCCATCTACGGAGACCTCGAGACCATGGAACACGCAAAGACGCGCGTGCTCATCATGATTGACCAGATCGTGAGTCCCGGGTGCCCTGCAGCTGTCTCGCTGGCCCACAATAGCTAATTCGCAATCCCCACAGCTCAAACGATACGTCGATACCATGAAGCTCGAGCTGACCATGCATACGTTGATTTGTGGGCGCGGGCGTAAGAACATCAAGATGATCGAGTCTGCCACAGGCACCGCCATCTACTTTCCTCCGCCATTTCCTCGCTTGTTTGGGTACACGCCCAACGGCGCTCAGCGGAGACCCGATGACCTCGTCTATATCACTGGGGAGAACTCTGAATGCATTCTTCGCGCCAAGCAGCGCCTGCATGATCTTGTCATGTCGACCAAAGTCTTCGTGAAGCCTGTCATGGTGACTGACACCAAGCTTGACGCCATCCTGCTCGAACGTCTGGACAAGGTGCGCAAGATTATTGAGAACAATGGCTCCTATATATTGCTGCCACCTCTTGGCGTCCAGCGAGGCGTTGTCCGAGTCCAGGGCACTGATGTCTTGCACGTCGAGCGCACGGTGCGCGAGTTGATGCAGCTCGTAAGTCAAGGCTACTTCTCGACGCCAATTCAATGTATACTCACAAACAGCAGGCTGGCCAATTCTACAGTGCCTCGTGGTTCATCACTCACCCTGATCCCACACAGCGTCCCCCTACTTCAGCTGATGTTCGCGCCATGCTCTCCGATATTTGCATCAACTCTGGCGCTGAAGTCAGCTTCGAAAAGCTCAATTTCCACATCTACGGATCCGACGACGCTGTTAGGGCGGCACTAATGGTCATTAGCAACATTCCCTTCGTGAAGAAGTCGCAGTACAACATGAGCGTCAAAATCGAGCTTGCCAACGAGCACAAGGAGTTTGTCAGCGGTAAGAAGAATGGCAAGATCAACAAGATCATGAGCCACAGTAGTGTGCAAATCGTCTTTGATGGTTTCAACGAATACAACTTCTACATTGTAGTCCGTGGCGCCCAATACGAGGCTACGAAGAATGGCCTCGACCTTGTTGAGCAAGAGATGCCTGCCTCGATCTCTTTCCATGTCCCCGACCAGTACCATAAGCGCATTATCGGTATCGGGGGCCAGCACATTCAACGTATCATGAAGAAGTACTCTGTCTTCGTCAAGTTCTCCAATGCCATGGACCGAGGCGGGTTCGGCAAAGAGGAAGATGATATCAAGGTCGATAACGTCATCTGCCGCACGCCTGCTCGGAATGCTCAGAATCTAGACTTGGTCAAGCAAGAGATCATGGACATGGTTGAAAAAGCCGACGCAGAGTTTGTGTCTGAGACCATCAACATTAACCGCTTGTATCACCGTGAGCTCATTGCTCGCTTAGACAAGATTGACGAACTGGAGAAGAAGTTCAACTGCAAGATTACCTTCCCCAGCACCGAGGAAGCGAGCGACACCGTTACTGTCTCTGGCCCTGAATACCAGGTGCCATTGGCAGTCGATGAGTTCCTGGTATGCTTTTCAATCATCTCTTGCTCGAATAAAAAACAATAGCTAATCAATTATAGGGCATGGTACCAGAGTCTCATGACTTGGCATTCCCGGCTACCACCGATCTTAGCGAGCACATACGCTCCCCCGAGTTCACGGCTGACATTCTTGAGAAGCTCAAAACTCAGCATGTAGTCGACGCGCAGCTCCAGGACGCGCAAACCGACACCATCGATGGCAAGGAAGAGCAGATCGAATCCTTCCATCTCGTGTTCACCAGGAACAATGCAGGTGGATTAAAGGACGCCATTGATTTTCTGCTCAACCACCTAGTCATGCACGGCTTAGACACGAACACCGTCCGCGGTGCTCTCCCTCGCCCCAAATCTGACTCGTTCGAAGACTCTTTGCCATTCTTCGAATCCAAGTTGCTCCAGCGAGCTGAGCCTGCCGTTGACAGCACCGACTCTCCCACTCGCTCCCACTTTGGTGATGACGAGCCTCGTGGCATGCTTGACCGGCTTCGCAAGCCTGGCAGCATGGCGTCATTCACGTCCATTTTCAACGGACGTAAAAACACCAACTCTCCAGGATCGCTCTTCAAGCATGCTTCGAGCAATGCTTCCAAGGCATCCCTTGCTAGTCTCGAATCCACGGGTAGCTACCGCAACCCTTGGAACGATAGCGGCATTAACCTCGCCGACGACGAGCACCATACCAATGGTTGGCCTATGCCAACCCCGCGCTTTGAATCCAAGTTTCCTTTTGGTTCCTCTTCAGCGGCGTCTGGGGACGTAACCCCCAGGTACGACCCGCGGGGCTCCGTGGACAGCGGCCGCCCCAGTACTTCTCATTCTGCATCTGGATACCCGGCTCCTATTGGGCCTCCTCGTTAAATGATACCATACTACTACTATACTATAACCGGCTTTACGAAGAATACCCCGCCACGCCTGCGCTTGTGTCCCATCTCGGTACCTCATGCGCGCGCTCTTTAGGCGACGAGAAAAGAATTATACCCCTTTTACTATACGGCGAATACGTAAAAGCCCTGTTTGGCTGGTTGTTGTTGTTTTGCGCTTGCTGCGGTTCTTGTTTTCTGTACGAGATTTCTGTTCTTGTTTTGGGGCGTTGTGGAATTCTGAATGATTCCCCCTTGGTGCAAAAAGAAATATACCAATTTGCTGCTTTGTGGATTTCTGATGTTTTGCTGCGTTATGTTTCTGGGTGCAAGATGGATGGATGATACCCCCGCTGCCGTGGTGAGACGGAATTAAGTGGGCTATGGCTGGTCTGCGGCAGTTACAGGGTCTCAGAAAGATGCGTGTGCGCGACGGCCTCACTCTCCGCCCAAGGTCTCTTGAAAGCCTTCCGCTGGCTCAAGGAAGGACTGTTGCGTTAGTATTGTTAGAGTGGATGGCAAAAGTTTTGGACGAGACGAGAGATACACAATAGACGAACGAAGCATACTCATACTCATAATGCCTGTCCCATTTATACCTTCGATCAACTAACGGCTCTTGCTCACGATCCAAAGGTGGGTATATAAAAGGTTAGCGTGCACGTGAACACCTGCACCCACATCGTTCGCGCAGAGTGACGTCGGCGATAATTTGTCTAGATCCGAGCTCCAACAGCTCCGCAACGTCAATCTTCGAAAGTTCCGAATCACCCCAGCTTTCATAACAACATACCACCGATATTAATACTCGAGTTACACACAAGTTGCTTTTTACGATTTCAAGTTGTGTAACAATGGCGTCTAAGCGCGCCGTTCAACTCCTCCGACTCCGCCCTAATGCCTCCTCAGTCGTAGGCCCGAGCCGCCCAACAGGACAATTGAGTTTTCAAACTGCGCGGGCACTTGGTGTTGCATCGTGGCCACAGCGCCAGCAAGTTTCCAAGAAGACCTTCGAGAGCGCATCAGACGGTGTGGACAGGTCTCAATTGGGTTCTGTACAGCGGAGATGGAACTCGCAAGCACCCGCAGACCAAAAGAGCAAAGTCTACGAATTCGAAGATGTACGCGTCGTCCCTCGTCCCTCTTTCCATCCATTCCCCAATATGCTAACACATACATACCCAGATCCTAGCCATCCTCGAGGAACCGTCCAACTCACGCCTCTTGATTGATGTGCGCGAGCCCCACGAGTACGAAGCCAATACGATTCCCACCGCGATAAATATCCCCGTTACCAGCCAGCCCGACGCGTTACTACTGGACGAAGAGGATTTCAGGGATAGATTTGGTTTTGCGAAACCGCCGACGAATAAGGAGGTTGTTTTCTTTTGTAAGGCGGGGGTGAGGAGTCGGGCGAGTGCGGGGATCGCGAAGCAGGCCGGGTGAGTTGATATCCTCTTGCAATATGACACGAAGAACGCCATACAACGGTCATTTTATCTCTGGGTTTTCTTGACTAACAGTATAATAGCTATACAAATGTTGGTGAGTATCGCGGGTCTTGGCTTGACTGGGAACGCCATGGTGGTCCGGGCACGAAGACTCCACCGCCGCCTGGGGGCTTGGGAGAACCTAAAGCACCTGTGAGCGAGACGAAACCTACGGATCAAACGGGATCAAGTGGGGTACAGGATCTGGGTCCGGAGGGACAACCAAAGTATCCGGATGGGGCTATGGGTAAGCAGTAGATGCGGAAAGGATCATTGGAGACGAGTTTATATTGAATCTGATCGGTCAATGGACATGGGTCAGAAATCTATTTTAGGTTCATCTTACAAGTAAAAATCCTGCTTCGAGCCCCTCAATACCCATTGAACTTGCCACGTACCAGTTGATCCTCATGCTAATAGCAATAAATGTGTGTTGATGGAGAGGGGTGAATTTTATGTGATATCTATATACATTACAAGCTATTTTAAGATCAAGAAGAGTTCCCCATATTGTTATATATTTTAGTCATTAATAGATGAAAGCCTGCGCGACATGCGATTGTAGACAAGCAAAGATTCGCTTTGCTGGGTGAGAAGGTGAAACATTGACAGAAATGGAAGAGGAGGTGTGTAGTACTTTTTGCATGACTATGCATGCCAGCGTGTGAAAAGAAGTAGTTATCCAGCTGCTGCGTGAAGCCACCTACGTGCGCTATCGGTCCAGAGCTTGAGCTTGACACTGCAACCGAATTCGTTAGCACGTATATCAAACACGAATGATAAAGATGAGAAGAAGCTTACCATCTGCCAGTAAACGCCCCTTTTCCTCAAAAGCGTCTGGTGATCACCACTTTCCAACACCGTCCCACTCCCCAACACAAAAATAACATCAGCTTTTTGAATCGTAGCAAGCCTGTGCGCGACAGCCAGAACCGTTCTGCCCCCTTCCCCGGCAGCGCGTTCAATAGCCTCTTGTACGAGCTTCTCGGACTCCGAGTCTAGTGAGCTAGTCGCTTCGTCTAGCAGCAACAACTTGGGTTTGCGCAACAGTGCCCGTGCAAGAGAAAGGCGCTGCTTCTGCCCACCAGATAAGCTCATGCCTTTTGGTCCGAGGCGCGTAGCGTAGCCATCTGGAAGCGAAGCGATGAAGTCGTGGATCTGCGCGTCGCGGCACGCTTGCTTGATGTCCTCATCCGTTGCAGTCTCCACGCTTAGTGCCACGTTCTCGGTGATACTTCCTTCGTACAGCGTGGGCTCTTGGCTAACGAGCGCGATTTGCTTTCTGTATTCTGATGGGTCGAGGGACGTAATGTCCTGGCCGTTGTACAGAATATGACCAGAATCTGCGTCATAGAAACGCTCTAGTAGGCTGATCGTGGTGGACTTGCCGCATCCACCTAAAGTAGAAGAGGTACGACGTCAGTGTATGTCTCACATGCAGTTTGAATATTAAGGGTGTACTTACTAGCGCCTACCAGGGCGGCGAACTGGCCGGGTAGAACCTTGATGTTGAGGTTGGAGAGGACGGGAACTTCGCGGGATTTGTAGGAGAAGTAAACATTTTGGAAATCGATACCCACACCCTCGGACGAGTCGTATAAAGGTGGGTATGAGGGCGAAAGAGCGTTCTGGGGCGGTCGCATACTAATGATTCGATTCGCTGCGCCAGTTGCCTGAGCCATGCTGGGGGCAACGGAGAACCACATTCCTGCCGCAATAGCACCTTGAATGGCGGCCATGTAGACGACCATGAAGTCGACGAGGCCGTATTCGCGCGATGCGAGAAGAGTACCGCCGTACCAAAATGCGAGCGCCATGCATGCTAGCTCGATACTATCACTTGCTGCAAAGACGAGAGTGCCGTACTTTGCACTTGCAAAGGCCTGTTTGACTTGGCCCTGGAGCAAAGTTTGATAGCGATCGCCGATGGTGTCTTCCATGATGAGACTGAGGACCGTACGGAAAGCGCCGACGGCCTCTGCAGCAAACTGGCTGCTGTTCTCGAACACTTTGGCGTTGTCTTTCTCAAACTGCACCTCCAACCGCATACGTACATATCCAGCAACGAGGATGAGCGGCATTGCAGAGCAGACACAGACGAGCGAAAGTTTCCAGCCATACACGAATGCAATGATGATCGAACCGACCAAATTGACAAGAGCAATAAGCGCAAAGGACATCTCCGTCGACATGAGCTGTTGGAGCTGTACGCAGTCTGTACTCAGCCTTGACGTCAGAGACCCAGGACTGTGGCCCTGATCATCAAAGAATGAAATACGCTTCCTGATCATATTGTCCAAGTATTCTTGTCGATAAGTCCGCGTCACCGCGACCGATATTAGATGCGATGCAACACCGAGGACAAAGTACGCTACTCCGACACTAGCAGCTAGTATACCGAACATGCCTGCCCAGAAGTTGCCTTTGCGGACAAGCTCGTCGCCGGTGAGTGTGAAGACGTTGATTAGGCTGGCAAAAAGGTAGGCTTGTAGTGGATACACGGCACCACCGCCCAGCACACCAAGGGCTGCGATGATGTACAGAACCCAGTGATGACGCTGTTCGGTGAGTAGGCGACCGAAGCTACGGAGTAGACCTTGGTCCTTGTATTCTTCTTCTTTCTCTGAACTCCGACTGCCGCGCTCATGGGCATCAGATTCTTCATCTTCGGCTGTCTTGGTTCTCTCGAGGGTGGAGTCTTTGGTATCGTGTTCTTCGGCTTCCATTACGAGTTCTTGGGCGTGGACTAAACCGTGGTAAACGCCAGCCTCGATCTTCAGCAGCTCGTCGTGAGTGCCTTGTTCGATTAGCTTGCCCTGCCGTAGCACGACGATCTTATCCGCTCGCTGGATAGTAGAAAGGCGATGGGCGATGACGATGGTTGTGCGATTCTTCGACACACGATCAAGCGCCTGTTGAACGATACGCTCCGTTCGCACATCGATAGCGCTCGTAGCCTCATCTAAGATGAGTATAGGCGGCTGCTTGACGATACTCCTCGCAATAGCGATACGTTGACGTTGGCCTCCAGAGAGTTTGATTCCGCTCTCACCGACAAGAGTCTCATAGCCTTGGGGTAATCGCGAGATGAACTCTTCAGCGTAAGCCTCGCGACATGCTTCTTCCACCATCTTCATTTTTTCCTCTTTGGGCAGATCCTCGTAACGTGTCCCACAGAGGCCGTAGGCAACGTTGTCTGAAAGTGAAAGGACGAAGTCAGCGTATGTCCCACGTGAAATTCGCACAAGGGAACTTACTGTATAGTGTGTCGTTGAAAAGGAAAGGTTCTTGCTGGACAAGGCCGATTTGTGAACGCCACCACTTCAGGTCGACATCATGAAGATTCGTCCCCCCAACTCTAATAGTGCCGGTACAAGTATTTGGCCCAAGATCAACCTTCTCTTCATCCTTCTTGGCATAGTCAGTAGCCTTCTTGGTGGCGTCTTTGTCAACCTTTCCCTTATCCTTTGAGGTACCGTTTCCAAACCATTTGGACTTTTTGGGCTTCTCCTCCTTCTTGACAGATAAATCAGCTGCCGCTGTGGGTGTGGGCTCATTGGGCGTTGTCGCTGCGGCAGTTGTTCCGAGAAGATCATACCACCTCTGAACGAGTCCGACAATGGTGGACTTTCCAGACCCAGACGGCCCAACAATCGCGGTCACTTTTCCAGCTTCTAGCTTCAGGTCAAGTCCCTCCAGGATCTGAACGTTGGGCCTACTCGGGTACGAGAATGCCACATTCTGAAATGTAATGTCGGCATCGGCGGTGATGTCAGGCTCCTTCAAGCCAGATGTATCTGGGGTGGGGGCGTCGATGGTTACGAATAATTCGGTGGCGGCAGTGGCGGCTTTCACTATGGCGAAAATAGGATTCGTCAACCGGCCAATGTACATTACAGCCACTGTAAGAAACGAGATAAGTCAGTGTATATCTTACATGCCTGTTGTGTGTGGACACTTACTCATGACAGAAAAGAGTACGACGGTAATCACGCCGACGTCAGGAATTTTGCCTTCGGTATACTGCTTGATGCCAAACCAGAAGGTAATAGCGAACGTTCCATACATGCTTATCATCGACGGCGCCATCATCAAGCCCATCAAAGGCGCGACTCGCCTCGAATTCTTAGCAGCCATGTCCAACATATGTTCGTGCTGTCTTGCTAGCTTAGCCTCTGCGCCAAATGCAACTACGATGCGGACGGAGGAGAACATCTCGAAAGCCATGGCTGAAGCATCATCGTGGTGTTTCTCGGTGATTTTATGCATCGTAATGAGAGGTGGGACAAGGAGTCCGTAGATGATCAGAATAAACGGAAGCGACGCCGAAGCAACTAGTGTAAGCAGCCAGCCTTTGATAAAGGCTACGACGTACATCCCAATTACATATGTAAGGGCCTGGACCAGCATAGCAAGATGCTGAGATATGCCGACCTGAATGGTGTTTGAGGAAGTTGTAATGCGAGTAGAGACCTTGCCAGGACTGACGGTATCGATCACGCTGACTGGCTGGGCGAACAAGGCTCGAAGGTATGCTAGGCGCAGAGCAGAAGATATTCGCAGACCGCTGATGCGGACAGTGAGCTGTTAAGGCTATGTCAGCGTTCTTGAAAGCGAAGCGTTGATGCATACTAACCAGGGAAATGTAAGACATTACAAACTTCGCAATGAATAGATAGACAATGAACAGCGCCAGTCTGTTGATTTCCGCCTGAAACTCATGTTTCGTGACTGTATTTCCAGGTAAAAAGTAGCCTGTGAAGTTGCCGACCAATTGGCCTGGGGAGAATCAGTAATGTAGCTTCCACCTTGGACGATTAGAGCATACCAAAGACGATATTCATCAGTGGCATAGCAATGCCAGATCCGATTGATGTAAGGCAACACAACCCCATCAGGAAGAAATCAAACTTGGTACCATAAGAAAGGACACGCTAATCAACATAAGTTAACAATGGGTTTACACCAACAAGAACGCGCCAACTACTTACGAAGTAGTTCTTCAAGCCAGCCTGAGGGACTTCCTTCGTCTTCGCATGCTTGCCCGTCTTCTCCTCCGCCAGATCAACAAGTTGGTCGTGCTCGGAAATTCCAGCTTTGAGGATTTGAGGATCGAGTGCAGCAGTCTCCGCCCCAGCGGTGGTGGCAGGTGGCGGCGGCGGTTTGCCCTCGCTGAAGGTACTCATGGCTGCCATGTAAAATCAAAATCCAGAGAAAAGAAGAACTCCTTGAATATTACAGATGTTCGCTGGGATGAAGGGAAGAATTGTGGCGTTGAAATGGGTACAAAAGTTGGTGCCTGAAAGTTGAAGTACGTTTGACCCCTGTCGGCTGCACCGTACTTCGTATCAGAGAGCGACTTGTATACGGCACGCGGCCAAGTCCAAACTCGCAATTTCAGCGCGAAAGCGGAAATCGCGGTGACTTTTCTAGAATGCAGCCAAGGTCATTGCCTAATTGCATCATGGCATGTGTCGCTTAGAAGAAGCAAGACACCCGTAGACACGGGTAATATGCGCTAGCTGCGCCTAGCCTCGCTTCGTCAATGTTGTTCCTAAACGAGCGACTACTTGCGAGCTGAAAGGGGTATCGCCGTATGGGGTACCCGGCATTCCGCACTTTTCGTCCATAGCGAATCACCACAAGATCAAGCTTGTCATCTAAGTCTTTCTGAGTCATAATCATGATGGCACGACAGAGAGGTGAGATGTCAGCATTGTGTGACCGGACGGCCCGCACACTGACCGTCTTTTGCGATGGAAGCGCTCCCAATGGCTCATTTCCTTGAATATCTCGAATCCTGTTGCCTTGCGAAAAGAAAAGAAAAACTGTTAGATTCTTTCCCTTTTTGGTTAAAAGTATGGCCAAGCCCATAAACTACCAGCAACTTACCCCTACCTCAATCATGCGAGAGAGCCTGAGGCCATGAATGGTTGAATTCTAAACTCATGATGAGTTTCGGTGTTTTGGGGTCCTCCCACCCGCGAATTGTAAGACGACCTAAAGGTAGCCGACTATGGTGGAAGGGAACTTGAGATGCGATACTTCCCACAACGAAGAAGGGTTTGTGGTTCAATTGCCTCTTACAAAACGTAGATACAAACTTCCAGATAAGGCACTAAATGACCGGGAGTATCTTTACGGCTAGTTCTCACTGCTCAACAACACTTCCATCTGACGTAGCATGTTACAATCCGCGCGAGTACTCCTGCACTGATGGAACCCGTGCTGAAGTGTTGTTATGGCCTGATAGTCGGGTATAGGGACCTGTCCTTCATTCTCATCCTGCCTTCTCAGTAGCTTGGTACAAGCCATGATGCCTCGTCATGCTTCTTCCAACCTATGAGTTTCTTCCTTTCATTCTACCAGGCCAAACCATCAAGGACGTCCATGTTTCGTTTGATTGAGACGAACTGGTGTTGCTAGCTGAATGTACCAAGCACCACATATTCTGCCATCCTGAGAACATCAGTTGGTAAGCTGTAGCGGCTAGTGGATTGCATAGGCCTCTTCACAAATCCTAAACAGGCGATAGGAAGAGGGCTCCGTTTGTGTAAAAATCGACCGGTATCCGCAGGGCCATTATCTTCAATACTCAAGTCGGTTCCATGGCTGCCGGCTGTATGGGAGCATCAGCTACCCTAGTTTGCATTACCCTCATGGCGATAATATCCTGCTGATCACAAGCCATCTCTTTCCTCTTCTCAAGCCTCACCAGACTCTCACACAGCCTCTCAAGTAGCCACTCACTCTCGCTCATCGTTGACATCATCGGACTGTCGTCGCCGATCCAGTCCCAATTTACCAATCCCTCTTCATTCTCATCCTCATTTTCAGCAGTAACAGTGCCTAGATAATGATTGAGGCGTTCGGGAGTGGTAAGACGAATCAAGCGGGTGAATTCAACCCACTCTTCGTACGAATACCGTTTTGGCTCTGATAGTCGAAAGTCGATCGAGACTTTCTTGATGCTAATTGCCAATCGTCTGGAAAGCGAAGCATGTGATGGTAATCTTGTCAAATCTTGCTCGGCTTCTGCAGCGAGCGTCACTATTGTTGGGTTCACAGTCGACTCCACATCGGCTGCTACTTCAGAGTCCTCGACATCTCGATCGGTAGGATCGGGAGTGACTGCAGTCGTTTCAGTTCGCGGATCTATTGTGTCGAAGCCTTTCTTTAGTCGCTTCTTGGCCGCTCTGGTCTCAATCCGGCGCTGTAGCCAGTAGAGCAACCATGGGTGTTTGTCAAGAAATGATCGCCAGATGCCCGTGAAAAGTTAGCAACTGCTTCTTTTGGAGGGGTCTCAGAGGCCTCTAGAACGTCCTGAAACAAATAAACATACCTTCTTTAGGCAATACCGTGAAATCTGCGACTTGATCACTCCATTTCTTGAACTTGAACACCACCGTATCACCCAGATCCGAGACTAGGATCGTCATCGTGGGTACGGCGATTAGACTCCATATAACAAAGAAGCAACGTCCTGCGTTAGACTTTGGTGCGAGGTCCCCGTAACCAATAGTGAGAAGGCTGATGTAGCAAAAGTACAGTGCCTGGAAGTAGGTCATCGCCTGGGTTTCTTTTTCCGCTTGCCAGAACACTATGGCTCCCACGCACCATAGCGTAGAAAAAGTAGCAACGGACCACATGAGCGCCATCCATCGCCTGAATTTCTTAGAACCAGCTTGGATCTGGCGCATTGCTTCGAACCGGTCCTTCTCTTCTTTCAGTAGAATGAGTTTGGGCTCCCTGCGTCTCTTAAGTGCTTCTGGGAACCCACGGGGGAACGAGGGTATATGTCGCATTGGCTCGTCCATTGCCGTCCTATACGGTCTAAGTTCAGTGGGAGCGCTGATTCGCGGGAATCCAAGCGTTCGCCTCCTAATAAGGCGGTGAGCTTCGTGTTCGCGGTGGCGGAAGTCGAAGCTGTTGGTCACAGTTCGCTCAAGGGCTCGTTCGCGCATGCGGTCGACGTGCTTTTGCACAATCTTCTCTTCTCCGAGCTCTCGGACGGCTTTGTAGAGTGAGGAGACAATGAGGGCGAGAGTTATGATGCCGCCGACTGAGTAGGGGAAGACGATGCCTCGGGCTACATCGGTAGTAGGGACGAGATCTCCAAATCCGACCGTCAAGATGGTTACGTCGCAGAAGTAGAGCTACTCACCATTAGTCTTGGAACAATACCCAGGTTCAAGTTAACAACTGAGAGATCGCTTGACCTCTGCAGTCGACTAAGCTAGTCACCAGGCTGGGTCAATTACTTACCCCGTCGCTGAAACCCCAGGCATCCTCGCCTGCATCTCGTTCGATCTTCGAAAACAGTGCAGCGCCGCCACCTAGCCAGATGAAGAATGCCATAGTTTGAAGAATAAGCGTGCGCTGACTGTCACTCAACGCAAAGTTTTCTGGGTAATGTCCCAAAAAGTAGCCGAGCATGTTGAACATCAATATCATCGAGCAGATGGTGTAAAACGTTGCCGCCGCGATGGCGTACCAGAAACCTTGGGTATCTGAATAGTATGTTAGTGAATATGTCTAATGTCAAGATGCCGATTGAGTCCCAAAATCATGTAGGCTGGAGTACTCCGCGCCACTTTGGGATATAGATACTTACAGCCTTCTTGAGGACGGTTCGGCGGATCATACATTTCCATGCATACAGTGATAGCTATCAGAAAGCCAGACGAGAGATACCAGAAGATGATGGAGGCTGGGAGGGCAACGATATATCGGATTCGTTGGGTAAAGTTGAGTAAGAGAAAGATATTGCCTAGGAAACCGCATATTAGGGACGCTACATTGATCCAGTAGCACCTGTGATATATTAGCAAATCACACGACCAAGCTGGATGTTGTAAGAAATTGATGTCTTGCAGTCATGATCAACGAGCTGTGAACTACCATGAGGCCAAGCACACATGGAGCTTCCCGACCTATGGCTTGAGTGTTGTCCCTTGGTAGAAAATATTGGACTTACCACCGTGGATCTGTATACGGCACGCCATCGAAATCCGGCACATGAACCCCATTGACATAGTTCGTCTGCCTCCAGCTCGTCACCAGCGCAGCAATAGAGCTAACATTAGCCAGCGGACCGAGAGTAGCAGCCAAAAGTCTGCAGCAAAATCAGAATCGATCCGACCGAACTTGATAAATGTCCTCAAATACATTCAAGATATTGTACTTACGGGATCCCCGTGCTAGCAAACCACCAATCACTCTCCTCTCCCTCTTTCCACCGCTTCCATACGGCCCACGACCTCTTGCCTTTCCTGCTCAAACTCTCATCTAGTTTCTTGATCCCGCTCTGATGCTCTTCCTGAACTCTTCTAGTGGCATCACTGCCATCGAATGGTGGCGGCTTCTCCGGCTCCTGCAGCTCTTCGCGCACCATCGTGAGCTCTATGAGGCGACAGACATCGTTCTACACAAGGACGTGAATGATTTCAGGTTGGTATATCAAAAAGGAGACATGGGGATGTGAAGGTCTCTAGGTTGCGATATGCGTAATGTTGACTGAGCGCTGAGCAATCGAGCCTACTCCGGAAACAGCATAGTGGGGATGAGCATACCTAGGTATCAAAGAAGAAAGAGAATAGCGCTGTGGAGAAGAGAGACGATGTAGTTCGGGGCGATGGTGAATCAGATCTATACTTGTGTTATATCTATCATGGACGCATTTGGCTACGGAAGTCTCGTGCAGCTGTCAGATGCAGGTGCATGTTGGCGCGTGGGGAAACGCGTGTATGTTAGCGTCGATCTTCAAGAGCTTGTAGCCATTGACGAGCGCCAAGCCTTTCGAGGTCAAGCCCGGAAATGCTTGGATGCTTGCAAGGGATTGCATTCAAGGACTGGAGAGTTTTGCAGATATTCAGGCTGAGCTGGAATTATACTTGCATACGGCTCTTGTGCCTACGTTTGACTTGGTTTCATTCTAAAGTATTTACAATATAAGCATTAAAGGCGGCACTTGGTTCATTGCGACTTTAGCTTCTCAGTAAGCTCAGGGACCTTGTCAAACAGATCACCAACTAGACCGACATCGGCAACCTGGAAGATAGGCGCATCGGGGTCCTTGTTGATGGCCGCAATGACCTTGCTGTCCTTCATACCCGCCAAATGCTGGATGGCACCAGAGATACCAGCACACAGGTAGAGTTGCGGCGCAACATTCTTTCCAGTCTGACCAACCTGCAAACTGTTGTCCGCAAAGCCACTGTCGACTGCTGCCCGTGAAGCACCAATAGCTGCACCGAGGGCATCTGCCAGAGGAGTGATGACCCTGTCGAACTCCTCCTTTGACTTCAGGCCACGTCCGCCAGACACGACCTTATCTGCAGAGCCGAGATCGGGGCGGTCAGATTTGGCGAGGTCTTCGGAAACCCATTCTGATAGAGCCTCGGCTTTGGGGTCGATGCCTTCTTCAACCGTCGCAGATCCACCCTCAGTCTCTGGTACTGGGAAAGCGGTTCCTCGGACGGTGATGATCTTTGTGCTGTCGGATGATTGGACGGTCGCGATGGCGTTTCCGGCGTAGATGGGCCGGACGAATGCTGTTACATGTCAGTACTATGGTTCAGTTTCCGAGCAGTGCCCGCCTTACTGTCCTCGCTCTCAATGCCGGTAATGTCTGAAATCTGTTGGCTGTCTAGGAGTGCTGCAACGCGTGGCATTATGTTCTTCCCGAAGGCTGAGTGTCCTGCAACAATGTGTGTGTATCCACCCTTCTTGATGTTCTCGACCAAGAGTGGCGCGAAGTTCTCGGGAAGACCCTGTCACGATACAGTCAATCTCTATATTCGGTATAGCCATTGGAAGCTGCTGACCTTGTCGTATGCTGCATTGTCGACGTATATTATCTTCTCAATGCCCTTTGCCTTTGCTGCCTCGTCTGCGACCGACTTGACCCCACTTCCGGCCAAGAAAGCTGTTATCGAGCCTCCAAGCTTGGTCCCTGCTGTGATGGCGGAGAGTGATGCTGGATTGAGCTTCCCATCTTTCTGTTCGAGGACGGCGAGCGTAGACGCCCATCGTGCGAAGGCGGAGTAGTGTGGGACTGCGGTGGGTTGCGATTGCCGCAGCTGCGTCCGCACAGTTCGGAGGACTGAGGTGCGTGTCGCGGAGAACATGATGGGTTGAGGTGAAGGAGACGCTCAGAAGAAGTACAATTGTCGACTTCAGAGGTGCAAAAGAGTGCGCCCGTACAGCAGTAGACAAGTAAAACTACATCCAAAAACGCGGAGAACGACGACCTCGGTTTGACCAGGTTGGTTAACCGGCGCTAGCCTCAGCCTGCGTTCGGGGAAATCCAAAGTCACATCACGTGATGAAGCTCCCTAGGCGGACTTTTGCGCTGGGCTGGCTGGGCGTCTGAGAGCATCGCGAAGTTCAGACGCGACTACCGACTACCACCCATCGCATCCCCCTCATCCCCACATTCGTTTGCGCCATTCACCACCGCCGTATTTCTGCCAGAACGACCCGGCATCGCGCAACAACGCCTCCCGTTCGCGCTCCGTGTGCTCTCCCATTGTGGTGCCCCATCGCGCCCTGCCAGCCCCGTCGCATCGCCAGTGTTCGTGAGCACTCACTGAACAAGTACCGTCGAAGAAGCTATGGCCGACAACGCGACTACAAGCGCATCCGCGCAGGACCCGACGCTCGCTGGAGAAGGTGCTACAGACACCAATGCGCTCGATCAAGGTACGTTGTGCCGCTCTACTCACTCACCCCATCCCTAATCGCGTCAATACTATGGATTTTGCCGATTTCTATGGAGATGGGGGCCTGCCCAGTCTCGAAGAGCTATTAGCATCAATGGCTACTCCTCATTCGCTCAATCAAGGCTTACCAAACGACCTCATAGATACAAGCATGTTTGACGACGCAGCCATCAAGGAGTCTTCACATGAACCCTCCACAAACACACCTGCTCCCGTATCAGACAATCCGCTGGATGCCCCGGACGGCCCGCGACCCGAAGCTGAGGATGCCGACGGCCAGGAAGACGAGGAGATGGGTGGCGTCGACGATGCGAAGAAAGAAAAAGACGGCGAGGGCGCTGAGGTCGTGGACCCCGAGGCACAGGCAAAAGCTGACCTACAGTCTGCTGCGCGCTCACACTTCGTCACCCAAACCTATGCGACCATCATTCCGAGCTACGCGACATGGTTCGACATGCGCTATATTGACTACCGTGAGCGCAAGGCCCTGCCAGAGTTCTTTAATGGCCGCAATCGCAGCAAGACGCCGGCTATATACCGTGACTACCGCGACTTCATGATCAACACGTACCGCCTGAACCCCTCCGAGTACCTCACAGTCACGGCCTGTAGAAGGAATCTCGCGGGAGACGTTTGCGCAATCATGCGCGTGCACGCATTCTTAGAGCAGTGGGGTCTGATCAACTACCAGGTACATTGACTTGTGAGCATCTTGTAAATTGAATCGCGGCTAACCAACTATGCAGGTCGATCCTCAGGAACGCCCATCGAACATTGGCCCGCCATTTACCGGCCACTTCCGCGTTACTGTAGATACTCCTCGAGGACTGCAACCCTTCCAACCAGGTCCTGGATCAAAGGTCACAGACGGAAAGCAGCATGCGGGCACCGACCGCGCTGCGAGCCTGCAGCCAACCGCTAAGAGCGAGACGAAGTCATTAGCTGGACGAAACATCTACGAGGCGAACGGCAAGGAGGCATCGGCGGAACCCAAGGAAAAGGCCGCCAACGGTGAAGGTGCGGCGAATGGTGGCTCAGCGGACGTCAAGGACCTCGAAGCTGCTGCCAAGGACCCTCTCAAGGTCATCAACTGCTTCAGCTGTGGTGTCGAGTGCACGCGCGTACATTTCCACGAGACGAAGCCTTCTGAGCAACCTGGACAAACGAAGAGTGTAGGTGGATTGAAGCGCGATCTGTGTCCAAGATGTTTCGTCGAGGGCAACTTTCCCTCTGGCACATCGTCGGCAGATTTCACCAAGATCTCGAACCCAGAGTATTCAGCAGTGGCTGAAGCCGAAGAAAAATGGACAGAAGAGGAGACGTTGCTTCTCCTTGAAGGTCTCGAGGAGTTCGACGATGATTGGAACCGCGTTGCGGATCACGTTCAGACGAAGACACGCGAGCAGTGTGTGATGAAGTTCCTGCAGCTTGAGATTGAGGACAAGTACATCGAGGCGGACCTACCTGAGTCGCAATCTGCAGCTCCCTCGAAAAAGTTCCTCCGCGATCTCGAGTACCTCAGCGAAGGTCGCGTGCCCATTCATCACGCAGATAACCCCATCCTAAGTGTCGTCAGCTTCCTAGCCGGCCTCGCTCCCGCAAATGTCACCGAAGCCGCAGTCGCTTCAGGGCGTAGCGTTGGCGAAATGAAGCGCATACTCCAAGACAAAATCAACAAGGCTCCCACCGCACCCTCAGAAAAGGGCAAAGAAAAGGAGGGCGAAAAGTCTACACCTACCGCATCCGCTTCGGATGTCAAGCCAGAGGGAGAAGATGCCATGGAAGTGGATACCGCAGCGGACTCCACAGCCGTAGCTACCAGGGATTCGACTGCAACCTCATCAGGAGATAGCAACCCCCTAGTTACCTTGCCGTTTGCGCTCTCAGCAGCTCGTTCGGCCGCCCTCGCCTCACACGAAGAGAGACACATCACACGCCTCGTCTCGGGCTCCGTAAACCTTCAACTCCAAAAACTGCAGCTCAAACTCGCTCACTTCAACGATTTTGAGAAGCTTCTCTCTGCTGAGCGTCGGGATCTACAGCGTCGCCGTCAACAGCTATTCATGGACCGCCTCAACTTCCAGAGGAGAGTGCGCGCGATGGAAGATGCCACCAAGAAGATCAGCGCGAACCTTGGAGGACAGGGCTTACCAGGGAGCCTGAGCAATGAGGATGCAGTGCAAGCGCTTACAGAAGCGATGAGAATGTTTGGCGTTGGCAAGGGCGAGGAGAGCATTAGTGGTGTGCAGCAGCGCGACGACGAGGACGCAGCAGCTGTTCAGCCCATCGCCGAAGATGCAGAGGGCTACGCCAAGTTGGAGATCTAGGAGTCTTCTCTCATCGCGGACATCGCGTACGATTTGCAACCTCCCACGCGTGCGTCTGCGGAGACGGGATGCACGCTTTCCTAAGAAATGAATGGTGCCGGATTGAATTGGTGTTTTTGGTGGCGTCTTTTGTGTTCTTCTCTCTTCCATCACAGACTTGGCTTAGTTGCTCATCTGGATCTGACCTTGGCGCAGCCAGCAACTTTCTTGTTGCTAGATAATTATTAGGCTCACTTCTAGATTCCCATCTATGTGTGGATTTGATTGATTGTGCGACGAGAGACGAGGCTCCTGCTGTATAGTAGTTTCCTTCAATGAGACTGTATCATCATCATTTTGCATATCGTTTATTGCCTATCAAGTGACAACGAGCTCTCTATCGTTCTCTATCTCTCATCCAGAATGTAAGAAATCGTCGGTCGAGCTCGATAGGGACTTGTAGGGACTTGTTAGAACAACATTAAGGATTCCAAGTAGATGTCGTGTATGCGATCTTTTTGAAACATGTGTTATACAGTCCCTAAGTACAGTAGAAGAAGAAGAGACTTGACCGGCCCATACGCTCCTAAATGTTTTTTCCTCATGCTCCAGACATGCAAATCGAGCTGATATAGTACATTCACAACATGCTTTGGTGGCGCACCTTGTCCACGTCGTTATCTTTCTGTCGTCCTCCATATCGCGTCCTTCCTCTCCCCTATTTTCCCTCTAATTGCTTATTTCCTCTCCGAAGCCTTGGTGTTCGCCTCCCTCGTATCAAACGCTGCCTTCGGCACCGACTTCGCGCTCTCATTGACTGATACCTCACTCTTAGCCTCTGGCTTGTAATCATCGGGTACCAGATCTAGCTTCTTTCCAACTGAGGAGTGTTGCTCGCCGGATAGCTTCCCTTGGGTGGAGGTTGCTTGGTCATCTTTTTGTGATGGTGATGGTGATGGAGCAGGCGTCGGAGAGGAGTCTGAGGGAATGGCGAGATCGGCCGTCATGTCGTCTTCATCATCGGCGTCTGAATCGAGTTCTGAGCCGTAGACTTCGGGGTATTTACGGAAGCAGTTCTGCATGTCCCTGTTCTCCAGTTAGCACTGGCCTAAATCTCGCTTCAAAAGCCCCTAGTTTGTCTTCTGCGTTCTGTCGGGTAAACGTACTTGAACTTATCGATACATTCCATCCCCTTGGGCTCCTCCTGGGAATACACAAAGCAGCTGAATGCCGCCTTGAACTCATTGCCACAAGGTCCGTCCGCCATTCCTCCCAGACACGGGCAATCCCAATTGATCTCTCCTGTCTCCGGGTTAAAGGCGCCCTGCTGATCGGCCTCTTCCTCGAGTCCTCCCATGCCACCCTCTGCACCATCTTTTGGCGCCGCGTTTTGTTGTGCTCTAGCGTTTTCCTCTTGTTGTTTTTGTTTTTGGGCCTCGAGTTGCGCCTGTACTGCTCTCCGCTTCTGGCGCTCTTCGGAGATGGAGTCGATGGTGGGGAGAAGTTCGGATTCTGCGTCAGTTTCTGCAACTGGCTGTATGGGATCTAGAGATGGTGTTAGTCGCCCATGTTCTCGTTGCTGCATTCTGTCATCTTTCGGACGTACGTCTAGGCTCTCCTGCAAAGATCTCCGTAGTATTGTAGTAGTATATTACTGCGCCAGCAGCGCCTAACCGCGCAACTAGGCTTTTCCAGCTTCTCGACTTCTGTGTTGGTGGAGCTGTGCTGATGTACCGTCTCGCAGGCGCAAAGCATGGCGGACGAGTGGCGCCCAAGGCTGGGCGTGCAATTAGCCGTGGGACTGCTCGGAACATGATGCTGAACGATAAGGAAAGACTAAAAAGATGAGAGGGAGGGTCAAGGCGGGCGCTGACGGCGCAATTGTCGTGATGTCAAAAAGTTCGGACCGCGATCCTCGGACCTGCATTTCTAAGCGGGAAGAGCAGGGATTAGCGTCATCACGTGTCGCCAGCTCGCGGGCGATCGTAACTGCCATATCCGGCAAGCAGCTATCTCAAAGAGCCGGCCTGGAAAGTAAGTTTAGTATCTACGAAGTGTTTTTACACGCACGATAGAGCAGTGGAACATCTCGGCTCTCCTAAAAGCGCTTTAGGAAGTGTTATCTGAATGGGTATTGTTGCAACGTGAATCTCATATATACAGAAGCGGGCCCGTCCAAGGCAACACATCCCGAGTTTGAACCGACTAGAGAGGCCTATGCTTGCTGTAGTACTACCGCCAGAAAAGAAATGAGACGATTCGATCAATCATATCCAGCAATCCACCATCTATCGCAGATCAGTCGTGGAGAAGCCGAGAGAGGAGTAATGGAACGGATCGACATAAGCGTCCCGGGAGGGCGCTATCTACTTCGGCGGGTTGCGCTTGAAGAAGTACCTGTGTTTGTTAGTCTCGCAGTTTCCGCTGTCAGATCTTTAGCGTCTACTTACTGGCTGACGTAGTAATCTCCGACCGCGAAAAGCCCAACAACACCGGCCCAGGCCGCGACAACCTTGCCGGTCAACTCTCCGCGCACATACTTCCTGTATGCGCCAATTCCAAGGATGCCACCAACGAGTGCAAGGCCAACGGCGTTGCTTATTACGACCGGGTTATCAGCATTCCTCCTCGCCTTGTCCTTGGCCGACTGTGCCTTGGCGGCAGCCTTGTGCTTGAGGTCCTTCGCCGTCTCCTTGATCTCTTCTTCTCGCTCGATGCGCTCAGCTTGCGTATCGGTCTTAACAGATTGTGACTCGTAGTCGGAGGGCACCGACGAGATATGCGGGCTATCAACGTCGATCAGAGAATGCACGCTCTCGTCAGAGTGCTCTACCTCCACTTGGGCGGGCGCGCGACTGTGACTCCATGTTAGTATGTGTATGCTCTGCTAGGTTGTGTTGAAGCCTAAGATGCGAGAGCTTGGTGAAGCGGTGAGCCGAAAGATTGGCCCAGTTGTGGAGCGCGACCGCAAACACGTCGCTTTGACACCAAGAATTCCAAGAATTGAAAAAATTGACTTACGCCTGTTGCATGGTTAGCTTGAGCTGAACTCAACTCTGTCTTGAGATACTTACATCCTCGGGGCTCTGCTTCGGGCCCTTGGCAGCAATATCCGCGTACGACATGGTGACTATGTAGCTTCGTTATTGAGAAATTCGAGCTGGTGAGTTTCTCTGTTGAGATGCGCGAAGAAGTAAAGATGGCTGAGTAGCGCGCTTGATGCAGATCAGTGATGAACAAGAGGTAATCACGTAGACAAAGGGCAATCTTGTGATGTCGGGGACGCGCGAAGCAGGCTCCCTCACATGTTTGCTCGCTTAGCGTTTAGTGAGCTACGTCATGCATGCTGAGCCGGCCAGAGCATCCAACACCATGGAAAAGTGGATAGCTTCCATCACGATCATGCACGAATTCAATGCTGGAAATGGAATCCATTCACAGCTACTTCGCAGCTGATACTCAATCAAGTTATTAGTGGGTAGACCCTCAAGGGCATAATGACAGTTTATCGTCCATCATACGTCTGACAGTTCTGGAATGAACAACATCCAAAGCTAGATAGAAAGACGTATAGTACAAGAAAGTCAAGAATTGCCAGGAGCCGCCTTCTCATTAAAACCAGAACGCCCGCTAAAGAGGCAAACATGTCGAAGATCACAAATTCGAACCCACAAGGTTGAAGAACGCGTCTAGTGTACTTCAAGACTGCACATCCGAATCAGCCCGCTTCCTCCCCGGCCTCTCTAATCTCCATGACCTGCTATCAACAACGTAGGCTAGGTCCGGATTGTACAAGTGTCAAACGAGTCGCCAGGGCCGGAGTACCCTCTTTGCGATAAAGTGAGGGACATGACCGCACATGGAAGACAAACGTCTCGTTTCTGGCCATTGGATAACCTGGTTCTGCAGATGTAATGAAATGAGTAGAGTGCCCATGGCAGCATCTTGCTCATTTTAATCTTCACCGAAAACTGTTTTGTAGTTCTCCAAAAGAGCTTGGACAGCAACACGCTGCTGCTGAACGTCGGTGAGTTCGCGTTGAATGTCCATGGGTCGCATGATAGTCGGTGCGAAGACGACGGCAAGGTTGAGTGGAGTCATCTAGGAACTTGTTAATCGCTATGTGTTTCCGGTACCTGAAGTTGCTTACCAAGTTTTCGCTGGCGTGCTGTATTACCCTCGATAGATGGAACACCAAGAATTGGAGGGTGTCGCGGTGAGCCTTGGGAATCTCGTTTATGGCGGCAAGTAACGCCTTAGACAACGCTTCGGTATCTTCGATTTCTATCAAAATCATTAGCAATTGTAACGTCTTCGGGAGGGGTGTGCACGTACGGCCTGCTTCCAAGAACTGGTCGTACACGGCGAAGGTGATCAACGGTACAGGCAGTCTGTGGAAGTAATTCTTCAGTGCCGACGTTACTGCGTGGATATCCAGATCAGGATCCGAAATGTCATGATCATTATCAGCCTCAAAGCCGCCGCGCACTTGGTTGACTTGTGAAGTGCCGCCACTCTTGCGGTAAATGCCCTCAACGTCCATACCTCGCAACTCAACCTCCTCGATGCACCGGCTGACAATCCTGGGGATCATCTGCTTCTCAAACTCGCACCGAGCTGTAAGGTCCGAACCAAAGAGAACCGTACTAGCATCCGCGACTAGGTTGGTGCTGCTGTCGTTGTGTTGCATCGGCTTGAAGCGGCCCGGCTGTTGTTGTTGTTGCCGTCCACCCGGTCCACCTTTCGCAGTGAACCAGCCTTTTGGCGTCCCCACCTCCTGTTCCCTACTCTTGAGGGAGCTCGACATCGACGCAATGTCTGGCTGTGTGTGCACAGAGCCGTATGGTGTTCCAATGACTCTGATGTTGTAATCCTCTTGTCTTGCCTCCGATCCGAAAGCTCCTTTGAAGCCTTTGGTGACGTTCTTTGTGATGGCTTGGCCACCCTTCTTCCAGGTCGAGAACTTAGTGGGCTTTCCAGTCTTACGTATGTTGACGACCTGTGGCTGCGCGAGCGTCGCTTCACTATCGGCATCGTGAAGATTGGCAAAAGAATGCTCGTGAGGTATTCCGGGCCCATCAACGGAGATATCTGATTTGCCGCCCTTGTGTTGTGCGTTATAGATCCCCAGCCCGTTTGCTGAAGCGTCGAAATTCGGTGCACCCTTCTTGTTATTTTGAAACGTCTTTTGTATACTGTCCACAAGCTCACGATTCGTAGAGGACAGCCTCGCGTTGGCTGCTGTGAGTGACTCATATTCTTGGAAGCCTTTGTCTTTCATCTGGATCAAGTTCGAAATCTCATCGGTGAGCTCGGCCCTTTTCGAGATCAGATCCTCTATTTGACCCCCCAACTGGTCTTTAAGCTTGTGCAAAGAACTGGCAAAGTCTCGAAGGATGTCTGACTTCAGCTGGTTTATGTCCATTGCGCCATTACTGTCTTTAGCACGCTTGAGATGTTCCGTCATGATCTCCAATTCGCGTATGACCATCTCACGCTGTGTGTCCAAGACAGCCATGGTGTTGCGCTTCTCTCTCAAGACAGTGTTCGCTTGTCTAATATCGGCAGCACTGTGCATGGACTCTTGAAGTCCGTTTTTCTCGGCCTCGAGCTCCGCAATTCGTTGTTGCGCACGGCGTAGCTCATTTCGTAGATTGACGCTCTCCTCTCTCGTATCAGGTGAAGCGACTGTAGGACTGCTAATTTCGATTGAGCCGTTGGTTGGCCACTTCTTGTGACCGTGGCCGCGCGAGGTGACCGAGCCACGATCACTAAAACTACGCCCGTGCTTAGAGACGGCGTTGGACACTCTTCTAAATACTCCAGCCTCTCTTTCCTCTCTTTCTTGATTGCCGAGCAGCCGCGCAAAGTCTTCATCCATGGAGAAGTCGCCCTGGTGGCTATACCGCGGAAGGCCACCTGGGGGATAAGCATCACTTTGGACACTGCTTGTAGATTCGCTGGCCTTGTGTAGCTGGGGTGCTGGTGGCTGTGGAGGAGCTCGAGGAGACGTGAACGTATCAGCGGAAGGCGGAGGAGGTCTCCCAGCAGAACGTGCAGGAATTGGAACATCCGAGAAGCTCTTAGAAGGCGGCGAATCTACGGGGTTGATGATACCCAATCCTGCATTAAGCTGTGTGGCCGCCACGGTTGTGGAAGACGTCCGCTCTGGATGGCTGACGGTTGGCGTAGTGGGCGACGGTATGGGCTTCTCGGTTCTTGAGTGGGAACCCGAGTGCTTCAGTGCTGAGGCATTGAGCGAATCCCCGCGAGCGGGTAGCTCTACTCGCTGGTTGGAGCTGAATGAAGATCCCGACGTCTCAGGCGAGTCTTGTACTCCAGTAGGCGGAGAAGAAGTAAAGGTGGGCTCCACAAGAGGGCGGCTCAGCCGGGCTGACATGTCCACCGTTGGAGAGCTATGCTGTTGTGGAGGTGTCATTGCGTCCGAATCCTTGCGCTTCGCCTCCGCCTTCTTGTTCTTCGGTACATCTTGCAGCTTGAAAGGCTCCGTTGCAGAGGAGGGGGCTGGGGAGGCACGCTGACTCCGCGACCGCTGCTCCGGGGCAGGAGAATCGTTGGTACCATCTTTTCTTTTCCTCAGCGTATCGACAAGCGTCTCCGACGGCTGTCTGCCCTTCTCCTGGTAGGCAATATGGGGATCGTGTGGTGGCCGCCGTTCTTTCGAAGCCGAGCGAGAGCGGTTCTCCTTCAGCTTCTCTCTATGGTCTGTCGAAGGCCTGTTGAAGTAGTCACGCCCGCTCTTGCCCTCGCCTCCCGCTGCCTGGTTGGCTCCCATTGTTCGGTCGTTGTATCTGCTAATCGGCCTACCTAGCGGGGAAGGGCCGGGGGCAGGGTTGGGATCAAGAGCGAAAGAGAGCAAGACACTGTCGTCGCCGGCGTCGGAGGACTCTACGTGGTTGTTGTCCTTATTATATGTTGTGGCTGGGAGCGTAGTGTTGTCTGTGGTAATGTTGTTTAGCAATGATTCGAGTAACATGATCGAGTGCATTGATACGCACCTCTTCGTGGCCGTTCTCCCACGGGAGAGGGATCGGGCCTGAAGTTGGAAGACGAGTCGCCCCTTCTTGAATGTGGTGGTCTAGGAGACACGTCGGTCGTAGCGGGTTCTGAGAAGATATCCGAAGGGGTGTCAACGTCAGGAGTGAAGGTAGCTTGCGGCTGGTCAGCTTGAGGAGGCAAGGCGGGCAACGACTTGTCCACTTTTGGCGCGACTGCTGCTGGGGGTTTCTTGGATTTCTTCCGCCGTCGAGCCATGAGCGACTCGTGGCAAGACATGCAAAAGATACCCTGCGATGTACGAGCATAACGCAGGTTCTCGATCTTGCGCTTGCAGTTTCGACATCTGAAACAATTGGCACAGAAGGCCTGGTCACCCGTCAAGATGGCCAGGTCCTCTATCTTGTTGCCGCAGTGGTTGCAGCTGTATGTGCAGTTGTTGCATATGAGGGAGCCATCGCCGAGGAGCAGCAGGTTCGCATCCGAGTCGAGGAGGGTGCCGCAAGTGTTGCAACGGAAGCAGTCAATGTGCCATCGGTTTCCCGCTGTCCAATGTCAGTGTACTACTCAACGGGTGATGTGTCGTGTCCGCAAGGCGCGAGGGACTTGATGTCTCAATGAGAAATGCATACCGAGCTCGAAGGCCTTTCCTTCCTCAAGAATCTGAACTCGAATTAGCAAAGCTGATGGTAGTGATAGGGCGTGTTCCTACCTCTCCACATCCCTTGCACGGATACACGACGTCGTCCTGGTCCAGCGGCGACTCTGGGTAGGCTCCAGGTGATTCCATGTTGCTTCCAGGGCTGTGTAGGGGTGCAGCGCAACAACGAGGGCCCAGGGCGGGAGAACTGGCGGGGTGGCTGTCGACAGCGAGCCGCAGGGCAGACTGAAGAGATGGCTCTGGTTCGAGCGCAGTGGTAAAATGGCCGTTCGGTTCCAATGTCTGAGCGGACCCAGCGCGAGCCAAAGTAAAACTAATCTGCTGTGCAACTTGAGACTCGGCTCGACGTCATTAGCAGAGGAGCAACAAGCGCAGCAGACGGCGACAGTGGGAGACGTGGCGAGGAGTCGTCGCCGTAGACGGAGAGGATAGTGGTCGACAGCTGCTTCACGGCCATCCCCTCTTGGTGGTGGTGTTGGAGACCAAGAGGAGGATGGCAGGGGTCGATTGGGGGGGTCCAGTTTTCTCTCTGCGCCAGGGTCTGTTCACTCGATTGCGGCACACACCCTTCCTCTCCACCCCCTGCTCAACCTGGACACGACTTATTAGCAGGTGGCGTTCTCGAGTGCTGATCCTGCGCGCTGAGAGCCTTGCGGACGGGCTCTTCCGGGGTCACTATCATTCCAGATCACGACATCAACGGGGGCTGGGGGGGCTGCTGTCTTCGAAAAAAGCAACACACGGCCTAGGAGCTCCAGACACAGGCCCTCTCACAGCACGCAAAACAGACGTCGTCAGCTGCAGGGCCAGCCTACGTTTCGGGCTCTGGCCTGCGCATCCAACGACTACTCCACGCCAGTGTGTGCATGGGTGAAGGGGCTGCCAAGAAGCCCTCCACATCTTGAAGATCGCGGACGGGTGTCGATGCATCAATGCCCCTATGCCCCTACATGCGCTTGACTATAACCAAACCTCAAGGTCTTATTATCGAGAGGACGCCCCCGTATCGTCCAACTCAGCTGGCGTGTCTTCAGCGATATGGATGATACCATGTAGCACAGCTCACTACACGGAATAGATTGCTCGTTCTGACCACCCTCAGGAAAGCGCGGCAAACCTCTATTGCTCTGTAAGAGTGCTCAGCACCGACCAAATGAGGATAAATCTCTAAATAGACGAGAGGAATTGCGAATCACGACCGCCGCCTCCATCAGCACCATGTCCGTCATCTGGCCTGCACAGTTTAGGCTTGACATTATGCAGGTACGCGACCGAAATGCTGACCAGCTGTCACTTGACCCTCACCGTGGATTGCTTCGGCCACCCAGCACAGCCCACCGTTAAATAGCACGTTTCAAACTCAAGATTGCTCGACAGCATACACGTGTCCATACGCCTGCCATCGTGGGAGATTGAAGGAGGAGCAATATGCTCACCGCAAAGCTTAGGACCACAAACACCATCTCGTAGCACGACTTGACCACAATGACACAAAGGAAGCTTATAGCGTCGGTTCCTGGTCTAAGCAACGTGCTCCCCGTCAATGCACCATTTACCTGTCACTGTAGTCACTGACAGCTGCAATATACGTGCATTTCCTGTGCATCTCCTGTGCAACCGCAGGCCTCGTGCACCCATCTGATTACAAAGTCCAATTTCACCAGGCCTCGATTCTGAAACGAGCGGGAATAGCAAGGAACTAGGATAGGTTTCATCCAGCCGAACGGTGCCGGAGAAATCCGCGCTACCAGGATCTGTCCGCTTGAGCAACAAACATTATCCATACGCCAACGTCGACATGTCGAGCACAAAGCACACAGCAGGACGAGCGACCCCTCACTCATATTCCAGCGACGAATAACCACACCTCACAGCCAGTAGTTACCACAAGTCTGCCTCGGCGGTAGCCTATCAAGTTGCGAGTCTTTGCCAACGCCGTACCGACTATCGAAGCTCCAATTATATGAACTTCGCTCTCGCGTTCGATACGCGGCAGTTCCTCAACCCGCCCCACCACCTTTGTTGTACTACCTGCCGTTTGCTTTGCGGTTGGTTTCAAGATGTGCCACAATGTTTGATCCGCGCGTCAGATCGTTTTGACACCCGCGCCATCCTCCCCTGTTCATGTCTTGCCTCAATTGGCTAGTAGATAGTGCGGAGATGGCATTCGGCAGACAACTCGATTACCGAAACATGGCTTCCCGCCGAAACAAGTACAGGTTTTGTTTTCGGACCCCAAGCTACGCCCCGACTAGACCAGACATGTAAGAGAGGCGTCGAATCGTCTAATTAGTGTGCATCGTATGTGGATATCATCCGCATCAGAGATACCAGTACCATGCATGGCATCTGCGTGTCAGATTCTGCAGCTATTGTGCGTGTGATTATTCTTCCCCACGACGCTCATCAAGCTCATGGAATGGGTAGCCAATGCATTATACAAGGTATGTATGCCGACTATATTACCTGAAACAAATTCATCACTACATCTTAAGTTTCTGCTCAGCTATTGCCTTTGTAACTCATCGTTGAGGCCCCGCAGCGAGCGTAAACATAGTCTAGTCTCTTACCAATAATGACTACTAGGTTGAGTGTCCTAAGCATTTCTTACAAATTGTATAGTCTGATGGTGGTCGTTGGTTTTTCGAGCAGCTTGGCACTCCGTGACAAGTCAGTAAAGCTTTCAGCTGCTGGGTAATGCGTAGTAGAGTGGTGTTTGAGGGTGGCGAATACTAGGAATGTCCAGAGCATTATGAAGCCTGGAATCATAGCTTACAGGCCAACGAGTACTCCACATGGTATATCATCTGTCCACTACTAGATCAACAGGAACAACACGTTGCCAACCTCTCTCGCTTTCACCGATCCCATATTGAACTTTATCTGGACTGCGTCTGGTACTTGCTAGAGCTCTACATATCAGTTTCCCAAATCAAAATCATCGGAGCTTTGCTAACGGATGCATCGGCGTTGAATATAGTGGGTCTTGATCAGCTCAACGCAGGGTCAACCATAGCTACCCCGCCCCAACGGTTAATCATGATTACGTGCGGACTGAGGGGTATTTAACCATCGTTGAAACCCCTCCAGCTCTTCCTTCTTCTACCATACTCCAAGTGTTCGACAAGCCCAATTTGATTATAGTATCCGTACTCATCCATCTAGTCCAAATCACGATGAGAACTTGCTAACCCTTTTCCAGATCCTCCAACTTATTCAAGTATGGCTACCACGATGCAAGACATGTTCTGCACGCGGGAATTATCCTCAAGCTATCAAGGTACTTTTAACGCTAAGTATACTGCATGAACCGGTGTTCGTTTCGAGTAGTCCTTCTTTCCATCACGCTATCTGTTGCTCTTTAGCAAGCGAATAGCGGGGTGGACGGAGGACTACTGGATTCGTTCTGAGATTATACGGTTTCAACTTGACCTGGATAATACCAGCGGAAGGATCATGCCATTCTTGCTCCCTCTGTGAGGACAAACTTAACAGATGATAGGTTTCGACCCTCTGTAAAAGGCTCCAAAGATGTCTCCTCCCGCCGCTACCTTCGATATCCCCGTTGATGTCCACCGCAATGGCACTGACAACGGCGTGAACGTCAAGAAAGACCTCGCTGTCAAGCCTTCAGCCAATGGCGTGGCGAAGACGCTCGCGGAGATTGAGAACAACTGGGAGACGTTCACGTTCGCTCCTATCCGCGAGTCGCAGGTCTCTCGTGCTATGACCCGCCGCTACTTCACCGACCTTGACACCTACGCTGAATCCGACATCGTCATTATCGGCGCTGGGTCCTGTGGCCTCAGCGCCGCCTACACGCTCGCATCCAAGCGTCCCGACCTCAAGATCGCTATCATTGAAGCGGGCGTCGCCCCTGGCGGAGGCGCCTGGCTCGGTGGCCAGCTGTTCTCCGCCATGATAATGAGGAAACCTGCTCAGCTCTTCCTGAACGAGCTTGGCGTGCCGTATGAGGATGAGGGCGACTTTGTGGTTGTCAAGCACGCCGCCCTCTTCACGAGTACGCTGTTGAGCAAGGTACTGCAGTTCCCAAACGTGAAGCTGTTCAATGCTACGGCGGTTGAAGATCTTATCACGAGGCCGGCTCCTACGTCACAGGATCCGAACGCGGTCCGTATTGCGGGTGTCGTTACGAACTGGACTTTGGTCTCCATGCATCATGATGGTATATCGCCTCACTGCTTTTTGGCTTCTTCGTCGCCTTACTAACAACCTTCACCAGACCAGTCCTGCATGGACCCCAATACCATCAACGCGCCGCTCATCATCTCGACTACCGGCCATGATGGTCCCTTTGGCGCCTTCAGTGGTACGTTAGGTTCATGTACAAGCTACATGTGAAAACACTCGCTGATTGCATACTCAATCTTTAGTTAAGCGCCTCGTCTCAATGCAGCAGCTCTCCAAGCTCGGCGGCATGCGCGGTCTCGATATGCGCACTGCCGAAGACGCCATCGTCAAGCGAACTCGCGAGATTGTGCCGGGCTTGATTGTGGGCGGCATGGAGCTTAGTGAGGTTGATGGTGCCAATAGGATGGGCCCTACATTTGGGGCCATGGTCTTGAGTGGCGTCAAGGCTGCTGAGGAGGCTGTGGGTGTGTGGGAGGAGAGGAAGGCTCAGAACGACCAGTAAAGTAGTCTGAGGCTTTTTGTCTGCAAGGTCGATGGATCGAAGAAGTTGAAGGATGAGAAATGCTGTCATTACTGGACCTCTGAATAAATATACAAGTCACTCTTTATCTTCTTGACCTGATGCAGCACGAGAATAGGAGCCTCTCCTGGGCACCATGTTAGGCATTGTTCAGTGTTCAAGTTCTGTCTCGACGATGCAGGCTTTGTCTCTGAAGATGATGCCCCCAGAGACAGACTGCAGTACGCAGTTGCTCTGTGCTTGACGGTTCTGAAGCATGGACCGGGTGTTGTAAAGGTGAACGGCGGGAATAGTGTTTCAGGAGGGGGCACGGTCGCTATGCAACGATTGGTTAGCGCGCCCCGACCCCTGCCGATTGTCAACAAGACCTCCGCCCAAACATATACAATCCCTCCCCTTGTGCCCCGCGTCTACCATATGCCCTTGGTCAATTAGCATCCGCTCAACATCATGGAGGAACAAACGGCGACGCTCCTCACAGCGCTGAAAAAGCCGTCGACCGACGTGAACAAGCGCCTTGAATTGTTCAGCAACCTCAAATCCGGCATAAAGCACAACCGCGTACCCGAGAGTTGCCAGGCTTCCATATTCGAGTGCATTCGCATCGCCATCACCGCCTCCACCTCTGCAGCACTCGTCTCCGCAGGCTTCTCCACGCTGAGCCACTTCATAAAGCGGCTACAACTCCAGAAAGAGACGCAGGCCCTCACCTCACAGGCATCGCCACTATGCGCCATACTGCAGGACAAGCTGGGCGACGCGCGCGAGAGTCACCGGAGCGCTGCGTCACAAATACTGGCTGACCTACACTACTTATGTCCGACCGAGGTTGACACGCTGATACACGAAGCCATCAAGGGCAACAATGCTCGCGCCAAAGAGACGTCCATGACGTGGGTCGTGAAGGTTCGTCCTCTTGTGACGCGTTGGAGAGAGAGAGCACCATCTAACAGGGGTGCAACCGCAGATGAACAAGACCGAAGGTCTTCCTTTCAAGGGCTATTCCAACCAGCTTGTGACCAACCTTGAAGACGCAGACCCTGGCGTGCGCGATACTGCCAAAAAGGCCGTCGTTGAGCTTTTCGGGTACGCCTCTATTCAACAGAACTGAGCCGCGGTCACCACTAACAAATGGAACAGGCATGCACCAGAACACGCAAAGGTCAACCTTAAGAAGCAACTTACCAGCCTAAACGTCCGAAAAGCGACCGTTACCTACATTACCACAAATCTCGACGGCGCTGCGACATCAAACGACGCCGAGATGCCACCGCCATCGGTGCCGCAGTCACAGCCGCTACCACGTGCAGAGCGACCTCTACCAGCGCGTAGAGCAGAGACTCTGCAGCCTGATGTTGGCTTTGCAGACAGTTTGGCGGCAGAACAGCCTCCACCTACCGAGACGGTCACCATGGACCCCATACACATCTACACGCAGCGCGAACTAGACGACGTTTTCAGAGACATGGCGCCCCACTTCGAAGGCAGAGAGTCAGAGCAGAATTGGCTGGCACGAGACAAGAACTGCACCAAAATACGGCGCATATTGAAGGGGAATACGCCCACGGAATTCCATGGTGCTTTCATAGCGGGCATCAAGTCCGTTTTGGATGGTATTCTAAAAGTTGCCAATACGCTTCGGACTACCATGTCTACCAATGGCTGTCAGCTTGTTCAGGAACTCGCGAAGACTTTGGGCCACGCTATAGATCCCTGGGTCGAGATCCTGCTCCAGTCTTTCATCAAGATGTGCGCTGCTACAAAGAACATTGCTGCGCAAAACGGAAACATCACTGTGGACGCCATCCTCCAGAATTGTTCGTATAGCAGCCGCTTGTTACAGCACGTCTCCATGGCATCACAGGACAAGAATGTACAACCCCGATCACACTCGGCGAGTTGGGTCAAAACCCTGATAAAAAAGCACACGTCGCATATTGAGCATTCGGGGGGCCTAGACACGCTGGACAAGCTAATAAGAAGAGGCGTCACGGATGCTAATCCGAAAGTGCGCGAGGCATATCGAAGCACATACTGGACATTCGCGCTAGTATGGCCACAAAGAGCCGAAATGTGCGTGTCCCGTTTCAGAGATTGTGGAAAGTACTGACACTGATTATAGGATGTTTGATACTCTCGAGAAGCGAGAGAAGTCTGCGCTCGAAAAGGATCCTAACAACCCAAATGCTTCACTCGCTTCGTCTCAAACTAGCACAGCCTCGTTCTCGAAATCCGTGGGCGCTGGAGCTGCGCGCAATGCGTTGAAAGAGAAAATCGCTGAGCAACGCAGAGCAAAGTTGGCGGCTACTAAAGGTGTCCCCGAGCGTCCCAACTCCGCTGCTGCAAGTTACTCACCAGCAAAATCGCTATCAGCGAAGTCATTAGGTCCGAGACTTGCCTCCAATACGTCTTCTGGTCTAGCACGGCCGCCCTCAGCCATGTCAGGGGAATCGACCAAGTCAGCCTTGAAGAACTCTACGGGCACTGGCTCATTAATGTCGGGAACTGTACGTCGGCCAGTTCGTCGCCCCGAGTTGAACAGGCCGGCAACGGCAGATCCCTATGCTAGCCGACGTGCGGGCAAGGTCACTCCATCGATGACTCCGGAGAAGACACCGGCCACAACAACAGCAAAGAAGTCGGTTGCACCAAAGAGCACCGCCCGACCCCGCGCACAAACTCAGAACAGCCCAACTGTGAGCCCAGTTCGGAGCAAGTCTCGTATTGGTCAACCCATAGCGAAGGCTGCTGGCACGAGCTCTCGACAAGGAAGCCCGACTGTGAGCACAGCAAAGGACGAGGGCCAGCCGACGGTGAAACCTTGGGTCCGATCGCAAAGTCATCATGATCCAGGTACCATCCCGTTCCTACAGCGAAATGGTCTGGATACAAGTGCGCTTCTTGACAATGATACGATTGATCTAGGAGACGAGGATAATTTTACGATGGTGATCCCGAACCTTGCACGCCCTACAGTGCAACCAACACAACACACCCCTCCAAAGCACACGCCATCTACTGGACGTTTAGCAGCACCCAGTCCTGGAACTTCGGCGCTCAGAAGTCCCAAACCCGTGGGTGATATCAGTAATTTACGCTCGTCAACGCGGAGTCCCCGATTGAGGTCACCAGATCGACCAAGCACACGAGGCACAGATGCTCAGGAAGAGGTGCAAATTTTTGAAGATCCATTTGTTGCCGATGAGCCAACTGCCGTAGAGTCGGAGATGGAGAAGCTCGTACTTGAAGAGCTTCCTCTTAACGAGAAGAGCAACGAGCGACGCCACAGCAATGATAGCATTTCCAGTGTTATGATAATGGGCAACTCAAGCGAAGAGCGCCCTCGTGGCCATCACAAGACGACGAGTACCGGAAGCGTGATGCACACCGAAAGCTACGAATCCAACAACGCTGAGGTACTTAAGAATCGTCAGTTGCTTGCGAGTGGCATCAAGAAGATTGAAGGCCGAACAGTGGAAGCACATATGTTCCGCCGCATGCAAGATATGGTCAAGTCAAACCAGGAAATCTGGGGTCCAAACGACGAGAATTTTGGCAGGCTACTCCTAGTATGTCTCGAATTCCTCGAGGCACCTATTCAGGAACTTAAGATGTCGCCGATGAAAGCAGTAAACCTCAAGGTCCAGGCTTTAGCAACTATTCGGGCGATGCTATCCCTCTATCGTAGAGAGACAGCGAAATACTTCTCCCGCGTTCTCTGCACGATCCTGCAAACGAAGGCGCAATATGAGAATACATCGCATATCGCGATCGATCTTGAAGCCACTGCCGATGAAATCGTCAAGTACGGTCAGACATCGGACTGTCTCAGCGCCGTCCTATCCCTGATCGAAGATACGCCAACCTCCACGCCAACCTCATCACCAAACCCAAAGCCCTCTGTCTCTCCTCTCCCCTACCAGGGATCAACCCGCACAACAACAATGGCCCTCATCACCCTCGCCTCCCTCATTCAAATTAGCAGCGCAAAGAACGTTACTCTGACGCCTGAACAAACCGCACGCCTCGGAAAGCTGGCGGTGCGCTGCATGGATGACCAGGACGCGGACGTGCGCAAAGCAGACATTGAATTTTGCATCGCACTACACGAGCGCATAGCTGGACCTGGCGGCGAGAAAGAAGATGGAGGGTTTTGGAAGGCTGTTGCAGGGGCAAGGGAACAGCATCTGAATCTGCTGACGTACTATCTTGCGAAAAAGGGGAAGGCTTAGAAGGCTGACCTTCCATTTCGAGAGAGGAGGGGGTTGTTGGGAGATCAGACGTGCTCTGAGGAAACAGGTTGAGCTTTGCTGGACCATCGATCTCTTCGTCTCCTCTTTCGTCGCACGTCTGGCGTTCTCACCACTTGCGGGATCTCTTATGGCGTTCTTTGGTTTTCGGGCGAGCTGGGGTCGAACCTTTCAAGGCGTTGTGAGAAAAGATAGTATCATACTGGTAGTCATTTTCTTTCGTCACTTCGGTCTTCTTGCCTCCTCGTTACACATAGTTTTTGTACAGAGGCATTCTCTTCGTCTTGGTTTGCGGTATGTCTTATAGTCCTTTTTTAATCCAATAATTCAACATTTTATCTTAACCATAGTCTTCTTGCGCTGTGGTCTAACATTTGAATGCTTCCGAGGTTCAAATGACTCTGAGGAGAGACTACTTCGTGCTCTATGCGAACATGTTGAAGCTCAGCGATCTCCCATTTCGCACTGGCATCCATGTATTTCTGAGACAATGGTTCGGTAGAAGTAGGCGAGCTGGTGAACACTAGCAAAATTCTGGTCTGAAGTGAAGTCTTCATCCATCCCTTCAACATCATCAACCTGCTCCTCCATCTCGGCAAGCGGGAACGTTTTTGACTTGAGCAAATATTCGCCAGACAAGCATGATTGCACAGCGTTGGCGAAGCGATCACCCATCCAAATTGCAAGATCTTGATCTACGTAGCCTTGGATTCGCTCACGAAAGCCTTCAGCAGTCAAGTTCGCTTTGACATAGGATTCCAAGGGCATCCACATTCCGATTTCGAACAAAACGAGGCCCAGACTATAAACATCATGCATGCGCGAGGAAGACGGCTTTGGAGCGTCTGAGGATAATTTAGCCGCCCGGATATCTGGATGGCGATAGAGGTCAAACTTTGACGGCCGCATGGAGAGCGACTCCTCGTTAGGACGGTCAGGTCGCGCAAAGTCGAAGCCTGAGATGAAGGGTTTGTCGTATCGGACACCTTCCCCGGGATTGTACAAGAGGAGTACATTGTGGCTGCCGAATCCTTTGTGTATCCACTCGACGGTGTGGAGCTCAAGCAACCCGACTGTCAAGGCGGCCGCAAGCCGGAAACGATCTCCAAGCGAGGGACGACGTATCACTGTCGATGTGTGGCTTCCGTTCAACAACTCGTTGAGCGTAACGATCTGGCTTGAAGCGCTGGAGGTGTCTACGAGTCTGTAGAGCAAGGCTCTGTCGGTCTTTGTGGGGTGCTGGACCCATCCGATGCAGTTCATGACCGGGAGGTTTGCTGGCTTCTCAGCAATGGAAAACTTCTCTGCGAATTTCTCCACGCGTTCATCCGCTAGTAACACCTGTTTCGGACTCCACTTGATATCGTAGTAATACCATTCAACGAGCACCCTTTCTGGTAGTACTCTCGTAGAGGGACTTTCAGCACTGCCTACTTGTTCAGTGGGTACATCGTTGGAAAAGTATGAGGTGATAAAACGGCGGCTCTTCGCGGCTTTGGAATCGATGCTCAACTGGTCATAACTCTTCTTCAGGCTTGGACCTCCTACTATCATGCCGATGTTTTTCTTAAGGGTAGCGCTTCGGTACATCGACTCGTATCTGCTCAGCGCGGCTGCGCCTTGAACGCTTTCCAACTGTGCGGTCGATCTAGCCGCGCCAACTATTCGGAATGCCAGTACCAATTCCTGGAGGTCTTGTCTTCCCGGTGGCGCTAGCGCGTAGAGACTGTCATTCCAGTATTTAAATCGTTGTATGAGACTCTTCAGTATCTCTTTATCGGCCTCATTCCATGTTGTAATTCCGTACTTGACTCTGCGGGCGAGTGATGTCTGTGATTGTAAAGAGTCTTTGAGCTGTTCGAATCTCTGACTAGCACCGTGCATTTTCCCCTGCAAGCCGCCAGCGCCAATCGCAGTTGTTGAGATTCCATCAGTGATAGAGTGACCGGGCTGCTCCCTTGACTCGAACGCTCGATTATACTTGGTCAGCAGCTGATTGACAGACTGCAGAACGTCGATGACCTGGTTGACGGCGTCACAAAGTGCCTCGCAAGATGTAGAGACGGGTGAAATTGGTTGCTTAGCACCGAAACCCCCAATTGCCTCGGGGGGTTGTGAGCTTTTCGCCGTGTTAGATGCCTGGAATATCGCCGTGATGTTCTTGTTGTCGTGACCCCACTCTTGATAGCGGAACGCTTCAAACCGCAACATCATCACAGATTTTGCTGCATCGGATCCGAAATTCTTCGCATCTGCAATGGCATGATACGCGGCTAGCGATTTCTCAATAAGAGATATGCCGTTGTTAATGAAGCCGACTGCAGACATGACGGGCGAAGAAAGTGGCAAGGCTGGGATCCGAGCTGGTGGGAATTCAGGTATGTCTCATCAAAAGAACACGTTCATCGACTCATCTTTGGCATGGAGAGAATAGGAGAGAGCATTTCGCAGCGCTGGAAGAGGTCAGAAGATCAGAAGAACAACTCACGAGTGACTAGAGTGTGGTGTTCACTGAAAAAACATGCGATATCCGAAAGGAAATCTCAATCAGGCTGACACATTGACCGGTCAAGGGAAGGCACGCTTACGTGTAGGAGTATCCGTGGTTGTCCGTTTCTCAGCCTTGATCGCGGCTCATCTCAACAAAAATCTCATTCGTCAGTTTCTCCTCACATCGCACAACCTTGTCTTATATGTCAGCTTCTCAGCTTGGCACCTCGCAGCCATCTCGCATTCACATCCTAGACAACGAGAACCTCCAGAAGTCTGCTAAAGATGCCAGAGCTTACTCCCATACGGAGGCGCTACAAGACTACGCAAACTGTCCCATCGGCCTCAGTGGAAGGTCCGGCAGAATTCATCAAGCTCGCGTTGGACCAACTTGACGTCCCATATATCTATTTCAAGCGGACCCTTAGACAAGAGGCAGCCACTGGGGCGTCATTCCAAGTCCGCTATTTCGATATAAATCCCGAGAACTTCAAAATGGATACCAAGCACAAGATAGAAACTCGCCTGAAGTTAAAACAGGGGCAATGGCTTGTTGCCAAACACATTGCGCCGCCAACACCCGAACTTCGAGAGGTGCTAGGTACAAGCGATGTGAACGGCGATGGTGTAAGGCTAGGCTCAATGGTCAAAGAAATGAGAATTCTCGCTCATGAACCTCTACGATCTCATCGCAACATCGTCCAGCTCTTGGGGTTTAGCTGGGAGAAGCAAAGAGACGAGCTGGACAGGAGATGGCCGATTCTCATCATGGAGACGGCTGATTGTGGATCACTGAAGGATTTTCTAGAGCTGGCGGACATATCAATCCAAACCCCTACTCTTCGAATATCCCTTGCCTCAGATATCGCTTCTGGCTTGGAGGCTCTACATAGGTGCAGAGTTGTTCACGGAGATATCAAACCGGAGAACGTTCTGATCTACCAGCTATCCCACGATACCTTCCAGGCAAAGATATCTGACTTTGGCTCTGCTTCTCTCATCGAGGATCTCAAATCGGAGATTGCCAACACGTCGCCATACGTTTCGTTGGAAGGATTCACGCCGCCATGGGACGCGCCCGAGGCTTTTGGAGAGATAGTGCTAGAAGATCTTTGTAAAGTTGATGTGTATGCTTTTGGCCTATTGGCATGTCATTTGGCTGCTTTCGGAACAGATGTTTTTTCCGACTTCCGAAAACAATCTAATGGAGACATAGACACGGAGTATACCTTCGACCAAATCGCAGCTCTGAAGAAGGATTCTACACTAATGATTGGTCATGCAAAGAAGCATATTCTCTCAAACTTTGGAGCGACAGGAAATGAGAGATCTCGATTCTTGCAGATCATGGAATGGACACTCGAAGAGTTGCCTAGCAATCGTAAAGACATGGCGCAGATCAGAGGGGTTTTATGTACTACTGATATCGAAGAACAACCTCGGTGAGTTCAGACTACATGCTAAAATCGCGATTTGAGGGCTCATGCTTTCTGTTAGTCTTGAAGAGCATGTACCATCACTTCCCGCAAACGATCCATCATCAGACGAGCACCCACAGGTCAGTGTCACCCACTGATATTCAAAGCCTTTGGAGTTAAATTAGTTTTAGTATCAAGACTTGCGACGGTGGGATCAAGACCTAATGATTGTAGCATCCGGAGATATAATCTCTACCTGGCACCAAAGATCCCTAGATGACATGGCCAGCAATGATGCCAGCAGAATCGAACAGGGCGCACAAAGATTATTTTGGCTCTGTCGAGGAGTAATATCAGGCGCTTTAGATGAGGACGAATCATTTCAAGCGTTGAAATGGCTCTTGATATCCGCCGAGGCAGGCTCTGGAGAAGCACAAGCGTCGGTGTATCCTCTCCTATCTGCTCTCGAGGAGATTATACCTGCCGAGTCAATACACCATTTGCTAGTAAATGCTTGCTACTCAGGCGAAACTTTGGCAGAGGTCAGTTTGAGAGACCTATACCCGGATTCGTACTCTGAAGTACTACAGCATCTGAAGACCACATACTGTGGCTACGGACAGGATTGCTTCGGTGAACAATGGAGGAACGAATATCCCTTGGACTATCTCACGGACACCGTAGAAGATTGGCTGGAAGACGCGCGCGATATCAACGAGCTGCACGACTACCCAGGTATGGCATGTGGGATGTCATGGCTGCACTACGCCGCAAGCAACGGCCGCCAGGACTTAGTGACGCACCTGGTAGCTCAAGGTGCGGATCCAAACGTTCTGAACGACTACGATGAGTCGCCCTTGTTCATGGCTTGTCAGGCCGGTCATTTTGGAGTAGTTCAAATCTTGTGTCCATTAACCCGGAACGATAAAAGGGACACAGATTTTCTCGCTTCCAACGAATTGCACAACTTGACCAGATTTGGAACTGATGTGGTAGAGGCTGTAAAATTGCTTTTGGATTGGGGAGCGGACATCAACCAGCAAAATAGCGATCGACAACAGACACCATTAGCCTTCACTCTCAACGACCCTAAGCCCAGCAGCATGGAAGCAGCAGGAGTCTTGCTAGTCTTAGGCGCTGATCCACTCATCGAGGATTACCATGGGTTGGATTGCCTGGCGCTTGCTGCGTGCCAGCTCTCCCCTGATTTGATTCAACTCGTGCTTGGCTACATTCCGCCGCATCAGCTTACCCATAGTAAGGCAAAAGCATTGTGTTCCGTTTTGGAGATGGAAAAGTATGAGATTCTGGTAAATGGAGCCAAAGACTACCGTGTCAAAGTGTACAGCACGCTGAAGTTACTTGTGGACTTCGATACCTGCGAAGAGTTTCAAGATATCACCGGTCACTCTGCACTGACCTTCGCTTGTGCTAATTCAACTTTAGCTATGGTGCAGTGTTTGTTCAATCTTCTGCCGGATAGCCCATTGAATGAATGGCAGTCGTCGGCCGAAGGATGGACGACGCCTTTGATGGGTGCGATAGTGCAAAATCGGTTCGAAACAGTCGAGTATCTGCTGGGTATTGGCGCTGACGCTACGATACTTGATCCCGTTGTCCACTGGTCGCCTCTCTTCTATGCAGTGTCCGGGCGCCCACGGATTGTCCTTGCCCTGGTCCAGTCAATCGAGAAGAATCATTCCTCGGCGACAGCAATTCATTATGTTAACATCAGAGATGACGGAGGTTTTACTGCGTTTGATGTCGCTGTAGCTGGCGACTTCTTTGATGCCGCCGATATCCTCACAGCGTATTCGCCGGCTTTCTTGGCTCATGTTATCCCTTACAGTGTGGGTAGCACCACCCTATACAATTTCCTCGGATCAACGGTGTACAAAGCAGGTCAATTATTCTACCTCTTGAACCTGATTGGTACCGCTGCCGACCTACCCGTGGTAGACAATGAGGGTGTAACACTTCTTCACGCAGTGTCTGGCGTACCGATAGGTGAATTAAGCTGTATACTTTGATAGAGTCTGCTAATAGATTCAATGACAGACCGAGCCCCTGATGATGAAGTTCGCTCAATCATCGATGCTGTCGTCTCTCGCTTTCCCAATCCTGAGTACGCAAACTGCACCACACAGACCGGCGAAACACCGCTACACTACGCTGCTCGGTTTGGAAATATATATGCAATCAAAAGGCTAGACGAGGCTTATGGGGAGCACTTGAACTGGAATGCAGCCCGTAATGATGGCTGGACTGCGCTAGATGAAGCTGACACCCGAGACTATCAAGACATCTCGGACCTTGGATACATGGCACGAGCTCGATTTCATAGAAGAACGAAGGAGACTGTTGCCTATCTTCACGAAAGGGGAGTTGAAAGTAGACGAACTGATGAGAGAACTCATAGCTAGTAGAAAATGTGCGGGATATATTGCGTTCGACTACCAAAGGATTCGAAAATACCATTGTACATCGCCCCTAGTCCCTGGGGTTTGAAAATCATTACAATGTTTGTTACCCAAAAAAGTTTCAGAGGGACACGTTCTTGCAACAGCCATATTACCTGAACCCTTGCATCACCGTTTGTTGCCTTCCCCACGAAGGCAAGCCGTGATCCATACGCCTCGTATTCGCATCTTCATCTATCCTACTCAATATATTCTAGAACCGCTTAAAGAGGTTCGCAAGACTTCCCAAAGCAATCTGCACCTTACAAGATGTTGCGATGACTCTTAGTCTTCCCGACAATGCTGAAAAGCGAGCGGCATGCTACTCAATCTCAATATCCACAACAGTCCACTCGCCAACCTTATCTTCCGGCTGAACATAGCTAGAAAGATCTTTGAGAACCTGAAATTCCTCAAGCTTTGGGATATAAGCTGCACAAACAAATTGATAACGTCCGTTGTCCGTCGGTCTCAGAATAATCGGGTAAGAGCATCCCAGTGCGACCCATATCTCATCAGTTTTTTCATCTAAATCGCATTTTGATATCAGTCCAAGATTTCCAGTTTCATTCAAGATTAACATCCTGTCTTGAAGGAGTTCCAAGATCCCTCCCAGCACAATTATGGAAGCCCCGTCTAACGCTTTTACCAGGTCAACTAAGAGGCTCCCATCAATGCCCACCTCTCGTCTGGCAAGCTGTGGGTCTTGGGCGAGACGGAGAAAAGTGGACAGGCTTAGTACCATGTCATTGAAGCTTGGGACTATCCGTACGAAATTTTGAACGAGTATTGAATACAATTCGCGTGGCAGGCTTTGAACCTTATAGCCACCAAAGACCCGTAAGTAGATGCCAAAGGAAGAAATCCAGAACTCTTCAATGGTCGTTTCCGGGGAGTCTATACCACGGTTAAGACATCGTCGCACTGTGTTAAACCTCAAGCCCCGGACGCGAAGGCGCCTCTCAGTGGTCAGGATCGAGTTTGGAAGACACCGAGTCTGCATTGGTCCTTTTTCGGAAGAAAGCGAATGTCCAGTGTCGCAACCCAGCCAGACTCGAGGCAACCAAGACGGCACATCCAGACAAGTGCCGCCATCGTGAACAGAGCATTTATCTACACCGAGAGCACAATCGTCTAAGAAATCAATATCCTGTGCTCTTGCGACGTGATAAGCAACCGCTTCAATCATGACATCTACCTCATTTTTAGCGTAGTCGACTTCGATGCCACCTTCTTCATAGTCCTCCGCGAGGTGCATAAGAGCATAGACCCGGTCTCGCGTATCGGTCATAGCGAGATTACTACAGTTTGTAAGGAGACGCAATAGCTGCCAAAGTTTAATTCCGTCTGCGTATATTGCGATATCGTTGGCGGCTGGGGTGTAGTATAACGCAAAAGGCATCATATGTCTCCCCCATTCCGGAGCAAGCTCATGAGAAGATTCTATAGCAATTATATGCCAGTTCCAAGAGGCTTGTTGAAACCGTCCTATCGAAGCACCCGAGATGACGATGTTTACACAGTGAAGACTGATACGGCGTGCATTCAAAACTTCCTGTTGTACCCATGCGCGATTCCAGTACGGATTCGAAAAGATTGGCACCACAGGATCCCAGAAACTTGGATTCGGGCCAAGTTCCTCAAATTCACGGTCAGATGCGTTGGAGAAATCTTTCAATGCTGAAACAGCTTCGTTTGTGTCGTCGACGTCGGGTTCATTAATCCAGATACGGACCGTATCTGCAAGACTGAAGATTTGCCTCATGATCCGAATTTGCAGCTCACGCTCAGCTATATCATCTTGATTGATAGAAATTGCGTCAACCCATAATACGAGCGGTCTGTGAATGTATCGAAGATGATGCAGAGCAGCCGTGAGGTTTGCTGCGATAGGCAATACTTCGTCCGAGAGGTAGATAACATCTGTTGGCGTCGAATCACCCCACATATAGGATAGAGCATCGTAGACCAAATAGTCAGCGTGGATTGGCACGACTAAAAGGTCACCAGAGAGCGCCGACCCGTCGCTCCCGGGCCTAAGTCTGAGTATGCGGATTTCCCCAGGACCCAAGGGCTGGTATTCGTATCTTCTCCGTTCGCTTACAGCGGCCATGAGGCAAGCTAGATATGGATCCGTGGCCTCGAGGGATTCGAAGACGACCGATGGCGCGACGGCGACGGAGACGACCCTTTTCGTTGTGTTTGATTGCCCTCAATGAGCTTCGCTTTAAGGGAAGTTCGGCGTTTTAAGTAATCGACAACAAGAAGCTGTGGAAGAATAGGACGAGGAAGTTAGGCTTGGGAGTGCATTGACCGTAAGAGTGTGGCTGTGCAAGCTGAGGCTGTGATGTATTTCTCGAAGGCCAATGGAAGACTGCATGTAAGGCTATGTGCATCGACCTCGCTACTGAAGGAACGAGTGTGATTTTTTATGGGTAGTTGACTGGAAAGCTGAAGGTTGCAAGTTGGCACCTAGGCAGGCAGCAGTAGCTCAAAATGGGCGATTACGCGAGACAAGAGCTGACCAATAAAGATATTACAGTTCAGGATGCCAATTATCGTTTGGGTCAACGGCGGTCTGAGTCCAAGTGTAAGATAGCATTGTACACTACGCATGCCAGTGTATTTAGTTTGATACCATGGTTGGCGACCGTCTCGAAATAGCACTGTCCTTGGCAGCATCGACGGGCACACCACGAAGCTCTTCTTGACCGTGTCGACCTGTCCTTGGAAGATTCAGTGTAATCATAAACATCTTCGCACTCAAAATACCTTCATAGAGACACCGATAGCTCAACTAGGGCATAGGCCCTTTGGGAATCCTCTTATGCCAGTGTATTTTCTTCCACTTTTGGTTTATGCGCCAAGGATCGCATGGGAACCTGTAGCTTACTTTCATTAGCCATGTATGCATGCGCCCCATTTACTTGGTAAAAAAAATAGTAGCAGCGTATCACACTTCTTGCATTGCTCGTCATCATCTTACTCTTATGCGATTCCGTCCCCTCATTAGGAAGCAGCCATCTCCTCGTCGATACCGCATCGGCATGCTCATCGTAGCGTGCGCTTTCGCAATGTTTGCTCTACACTATGTCCTGGCTGATATCCGCAACACCCCTCCAAGTGCCGCTGGCTTCTTCTGTTTTTTTTCACCCTCCCCCCAGGCCACCTCCAGCCACCTCTTCCCACTTTCCTCTAGTTCCATGCTTTCGTCTCTAGGAGTAGGCGTCTCTCTCAATAGTATCTCGTACGCCTCATTCATGGCATTCTCATGCGCCTGCATTGAATTGTGTATGCACAACTCAAACCTCAGCCCCCTCGGTGGCACCATATGTTCCTCTTGGACATGTCGCCTCATCCACACCAACCAAGTCTGTATTTTCTCTTCCTCATTCTGACCGCGGAAATTCATGCCATTTTTCTTAAAGAAAGGATTCCATGCGTACCACTCAGCAGTAAACTGGCGGAGCTTGGGAAAGTAGGATTTAAACGTATACATGTCCTGTAGCATCAAGATGAACACCTTGGCTGGGGTTTGTGCGCTGAACGAGGTATCCCGTACAACGTAGCCCGACGTAGACTCAAAGTACTCTCTGCTCACGCACTGCAACATTCGTCCGGGTTTATCTGGGAACATTCTCAGCTTCCCCTCGAGGTTTTTGACAATGTGGTCGGGGTCGCCAATTTTAACCGTATTGTAGCGGCAGAAGACTTGCAGCCCCTCCTCATACGCTTGTCGGCTGACCAGGAATAAGTTAGTGATGTCTTCGGGGTGCGCGAACGGGAATGCTGGTGGCGAGCGGGGATTGTAAACTACGCTTCTAGGGCGGTATAGGTAGAGGTAGTAGATCACATCGCGGAGCTCCCGTGGGAGGGCAAAGAAATTGAATACACCAGGCCGGCTATAGACGACGTGAGCGGGCTGGAAGGGCTTGGTTCATGGAGGTTGTTGTAGACATACTGGTTGTGCTGGGAGAGCTGGTTGTTTTTGTCCGCTTCTTTGGTTTCTATCATTTCAATCGGTTGGACTTTGGATGAAGTCTCGGGGGCCTGGTTAGGGAGAGCCATGGATGTCGATAGCCCGATGGAAGTTTGTACCTCTTGCTCCTTCAGTGGAGAGCAATAAAGGCACATTTACTACCTTTTAACATGACTGACACGAGTCAGGTGGGTCAATTGACACATGTTGAGGGACTGAAGATACCACAAGGCGATCCTAGCGGTTGAGCTGTACATATCATAGCCAGTCTGAGCGCGAGGCTGGAGTGACGTTGCAGCTTGACTCACTAGGAAGGTCTTTTATTGGCTGGCAGCCTGGAGGCCTGGAGCAGCCCTGGAGGCAGTAAAGAATTTATGTTGAATCAGAAGCTCTTCATCATGGGATATCTTTTTTGGGAAGGTGGAATCAGTCACGCGGATACATTGGGGACAAGGGAGGTTTATGGAGAAGAGTGATGCGTGAGTACCATCAAAAACTACAACCTACGTAGCTTCCATCACCCCACATATCACGCCCAGAGGCCTCCCTTCTGTCCCGAATTGAGTATTCCGGTTGCTCATCACGTCTTCTGGAGACCCCCGCGGGAGAAGTGGAGAATGTGGTGATGGGTGGCGGTCAGCCGTAGCTCCGACAACCGCCGAGGAGCACTGACCCACGCTGAAGTAGCTGGTTGCCGCAAAACCTCTCTCCGCATCTTCCATTCTACCCGCCTTACGATTGAGTCCAGCCCAGTCTTCATCTCCTCCCCTCTCAACTCACAGCCAAAATGTTCGCTGCCAGGCAAGCATTCTCTCAGGCCCAGCGCCGCGCCTTCTCGGTGTCTGCCCGTCAGGTACGCAAACTTCCGAGGACCCGCCGCTGCTTTTTCTACAAAGCGTTCCCGGCGCCAATGGGTCGCAATTGAAGTCTAATATGCTAATATTTTTGTCTGGTAGTCATCCAAGGTCACCGTTCTCGGTGCTGCCGGTGGTATCGGCCAGCCGCTGTCGCTCCTCCTCAAGCTCAACCCCAGAGTTAGCAAGCTCTCCCTCTACGATATCCGCCTAGCTCCCGGTAACCACTCATGGACCCCCTCATATATAGTACGCAGCCACTGACAGCTGCTGTATAGGCGTCGCTGCCGATATTGGCCACATCAACACCAAGAGCGAGGTACAATGCCACACCCACACGCGCGTGCCGACCATTTGCTAATGCCCAAAAAGGTCATCGGCCATGAAGCCACTCCCTCAGGTCTCGCCGCGGCCCTCAAGGGTGCTGAGATCGTCGTCATCCCCGCTGGTGTCCCCCGCAAGCCTGGCATGACTCGTGATGGTATGCAGTGAAAGCGCCTGGCAAGAGTGCACGACTGACAGATGCCCAGACTTGTTCAACACCAACGCCTCCATCGTCCGCGATCTGGCCAAGGCCGCCGCTGAGCACGCTCCTGAGGCTAACATCTTGATCATCTCCAACCCGGTATGCATACAAGGTCTGCATAGGAAGAAGCCATTTGTTGATATTTTGATTTAGGTCAACTCTACCGTCCCCATCACCGCCGAGGTCTTCAAGTCCAAGGGCGTCTACAACCCCAGGCGCCTGTTCGGTGTTACCACCCTCGACGTTGTCCGCGCCTCGCGCTTCATCTCGCAGCTCAGGAACACCGATCCAGCCAGCGAGAACATCACCGTCGTCGGCGGCCACTCCGGCGCCACCATTGTGCCCCTCCTGTCCCAGTCCGGCTACAACCTCGAGGGCGAGAAGCTCGACGCTTACGTCAAGCGCGTGCAGTTTGGCGGTGATGAGGTCGTCCAGGCCAAGGACGGCGCCGGCTCAGCTACCCTCTCCATGGCCATGGCTGGTGCGCGCTTCGCCGAGAGCTTGCTCAAGGCTGCCCAGGGCCAGAAGAACGTGATTGAGCCTACCTTCGTCGACTCGCCGCTGTACAAGGACCGTGGCTGCGAATACTTCGCCTCCAACGTCGAGCTCGGCCCCAACGGTGTTGAGAAGATCCACCCCGTTGGCAAGATCACCGAGCACGAGCAGAAGCTCCTCGATGCCTGCTTGGCCGATCTCTCCAAGAACATCGCCAAGGGTGTCGAGTTCGTTAAGCAGAGCCCGTAAGCGCTTCAAAAGTGTTTAGGCGAGGGTTGTACAACTAGGAATGACTTTGGGCCACCGGATCTGGACGGGACTGGATTCTTTGGTGCTTCATGCAAGCAATCTTAGCGACTGGAAATGTGTAGATTTTGATCTGTACCTTAGCACAAAATACTCCCTCTTCGTATCTCCATTATACTTGTTTGTGCACGAATTATGTAATAACGATAGCCAACTATTCCCATGTACCTGATGTATCACGTGTCATAGTGCGCCGGGCAGATGGATTGTTTGAGGGGGTCCTGCGAATTTTATTACTGAGCTTTAGTAGTGAACGCCAGTATACGAGTAAATGCGGGGGTGGAAGTGGACAATTCAACATGAAGGTAAGCGTTTATTTCTACCTGGCTGGCTAGGTAACTGTTGTTTAAATGCGAATCTATCCTTCTAGCTTGTGACCCAAGTCCCATATATATACATAACAGAAGCAGAGGTCAGCATCTCCTTCTCCATTTACTCATAGCTTCGCCTTTGGCGCCTCAAGCGTGGGCACCATAACATCCCGCATATCGCCCGCAGCTTCGTTGAGGTAGAAGCTCATCTTCTCCTATATGACTCGTTAGCAGTGGGTCCCATTACTAGCCGCCGCTTATCGAAATGATGAGAAACTTACCGAGCCCAATCCCTTGGAGCAAACATTAAACTGAATGCTGTTCTCGTTGATCATATACGCAATGCCCCAGCCATCGTCTACGACCTGAGACCAACCATAGCCGTTGAAGTATTCGCTGCTCAACTGCGAACTAGAAATAAACCACGTGGAGCTGTACGAAAACGCAGGGTCCTGGTACAGCGCGGGAACATCCTCGCCCTCCTTCAAGCATTTCTTGAGACCGAAAAGATGGCGATCTACGCCGCGGCCGTCAGACGCGTCGGAGATGTACTTGACATGCGCATTGAGGGCTGCACGGAGGAGTTTCTGGCACTCTTCAGGCGTAGCGTTATGGTCTGCCATAGCTGCGCAAAAGGCCACGCTCTCGTCCGAGACAGTACGGCATGTTTCTGTACGACCTTGCTGGAAGCGACGCGTAGCAGCGGATTCGTAGGTAGGTCTGTTCTTGCCGTAGAACTTGTGGTACGCAAGCTGGATGATCATCTGTACGTATGCGTCGGGACTGCATTTGAACTTCTTGATCAGACCCTTGCCGTACCCCTGGTATGCTTGTACACGGAGTTCGTGCGCGCCGATCTGGCGGGCGAAGTGTGATTGCGCATCATCGATATCTTTCTGTAGCTCCTTGCTAACCTCAAAGCGGAGAGGCTTCGGGTTGGGCAGATCGGAGCGCACATTCGGATCGTCAAATGGAAGGGCGTTTGTGAAGATTTGCTGATTGGCATAGTCGTTCAGGCGGTGCGTAGGGGTGCCGTCCATCATCGAGTGTTCACCCATGAAGCCTGAGGTGCCGTTGTCGTTGACGATGAACTGAAGTGGCTTGTCAAACCAGCGGTTTGCGCCGTCACCGTGCCAGTACTGGTGTGAGCGCTCTTCTAGAGTTACCGGGGAGGCATCGTCGAGGCAGACGACGAACGAGGCGGACTCGATGGCTTCGAGGGTTGCTGCATTCACGTCTGAGGCCTTGAGCTTAGGGTACACTTCTGACCATACATCTCGATTTTGCGATGTGAGGATACCGACTGCGGGGGCTTTTTCGGCCTTCTCGTAGATGCGATTGAATTGCAGTTCAAGCTCGCTGGTGTTCAGCTGCTTGCCATTGATCTCGTGGGGAATCTTCCAAAACTGGTTCTTCCTGATGGCGACAATGTGCTGGTTTCCCTTGAAGGGGAACTTGGTAGCGGTGTCTGAAGGCTTCTTGGGGACTCGGGAGCAATTGAACATCCACTCGTAAGAGCTCATGGCCATGGGCAACTTCTTCATATACTCTGGCTCCAAGCTGCCCCCATCTACCATCTTCTTGAATTCCAGCACCGCGGTAGAGATGGCAGCAGCGCGCTTGGCCGGGTTTCTCCTCTTCTTGTCATCGCGGTGCGAGTAGAAGTAACTCACATACGGGACAACCGGGTCGCGATAGGCCATGTACGCAGCATCGTTCCACCACTCATAGATCCAGTTCTTGACATCTGGCCGCTCTCTCCGCTCGATCAAGCGCTTCTGCAATGTCTCGCCGGGTCCACCGGGGGCTACAAACTCATCGACAGCTTTTGTGGTCGCGTCGAATTCAGTCTTGGAGAGCAGCGGGTGAACGGATTTAAGGTATCGTTTCGCGGTTTCTTCGAGTGTGGGGACGGGAAGACGTGGGAGGGAGTCTTCGAAGCGGAGCATGGCACCCTTGCTGTGGTCCTCTTTGTAGCCTATCGATTTCGTCAAGTTAACTTTCATACTTGTAATGGTAGATAATAGCTCGTCGAGGACAGCTATGTCAAACTTACCTGCTGGCAGACTCGACTGTTTCCTGGCTGGAGCCATTGCGACAATCTACTCACACACAAACATCAGCTTTCACGTCCCACCAACCCTCAGCTACTCTCCAAAACAACATACCCTAGGTGTCTGGTGCTGGTTCAAGACTGGTCTGCGAAGTATCGAGGCGGGCAGGCGCGCTCGTGCTGCTCTACTGAACATCACCAAGGAGTGTGTGAAGCAACGACTGGAAGAGATAGGAATTCTGAAATACTAGCTCTCAACAGATCCGAGGCGGGATGCGCACGCGCTGCTTTTGTCGGCGGTACTTAGTACGGCGGGCCGGGGAGCTGAGTGTATGGAGCGAGCCGAGGTTGTCGGAGAAGGGCAAAGGCAGACCGCGTGACGTAGCGAGGTTTGAAGGAGCCGCTAGTCCGATTGCTTGGTTACAGAACTTTGATATTGCCTTCGTATGACTATAGGACTGCGATTATGATCAGCATGTCAAAGCCATTTCTAACCATATTCATAGCAGTGCAGCAGCCATACGTAGTTGTATGTTGTTTCCAAACTCACATGCTTGAGCCCTCCCCCACCATATCCCCACATGCCACGCAAGGCTGGCTTTAGCACGGCGCCATGGGCCGATAGACTTTGCAGAAGCCGAGGACAGTGCTCCGACCGCCACCATGAAACGCGCACAATCGCGTGCACAACTGACTACTTGCGAGCCCCATATGGGGAAATACCAGTTGGTGGTCTACGTCGATGTTGATGACCCACAGCTCGTACGAGAGCTTCGGGCGTCCCAAAGAAGTAACTACCGCGGCATAAGGAGCTCCAGCTATTGGCCAACATGGAGATACAATGTCCTTTAGGCTTTGCTAGAGAATAGATGTGATAACTATAATATTGAAGACTGATACATGCATTTATAATATAATAGGTCTTCTAAAGCCATCTTGACTCAACATACGACTGGTCGAGCTAGTACAACTTAGAGTACTATGCCTATTCACATGGGAGACGATGATGCGTCTCTTACTCTGACCAGCTTACTACATCCAACCTGACCAAAGCTAGAGAAGTCAGAGCTGAGTAGAACGTGACGTCAAAAACTAGAGCATCTCGTCTCGTCAATCATGCTACATAATCTTTCTACAACGCATATAACTCTTTCCAAATCGCAAGTAAACCACCACCAAGATGCCAGTGAAGCCCGTAAAAGACATCCTTCTGTTCACATCGTCCGGAATAAGCTAGCCAGCGCCCTCCTCACTTTACTCTCCGCAGGATGGAGGAACTTGCGCCGAGCCGGAAAGAGCAGCATTTCTAGAGACCGTCTGCAGGAAAGCACATGATTCTAGACAGTGTATTGAACAGCAACTAATGAAGATGATGAATCAAGACTGCATAAGGAGCGGAAGGAGCATGTATATTGCGAAGCTAGAGTAGAAAGATGCTGTGAAAGGACTGTTGGCGAGATTGTATGGAACGAGCGAGGGTGCTGATGTAGGGAGTAGGGATGCAGCGCAGCGGATGGTATTGTTTTACGATAATAGAGGATTGCTAGGAAATGATAATGTGCTTGAATGGGTGCTTAGACGAAAGGGCATGTCATTTGATGAGTGGGTTCAAGGTAAGGTAGAGGAGAATGGAAGATGACATGAGAGACTGCTCAGATGCGGGGGTCGGAAAGTTAGAGCCACCATGTACATCGCCAATGCCCTCTACAAGGCCTCAGGAAGCACAGAATCTGGAGTAGATTCAAAAAGCTGAACCCGAATAATCTCCCTTCTCCGAATTGAGATCAAGCGAACGCCGACTTCGACGTTCGTCGTGAGGCTACGGACCTTTCCCGACGGGTAAATCGAAAAAAAGAATTCGGGATCTTTCCCGAGCTAATGAGGAGCACCTAGCACGACATCACCATGCAGGTGTAAGCTTCAGCTCTTTACTTCTCCTCACTCTTCTTACGGATCCGCGAGAACTCAAGGCTCCACAGGCCGGATGTCGGCTCTTATTCCTAGTCCCACGGATTCTTTAAGAACTCACATAAGAACGGTCGTGCGCCCGAGCTTCTAAAGAAAGTCGGGAATGAATGGAGCGCTGAGCTTCAACGACCAAGATTTCTGTTCGAATTGCGACAATAACATCCTCTTACCGCTTCATTCCTCCCTCCTTGTCCACTTTGAGACAAATGAGAATCAACAGCCTAGCAACAATCCATCCAGAGCGACAAATTTATAGGCATCAACACTCCTTCATTGATCATTGAAAAGTCCTTCTACAACGACAGCTTCCTCGCGAAATCTTTGCCTAGCAATTTGAACTCGTTTGCGCTAAATTACCCGACAACCTTCGATTTACGCCAAATTCCAGCAATAAGCCATTTCGACATCACTCAGCGAAACCATGCATCTACCCATGATGGCCTTCTACCAACCCACACAACCCTTTCGCTTCTTGGATCTCCCCGGTGAGATTAGGAACAACGTCTATCACCTGTTACTTTGCTCATGGGACACCGAGCTTGAGGAAGATCCAAGTTTTATCAGACAATTAAGCAGGCGACGCCTAAGCTACCAAACAGTAGCCCTCCTACGCGCCAACAAGCAAATCCATTGCGAAGCATCCGACTATATGATCAAGCGCAATCAATTCGTTCGCTTTACATGTCGAGGTTTCGATGTTAGACACTTGTTCCTCGGTGATGGGATTCCGGTCATTACGACCAATACTCGCAAAGTGAGCCAGCATCAGGAGTACGCCATGCACATGACGCTATCGAAGCCCATCTCGTCCGCCGCATTTCAGTACTCAGTATTCGAGATCATGATGCTGCGCGCGGATTTGCCGTATCTATGCGAACGCCTTGACATCGAGAGCGTGATGGCAGATATGAATTCGAGAGCAGATCAACACGCATCCATGAACGCCGAAGTCAAGCTCACCCGCTTCTTTGCCCCAAAGAATCAAGAGCGTCTCCTGAAACCAATTGCAACATTTCTACGCGACCTTCCCAATCTAAGGATCCTAGGCCCTGTTGACCCGACTCTTGCGGCAACTGTCATTGAAGAGGTTGCGAAACCCCGGTGGACAGAACCTGGGTCGACCCTCGAAGAAATCGGCACCGGTGTAGATGTTGGCAAGCGCCAATGGCAGCAAAATAGCTATTACGCCGCTTCCGACTCCTGGGCATATGCCATGCGCACCCTCGAGCGCATGCGCCATAGCTCTTCTTGGCTCAGCCTCAAAGAGAGGGGCGGCGAAGACTTTGTCAACAAGACTGCCGACCTCTACTTCACTCTAAACCTGTTGCATGCCCAGTTCTTGCAGATCGACATGTGCGGAGACTACGCCGGACCCCATGTTCAGCGCAATGGCTTCATCGCCATGTCGCATTTGCGCAAGTGCGAGACTGCGAGTGCACTGTTTGCCCACCATGCTGGCGCCACTTGGACACCTAGCAACGAGCAGACGGCGAAGATGCTGTATCGACATGCAAGGTGCTTGAGGTTGATGCGCGCCTCTGCCCAAAGAATTATGGCTATAACTCTCATTGAGGACGCGGCGACGCTTGCTCCCAATGACATTGCAATTACCGAGGAGAAAGATGCTGTGCTGAGCTGGAATGCAGACATTGAAGAGACCCGGCGCCTGTTGGAGGGGATGGAGGTTGAGAGGAAGAGCTCACTGTGGTCATCGGTATGGACTGCTATCACCACGCTAGCAGGGTGATCAGTGACACGGTCTCGTACATAATGTTGATTAGCGAAAATACCCTTAAGAATTACGCATTGAAAGCATATTAGTCACATCACCCCCAACTAGTCTGAAAAAGTGATATCTTCACAACCCATGTTCGTGTTATGACAAGCTGAAGCATTTTGCAAATATTTACAATGAAGTGTGGAAGAACAACACCACAGCCTCAAAGGGCAACCACCCTAGAGGCACGGCTCGTCGATACGCCAGTTGACTGTAATGAAATGACCAAGTAAAGGGTACCTCCAACGCCTACGCTAAGCAGGCAAGCAACAGCAAGCCTGCTGAAACAAGTAAGAAAGGAACCGCAAGTCCAGTTGAAACACCACGGAAGAATAGTGTCCGGAGCAGACTAAGAATATATACAAAAGAAAGCGTCGCAATGACAATTTGATAACGGTGCGCACACTCGGATGTTTCGAATCTCGGTGCGGAAGCATCCGTATGTGTAGGTGTCGACAGTTGCCGTTTCGAATAAAGACCAGGGTGGGTCGGACCGGTAGTTCCAACACGCGCAATCGGACATGGCGAAAGTACCTTCCATCTCTCAATACTCGGACCAGTGACTAGGCTCGCCCACTTTCTCGAACTCAGTCGCCTGCATCACTCGTCGCTTTGTCCTCTCCTCGCGGCCAAAGCAGCAGAACAATCGTGCGAAGACGCTGCGCTTGCGTGGTGTAAGACCTTCGTACGGATCGGGTTTCCGTAGTGAGCTGGTGGTCGAGGAAGCGGGACTAAGTGGGATGGTTGCGTTGACAAAGATGAGCGAGTCGCGGTTGCGTTGCCGTGTGTCAACCGGGGACTGTGGTGATTGCTTCTCGGATGCGCCAGAGTATGGTGGTGGTGTTTCTGATTCGCTTGATGAGAATGATGTATCGAGCGGAGAGAGGAGTTGCATTTGACGATTTGCGCGCGGTGAGGCTGGAAGACCCATTGGGCTAAGTGGTGGGATAGAAGACATAGTGTGGTGGATGATGGATGAAAGCGTAAGCCGGTGTTCTCTTGCGTGATTTCGAGCGATGTTTGTACTGATAATGTGTTGGTTCCGCTAATTTGTTTGGCCGGGCGCAAGAAGTAGATTGAGGGACTGATGGGAGAACAATGTTTGTATAATCAAAGGGGGGGCTCCAGGCAAAGAAGAGGCGTTGTTGTTTATGCCGATCTGCAACCACCTGCGGTGACCGAAATTATATGTTACGCAGGGGAGCAAGGCCCAACGCCGTATTATTGTCCAGGGGGGCGCGGGGCTTGTACATCCGCCATCAGCAGCAATGCTCCACATTCGTCACTGCCCATTTGCAGCACATCATTTGGAAAAGGTGAGTTTCGTTTCAGAGGTGGAAATATGGGCATTGTGTTGGTATCGCGCTTCCCGCCCAATGACAAAGACCACCTCGCCGTCAACAGCAACAGTTCATCAAACCCCCATGTGTATGCGCAGCTCTGCGTGTGTTTGAAACTGTGCCGTCCTCATGCGGCAAGGCCAGGCTGCCGATCCGGAGTCAGAAGTGGGCCTGAGCTGAACCGAGTCAGCAAACGTTCCCGAGAAACGAGGCAACCAGGTCTCTCGTTGGGTCTGCTCGTTTGTTTTCCGTTGCTGCACCCCTTGAAACACCAGCACCGTCGCACTTTTGTTGGAAACAAAGCTTTTCTACTCAGTCCGACTACCCCACAGACGCAACTTGTAGATGAACACAGCCATGCCGCTGTCTGTTGTGAACAGTTGGCCCTTACCAAGTGTTCATGTGAAGGGTCACAGGGGTTCGCTACGTCGCATGCATCGCCGCAACCCTCACCGGTTGAGATGACTTGCGATAACGTACCATGACCTTAAGCAAGGGAAAGATATTGCGGAAAGAGTCACAATGGCGACTTAGGACGACTGCGCCGCAGGTTAAATTGACCTTGATCAGCGTTGCAAGGTTATAGCATGGCGAAAGACCCCGCCGCACGCCAATCGCAAGTTTGCCGACAAGCATAAGTTCAAGAACGCGCATGGCTCGTGATATGGCGATAGATAACAACAGAGTACCAACAGAGTACCAACAGCAGTGCCTCAGCGGCACAGCAACTCACGCGATCGATGATGTAGTCGGATCCTTGGAGTTGCGCGCTGATTTGTTCGTCTGCGACTTTCTTTGCGTAGAGCATTGGACGCCTGCCTTTGCAGTGCTATCATCGCCGTTGTAGATGATTCTCAAGACGTTGCGGGGCATGAGGTACATTATGCACACAATCTGGATTTGCGTACGATCAAGCGTGTTCTAATAGTACGCGTTAAAGTACATGTTGGAGAAGCTGCCTTGCCGTCAGTATACCAACACGAAACGAGGCGCAGCTACTTCATGCGGCGCTCCACCTCGCGTAATCGAACGTTGGATAAGAAACCAAAACAAGCCTACGCCCCAAGACCGAACCCCAGTTGGGGGCGGGGTGTCAGTTCTGATTGAATTTGAGATTAATTCGAGGCGCGAAGGTGAGAAGAACACGAAACTGGTGTGGCTCGCTTGGATGTTGTTTAGTTCGTGATGCTCCCTCAACTGTAAACGCAGCCACTGAGCTTGATGGACATGTGGTTTTGGATAACAACAACGGACCGCTTGCTGCCTTTGTTCTGTCAAAACGCGCAGATATCCATGCTCTAGCAGCACGAGAGCGAGATATGTAGAGCCCCGAGGTCAGAACAACAGTGTTAGTCAGTGACCAGACTCCACTTAACATTACAGTAGCAGCAAGAGGGCCAGTACTGCCTGCCCTAGTAGCTACAGTTCTCGATCACGGCGCAAACAATGAGGCCAAAGACAGTACCGGCAAGACGCCGTTACTTTTTGCTATCGCAACTAATGGAAACTTCCCTCCTAACGAAGAGATTGTCAATTGTCTCTTATCTCGAGAGGTGGATACGCAGATTGGGGATGGTTCAGACAGGACCACCGTCCAGCTAGTAGACGCCAGGCAATACAAAATAAATGGTAAGGGAAGGTTCGAGCGAAAATATGTACCGCGGTCTATCTATGCCCCGCGAGGTGCTTACAGTTTCGTCCGTCGTGGAAGACGACGGGGATGAGGCAGATACAGCCCATCACCATAAGACTTTAAGCAAACAACGAGCAAGAAGTATAAGAATATTAGAGTCTGCATTGGTATTTAAAAAGGTTCTAAGGCTATCTTGGGGTTTACATGGATATTTACAGCATCTCGCACGGCTTGAGCGAGTCTTTGATGGGTCATGGGGCCTTCAGCACAATTGACGACCAAGATACTATGTTATCGCGACGCCTTGCTGTTTGCGCCTAGTACAGTCGTCAAAGCTGCGTTACTGTTTCCACGCGGTGTAGTCGTTGGGCTGCCTGATCTTAGTTCCTGGTGTGAAGACAATACGGTTTTCCAACTACCAGTTGTACTTCGCTTAGGTGGCTTCGCATTCCTCGCATCTTCCTCAAGCTAGCGTCGCAAAGTGTCCTTCTAATTTGCAAGCCATGCATGCAAGAGCTTTCTCTTTTTTGTTTCCTTTGCCTAGATTTGTCCACGGGGTTCTGAGATATCAGCTTGAGATTCTCCATTTCCCTAATACTAGAGGAGCGCGAATTGTCTGCTGGTCATGAAGAACATTCATGGAGACATGTTGTTATGTCAATCGAATGAGATTGTCTGCGCATGGAGATTAAGAAATAGTCGTCAGCAAACTAGTTATGAATGTCCTTGTTGAGATCTGCAGAGCTAGCTGGATTGTCACTCTTTTGGTGGTGGCTTTGCAGCCACGACAGCCAATGAGGTGTTACAGTATCCACATCCTGGACCGTCGACCGCGAGCTCATATTCGTATAAGGCAACCTTTCGAACTCCTCCAGTGCCATCACCCTCATTTTTGTCCTTGCCTTATACCCCCAGGAAGGATATTGAGCTATGGCTGATGAGGAGCCGATCACTACAGCCTCAACCTCGCCGATTTGTGCAGGCTCGTTCTCGCGGTCCAGTACCGCTAACGACAAAGTTTGGGATCGTAATAACCCCCCATTTCAGGAACGCGATCAGCTATGCAAAGGGCTGCATTATACTCAGGAGCCTGACAAAGCATCACGTCTTCGGAGTCATAGTCCTAGCCAAACACTACCTGATGCCCCTCGGGTTCACTTAGAATGTCCGTCTCAGGTGTTCTCGTACTGCCTTGAGGACTTGGATACACCAAGTCTGAATAAACTCGGCGAGAAGTTGTGGTGGACGGGTCCATCTCCAGTAATTGTATCCTTGACTCAGCAACTGGCCCTCGAACGAAGGTTACAAGTCATTGAAGACCCATCAGTACATCTACTGTGGACCGGGACCGATAGTGTCATCTATGTCAAGCCACTGCCAGCATACCTAACCTCATTCGCGTTCTGGAGGTATTTGCTTGACCCTGCCAACAGCGACATCAACTCCGAGGAGCGGGATCGATTGCAGGCCACGTCCCTAGGCTTCCTCAAGACGTATGCCAGCCTCATTCAGAGGCGATCGGATTTCAACTTAGCTCGACGACACGACCTACTCGCATCTTTCGGCAACACTTCGTTTGAGGCGTTCATAACTTTCATCTCGCAGTTTGACTCGGTTCCCGATAGTGCAATCAGCTCTCGATGGCGCTATGGGCTTCTTCAGTTGGACGCCTTGAACTTCCATTCGGCAATACACCTGCGCCGCTGGCATTTCAACCGCTTCGAATCTCGGTACGGCACGTACTTTCAGCGTTTCTTCCCTGTGTTTTTGTTTATCTTCGCCTTGCTCAGCGTGATGTTGAGTGCGATGCAGGTTATTCTTGGTGCCAAGCAGCTGGAGGACACAGACAACAAAGGATTGAGGAGAACATTGGACATATTTGTGTGGGGTAGTACTGAAGCTATCATTTGGAGTTTGGCCTTCGGTCTGATGTTTATCATTTGGTGGATTGGGGTCAGCACCGCTGAGGCTTGTAAGAGAAGGAAGATGCAGAAGAAAGTTCGTAAGAGGCTGAAAGAGGAGGTCGGCTGTCCATAGCTGCTCAAGACTGAACTCGATCGAGGCTACATTAGGGCACCCCAATTTGATGAGCGTCCGATCCAACAAAGGTGATTATTTTTGATCCAACCACTGAGTCAGTCAGCCGATCTCTACAGGTTCAGCCACAGCAACACGAGTAGCCAATTTGTACCACACATCTTAAGACCACGGCGCTCCAGCTATCTTATCGCCATATCTTCATTCATAGATAGATGGAATCGTCTGCCTAGACTGTCCTTCGTCGAACATGTGGCACGAAACCTTGGCCCGCTCATAACTATCATCGGATCGCCAGCTCAAATACCAATAGAACGGATTACTAGAAGGAGTCTATTTGGCTGAAATTGCACACGTACGCCAACCTCGTACTACTTGTGTCGGGGCCGATAGACACCATAATTACGTATGTGCCGCTATCGCTGATATATTCTCAGTCATGCCACTGACCGAAACAAAGACTCTACATCAACTCGAATAGTTCACATCGTGCTCACATCCAGCAATAACGACAAATCCTACAAACTGCATGGTCTACACTTTAGCCCCAAGAGCTATACGCCTTCTGCACTCCCAAACTTTCCAATCGTTATATCCCAGACTCGGTCTTGAATGGGTCCAAGCTACCTCATCATCGTAGTTGAAAGGTAATATACGTTATGGCATATCAATTAAGTCAACATGCCATATTTACTCATGGAAATTTCAAGCTTATTATTCTTAGACCGAGCTAAGCTACAGGCGCTTCAATGATCTCAATGTCGTCGGCGTCGACATACGTACCTAATATCGATGACGTCCATGCGGATGCTTCTGCCTCGAACCGCGATCCTTTCAAGTTCAGCCATGGCCTCACTGGCGTGGACCAACCAGCGAACTACCTCTTCGTCAACATTCTCGTTGCGACCGCTCTGATACTGGTCATTCTCGCGATATCCTTTCGCCTTTTGATTGGTGTGCGAAATTACGAGCGCCGAATCTCAGTTATTAATGCTTGTCGGAAGCAAGACTTTTGGAAGAAAGATCGACACCCATGGTGGGGACTACTGAAGAGATATTTTCTATACGCGCCGGTGTTGGCCAACCAGCACGACCGCGAAATAAGAATTTCGAAGACCATCAACGTGGGCACCCTTCCTACACGACCCCAGCTGGCTGTAATCATTTTCTACGTCGTCAGCAATGTTGTATATTGTGCAGCCATACCAATGCGACCTCGAGCGCAGATGTTGGCAGAGTTTCGGGGAAGATGCGGCACCCTCGCAGCCTTCAACATGATCTTTATAGTGCTGTTTGCTCTTCGGAACAATCCCTTCATACGCATGCTCCATATTAGCTACGACACGTTCAATCTCTTTCATCGGTGGGTAGCAAGATTGGGGGCTTTGGAATCTATAGCCCATGTCTTTGCCTTCATGTTCAACGCTTATCATGTCAGTTATGAAGGAAGAGGTGGATGGCACAGCGTCAACTGGATAATCCACCATTCGCTTTCTTATCGATGGGGTTTTGCAGCCTTGTTCACAATGAGCTTGCTGGTGCTGCACTCAATAAGTCCACTCCGGCACGCCTTCTACGAATCGTTCTTAACTCTACATCGTATCGGCATCTTCATTGTTATGGCTGGTATCTACTTCCATCTGGTTAAGCATGCACTGCCACAACTCCCTTGGGTGTACCTCTTTATCGCTTTCTTAGCACTGGAGTATTTCGCACGGCTATTCCGTATATTGAATCTCAACATCTTCTGGAAGCGAGGAACCTGGACCCAAGTATCCCTCGAAGCATTACCAGGAGAGGCAACTCGTGCAACGTTCCTATTACCCCGTTCGTGGAACGCGAATCCCGGATCTCACGTTCACATCTACCTGCCAAGGGTCGCACTCTGGTCTTCCCACCCCTTTTCGGTCGCATGGTTCAGCTACGCGAAACCATCCTCGGAAAAACTTCCATTAAGCATCGACGGAGTCCCGGTCGAAGAGGGAACGGGTACTATATCATGTGTTATTCGTGCTCGAACTGGAATGACTCGATCACTTTATGAGTTGGCATCGACCGGGAAGGTCTGTCATGTGAAACTGTGGGGTGCCATAGAGGGACCTTATGGCAGTTATCACTCCTTGGACTCCTATGGCACGGCTGTGCTCTTCGCTGTCGGAGTTGGCATCACACACCAGCTATCTTTCGTGCGACATCTACTGGCAGGGCACAACAGTAACACAGTCGGAACAGAGAAGATCCTCTTCATCTGGTGTATAACCGATACTGAGTGCCTCGAATGGATTCAACCCTGGCTGGAAGAACTTACAGCTATGAAAAACTTTCGAGAAGTGATTCGCATACGTATTCACATCTCGAAAATGGCCGCGTATGAGATTGACGAAACCCAGTTGCCCGAATTTCTAGATATCAGGACAAGAAGGTGCAACCCCCAAGAAGTTGTCGATGAGGAGATCCTAGCCCAGGTCGGTGCGATGGTCGTCTCAGTCTGTGGACCAGGTGGTTTCAGTGACAGCGTTCGGGCGGCCGTGCGACGCAGGGTGTGCATACGGAGTATCGACTTGATCGAAGAAACGTTCTCGTACTAGAGTATCGCCCAATGAAAACGGAGTTTTGGCTTGTGCTTTAAAGTGCTGGACATGGAAACCTGCAGCCAGATCTTGCCTCCGGCTAGCTACTGGATCGACCTCGCTCAACGGGTCCAATATGACTTGCATTAGTGTCACGCGTCACAAGTATTGATTTTATGTCTGACCGTATTGTAATCTATTGACAAAGTCCTGTTTTCAACTGTTTGATCTTGTTATTATCGCATGATGCCAGTCTCCTCTTACACCTACGTACTCTCACTCATCAAGATTCATACTATATTTGCTATCTTATGAATATCTGCAATTTGCTACATAGCATACTAGTGGCCGCATATGAAAGTCATATGATACCGTGTAGTAACATCGCCATAACTCGTCAGGACTACTTGCACGGATCTGTTGAGACTAACACCCTGTCTTGAGAATAAGGTGTTTTCGCATGCTTTACTTAGGCTGCTGCGCAAACTGACTCACTTAAGATCGTGAGTGATGGAAGACCCTGTTCCCGATAATACTGTGTGGGTGCAATACGCCTTGATTGTGTGTCAAGACTATCTCTTACTAGGTGAGGGCGCACGTTGAGTTCTGACTGAAGGAGGCAACCACGAGACTTCTAGATTGTCCTTGCCTCACACTAGCACAAACTTCGATGCTTGCTCTCTTACTTGCCAAACCTCATTATCTTCAATAAGAACGCTGCGCTTCTAGCTTCCGGACAGCACGCTTGCATTCCACGCCCCATGTCGACAAGTACGTCGTCGCTCACCTCGAAATCACCAGGGATACAGTTGCCTACCAGTAAGAGGACTAGTTAAAATACAAAAGACCTCATCTACCACTGAAAACTACATAAACAGCCCACACACATCAACAGCCCTCAACTTCACAATGTCAAACACCAATCCCAATCCCAACAACGGCAACGGCAACGGAAATGGAAACGGAAACGGCACCTCTACCAACCAGGCCAACTTTTTCCATTCCTCCACCGAGCTCGCAGACCTGGGCCGGGAGCGCTTCGACCACGACACCGCAGCCATCGGCGACCGCGACTTCGCCCTCAACTCTCACCAGCCCGTTACCGTGAGGCCCGGCCGCGCACCCAAGGGCCTCGAGAAAGAGGTCCAGGGCTGGACCATGTTCCAGTATACGACCGAAGATCGCGATGATAGGGAGGAGTTGAAGGGGGATCTACATGAGGGGCAGTTACATCGGCAGAACAGGGCGGCTAGGGATGGTGGGCGGCAATCAGAGCCGATGATGATGGGTGGCGGTCGCGGCGGTAGGGGACATGGTGCTAGGGGTGGGAGGGGAGGTAGGAATGGTGGAGGTGGTGAGGATGATCGCGGTGGCCAGATGGATGGGTTGCGTGCGGGATGGAAACCAGATGATAAGGTGCCGCCGCTAGCAAAGGGGTTTGCGGAGGAGCTGGACAAGAGCATGTTCTGGGACGAGCCGATTGTCTGAGTGCGGGGAAGAGAGAGCGGCTAGATATCGAAGGCACTGCTGGTCTTGCTTACTGGCAGGCTCCATGAGGAAGGAAACTCTATGCGCACACCAACATAGTGCGTATTTTTCTGAGATGCTTCAGCTGTAGTAGTAGGCAAAGCTGCATTAAACGAAAAATTACAAGACCACACAATGGATAACTTGGAAATTTTGGAATAATTGACGGGAGACGGATTATGTTTTCTTAAAATGTCGGTGTATAAGCCCACAGAAGGATTCCCAAAGCACTTGATCAGCACCTCGTAGCCACTCAATGTCCACTTCGCGCGCCAAATCAACGACCTTGATCCTAAACGCGAGCTCCACACTACGCTCTTCGTCTTGCGTCATGTCTACCACTCCCCCTTTCTGCTTTCGCTCGTACGCTCTCCGATGCGCGCGGCTCCACACGTTCTGGCTTGCTTCGCCGATGCCAGTTGACTTTTCGGCGTCCCATGTCCAGGTGAGATCGAGAGATGAGAGTTGAGCGTTGAGAGTGTCCTTTGCAGTTTGTGCATCGGTGGAGGGCGGGAGCTGGATGGTATAGAATGTGGGGAAGGGGAGGAACTCGTTTGCCATTTTCTCCATGCGCGCAATGCTCTATTCATCTATCGTCAGTTTCCCACAAGCAGATGAAAAGCAAGCTGGACTCACATTCCGTGGGCGTAGGTTTCCAAAACTCCACGCGACAATCCACCGCTTCGTACTACCTCCTGTGTCGACAACCCCTACCGCCCAGTTGCTGATTCTGTGCTTTTTCAATAACGTCACGATTGCTTTGGCGCTGTCCAGTTTCCCTAGCATACTACTGTACCACAGCACCTTCTCTCTCAGCACTAAACTCTCATCGACCATCTTCGTGACGAAGCTGAGGTCGCCACCGGGACACACCATCTCTACCTCCGCGCCAGTGCAAATAGCGTTGGGCCTCCAGCTCTTTCCCTCGCCCTTTAGGCTAGATGTCATATCAGTTTGAGAAGTGAAGAAAGGCGGATTGCAGATTGTGAAGTCGAGACGTCCGGTGTTTAGAGCTGCGAGTGGGATGAGAGCGTTGAGCTCAGTAGTTTGAAGAAGTTTTGTACGCGTCATGAGGTTGTTCAGAGCGAGGTTACGGGCTGCCGAGTCGAAGCTCTTCTTGTCGATGTCTGTGGCGCACATTGTCCAGTTCGGGCGCGACTTCAGACAAAGCATGGTGTAGATTGCCGATGCTCCCGTGCCGATATCGAGGCCGACAACTTTGCGGTCTGGGTCGTATTTGTTGGAGTAGTCAGGTGATGTAGAGTCTATGAGGCCTTGTATCCATGCTACGTAGTTCCAGCGATTGGGAATCGGTGGGCACAACCGGTCATCTGGTATCTCGAGCTGCAAACCAAAGTCTGATTTTAAAGTTGCTTTGGATAACGTCTTGACTGTGTTGGGATCTTGAAAGTCTAGTTTTCCTGCGCTCTTTTGCCATATTGCCTTGAAATCATTATCGTTTTTGGCGAGGGCTTTGAAGTCGATTGCGTCGTACGGTGGGCGCTGTGCTAGATCCATGACGCCCTGGAAAGTGGAAACAGTTAGACGAGCTAATTGAGGAGAAGAGATGCCGTGGAGCATTTGAGGAGATGCAGTTGATGCGGTTCGAAGCTTGGACCACCTGGCGCTCATTGGCCGGAACAAAAAGGACGAGACTGGGTAGAAAGAGAAGGGTAAAAATGTACATATTGATTTACAGACATGCTCAAAGAAAAGACACCAGACTCCGGCTCAACCAACAGCATGCTGTGTCTATCCAACGCCATGGCTATATATACATATCAAATCAGGAAGGGTCCATCGTATGCGCCGTCCGGCTCCTGCAGCCGTACCTCCTCCAGCGTTGGTATAGTTCCTGGTTTGTAGAAGCCGAGTAGCACCTCCATGTCTTCTTCAGTCATGGAACATAGGTCATCGAGGGAATACTGTTCGCAGACTCTAGACATCCTACGTCCCGTTAGCTGGGCTATGTATGGTGAGGTGTGATGGAGAAACTGTACCATTGCATCCGCTTGGGCCCTTCTTCGATGTTCGGCGCAACCTTCCTAAGCTTCTTCCGTAGCATGCCCACTCTTTGTACGGCTGCCCCAATGTTGTGTGGTAGGCCAGCAGCTATCTGTCTCCTCACGATGTTGGCCAGCTTCGGCCCGTTGCCATTCGTGCTGACCATGATCTGCAGTGGCCCATCGCGATGTACACTTCCAAAGTAGAAGTCGCACTCTGGCGGTACGTCGGCAATATTCGCGGCTATCCTCTTCTCTTTGCATAGCTTGTATATCTGGGAGGATGACTCGGGATCGTCGACGGCGGTCAGGACCATGTCTACGCCATCGAGATCGGAAGGCTCGAACTTGCGATCTACATAGTCGACCTGCTTCTGTTCTATTCGGTAGGCTACCTCTTCATTGAGGCCTTCGCGCGGTGCGACGAGTGTGATCTTGGCGTCGGCGTTGAGAACGTTCACGATGCGGCCGGCGGCGACCTGTACTTTGGTCAATCGTGTACTTTGGTCAATCGTCAATACTTTCCGGCCACCGGGGACAAGAGGATGCCTACTTCGCCGCCTCCAACAATCAGGACGCGCTTATTCCGGATCTGCCATGCTAGAATCAGGGAGCCGCCTCCTTGGATTTCCGGATATGGGCCTTTCATGACGAGGAGGGTGTTGCGGAGAAGAAAGCAATGGCACGGAGATATCGAAGTCAATGACGCCAAGGCTTCATGCACGCCACAACTTGCATTAGGAGCACTTCACGTGTAATTAAGCTCCTATCAATAATAAATCACAATCACAATCAATCAACGCAAAGTATGGCATTGTTGGACTGGTGTTAAACGGGACTAAATCGTACATTCAAGTGCCAACCACGGGATGAGAACGCGTACCAGGATGCCGGCGGTCAGCCCTGCAGCATCCTTGCGCGCAACGCTGTAGCTAGCGCCCTCGCAACAGCGCCCGCAAAGACCCATGCCCAAGGTCCCTTATCCCGGCTCATGACCACCCTCGACTTTCTTCGATTCCCTCGAATATGGCCTCCCGCAGGTCCCTGGGCGGCGGCCGCGTACTGGGGAGCGGGAGGAACTTGTCGCCTGCTGTCTCCCCGCAGCCGTTAGCCCTCCACCGCCCCAACTACAACCCGAGCCTACTGTCGCCCTCGGAGAGCTCGCTTTCGCTGAGCTCGCAGACGTCGAATAGCCCGGCCAGCACCGCCGAGGCGAGGGAGGACATTGGCAGCAAGGTGCTGCTTGGACCGAGCGAGAATGCCGCGGCGAGGGCTTCAAGCAGGCTGGTGTGCCCCATCTGCAATGAGGAAATGGTAGGTTACTGGCGCCTGCCTGGATTAGCTACCATGTGCTGATAGAGCAGGTCACACTGCTACAACTGAACAGGTACCCAACTTGCCTCTCGACCTACTTCACATCATGCTAGGCCTAACCATTCTTAGGCATCTCGACGACAACCACCAGAACCTGGTGGAAGAGGAGCAGGATGAAGTCAAGAACTGGTTCGAGGCGCAGATGCAGAAAGCAAAGAAGTTCCAACCACTCGCAGTACTGAACCAGAAGCTCAAGGGCCTCGACGTCTTCGAGTCCAACGACGCCCCCACGCCGCCTCCCATCACCCACTCCCGCTCTGCTAGTAGTGCCACTACTCACGTTGTCCACGAACCCGCACCCGTGCGCAGAGACCCCGAGGAGGAAGTCACGCGAATGCATTGGCAAAGAATGAGCTACAGGGACGTATGCTCAGACCCACTCTGTGCGAGGCCCATCACAGCATCACAAATGGCTTTGGGCGGCAGTCAGCCAGCAGTGAACTGCAGGCAATGTGGCAGGCTGTTTTGCGAGGAGCATACCATGTACCAGATGAAGCTGTCACGGCAAGCCAAGCATGACCCTGTCAGGGGCATTTGGTGCCGGGTGTGCGAGACGTGCTACAAGTCAAGAGAAGGGTACAACGACCACCACGGATTCGAGCGCAATCACTTCGATGAGTTCGCAAGCATCAGACGGAAGCGGGTCGATAGAGAGCATATGGAAGTCAGTAGGCTGGAAAAGCGCCTCACAAAGTTGACGCAGCTACTTGCGAATCCGCCCCCGCTGGACGAGAGCCAGACTTCTGGAAGCTGGTTTTTACTATCCGGGGCTAAGAATCATCGTAAAGCTTTGGAGCAGTCCATCATCACATGGGAAGAAGATGCGAAGGTTACGAATTGTCCATTTTGCCAACAGGAGTTCTCCAACTACACTTTCAGAAGACATCATTGCCGCATGTGCGGTCGTGTGATTTGTGGCGACCCTAAGACTGAGTGCTCGACGGAAATAGGATTGAACGTTGCTGCAGGTAGGTTTCATCGTCTTCGTCCTTTCATCTCACTCACCCCTCTTAGGTGCGAACACGACAGAGAAAGCAGCGAGTCAGATGAGCATCGATGTCCGCATGTGTAAAAACTGCCAGCACACACTGTTCGCTAGAGGCGACTTCCAAAGAGAGCTGGCCGAGAAACCGAAAGACCAGCGCTCATACGAGAACTTGGCGCAATTCGAAAGGGGCATTCGATTACTTCTACCTCGGTTTCAAAAGCTTTTACAGGCTCTTCAAGACCCAGACAAACCCCCGACGCCACAGCAATTATCGGATGCTTCTAAAGTACGAAAGAGGTTGATGGAAGGGTTCGCGCAGTTCGATGCTGCCGCGAAACGGATACGAGATTTACCCACGGACTCACCGACACAGAAACGACTCCAAAAAGCTGTGTATCAACAGGCGTACAGCTTCTTGAGCTTGCACATGCTTCCGTTACGTTCTTTGCCGAGGATTCTGAAGCATGCTGCACCGCAAGGTCGCTCGAACGGCGTGGGTGCGCTTGCATCTATCAAGTATAATGACAGATCTGTTGGTAGTTTAGTTAGTAGTAGTGATGTCTCTGCCATGGAGGTGGAGGAGAAGGAGCTGCGAGAACGACTAATTGTTCTGGAGGAGCAAAAATTCATGGTTTCAGAAATGGTTGGAAACGCAACAAAGCATCGAAGATTTGACGAGGTGTCAAGTCTTGCGCAAAACCTGGAGGACCTAAGCCAGGAGATTGACCAAGTCAATGGCCAGCTGGGACAACTCGATTTCGCGGGCGCATATCAGAGAGATTTGGCGAGTCCACCACCTGGATGAAGTCACAGCCCCCATCTTTCACACATTATAACACCCATCATCATAGAAATAGCCATGGCAAAGGCTCTCGAGATGTGCCCTCCCAAACGACTAATCCATAAGGGAAAGGGAGGCTACAGGGAGCTTGAGTCGAGTGAAGCCACCGGCCTAAGGCTTTTATCATATTGCTTCTTATGGTATGGCCTGGCACCTAGAATACCGTAAGCCTACGTTCATGTTGCTACACACCACGGCAGGTAAGATGACGTATAAGATAAACAATAGAGGAGGCTGCAAAACATTGCATGCTATAAACGCCACATCCAGAGTCAATTTAAAGAAATTACCAAGAAACTGTGCACGAGTTAAGAGCTATAGATTTTTCATATTCATCGCATGACGTTCGTCGTTATATCGGAAATACCGAAGGTATGGCCTGGAGTTCTATCTTTAGCAAGCTCGAGTGGAGGTTCATTACACATCAATTACATCCTGTCTTCCACCAAGGCCTCCCAGAAGACGCTCTGACTACAACCTAACCTATGGAGCGACTCGAGTTGTTGCTTCGTGTCGACAAAGGTGCCCTTCCACCCCTATAGGTAGGTGTATGAAGTTGTGGGATGCGCCAAGGTCAGACACAATCTACAAGCTCACCAATGACGCCGCGACACTTCCTGATGCCGGTGTGGGGTGCATACAAGCACGCAAAAGTCTGTTTACCGGGTATTTGAAACTCGTCGAGCTTATATTGAGCGGTGCTGCGAGCTCTTCTAGAACTCTTCTACTCTATATGACAACAACCGAGTCTACCGAAATTCCAAATGGAAAACTCGTGTTGCTGCTAATTGATAGAAGACATGTGATGCAACACCAGGTTTTGGACGCAAATCGCGACGAGTGTGGGTTGGACAAGGATTCTAGGTGTGGTTCGGTGCTGAGGCAGGATGCTGGTTGGAGAAGACGTGGATCGGAGAGAACTTACACTGCTAATACTTAAGGACTATGGAAACCAAGTTCAATATCTCACTGCCTTTCTACTCTGTCATCGCAAGCTAAACTACACACATCATCTCTCCTCTCTAGTACCTATCACACCGCAGAGCACTTTCTTACACAGACATTAACCTCACCATGCAACTCACGACCATCCTCCTCATCCTCGCAATCGCAGTCTCAGCCGCACCTACAGGTCCCAGCCTCGCAGAAATGCATCGCGCCTTCGCCGCATCGGAGCAATGTAAATTGCCCACGCCAGAGCCTAGTTGCTCCGGCGCTTCACGATCAGTATGCGTTACTTTTGCTTCTTGCCTTTGCGCCTACACACAGATGAGGAAAGAATACGGACAAGATGATAGTATGGGAGTCACTAATAAGCTTAACCCAGGATATTATTGTAACATATAACAAAGATAGTAGCGCGGCTACAAAAGCGCTATTACTGAACGCTGCGAAGGCGGCGGGTGGGGAGGTGGTGCATGAGTGGAAGGAATTTGGGTGAGGAATCACTTCTCAGAGAGAGAATAAGTGCTGATGCTGATATTATTGTCGTGCAGGTTCTCTGCTTTCGTGCCCGAGGGTGTGGTTGCACTCTTCCAGGCTCATGGCGAGGTGGCGGGCGTTAGTATTTATGATAATGCGTGTATTCAGGTTCCAATCTGTGGAGATGAACCTTGCTAGATAGATGGATGTTGTAAAGGGAGTCTGTCTGATGGTGATGTGGTTGTGTTGTGTAGGGTCGTAGCTTGGAACGGTCGTGGCACCTTCTCTTTCTTAAATTGAACACCTTACCCAGTTCCTGTATAACGCTAAATTGAGAACAACCCCTTATCTTGAAAGAAGAATGCTATCATCGTATTTCTATCTCGCACGCGTGCTTCCTACAATATCGTTGTAGATTCCAGGCACACAATGCACTCGCTAATCGCCACCTACATTCCGCTCTGACGCGTCGATTCCGAACGTCATTCGCCAACAAAACAACCCACCCAGCAACCCCTAACAAACAATGACTACGTAGTTAACACAACCATCATCATCGTCGCCACCCCCAATTGCTCAATCAAGCAACTTTGGGCCAGCTGTTGATTGCTGCGAATTTCCTTGATTTGGACGATGCTGCCAACTTTCTGGGACGTCGGCGCCGGATGGGGAAGGATTGCGTGTTGATTGCGGCTTAGCGGGTACGCTTTGGGATGGAGATCGGGGCGCGATGGGGATGCTAGGGCGAAATGGATGCTTGGAAGGGGACTAAAGGGGCGAGGCAATGCATATAACTGACTAATAGGTGTTTTGCACAGCCCTAATGCTCCGTCTATAGAGAAGGTCAGGTGAGTTATGTTAGTGCACACGCGACTATGAAAGGAGGCTATTTTACCGACGCGCGAGACGCGACGAATATGGAGAAAACTTCGGTGGTAGATGAGAATTCAGCGATGCTAAAACATCCCACAGAGTATAGTATAGTATTGGTTTGTACACATCAACTCTCCTCGATTATCTCTAACCCCTCTACCTAACTGCCACTACTCAACTACTGTCACTCATACTCTGAGCCGGCGTCGACACAGGCAAGTCCACGCACTCGTTCAGAACTGACTCGCTACAAACATCTTCGGGAATGGAGTACGTCGAGCAGTCGATCGCCGCATCCTCATTTCTCCGTCTCGGCATGCCCTGCTGTCGAGCCGTCATCTTGGCGATCCGCTCCTTGAGTTCAAGGCCTCTATCTTGATTCCGCTCGATGCGATCGAACCATGCCAGAGTAAGCGGGGATATAGAAGATGTCGGGGTGTCTGTACGTGATACAGGTGTTGTAGGAGGAATACGTTGAGTTGGGAGTGGAGTATATGCTGGACTTGCGCGTGCCTTGTCTTCTGTTACGGTCTCAACATTGCGTGGGGGCTTCTGGACTACTTCGCGGCGGGATCGGCGGCTGATCTTTTGTATCGTGTCGGGATCTTGAAATGCGACTGTTCTTTGGGATTTACTCCTACGTAGAGGGTACTCAGTGAGGGCTTCTCTACTGATCGAACGGTCATCAGCCCTGTCTTTGTTCGCATTTATTTCTGCCTGTGGTGGTGTTTCGGCAGGCGTGTCCTGCAATGCTGCACTGGCATGTTGCTTCAGTCGGCTCTCTGATTTCTTCACTTCTATTGGGATCTGTATGTCTTTGGTCTCCTGCAAAAGCCTCTTGATCTAGGACATTAATTAGTCGTTGAGTATCAGACGGACAAGTCCTCTTACCTCAACCTCTTCTGCTGACATGAGTAGAGCTTGTTTGAGAAGAGACCGCGCAAGCTTTACACTATGCTTATCTTTTGAGTCAAAGGACCGGTGTCGCGGCAATCTTCCTTTTGGCGCGTTCTCACGTTTCCTCTCACTCGTATCATCGGAACGGAACGAACGCAGAGAGCTTGTGCGAACTGGTACTTGCGGTGTATATTCTTCCTGCCTTACCTTCTCTTTTCCTTTCTTCCGTGTTCTGCTCACATCTTCCACCACCTCCTCATCCTTCAGACTCTTCTTCTTTGTCGTATCTTCCTGCAGCACCACCTGCCCACAAACTCTTGCCCTAGGGATATATCCACAAGCCAACCACTCGCCCGTCTCCCCATCACTATCCTTCAAACCCAGCACAGCTCTTACCTCGTCTAAGCATATCCACGCACGTGCTTCAAAAGCGTCAAATCCCGCTGGCGTCATGTTCAATACACCTTTCGGCACCTTGGGCAACGCGCCTTGCTCAACCCATATCGGTATTTGCGTCCCTCCCGTCGTTGAAGCAGAAGCAGGGACTAGGCCATCGGTGTCGACAATAAGTTTTGTTGCGTGGAGAATGCGACCTTTGCGTTTGTGGACGGATGTGGATTGTGGAAACTTCAGCGCGGTGGCTTCGCTTTCGTATGCGGACGCAAAGCTTGAAGTCTCTACTTCCCCACTCTTATACTTGAAGTGTGTTTCAATGCGCTGCTTCGTAATATCATTCCATTTGAATCCTCGCTTGGTAAGATGACTGTCAATTCGCGGGATGGTGAGGGCGCCATCTGAGCTGCCAATTGTGGGGAATGCAATGTCGTCGACGACGATGTAGAGGAATTCGGGTAGGCGAGTGCGGTCGTTCACAGGCGCGGTGGGAATTTTAAGTGATTGCTTGAAGGGGCTGCGCAAGATCAATTTTCTCAGAAAAGGTCGCCTCGATGTTGTAGTGAATACGTACATGCACATATTTGGTGGGAAAAATCAGTGGGTGCACGTAAACGATAGATGAAGGGATGGAATATGTTTTAATTTGCTGCTGTGTCGATGTTTGGTAGTGGGTCCGTCACTTTGGTATGGTTTGCAACACAATCTGGATGCGCCATGGATGTGGCTACCTAGCGCCAACGAGCTGACCTGGAAATGTAATTTGTTGATTTTGGCCGGTGTTATACTAGGAAGTATGAGTGTTCTGGAGAGCAATAGCTGCTTTAGAGAGATGACATCCGTAATAATGCCGATTAGAAGCATTCATACATATCACCCGTGTATTCATCTGCGAAAATCTTAGTCTCATCTGAGTCCTCCACGGCTTCTTCTTCCCACTCTAGCGCCTTTCGCCATTCATCGACCTTTTCCTTCAGTGCCCTCATGTTTTCAACCACTGGTGACTTCTCTCTAATCCACCTCTCGTGTGAATGCCATTCGACTATGCTTACCCTCCTTGCAGTTGCCACGCTGCGTCCAGCGGGATATGCATTGAACCCACCACCATTTTCAACCCATACCTGCAAGAGTCCCGAGCAGAAGATCTCTGCGATAGCGGCTTGACTGGGTCGGAAGATGAGATAGATGATGAACTGATGCATGAGAAAGTGCTGCTTGAATTGTCCGATGCGATGAAGGTAAGTACATATATCTTCAACGAGGTTCATGACGTAGTTCGAAGATTGATGTGCTCGGTGCTGTGCTAGTCGATTGTGCGAGTCCTTCGAATAACCACATTCGCCTGGAGGGAACTGAAACGGTGTATCGCGATGGGATGCGGGTGTCTCGAGCCAGCGATTCTGTATTCCTCGAAACAGGCGGTGGAGGGTCTCTACGCGCTTCGAAGAGCGATTCGTAGTGTGAATATACTTACGGTGGCCTTGATCAGATGCTGATTTAGTCACCATGGGAGGCGTGATATTGTCCACATGCAAGGCATGCTCGCAGTTGTGTGCTTCTCCAAGGTAGTCAAACACCATGTTCCCTATCACTAAGTATTGATTTGGTGTCGGTGCAATGCCGTGCTCGTCTGCCAGGAGGTGTATATAGATTGAGGGCTGATCGTGCGCTCGCTCATGGATGACGGTATATTCTCCTTGGAGCTGCACATTTGACGCCATTTGCCGAACCAAATTGCCGTTCACGGCTGCAGCGAATACGGACGGTGCAGATGCCAGAATAAGTGCGCATTCGCGCATATGCGAGACCCGGTCTGTGGCATTAATGATAGTACTATTTTCGTATTTAGGAAGTTCTTCGTCGAGGACTTCAGAGATAATGGGTTGATAGTGTTGCGAATGAAGCAGGTGAGACCATCTTCTACGGCGATCGCTGAGCGCTTCAGGGGCAGGTGAGCTCAGCCCTTGGCCATCGATGTCACTGTTGTGGCCGTAGTGTTTGGCTCTAGTGGTGACCATCGATTTTCGAACTGTAGGTAAAGAAATATATCGAAATAGGGTATGGTAAGGTAAAGATGTCGAAAGGTAGTATGCGTAGGGTCGGGTATAGAAGTAGTATATAGAATGTTTAGAGGGTGCATATTACGAAATACTCACTACCCAGCATTGGTGCTCCGTCAATGAATGATCCTTCTCACTCTGTTCATGAAGGCAGGTGCTTCCATGTAGCGGTGAATTGGAGGTGGAGACGACGAAAAAGTGCGAATGGCTAAGAATTTCCTTTGCCTTTAGAGGTAGTTTACTGCCCCGGATGAACTGGACGTGGATAGTAGTAGTGAGCAAGACATGGTTATGGGCGTCAAAGAATCAAACATCGCGAGATACCATGAAAGGTAAGCAATGATGTCTTCGCCAACGCATCGTCATCTCGAACTTGCATGTCGGTATCCATGTTTGAGACCAGGAGCCAGAGAGAGTCTCGTCTTCCCGGTGACTTTGCGCCTGCTGGAACCCAAACTGAGTATCCTCCTTCAGAGCCATCGATGAACAAGTGAGTCTTCGTCCACTGTGTTAGAGTCTGAGATAGTGTACCGATCACAGGGGTTCGCCAAACATCAAGGTTGACATTGTGAGGTATGAAACATGACATGATGCAGTAATGTTGTGAAAGGGTTGCAGAGTGGCGTTGCGATAAGCTGTGGCGTTGTGGCTGGTGCAATATGACTCGTAGCGCGATTGACAAATGCCCCTCCAAAACCCCTCCAGCTGCTGCACACGAGCTCCAAGCAGCAAACAGTGACACCATTGACACTTGTGAGGTAAGAATCTCGCCCCAATCCTCGAATCGTGGTCAGATGGCGACACCATTAGTCAATACTGGATCCCTACCCCATTATTTCGCCAGCCGTAGCAGTCTTGGAACTTTGAGAGAGGTCCGCTAATACCGCGTAGACATGGCAGAGCCTACCGCACCCGTACCTGAAGAAGAAGAGAAGGGGCCATCTAAGCGTGCCCTTGAGAAGGCAGCAAAGAAAGCCGCAGCCAAGGCCAAGAAAGCTGAATATGCGCTCCGACCCAAAGAGCAGGCGAAACCTGCTGCCAGCTCTGAACCAACCAGTATTTTCTCCGAAGGCTGGCTGAAGCGCATATACGAGGAGAAAAAGGTCAAAGACGTACGAACGCGCTTCCCCCCCGAACCCAACGGCTACCTACACATTGGTCATGCGAAAGCCATCGCCGTCGATTTTGGGTTTGCCAAACACCACCAGGGCGCTTGCTACCTACGATACGATGATACCAACCCGGAAAAGGAGGAAGAGAAGTACTTCACTGCCATATTAGATGTCGTCAAATGGCTAGGCTTCGAGCCGTGGAAGATCACATACAGCAGCGACAACTTCGACAAGCTTTACGAGCTGGCAGAGCAGCTGATTAGGAAAGATGGCGCATACGTGTGTCATTGCTCAAGTAAGTACTCGCTGAATTTGTCCTCGGGTGAGGCTGACTAGTTTCAAGGAGAGGAAATCAACAACCAACGCGGAGGCCCGGATAATCGAGGCAAACGCTACGCCTGCGAACACCGTACGCGACCTATCGAAGAGTCCATCACCGAGTTCCGAGCGATGCGCGATGGCAAATACCAGGCTGGAGAAGCCTTCTTGCGCATGAAGCAGAGCCTGACGGATCCGAAAGAGGGCAACCCACAGATGTGGGATTTGCCTGCCTACCGTGTGGTCAAAGAGAACCACCATCACAGAACCGGCGATAAATGGAGAATCTACCCTACCTACGACTTTACGCACTGCATTTGCGATGCTCTCGAAGGCATCACGCATTCGTTATGCACGGTCGAGTTCCGCCAGTCGCGCATATCGTACGATTGGCTCCTGGAGCAGCTGGATATAAAGGTGCCCAAGTCAGAGGAGAAGGGCCCCATGCAACGGGAATTCGGTCGCCTGAGCGTCGGTGGCACAATCCTCTCGAAGCGCCGCATTCTCCAGCTTGTCGAAGGTACCACTGTGGAGAGGAAGAACGAGGATGGCACAGTAGAGACAAGAAGGATCCCTCCAGCGGTACGAGGGTGGGATGATCCGCGTTTGTTCACCATGGTCGCTCTTCGCCGCCGTGGCATTCCCGCTAAGGCCATGCTCAACTTCGTCGATGAGCTTGGTGTCACTGACTCAATCACGGAGATTGAGCCTCCACGCTTTGAATCGTCCATTCGCAAACATCTCGAACGCACCGTGCCTCGTCAGATGCTAGTTCTTGACCCGATCAAGGTCGTCATCGAGGACTTCGTCGCTGAGGATGACCAGGAGATGACCGTGCCCTACGATCCTAAGGGCACTATACCTGGTGAGCGGAAAGTGAAGGTCGGCAAAGAAGTTTATATAGATCGCAGCGATTTCAGAGAGGAGGACAGTGAAGACTACTTCCGTCTGGCGCCAAACAAGGCCGTCGGTCTTTACAACGTTGCCTTTTCGATACGCGCGACCTCGTTTTCCAAGGACAACAACGGCAACGTGTCAGAGATCAGAGCTGTTAAGGTGCCAGCGACGGAGAGGCCGAAAGCTTACATTCAGTGGGTGGACGTGGCGACTGGTATCCCGGTGACAGCGCGCTTGTACAACTCGCTTTTCAAGACCGAGTCACCGAATACCTTAGATTGGAAGACGGGCGGCTGGGCTGACGACCTGAACTCAAACTCTGAAATCATATACGAGAAGGCGGTGATCGAAAAGGGTTTGAAGGATCTGATCAAGGAGACCTCGCTAGACCTAAGTGGCTCGTCAGATGCTCTTATCCGCTTCCAGGCCCTGCGGACAGCCTACTTCTGTGTCGACATTGAGTCTACAGAGGATAAGGTTGTGCTGAACCAGATCGTAAGTCTGAGGGAGGACAAGGGCAAATGACGCAGCGAAAGCCTTCAATGTTCGTAGAAGGTGATGAGCTTTCAGCATTTGGCGTTGTTGTAGATGCTCATGTTGCGATGTAATGTAGAGATATCCCAGGCAGTTAAAATACCAGATTGAAATCTGCGTGAAAGGTTTTGACGCGCATATGGTAGCCCCGATTTTTGTCACATGTGAAGCGCCATTCTTCTCATCAATCATGAGGCTACTATGCTAGCAGTCGGGCCTTCCTACAGCGCGGCTCTTGGTCCGCAGAACACGACACCTCGTTCATCTTGAACTTCACACAAAATCAGCCTAACTGATCGATAAGATGCTTCCAGATACGCAGGTGTCTGGAATTCGGATGCATTGGAATCACAGAGACAACTTTTTCATTACGCCCATGGATTTGGAGGAGGGGAAGTGAGTCAGTGGGTGGCATGCATATCCCCGCAGGAGTTGCTTGGATCAGGGACTACGGTCCCTCAAAGGAAACTAATGGCGGTGACACAAAGCCTGACAACGCGGATCTGTAGTCATTCACTTGTTCGAAGATTGCTCCGACATTCCCCACCACGGTTCGTAAGTGGCAGTGTCAGTAACCTGACCACACAATTCCTATCGACCTCATGAGCGATGCGCAAAGTTGAGGCGTAAGTACAAAGAGTATGCTTTAACGCAAGGCACTCTAGAGCTAGTAAATGCTCATATTCATCGTCAGTGGGTTCTTTCTGTCTTGACCTAGCGCTCTTTCCTTCAGCTTCTCGGCGATCAACGCTTAAATACTTCAGATCCCAATGTCGTTTCCTTCTTCTAATCATATCAGAAACCCCGCCAAGGTCATTCTGGGAGGTGGACTAAAAGGTTGTAGAGTTCTGCTAGAGCTCGTAGTAAATCGTACAGGCGGTGATGGTATAAATGAACGGTACTGGTACTAAGCCACTGGTACTCAACCACAAGAACTTTCGCAGGGAGCTTAAGATCACTTGTGCTTGCCTATTGTAGGATCTAGTTAGGGAAAGCGATGGCCCTTCCGAGCAATAGAAGAAGCGACATACCTCGGGCAGCGACGGAGTCTCAGCATCACTCACAGCAATCACGCATCACGTCTTGTCTCACCTTTGGCTAACATCATATTCCACCGTAATCAATATCGTTAACTACCAGCAGCTGTCTATCGCTAGGTCGTTTACATTTCTAAATAAGCATACGTAAGTGAGATTTCCTGGTGGAAAGTTCTAGATCTGACAGTGTAGGTATTCACTCACTGCGTACTTCATCAAAGTTCATCGGTGTCTATCCACCTCGTTCCGGATCAGTGCTTCGAGAAGGCTTGCGTCGTTATACCATCACATCATGAATCATCACGACAACAACAACCATATCAAGAGGCTATACGACGATGAGACAGATTCAGATGAAGACTTCTATAGACCAATATTTCCCCGTCCGCTCGCTGAGCAATTGACAGTCATCGCCGCAAGCGATTCGGCGAAAGATATGTCCGATGATACCATGGCCGCCAACGACAGTGCTAGTAGGATCCAATTGACGAGAGAGCAAGAGATACAATGCCTTGAACAGATGCTACTGGACCGCAGCGCACAACTCAATACCGCGGTGGCAAGCGCGATAGCCAGATCGATAGCCATCAGGGAAGATAGATTCGTGATCAAGCTGCCGAGGAAATATTGGAATGAATACTGGATTTACCCCTACCCTAAACACTGGGACATGGGAGGCCTGCACAACAACCTCGTCCGACATCCATACATACTCGAAAGGTTCTTGTACCAAGAGAATGAAGTACTTGACTTGATCGAAATGGAGAAGCGTCGTGTCAGGCGTCGAATTGAAGACCAGGGAAACTTTCCAAATGACGGCGAGTTGAAATACTTGATGGACCAGATCAAAGATCGGCAGTGGTCCATTGAATTAGAATGCCCACAAAGACTTGTTGGCGAGATGTTGACCAGTATGCTGGATCGGATTTCCTCGGACATCTTGAACAACGTCGACAAGAGTTCTGAGACTACATCCATTTCAGACATGCCCTCCAGCCTACTCGACATCATCAAGGAGGATGTAGATCTCCGAAAGCAATTTGCGAAACTGAGAGAGGTAGAGCGCGAGCATTTTCCGTGGCTGTCCGAACCGGCAAATATGTTGGCACGACAAACCGAGCGATCAGACACTACAGTATCTGACGTACCAAATTTCAAAGAGCCAGCTCCATTCCCGCCTTCGCCCACAGATGTGATCTATGGTCCGGAGTATATGGTGTTGGCGGACAAAGTGAAAGTTGAAGAGAAATATTATGCGACCTTTGAGTGTATACCTTGGGTGGCCAAGGGTCCAATTGAATATGGATTACGCAAGGACCTATGTGTAAGGCTGAAACCCCAGAAGGTCGAAATTCCCCCTGAGCATCTTCTGCCTCCTATTGTCTACATGGCTAGAACATCGCCCACGCCACAGGATCAACAGTCGGAGTCTGCCCAGGGTCAACAAACAACATCCACACCTCAACAACACACGCCTGTGCCTGAACATTCACAAACACCAACGCCGGATAAGGTCCGCTCGACTTCTAGTCAGTCAGACGCCAACCAACCATCAAACTCTCGTCCTGGAGCCATTCAGGTATCCCCTTCGGGTGTTCAATCACCAGAGACGGCACCGTCTACCTCCCCCTCTGGAACGATGCAAGAGTCTGAAGTGCCATCCTCAGTCGCCGTGTCAACGCCAATCAGATCCGTGATCGGGTCGGCCTATCTCACCCCCATTCCCATGAAGACGCCCGCTCAAACTCCAGGGTTCTCCAAAGATGTCCAGGGCCAGGGCCCTGCAGCGAGCCGCTTGGTTTATCGGTTGGAGCAAGAGAAGATAAAATCTTCTGATGGGGTAGTACAACAAGTTAGGTTTGCGGAGCGAGAGCTGTTTCCTGGTAAGTCCGCAGATCTGCCCGCGCTTCCAATTCACGGTTTCTGTATTCAAGCTCTGGTGAAGAGCAGTGCTAATGAGGGAAAAGGAGAGACACCGGGCGAAAGCTCATCGAGCAGAGTACACGACTGGCTTAACCGCGAAGACGATGCTAAGGGCAATGCTAAGGGTAATGCTAAGGGCAATGCACATCAGGCCAATGATGAGGAAATGCGTATGTTGGCCCATCTATCCTATCTTGGACTGGGTCGAAGATCCTTGGAGCTAACCATGATTTGATAGACGATGCACCAGATGTACAACCGGGGCCACAGCCTGAACAGCACGGAGAAGTGCAGGCACAGTCACAGCCAGAACAGCATGCCAATGAATCGACTGACAACCACGGCGAAGAGAAAGATGAAGATCGGGAAATGGCGGAAGGAGATTGGGATGCATTGACAGAGGAAGAGAAGATGTTGAGACGCGACTCAGCGTACAAGTCCAGGCAGGCAAGTATGGCGCATCCTGGGAGTGGAAGAAGATAGAGAGAAGAGGTTGACTGGTCGGTGATGTTGTGTCGTAGGACGTGCGGCGAGCTATTACTTGCTATGCTTTTTTGCAAGTATGGCAGGTTGTCATCGTTAGCTAGTAATCGGCTGCGCCACGGCTTCAACTTTTGCCAAAAGGTAGTTTGTTCATTCGGTATCGTGAATCGTTACTGCGGGACAAAGTCAGCTTCAGCTGGTCAGACCAGTCTTCGCGACCATACGCCTATTTTACTACATTTTGATCTCCTAGCTACGTCACGTCAACATTCCCTTGCCATACCTTCGAGTCAAGCATTGGAAAGCCACTCCCATCTCACCATCCCTAACCCCACGTGCGCGCTTCCGATTCGTCAATCCACCCTCTTCGCCGCCCTCGCATCTCCCGCAGAGCACACGTGCATCTTCCCAGCGATATCATTGATAGGAACACAACGTAGAAGTAATTGAGCAAACAGCGGACGTCGCCGCCCAATCTCGCCTTGCGCACCAATGAGGCCGCTCACCTTCCCAAAGGAGCAAAGGGCCTTGGCGCGATAGCGAGGCCATGAGCCAACCACACGACACGCGTAGATACACGCGTTGGGATATGGGGATGGGGAATTTATATTGCCAAGGTGCGTCCTCCGCGCTGCCTCGCTCCAGGCTGTGAACAAGGTAGTCTCCTGCTTTGATAGGCAATGAGCTAGTTGAGGGCTGATGGGCGGAGTGTTAGGAACAGGATAAGTGCGGCCGGGGGGGATCTGGCTTGGAATGATGCTGTGCGATCTTGACGTAGATACTAGGAGGAGGTATAAGAGCTGGGAGATGTGCTCTATTTTGGATCAGCTAGAGCTTTCTTGCTAGTCTAAGCTCCCGAGACTCCGCCGTTTCGTTCCCGCAGTTGCAAAGCAATATGGCGGCTTTTTTTACGCGCTTCCTCGCTCTCGCTGCTTCCCTCGCTGTCTCGTCGTCTGCGACTACTATCGCTGAAATCAACGGGCCCAAATTCCTCTCTCCACTGAAGGACCAGGCCGTTTCCAATGTCAGCGGTATCATTACGGCAAAGGGCCCCGATGGGCTGTGGCTCCGCTCCATCTACCCCGACCGCGATGAGCGCACCTCCGAGTCGCTCTACGTCTTCGGCCGCGCATTCGGCGCCAACTTGACCGTTGGCGACTCGATTGTAGTGCGGGGGCAGGTCGCGGAATACAGGAACAACAAAGACTACCTGTACCTGACCCAGCTGTCGCGTCCTGTCTTGGAGAAGAAAGTCAGCAGCGGAACCAAAGTGCAGCCCCTCGTTATCGGCAAGGACACACGCGATCCGCCCACGGAGCAGTACAGCAGCCTCGATGGCGGAGATGTCTTCGCCGTGCCGAACAATGTCTCGCTGATCAGCGTAGCGAACCCCGAGCTGCAACCGAAGACGTATGGCCTGGACTTTTGGGAGAGCTTGTCCGGAGAGCTGGTCACGGTGCAGAAGCCGACTGCGCTCACAAAAGCCAATCGGTTCGGCGATACGTGGGTCGCGGGCAACTGGAAGGTCAGCGGGCGCAACGACCGTGATGGACTGACTATTACGGACAAAGATGCGAATCCAGAGGCCATCATCATTGGCACGCCACTTGACGGGACCAAGAACCCTACCAGCACTCGCATGGGTGATTCCGTCGAGGAGATCACTGGTATCGTCAGCTATGCGTTTGGTTTCTATCGTATTCTGCCCACCACTGCCATCAAGATCACCGACTCGCAAAAGCAGGAGCTCCCCAAGCCGACGAAGCTGGAGTCGAAGGGCAGGTGTAGTGGCATTACAATTGGAGCCTACAATGTCGAAAATCTCGCGCCCAACTCTTCGCACCACGGTGCTGTGGCCGAGCATATTATAAAGTACCTGAGGAGCCCGGATATCATCTTCGTGCAGGAAGTGCAGGATGATAACGGCCCTACAAACGACGCAAGTAAGTGATATTTCCAGAAGCCTTCCACGACATCTTGCCCCTCCATCTCCTCCGTGAATATGTCGTACGCCCCTTCAAAGCGCACTGCTGTCCTACCAAGTCGAGAGCAGTATCACGACGCACACCGTCAGTCTAGGTATACAGCCGAGTCTCACCATGAAAACTAACCACATGTCTAGTCGTGTCCGCCAACCTCACGCTGACTACCCTGACGGCCGCCATCAAAAGTGCTGGAGGACCAGCCTACACTTTCACCGACATTGTGCCCGTCGACGATCAGGACGGCGGCCAACCAGGCGGAAACATTCGCGTTGCCTACCTCTACAAGCCCGAGCTGATTCGGCTTTACAAGCCCAACCCAGGAGGCTCGCTCGACGCAAACGAAGTGCTTAATGGACCAACGCTCAAGTACAACCCTGGCCGTATTGATCCTGCGAACAAGGCATGGACAGCGAGCCGCAAGCCGCTGGCTGCGCAGTGGGAGGTGATTAGCAAGAAGAGCAGTGCCAGCAAGGCAGACACGTTCTTCACGGTAAACGTGCACTTTGGCTCCAAGGGGGGAAGTAGCAGTCTACACGGCGATGCGCGGCCGCCGGTGAACGGAGGAGTAGCCGACCGACTTGCCCAGGCGCAAATCACAGCAAACTTCATAAAGGTACGTAATTTTTCTTGATACTGGTTCTTGGTAAATCGTTGGCAGCCTTTTTAGCGGCAAGCGTCTTGTGCGAAGAAGGGTGGCTGCAGCGTGCAGCCCGAGACGGTACGACGAGAACGTGGGCACAAAAAGATGCCACGCTCGCACGATGAGCTGGACTAAAACACAACGAACGAAACGAGGCTGACAAGGCGTCCAACCAAAACAGAACATTTTGGCAAAGGACAAGGACGCTCGCATCATCACAGCAGGCGACTTCAACGAATTTGCGTTTGTCGAGCCGCTGGAGCAATACGCGCAGATTTCCGGGCTCAAGGACCTGGATGCCGTGGCTAAGATTGACAAGCTGGAGCGCTACACCTACTTGTTCGATATGAATGCGCAGCAGCTGGACCACATGTTCGTGTCAGACTCGGTTGCAAAGTCAGGGGAGGCAAAGTACGAGCACATACACCTTAACACGTGGCCAGAGTTGGCGTCCCAGGTGAGCGACCACGACCCGTCCGTGGCCAGACTAGATGTGTGCGCCTAGACTGGTGTCCTGCGTGTAATCATTGCACGCGCATTAGTGCAGGTGTAGAGAATAGATCAAAGTACATGAAGAAGTAATAATGACTATCATGCCGTCTCACCTCAAAATTACCTTGCAGTTCGGAAGATGGAGTTGACTGTAAGGGGCTTGCTTATTTTGAGTTTCTTTCAAATTAGCAAATTCAATGCATATTGCGGCGTCGTTGCGCCCGGGGCCTGGAACTTAGTTTGAGAAATAGGCAACGCACGAAAGCGATACTGTGTATGCGTGCTGACAGTATTGAAAGGCCGGGGCAGCCCTGCCATTGGGCCACTAATTCGACATGGCTGCTCTCAACGCCGCAATAGACGACGCACCTAGATGACCATGCAGGCGTCGCGTAACGAAGTCTTGGTGAGAGGCTCCTGTTCAACGGCGCTCACGGAGGCAAATCTCGCAGGGCCACGCGACTGGCACATGGACGGGATCGGCTCAACCTAGTGAGCAGCGGAAGAAGAGAAAAACTGTTGGGTGAAGGCTTGGGTGTGGAGTACTGTCTGGGGTCGTTTCGGCGCAACGCAACAATGACCAAGCGAAAACGGCGATTGAGCGACGAAGCGACAACGGTCGCCAACCAAGATTGAAGGGCCACGTGTGGGTTATTCGCCAGGCGGGATGGCGACACCCGAACTGCTTGCGCGCACGAATACCGTAGTCCAGGTTTGTCTGCCGTCACACGCAACCGCGCACCAAGGAACGGAAGGGAAAAGTGACTTTATCCCAGTCGCAATCGGAGGGGCAGCGCGGATGGGGTTTCCATCCATTGTTCCGTTGGCCATCAGCGCGCTATGGGACCCCCGATGGGCAGGCAGCCAGTAGCAGCGAGGCAATATTCCTTTTACCCGACAGCCAGAAAACTGGGCGTCCGTCAGCGAAGGCTTGCATACTGGCTTGGCGATTGTCTTGGGACACCCCCCCTGGTACAAAGAAAAAGCATCTCATAGTGGAGGTGGTTGCTTTCAGACGACCAAAAGCGACGCCGGGTGTGGAAGACGGCGGACGTCAAGTCAGTCTGGAGAAGGGCGGGGGAGGCTCTAGTGGGCAAGTGCGACCCACTGCTAGCGGGGGGCCAAGCTCTCCGCAGCGGGCCTATAACGCGGGGCAGCAGCAGCAGCAGTAGCAGAGTCGCTGTATGTATCGTTGTTGGGGTTGTGTCTTTCTATCGTCGGTTGTTTCGTTTGGCCATCGGAACGACAATCAAATCAGCTACTGTCCTGTCGATGCGTCGTGCAATTTGGCGGCTTACTATTGAAACAAAGGACACTGGCACGCCTGCGTCCCGTCTCTGTTCTGCCGGCTGAAGACGCTCCTTGCCCAACTGCATCCTCATCCATCTCTCCATCTGAAGAGGCGTACCGCCAAGGGCTTGGGTGGCGCTTTTCGCCCTTCTCCAGTGGACGCATCGACCGGTGCCCAGATCTTCCATCTACGCCGTCCCGGCCCTTCTCGAATGCACCGCGTCCCAAAACATGGCCTTGGCCCGATACGAAGCGGCTTCTTTACCCAAAAACACCCAGAAATCAACGAGATTGTGGGTATCGGACGCGCCGCCCATGTCCTTCCTTGCTGGCTGACGGGGTCATGGGAGGCTGAAACCACAATCGAAGATATGCCCCCTTTGTCTGGAATTCGTTGTTCTGGTCATCGGTCAGGCTGATGGGTAGCACAAAGACTGCAAAGCCTAGGGCGGCGTGTGCGGGCTGCGACAGTGCGACAGATTTGACAAACGAAGAGGCAACGTCGTACGGCGGCCAATACGCCCGTTGAGGCGCGTCGTAGCAATCTCGTCTCTCTTGTCCCTTTTGGCGCCATTTCACTTCCGCCACGCCCGGACGCACCTGTAGACGGGCCAAGCAGGATCCACTCTCTTGTCCCATCCAACCGCCCCCATGGGGTTCCGCATCACACTACTTATCCTAGTCGGATCAACCTAGCAAGCCCATCTCGTTTCGAGCGTATGCGAGGACCCAGTGTACATATAGAGACCCTGGGCCGCCCCCCCCTTGAGTGTGTTCCCTCAGACTCCTGTACTCCAGTCAGCGCAATGGCCGCCGTCCAACCCCACTCCAATATGGACCATAGTGAGAAGGCCATCATCGCTGCCAACAGTGATGTAGAGAGCTCTCAAATCTCCACCCCCGCCGACTACGATGATCTTCCCGACCCAGACGCGGGCAAGAGTCCCGCGGAGCGTGAGAGGCTGGTACGTTGCTCTTTTTCTTCTCTTCAATCGCCATCTCTTCCTTTGGCACATATTAACTTCCGCATTAGGACAAAGCCCTCGTCCGGAAGATGGACATGTGGTTAATTCCATGGTTGTCGCTTCTGTACCTGCTCTCTTTCTTGGACCGCACCAATATCGGAAATGCTCGTGTTGCGCACATGGAGAAGGACCTGAAAATGTCATCTCGTGACTACTCGAATGCCTTGACCATCTTTTTCATCTCCTACGCTGGTTTCGAGCCACTCACCAACATTGCCATCAAGAAATGGTCGCCCCGCGTCTTCTTCACCCTCATCATCCTGGCCTGGGGTATCATCATGACGCTCATGGGTCTTGTCAAAAACAATGCCGGTTTGCTTGCATGCCGCTGGTTCCTCGGCATGGCTGAGGCTGGTCTGTTCCCGGGTGTCAACTACTACCTTTCGTGAGTATTCTGCCGACATTGCTGGTTACAGAACGCAATGCTGACTTTCATAGTTGCTGGTATAAGCGCCAGGAACTTGGTTTCCGTGCCGCTCTCTTCTTCTCTGCTGCCGCTCTTGCCGGTTCCTTTGGAGGTCTTTTAGCTGCTGCAATCACCCAAATGGACGGTGTTGGCGGCTACGAGGGATGGCGTTGGATCTGTTCGTGCTCCCCGGCTTCTCTATTCCTGCCATGTGCTAACGACTGCAGTCATCATTGAGGGCATCATGACCGTAGGTGTCGGCGTCTTCTGTTGGTGGATGGTGTTCGACTTCCCTGACACAGCCCGCTTCCTCAACGCTGATGAGAAGCTGCGAGCTCAGCGCCGTCTGAAGCTGGACGGACAGGCCCGTGCCAAGGTTGGAGGCATTGACCGCGCGCACGTTATGGCTGCGCTCAGGGATTGGAAGACTTGGGGCTACGCCGTCATCTACATGGGCTGCCTGTGCCCCCTCTACTGCTTCTCTCTCTTCCTGCCGACCATCCTTCTCGGTATGGGTTACAAGGGTACCAAGGCCCAGCTCTTGTCTGTTCCGCCTTACGCCGTTGCCGCCACGATGACGGTCATTACGGGATGGGTCGCCGACAAGACCAAGTGGCGTGGATACTGCAACATGGTTGTGTCCTTGACTGGATGCATTGGTTTCGCCATGTTGCTCGCCACGTCCAACGTGCACGTCCAGTACGCCGGTACCTTCCTAGGCGCCGTAGGCATCTACCCCACCGTCTCCAACACGCTGACTTGGGCGTCGAACAATGTCGAAGGATCGTTGAAGCGAGGTGTCATGGTCGGTGTCGTCGTCGGCTGGGGTAACTTGAACGGTGTTGTCTCGTCCAACATCTACATTGCCAAGGAGAAGCCACGCTACTACACTGGCCACGGCATCGTTCTCGCTTACATGTTCTTGTTCCTATTCGGTGGCTCCGTCTTCATGCATTTTGCGCTCAAGCGCGAGAATAAGCTGAGGAAGGCGGGCAAGCGCGATCACTGGCTCCACGGCAAGACAGAGGATGAGATTGTCGAACTCGGCGATGTACGACCAGACTTCTACTACACCACCTAAGCGGGTGGTAGTACTTTGTGTAGCGGGCGAAGGGAAGATCTGCATTTCGATTACCCGTCGCCCTGTTTCCCTTTCTAGGATTATGGGTACCCCCCAGGCTTTGCGTCACCGAAAGACCTGTACCTCCCTCCAACTAAATCGTAAATGTTAATGGATTTGGATAGAGGTCGGCCAGTCAATCGTATAGACGCGGCCTGGGAAAAAATAGAAATATCTTCATACCTTGATCCAACTTGTCTTTGACATTGCTTGATGTGGTCATGCTTAGAAGGGAAAACGTCTTATACTTACATTTCATGCATTTCCTGGTGGCGTGTCCATTATTATTGCTCACTCAAGTCTGATTTGCCTGCCTGTCTGTCACTTGGACGTTAAATGGTTGGTTGGTGGCACTGGTGACCTCGGGAATAACGGCAAACGGGAGGCTGCAGCTGCCCACTCATTAGCCGCACGACATCCGCTGAGCCGAAACTGGCGTGACTCTCGTTCGAGTTAGATTGTCCATGTAGATCATCGCAATGGCTCAGCTTTGAGGTTGGTTGAATAATACGGGCACATGTGATGGGTTAGAAGCTGCTGTTGAGCTGCCGATGGTGAGGAGGTGCAGATGAAAGAGGAAGACACGCTCTACATCACAACGCGATTCATGCTGGCACTGGCCATGGATAGAAAGAGCGGCCCGCTCGACTCCCCGCATAACCCCAGATTATACCCCAAATGATGCTAAGCTCCACGTCAACTAGCACCGTCTATTATTCTCCGAGAAGTAAAGTGCGGCTTCGCCTCAGTACTAGCTTCTTAATTCGAGGTATTCATCACAAAGAAAAATTATCGTAGGAGCCCAGCTCGTCTTTAGTGATTCTGATGTGACAGCTGATAGATATGCTGATCTGTGTACAAGGATGGAAAAAGCAAGAAAGGAGCCTGCCTATCCCATGGAGCAGCTGGCTAGCTGGCTGTAAGGATGGAAAATCTGCACCCCAACGCCGTGACCCCGTCATCCAAGAAGCATGGAGTAAAGAGGATGAAAAGTGGGGAAAATGTGGCCCAACCCCAACCAAAGCTAGATCGTGCCAAAAGTCACACTCCTGATTCCATAGCAAATCTCGTGCTGCACGCCCATCCAAGAAGAATAAAGCGGCATGCTTTTCCCACCCCCCTCCAAAAAAGAAACCCATCCTGCTCCGCACTCTCTATCTTGCTCTCCACATGTACGAGCCTTGGCCGTAGTCGCCACGCCCTGCTCTTAGCGGAACAGACTCCTCAGCTCCTCCAACCGCTGCTTAGTAGCCTGCTCTTTCGTCTTCCGCTCCCGCGCCATCGTCAGATCCGCAAGCGCCTTCTTCTTCTTCTGTAGCTCTAGCATCTTCTCTTCAAAGCTACCCTCCATGATGAATCGCTTGATGACTACTTCCCTGTCCTGTCCTAATCGATGCACGCGATCTACCGCCTGCGCCTCGGCGGCAGGGTTGAACTGTGGTTCCATCATGAAGACTTTGTTGGCGGTGGTAAGATTGAGACCCAGGCCGCCAGCGCCAATGGAGACGAGCATTACGCGGATAGAATCGTCATGGCGGAGGGCGTGCATGGACTTGTCGCGCGCGTCGCGGGTCATGCGGCCGTCGAGGCGAACGTATGCGTGGGCATGGTTTTTGAGCGCAATCTCGATTAGGTCGAGATGCGTTGTCCACGAGGAGAAGACAATACTATAACCGTTAACAGATGCAAATATCTAAACTTGTCGAGTAACTTACCTCTTGATTGGCCGCTCATTCGGGTGGGCATCACTCCAATCCTGATGCTCCTTCAGGTCGTTGAGCAGAGCCTGCGTCTTTGTATGCGGCCCCATGTAGCTCCCCACCTTCTTCGCGAGCTTCGGGTCTTTCCTGATGCGATCCCTCTCTTCTAAAAAGTTCGCAAAATCCCTCCTCCGCAGCTCAAAGCCTTGAGGTCTATTTCGATCTTCGCAGACGTGGCACTGTACGGAGCCATCGGGGAGCAAGTTCTCTTTCCACTTAGCCTTGAGCTTCTTGATATGTTTAGGGCAGACGAGATGGTAGCAGGTCGTCATGTAGCCGAGGATGTCGCCCGCATTGCCATTATCCTCGTCTTCGTCGTCGGAATCGGAATCGGCGTCGAGCATGGACTTTTTGCCTGGGCAATAGATGCAGTCTGCAGCGTCAGTAGTCTCGAGAAGGTCAAGCATCTCGTAAGCTTGCTGGCGGGAGAGTGTCGGAACCTGCTCGTCTTCTTCTCCAATTTCCATAGGGTTGTCGTAGCTCATGCCGTCGGTTGTTTTCAATGCATCATCGCTGAGGAGATCGCGGCCGTGCGCGCATATGAGGCGAAGGTTCAGGATAGCGGTCAGGATACGAGCGTATGAGTGCCCGCCCATCTTTTCACCTTGTGTGACGGCATTGACCTTGCGCTGGGTGTCTTGCTCGAACCAATCGTGGAGCTGCTGCTCCCCTCTCGAGAATTGCAGTCTCACCAGGTAGTCATTCTTGGCAGGGACTTCGTGCTTGATGATCTCTTTAGTACGGCGGATCGTGACAGTGCTGACTAGGAGTTGCAGCTTGGGTACCACTTCGGGGTCAGCATTTTTGAAAGGGTGGAGGATGAACTGGTTGAACCCGTGGTTTGAATCGAATGGGCTCAAACGAATAAAGTTAAACAGCGCGCCAAGATCTTCCAGGCGGTTCTGCACAGGGGTTCCAGTAACAGCCCACTTTCGCTGCCCCTGCATGGAGCAGACTGCTTTTGACTGGTTGGTTGGGTTTCGAATGGTGTGTGCCTCATCGAGCACGATACGAAACCAGTTGATGAGCGGAAGCGGTCGCCTTCGATCCAACAGGTCTTTCGCAATGATGTGGTACGTGGTGACAACAATGTCGTAATTTGCGAGATCCTTGGCCGACATCTCGAAGCGTTCAGTACCGTGATACCGTGTCCAACGCAATGCGCTCTTGCCGACTGGGAAATGCTCCTTGATCTGCTCTTTCCAGTTGGTCATAGTACTGAGAGGGCAAACGAGAAGCGTAGCTCGGCTGTTGATTACAGGCTGTATCAATGCAGTGCCTTGGGATAGTGGCGGCGGCCTTTTCTGTTGAAACTCCCGCGCAGCAGCGATGGAGGCGTCGTCGCAGATTAACGACAGAATGCTAAGGGTCTTTCCTAAGCCCATCTCATCCGCTAGTATACCACCAAGGCTGTGCTTTGGCTTCGTTTGCCTCTCTTCCCCAGTGATGACATGGATGTAGGACTTGCGGCCATTATCCCGATAGTGCGGTTTCCAGAGAGAGTCTTTGCGGTCATCGTGCTCTGCACCAGTATGGTCTTGCTCTTTGTCCACCATGAAATATAGAGCTTGCTTCTGATGAGGATACAGCTCGGTTTTGATATGAGATGAGGGTTCCCGGGTTGGGACTTCTTCAGCACTGCTGACGACGGTATTGAATACGTCTTCAACATCAGCACGAATCTCGTCAACGCTTCGCAGTACGTAACTGTTAGTCGGTGCACCGGCAGCATGCTGGTTGAACATCGTCGGCTGGAAATTGGGCTGCGTTATCTGAGTCTTGTAGGAGCTTTGGCTAGTCTGAGGATTGAAGTAGTCGTGTCGGTGGAGCTCGAATAGTGGTTGTTCAAGGAGCAGGTTCTTGTTCTTGAGATATTTGCCGATGTCGTTCGCGTGTTTCCGTGGACAGTACAACTGTAGAGTCATTCCGATGAGGCCAGAGAACGCGGTACCCGGCGCTCCTTCGTTTGGTTGCTTCCGTCGAGGCTCGGTCCATGCCATCCACTTCAATCCACTGGCTTTTGCGCTGTCGATAAGAGGAGCTAGGCCCTGTGCTGTCTTGATGTCGATCTTGCCGAACTCCCTCCCCGTTCCGTCGGTCACCATAATAGCGATATTGCTTTGGCCACCACTCCTGCGAAAAGAGACTTTGATCCGACTCTGCCCACCGTTGTTTCCAGAGTATTTCTTCGGATCGGGGTTAGGAACTAAGTGCGCTTGGATGTACGTCTGTTTCACCTTGCCAATGCATATGTCATCGTTGCCGTTGTCAGCAACGACTTGGATGTCGTCCTCATCGTCGCCTAGCAAGAGTCAATACTGTTCAGATGGCGTAATGTGATCAACTTACTCATGGTTAAATCGATGGAGGGTCCTTGTGCTAGTAGAGGCGGCTGTCCGTTCGGTTTCTTCAGGTCAAGGGCGCTTCCGCCGCTGAAGTTCGAATGGTTGGCCTTGCTGGTACGTTCGTCGTTGGCGGTCTTGACACGCTTTGCCGGCGACGCAGTGCGTTCTTGAACGTTGTGCAGTCGTTCGACAAGCGATACCTGGCCGGCGATGGTAGGGTCAGTGCGTCCGCGGTCGATGTCCGTACCCGACGAAGCGGGGCGCTTCGGGTTGGGTGCTCTTGGGTTAAGTAGTGCACGCGGGTCGTATGGCGATATTCGAGGTACAGGTGCTGCATTGTTATTGTGATGTGTCGCAGCGTCACCTGGGAGATCAGCGGTCAGCTCAGATTGGAGGACAGTGAAAGTGGAGTCCGATAACAGATCGCAGTGCACCACGTCATTGGTGTTTGGGTGGTATACAGCTGGACTGTCTATCATTTCCATGCCGTGTATTGAGTCGTCCAGGATAGTAGACATCATTGACAACTGATCTGAAGGTATCCGGAGCTGAATAGACGGAGTTCGGGTTTATAAGAGTGGAGAGAAGGAAAAGAGGGAGAGATACCTGTCCTACGAGCCCTTCGAGGGTCAAGTAATAACGCTGGGTCCATATTGTACAGATGTAAACACTCAGCTAACTACAGGTGAGAGAGCGGCCTCAGGACTCAAGTGAGAGGGTTGGCGACAGTTTCAACTCTTTCTTTGGCACCTTGACGCTGGCCAGCGCAGCGCATCTGATACCTGGTGCCAAGAAGAGGTACGGGCGGTCGCCACAAACAGGCCGCGATGTCTTCGCTTTTTAATGGTCGATAGATCTTCGTATAGAGAATTGAAGTCACCTTGGCGCGACAATTTCGACTCGTATGTGCTCCTTCTCTTAGATCAGGCGGTGGGGAGTGGTTCAGCAGAAGTTTAGTACCTGTCTGGAGGCCGGGTAAGTGAAGGCAGGCGTCGGACTTCGCGACGTAGCGGCCTCTCTGCAGCGAGCATCAGAGGATCGGTATTCGAATGTTAGATGCGAGAGAAATAGAACGCACCGCGCAGGAGTGGTGGTTGCGCTGTTGCCTTTCATGCTTGCCGTGAGAAGTCATCGATTCTGATGTGGCTTGTGTGGCTAGTGCGAACAGATTCGAGAGCGTCATCTGACCACACCGGTTCCGGTAATTCTTCGATCATCCGAGGTGATGACAGAGTGCACAGAAGATGCAAGGGGTGAGGTGAAGAAGTAGTACAACACACTGTATTGGGGTGTAGTGTCCCAATCGGGGTATGAGTATATGTTGTGCCCGTGGGCAGATTTGTGACGCGGTTGAACATGTCTAGAGGGCTCTTCGCTACCAATATAGGTACGTGTACACAAATGAAATGCGCCGCATATGCAACTCAACTATCTAATAGCGTCATGCATGAAAAAAGAACGCCCGCTATGCAAGTTCCCCTACACTTGTAAGAGGCCCCAATAACAATATATCCATACAGGGCTAGCCGCTCATAGAGTAAGACATGTTAACACCAAGTAAACACTGGGTTCCTCCCCTTGACCATTTCCAACCGCTCAACAATAACTTTCTTGCGGTTGCCCTCCATATCTTCGTTCGCCGCGTAGCCTAGATCGCCCTCATCATCGAACCCATACTCGTCGAGATCTCTCCTATTGGTCAAGGAGAATCTGCGCTGCTGTTTTTTGCCGTGATGATGGTTATGGCGAGGTGCATCATAGCTCATACGCGAGCGATGCCCGGGTCGACCATTGGTAGCCTCTGCAATGTTGCGAGAACTCCAGTTTACATCGCTTACAGTTGCTGGCGACGTGGGTCCAGCTATAGGGTCCGAGCGGCGAATGTCCAGCGAGGACGAGTCGCGTGAGAGATTGAACCGGTTTTCGCGCGCTGAGTCTAGAGGCGGGGAGTTCATGAGCAAGTCAGGCTGCGGCTTTTGCGGCGGCGTCGACACAGCCGTGATGTCCATCTCCTCAGTCTCCTCCTCGAGCCGCTTCTGCCTCACAGGTTGCTGCTTCCTCCGCATCTCCGCTGAAGGCGCTCTCAGCGGCACCGCAATTGGTATCTCCACGATATCGTCCCAGACACAAACTCGTGCTCTCCTTGTGAGCTCCAACGGTCCATGATCTGGCGTCTTCAGTGTCTCCACCACGTTCCACGCCTGTCCTTTCATGACTGCGATTTGTTTCGCGTACATGCGCTCTTTAAAGTCGGCGTCTTGGCTAAAGCATTTTCGCAGGGCAAGCTGGGTGTCAGACCACCATTGTTTGGAGGTGAGGAGGGGGAGGAAGTGGCGACGTGTGGCTTCGGAGAAGGGTTGGCCGATGAGCGAGACAGGGAGGAAGAGCCAACCGAAGGGGTAGCTTCGCCACTAGATACTGTCAGTTTAGGTATTGGCATATGTAGAGATATGCACTTACCGCATCGGGATGTTTCCATGGCCAGGACAAGCTGTTGTCGATAGCACCGATGGTGACCACAGGCGTGGGTGCATGCTGCATTGGCGTGCTAGACCGACTGTTCGCAGTCATCGGCTCTCGGCGCCCGTATGGGTCCATCTCCTCCATGGACTGCCTGGTATAACTGTTTGGCTCTAGTTCGTCTCCCACGTCGCCATTCGTCTTTGGTGGCTCTGCGACGATGGTGGCTTCCTGTGTTTTCTGATCAATCTTGATCATCCAGTTGTCTAGGCCTCTGTCTGTATTTCGCATGATGTAGTCTAGGATAACCAGCTTCTCGAGTTGTTCCCTGAAAGACTGCTGCAGGGCGTGGGTCCAAAACCCTCTCCGTTGCTGTTGCTGATCCGCAGTGCCCGGCCGATCATCGTCCTCGTCGTTGTCTGATTGTGGCCCACTCGGTCTGCAGTCTTCGGCCCATCTCCGTTTCTTCTTCCGCGATGCCCCCTCTGTCTTGGAGCCTGAGTTGTGCTGGTCCGGCCACGGGTTCTCTTTCAGGAAGATGTTCGCATCCTTGAAGCCCTTCAAGAAGACCTGAAAACTGCCCTGTTTCTCGGGAAACGGCTTCTTCTTCCTGTAGAATGCCCTTCTATCCCAAAAGTCATAGTGGAAGGATTTCGAGGAGAGGGCGACCACGTCGGTGTAGGGTACGAGGTTTGTGCGTAACTGACTATCAAGAACGTAGGCGGCGGCTTCGGACACGTAGCTCAGGTTGGGGATGAGACAGGCGCGACCAAAGAAGAAGGGGAACAGGTTGCGGTGTATCCACTTTGTCCATTTGGGGTTCCGCGACGCGTAGGGCTCCTCGTCCTTGGGTTTGAAGACGCCCACGACTTTGCCCTGTGTGTTGCGCGCGAAGTAGCTGCCTGAACTGCCTTGGGTGATCAGCTTGGGGTGTACGTCCATCTCGATTGCCGTCCTGACACTCTCCACTGTATCGTCGAATTGCAGTTTCGTCATGCGATCAGATGAGCCGTCGAAGTCGAACGTCAGCGACTCTGCAGTTGCCGGTCGCATCCCGTCGGGCGCCTGAAAGACAGAATGGTGTATCTCTAGCTGCTCATCCTCTGGAGCGTCTTTCTGCTTCATCATCTTGAACTTCTGCGCGATCTCATCTGCCCATCGCTCGAATCTCGCGTTTATAGCTTTGATGTCGACCCCCGAGTTGGCCCGCGGCCGCCGTGTTGAGGATGTATTTCGAGTCCTCGGCGAGTTCGAGCTAGAGCCGCCGGGCATGCGCATGCCCGAGTTGCGTTGGGGCTGGATGGGCGCATATTGTGGGTTGGAAAGGGAGTTTTGGTGTTGCTCGTCGTCGAACTCGCTGCTGGAGTCTTCGTCTTCTTCGGCCTGGGCTATTCGAGCATAGCCCGACGTCGCCGGTCTCTTCGCTTTCGGCATCGTGACTATCTCAAAGTGAATGAATAGCGATCAATGGAGATGTGTCCTACCCCCAGAAGGGTGCCAGGATGATCTCGGAATGACGATGGCGCACGTTGCAAGGATCTGCCGCTCACTAGCGTCCGTTGCGCCTGGTCGCGCCCAAATTAGTGGATCAGCACGCGAGCCCATTTTCACATGCATCCAGAACTCGATGGCCGCAGTGTCGTAGAAACGATTCTATCGGTCTTTTGTCTGACTTTGTACATGCATCTGCGGTGGGTATCATGCTCTATAAACGACACTCGAAAGAAGCCGCAGCTCCTCGAAACCAAGATCGTGACTGCCTCCTTTAGAAGCTGTCGTCAAGATCAACCCCATGCCTGACCACACTCGGGCTGTCTTCGTCCATACCTTCAGTCGTGTCCGTGATGTCGCCGCCTGCAGTCAACAGTAGATCGTCGACGATGCGCCTACTGGCTTCGCGGGCTGCAACAGTGATTAGCGAATGTTACAATTGTGCAGTCATGTCCACTCACCAGGCGTCTGCAGCAGCTTGCTCTGCGGAATGTGAAACTGGATTGTCTTCGGAGGACTCAAGTCGATCTCATACTCCTCGTCATCGCTATCATCAAATACAGTTCCCGTCCTGTGCAAGGTCATCGGCGTCTTGCCCTTCGCAGGTGTCTGCACGCTAACGCCAGGTGTTCGTGGCGTCTTCATAGGCGAGAAGATATCAGCACGAAGCTGTGGCGCGGGTGATGACGGAGGTGACGAGTCTTCTGCCCATCTTGGTAGGGTCGAAGTGGCTCCACGAGGGGTCGCGGCATCCCGTTGGGTAGCTCTCGGAGTAAACGCACCAGTTGGCTTGTATTTCCTCGGACTGATGATTGGTGTGGCTTGTACTCGGAACGTCTTGTCCAAGACACGATGTAGCAGTGGGTCTTGGTTGATGTAGGGCCTCTTTGAGGCTGTAGGCTGTACGAAAGGCGACGAGTCGAAGCCAGTCATATCTGGCAGTGCCTGTGACTTTCCGGGCGTCACTGGATCTAGCCTTGGTGTCTTCCTCCCTCCAATATCCGTTCGGAACTCCTCCTTGAGTGTCTCATATGGAGAAGACAGGCCGGCGAACTGTGGCTCGATTTCGTCCTCGTCCTCGTCCGATCCCTCTTCCACCTTGTCTTTCTTTCCCGAGGGCGGTCCGCGTGGTGTGCTGTGTCCGAGCGACGGCGAGTCGAAACTTATGGTGGACTCGACGTCGTCCTGCGCAGAAGTCGGTCTAGGAGGTGTTGCTGTAGCGCCCGTCACAGTATCTTCCTCTACTGTCTCGTCTTCGTACATGTGCGATTGTTGAGAGTCTTCCTGGACGGCAGACTCATCCTGGTCGGGCGCTTCGTATCCGGAGAGGGAGACATTTGCGCTGGCTTCAAAGAACTGCTTCCAGAACTGCCAGAGTCAACATACATTCTTTGGGTTTCTACAAAATGCAAACCTTAGAGCCTTCCCAAACAGCTTCGGAGTGTTTCCCATACTGTTCGACAATGGGCAATATTCCCGTCGTTACGATCCGGTGGGCGCGACTGAAGTTGTGGTCGATTTCTGCTCTTGTCAGTTGCGTGGTGGGGGTAGTCGAAGGGTTGGTTTGTTAACCTTGCAGTGTCAAGGTGATGGACTGCTCCAATTTCTCCAATTCTTCGGTCAGCGACAAATTGCGCTGCGGCGCTACGCTTTGTCGCGACATGGTCCAATTGCTGTCTGTCATGTAGGATACGGACACTGAACTGCTGTTCCTGATCTCGCGACGCGTATTCGGCATGACGGGACAACGATGCCCAAGGGTCGCGAAAGTGGCTAGCATGAAAGCGGGCTAGCCGCTGCACCCTCTACTGCATGGACCCATGGATCACTCCACCATGTCCGCATCTCTGGTTCCTGTACTGCTATCCGAATAAGAGATTATGATCATGGTGCTTTGAATGATGGACAAACACGCGTTGCGCAGATAGGTTGCCCGAGCATGCAGGTACATCATCAACCGAGAACCGCCATGGACGCCATCTTCGGGCCCAGTAGACCCGACCACAGCTTCGAGATGCGCGGCTGATGTGGAGCTACGAGAGGGGTCAAGGCATACTCCGTATACCCGGATTGCTTGAATAAGCTTCCCGGGGCACAGCAGTGGAATGGTGGTGTAAAGTACATATGGACTGGTGCCACTTCAAGCCCCTCTCCGTAAGATGCATCATTCCTGTCTTTAATATCTTCTTCACCAGGAATCCAGAAGATCCAATCGGCACAAGTTTTCTGTCTAGTCTGAATATTCAACACTATGGCATTGCGTCTTCCAGGAAGAGCACTATGGCAGGCATCGCCAAGGCTTGCAACCCTCTCGCGTGTCTCGACCCAAGCACCACGATGGACACGTAGTTACGCGATACCGCCCTTGGAAGAAAATCGAACTGCGATTGTGACTGGTTCATCACGTGGAATGTGAGCGTCAACTAACAAACACACAATCGACAAGACCTAACCTAGAATCTTACAGCGGCAAAGCCATTGCTCTGCGACTAGCCAACGATGGCTACGACATCTGCATCAACGACGTCGAAGCCAACAAAAGTGGTTGTGATGAAGTCGTGAAGGAGATCGAAGGCCTAGGTCGCAAAGCGTTCGCATACACAGCCGATGTGTCAAACCTGAATGAGGTACAAGGTCTGGTCCAGGCATCAGTGTCTGAACTCGGGCCATTGAACACAATGATCGCGAACGCTGGTATCTCCCAAGTCAAAGCACTCCTAGATTTGACCGAGCAAGATTTGAAGCGCATGTTTGAAGTGAATGGTGAACCTCCCTCTCCGCAGTCATAGCACTAGCTAACCGACTTGCAGTTTTCGGCCTTTACAACTGCTATTCAACTGCAGCAAAACAAATGATCTCCCAAGGGGGCGGCGGCAAGATCCTCGGCGCAGCCTCAATCGTAGCCTTCAAGCCCTTTCCTCTTCTTTCGCACTATAGCGCTTCCAAGTTCGCCGTCCGAGGCCTGACGCAAGCCTTTGCTATGGAGATGGCAACACACAAAATTACAGTTAACGCTTACGCGCCGGGCATCGTAGGAACTGCGATGTGGGATCAGATTGACGAGGGGCTAGGTGAGCTGAAAGGTGTAAAGAAGGGCGACACGATTAAGAAGTATAGCGAGGATTTGATTGCGTTGGGGAGGACTAGTGTTCCCGAGGATGTCAGTAGTACAGTAAGCTTTTTGGCGAGTAAGGATAGCGATTACATGACAGGACAGACAATCGTGATCGACGGGGGTATTGTTTTTACATAGTGAAGATGAATTGTGAGAGGTTTCATTCCCGGTCGTTAAACGCCTACCGTCTTGCACCCAGAAACTAGCTTCGCGCCTGCTGACGAAGAACCACTGTGCAAGATTCAATGATTTTAGCACATTTTCAGCATGTCTTACAACTACCAACAGCAGCCAGATTTCATTGCCTTCTCTGGTGTCGCTTACTTCAGCAGCGTTCGCGCGGAAATGTACCAAACTAAACAAGGAGCCCAACTGCGCTGGAAATACCAACGGGTTAGTTCTCACAACGCTCGCACTCTGCTGTCACTAAAAGTTCGCCGCTGTCATGTCTTCACAATCGACATAATAGGGACACTTCTTTAGCCAAGAACAAGCGGTATAAATACCACCTGTTCGAGCACAAAGTCATACATATCATCAGACAACGACGAACATCATTCTCAACATCTTGGCAAAACCTCTTCACGTGTCGATATCATGAACCCCCGCAAAGACAAAAGCGGCCAAGGGAAAAAGGCCCAGAAGACTAATCCCCCGGCCCCGTCAGTCTCGAGCGAAACTGAATCTGCCTCCGATTATGAAAATGCCCGCGGTTACAGCCAGAACCCCATACAAGAGTTCGAAGATTTTGTTCAGTATCGGGGACGGCGCTCCAGCGACACGGTGTTTCTTGAATTGGAAGAAAACGGTGAAGACTTGAAACCAGAGTTCACTGCACCACAGCCTGAGCAGATCCCCACTATCCAGGCCGACAACTTCGATAAGCATCAACACCAGAACTTCCCTGATGTTATAACCCAGCAGTCTGCTGCGTTGCAGCCACAGTACATCATGCTGCCGCCTCAAACTCAGACTTATGTGATCGAACAAAGGCAGCAACCGAGGCTGACGGGCGCAATACCGAGTCTACCTCGTCCAGGCAGATTTTATCGTGATGAATCCTTCGGCAACAAGTACCTCGCTAGCGTAGGCCCATCACAGCGCCACTTACGTTCGTCCTCATATTCACCGCTGGGCCATTTTCTCGACGATGGATCCATGTTCCGCAATCTTTCGGGTGGCTACAAATACGCCAACACAAGGCCAAACGCCGACGTGAATTCTAGCGGACAATCTGCCAATGCAGCCACGCGGACCCTTTTCAACCCGGTGGACTCTCCTATGTTATACGAAGTGTTTGCGGATATCCATGAAATTATGGTGAGGATTGACACTGAGCTGAAAGCACTGAGGCGGGAGATGCAAATTATGCGAGCTTTTTAACTGACAAACAGGTGGACTCCAGAAGTAGCTATAGAGAAGTAGTGTAGTTTGAAGATGTGTCATCGGCGTACTGTGATAGTTGAGCCTTGATATAGGTTTTTGTGGATCGTTTGTTGGAACTTAAATTGACTATTCGTTTTCTAAATTGCTGGCTTCAAGGTACCTTTCACCTTTAATCTTCCATGCCGACAAAGAATTTAAAAATCTACATCTTCACTTCCCGGCGGGAAAAGATATCCCTTCTCATTTCCGGGTTTTCACCACCATGTCGTCATATAAAAACTCCAGTATGTCTCCATGCTTCATCTCGAAAACACTTCACGGGCATCATCACCGTAAAAGACCAGAATGTATCGTACATTACTGCACGGCAGTCCTACGAATGGGAGTTCATGGCTATGTCTCTGATAGATGATATGCACACGATGGCGGAACACATGAGAGATACTAGGGCACAGTGGCAAGAGGCGCGTGAGGGGTGGCAGGGCAAGCTGAAGGCTGCAGATACGAACGATAGTGTTTTGTCGGCAGTACTTTCGATATAAGTCAGCTTCGTTACCTTGAGCAGTTCACAGTTATGATAACAGCTCTACTTTGAGAAGGAACATTCGTAACATTGTGGCGAGGTTGGGGTGAAGGGAACTGAGATGAGAGAGCAAAAATGGAGGCTATGTATGTTGTGATGAAATCTAGGGCAATGCGGGAACTGTGCGTGGAACGAGAAGTGACATCGCATATCCCGCTAGTGGTCTGGTTAACCGGGCGGGAGGCAGTTAGTTCGAGGCATCCAATACGGGCCAACTACCTACATCCCTAAGCATAGTGAAGCCTCAAAATGATCAAATGGCACATTTTCCGTGGCTCGTTGCTGCCAAGTGAGAGTGAGCGCGTGTTAGTATTAATATCCGTCACTTTGGGTGATAAAGATACCCGCTTGATGTTTCGCAGACACAACGTTCATGAAAGTTTCATTACTTTCTCAAGCCTTCTGGTTAGCATGTGGCTGTTCTGGACTGTGATGGGCGAAATTTACTCTGCATCTCATCCAAAAAGAGGTCTCGAGTCTGCGTATGAGACCTTTCGAAAGAATTCGGCACTTTCGTTCGATGTTAGTCGTCGTTCGAACTTTGAAGTGATCGGCAACTGTGTTTGCTAGCAGTCGGCTAGGAGGTGGTACGTGACTTGCGCACGGAAGCTTATGCGAAGAAGGAAAAACTTCCGACACCATCGCGGTTGCAAGGCTATTCAAAAACCAATGCATCGTCAGTCAGATGAAATGCTTCATGGCATCGCTGATCTCGTTGGCTCAAACACACGGACTTAGTTGGTCGAAAGCAACGCTGTACTTCACGCCAGCACATTTCCCTACACAGGCGGAAAACCTGCTTTTGATACCACGTGGAACAATCGTGAACCCTAGACGGCTCTCAATCATCAATATAAAATTTCGGATGCTCTTCCCTCTCTCCTCCTATCTAAAGAGTCGCTCATCATTACTATTTGATTTGCAATTTCCGCTTCACGGTAGCCAATCAAGACCGAAGTCCTTGTAAACCCCGGTGAATCGTCACGCAGACACATAACGAACATCCACAATGTACGATAGGGGGGCAATCATGGGCCACCGCAAAGGTCTAGGACGCTTCTACAATGCCTACCCGTCATGGGATTACCCGAATTACGGCGGATTTAGCGGCTACGGCGGATTGCTTGATTCTTCATATTTCGGGTACGGGTACGGAGCAGATACACCAAATACCGTGGTGCGAAAGTCCTACCAGAAATACTATTCCAATATGTTTGCTAATATATGGGTAGTAAGTAATTGACCTTTTATAAGACACTTAGTATGTCATTGGTAGTATTCGTATTCTCTATTTAGAAAGGTGTTAATCGTGTCGCTACTTTTAGTGAAGATGCGACACGAGCGCACGTCGAAGGGCAGAAGGAATTGGAAAAGGCAAAAGAAAAGTACGATGAGGCGAAGAAGAAGCTTGAGGAGTGTGAGAAGAAGGTCAGGGAAGCAGAACTAAGATTGAATTGGGCAAAGGGTGCTGGGCGCTACAGTTAATGTCCCTAGAGAAAGCTGAGTGGTTTGGGGGTATTTAGGTAACATAGAAGCCAGCAGAAGCCGGTGTCACTTATCTATGCATATCTGCATACGAAGGTTGCTCTTTTCGTCACAGTATGTACGCTCAATCTCTTCTACTAAACATCTTAGATGTTTGCTAGGTGCTGAGGTCGCGTAAGTCGTCGGTAAATTCGTTTAAACATCATTTTATAGTTGATGGCTCTGATGAATGGACATAAAATGATACAATTGATGACTAGGTCGTGCTGCGCTTGAAGTAGTTTGCAAATTTGAAGAGCCATCATGGCGCCACACGTGGCCTTTTCTCGTGTTGGTTGCGCTCAATTGAACTTTGCGTTTGTAAAACTGCTCGTTGTCGTCGACAAAATCTAATCTTACCTACTTAGTCTCTCATTATCAAAAAGGTCTTCATCATGACACTGTATTACTCCCCGCGCAATTGCCAACCTTCCCATGCCGACTTCAGAAATTTTCCTCATTCACGACCCGCGGACAATGGAATCGAGTATGGTTTTGAAGGTGCGACTGTTGTTGGGATTCAGCTTGATGGTGTCTCTCTTTCTAGACCGCAGCCTCCGACCGAAAGTCAACATTCAGTTAGTGTCGGAGCTGCCAGCGGGTTTGACGTTAACGAGCCCTACACGTTTTACAAGGTTACTGTAGATATCGTAAGAGCCAATACCTTGCTAGTACATTTCAAGGTGACAGAAGCCGAGCAAGCGCTACATAGGAGAGGCCCCGGCCAAAACAACGAAGGCCGTCGCGAGAATGAGTGAGCGAGGAAGGGAATATACCGACTAGTAACGGCTAGCATGGTGAATGCTGGGTACTAGCTTTTCATAGTTCGGATAGAGAATGAGATACCAGAGTGATACTTCTATTCCGCTGGAAGCACGGGAGCCTCATACACACTAATCTTCCCTTGATGCAAACCCCAGTTCCTGCCTTGGGTCGCTGTAGCAGTCTCGGGAGCTCTCATTGGAACTTTGTCCGTTAAAACTCGTCTGCGTAAACAGCAACCGAAGTGCATGATGTGTGAATGAATTGATGAAGATGGCAGACGTTTCGGCGACATAGTCGCGCCGTTAGCCGTGATGACGTAATCATAGGACCGTGCATATAGCCATTGGAACAACAACAAGCCTCTCAGATTTACTCATCACGACGCTTGACTATAGTCTCGATTGCACAATGTCTTTCCCATATTCTGACGCCTGGACAGCCATGAAGCACTCAATCCAAATCTGTTGGCGTATCGTATTTCGACTTCGAAGTTTTCTGCACTTTCGGCCCTATGGTGAAACGTTCCCACTTTTACGAACGCTATTATCATTGAGACTTACGGCATTTCGAAAGATATGAGCCGGCGGAGGGATAGACAGCACACATATACATGTATACTTTCAGCATCTCCCTTTGGTGCTGCCAAGATGCATTCCATTCCATCCATGCCAAGCGCCCGCTTCACAAAACACTCGGCTATGCGGCTCTAGCCAGACGGGGATTATCTCGATGTAGTCATGCGCTGCCGAAGAATGCGCTATGCTATACGACGCGCATGGACGCGTCTGGAGCGAAGTTTCTGGGCGCCGTAGGTCCCCCTCTCCCTATAGCTATACCTTCAATTGTATACCGCATTACCATCTCTTCCTATTATCTGCAGCTAGAGCGCCGCCACCGTTGTCCACCATTGCCAACATCACAGCAAGCCGAGTCACTATGCGCTCCTCCCCATGTTCTTTTGAGATGCTGACAGACGTAGATGCTTACCGGACTATGCACTATGAACATTTTCTTTTGTCTCTTCTTTCAATTTCTTATGTTTGATCAAAGCACACAGGCGTTCACATAACATTTGCGATGCGCTAATATGTGTAGGATCCGGCCAACTTTGGCAACACGATCACTACCACCGCGGCTGCCTCTACTAGAACTTTGACGAATACGGTCTTTATGACGGTATCAGGTACATTCACCGATACCATAACGAACACAGTCTCAAGTACCATAAACAAAACCTTGTCGTACACAAGTATTGTATATGTGAGAAACCCCCGCGCTTCGTCTGGTGCTATATTAAGACATGGACAGGACACCGTCACGAACTCAGCAACAGTTGGAACGACGTCAACAGCCAAGAATTACAACAGATTCGATCGACGACAGGCTGGAGTTACGACAACAATTACCTCTACCGCAACCGTAACCTCAACCGCGGCCGGAGTTACTGCAACTGTAACTTCAACACAAGCCGCCGCGCCAGCGGTTACGTCTACCGTAACATCAACACAAGCCGCCGCGCCAGCAGTTACTTCAACCGTAACTTCAACATCAGTCCCACCAGCAGTCACCGTAACCTCAACACAAGCCGCCGCACCAGCAGTTACTTCAACTGTTACTTCAACCTCAGTACCACCAGCTGTTACCTCAACAATAACCTCAACACAAGCCGCCGCACCGGCAGTTACCTCAACCGTAACTTCAACATCAGTCCCACCAGCAGTCACCGTAACCTCAACACAAGCCGCCGCACC